AGAAATAGACGTGTTCGTGACGAGGGGCGTAGGTAAGATGTAGGTGTGATGATACCAAGGGTTCGCGCGCTTTGCCCGTTATTCCAATGTTTGATTATTTGCAAAGTGATGCTCATAGTCGTTATGTGTCCTATTGACTTCACTTCTCTTCTAGGGTCAGACTATCCAGTCCAATCCCACACCCTCCCCTTCCCACCCCTCAAAAATTCACAACACTAGCCTCCAACACCCCCTCAGGCCCAATCAACGCCTTCTTAACATCCTCCCCCACCGCCCTGTCCACGCCCAAAATCATCAACGCCTCATTCTTCCCCTCGCCCTCAACCTCCTCCTCCAACGGCGCGACATTCATAAACTTAATATTCACGCCCGCCTTCCCCAAAAGATTCCCCACGAACCCAATCTTCCCACACGAATCGAAGTTGCGGCAGATCAGCAGTGTGCCCTTTGGTACGAACTCGCCTTTGAAGCGGTCGAGCCGCGAGATGAAGGGTTTGTTGCCGCTGACGAAGCCTTGGATGATTTGGTCGGCGGTGTTGGGGGGAGGGGAGGGCGCGCGCGTGCGGGAGTGCGATGTTGAGCGCGTGGAGCGCGCGCGCAGGGTGATGAAGGAGGAGTAGGGTTTATCATCCACGTTCTCACGGGAGCGCTGTTCGTTGATGAGGATGCCGCGTTCTTTGGCCAACAACTCCGCATTGACGATGTTGATATTCAACCCGTCGGACGACGTGATGGGCGTTAACAAGCCCTTGACGAGCGCGGCGAAGAGCGGCTTGGTCGTGTTGATGTTGGCGAGCTTGCCTTCGTATATGATGTCGAAGGTCGTGCGGAAGGAGTCGAGTTTCACGGAGGAGTAGTGTTGGGTGTATAGTGAGCCCATTTTCTCGACCAGCGCAACGAAGGGCTGGAGGGTGCGGTATTCTTCGGGGAGGATGATGGGGGCGTTGACGGCGGAGCGAGGGAGTTCGCCGGAGAGGATGGAGACGACTTGTTCGCAGACGTCGATGGAGACGTTTTCCTGGGCTTCGCGGGTGGAAGCGCCGAGATGGGGAGTTGCGACTACTTTTGGATGGGCGATGAGTCGCGTTGCTGAAGAGTTTGGCTGCGGGGGTTCGGATGTGAAGACGTCGATGCCCGCTCCCGCTATGGTTCCAGCATCTAACGCTTCAACAAGTGCGTCTTCGTCAATCATTCCACCTCTTGCTACGTTCAGGATCCTGGCGGTAGGCTTCATGGTCTCCAGCTCCGCTTTTCCAATCATGCCCTTGGTCGATGCAATCAGTGGCGTGTGAAGTGTCAAGAAGTCTGCTTCTTGGAGCAGCTCCGCAAGACTGTGCCGAAGCGTGACTGACGCCGCGGCGGCCAAGTTGGGGTTTGCATATGGATCATAAGCTACGAGGCGCATTCCCAGACCATTTGCAATTCGAGCAACTGTCAGACCGACTGCAAATTGTTAGTTTTTTGGCTTCATCTTTGCTTCTATAGCTCACCTTTACCCAGGCCAACGATGGCCAATGTCTTGCCCTTTGCTTCTACACCAACAAGCCGACTTCGTTCCCATTTTCCAGCCTTGATGCTTTGTGCTGCATCACCGACATTGCGAGCCACAGCCATCAACACTGTCCAAATTAGTGATAGCTCGGCAGTGTTGCTTTGAGTACTCACGAGCGATTGTATGTTCTGCAGCCGCATTGATGTTTCCAGAAGGCGAGTTCACGACAATGATGCCATGTGTTGTTGCGCTTGCTACGTCAACGTTATCAACTCCTACGCCAGCACGTGCGACGACTTTGAGCTTCTTAGCAGCTCCGAGGAGCTCAGCTGTCACCTGAGTCTCTGAGCGAACAATGAGAGCTTCATATTCCCCAATGATGCTCTTCAATTCTTCTGGGCTGAGGCCTTTCTTCTCGTCCACCTCAAATTGGTCTTTCAACAAGGCCAGACCATCTGGTGAGACCTTTTCAGGTATAAGAATCTTAGGCTTGCTAGTGTGCATGATGATAGCCATAGTAGCGACCAATGGAGTTATGGGGACAAGGATGGAGGAAGTGCTGAATCAGAGTGTGGTATTGTTGTAAGCCCGTCGAGCTTATTTGTACCACTAAGCAAGACAGTCCGCTATCGGGATCTTACATGTGAGATCCTTCAGTAGCACCCTTGGTTATGATGAGGGCCTGGAGCCTTACTCGATGAGGTCTGGAGCTACCCCGCCCCCGCGAACCCCACGAATTGCGCCACTGCTGTAGGATGATTTAGTGCATGCACCGGTGAGAGTGGTGCAACTGAGATGCAGAGAATGAATTAGGAATGATGACTGAACACGGACAGAGAGCAACAGTGTGTAGTAGAAGAGACGACAAGTAGGAAAGTTAGTTCTAATCTTTTAGATCAACCCAGACACAAAGTGTTGGGCCGGTTGTGCACCATGTTGAAAAGGTCTAGAGACTAGTCTCATCGTGATCTGCATTGATTGGAGGCTTTTCTTGTGGGGTGTATGTCGCATGCGCGGGTACTACCGACGCACTTTACACATTGCTACGTGTCTTGAGTTTCTCGTTCTGCACAACCTCGATCCAGTAGTTGTCTGGGTCTGCGATATGTAAGCCAATGTGCACGCATTAGATAGTTGGAACAAGCACATACCGAGCACAAACGCAATGCTCTTCATACGGCCATCGGTAAGCCTCTTCTTCCAGTTGACCTTCTTTTCCTCGAAGCGAGCACAGGCTGCCTCCAGATCGTCGACCGCGATACAGATATGACCGAAGCCTTGGGGCTCGTCGTTGCCATTGTGGTACTTGAAGTCGGCTTCCTTCTCGGTGCCGTAGTTCCACGTCAACTCTAGCAATCCCTCATGATCCGCTGTCGGGTTAACACCATTCGCGGTCTCGTCTGATGCTGGGGCACCGTAGCCGAGGAAGTAGAGGTTGAAGCCAGAGTTTGGAGACTCTGATGTACGTTTGAGCTGCATTCCCAAAACATCCTGGTAAAACTTGAGTGACACGTCCTTGTCCTTGACACGGATCATGGTGTGGTTCTGCCATGGTTAGCGCAATTCGGTCTCACTGAGGAGCGTGAGACCCACCATGCGGTATGTGCTTGTGTCGGTGTCCTTGACACTCTCGGTCTCCTCCAATGGCTTCTGGCCAATAACCTCGACCCAGTAGCCATCAGGGTCCAGCACGAATGCAATGTGGCGCATACGTCCGTCGGTCAGCTTCTTCTGAAACTTGTAACCTGCATCTTCGAGACGCTGGCATGCAGCCTGAATGTTATCAACAGAAACACAGAGATGTCCGAAACCCTTGTGCGGCTCGGTGTTACCGTTGGAGATCTTGTAATCCGGGTCGTCTTCGGTTCCGTAGTTGTGGGTAAGCTCGACAATGCCCTCACGATCAGTCCAGTGGTTGCCGTGCGATACTGCCTTTGGACTATCGTATGCAAGGAAGTATAGGTCAAACTTGGCCTCGGGCATCTTGATCTGGTTGATCAATTTCATGCCTTTCTCACATCAGACTTGATCCATGCAACCGCATTTACCTCATCTTCACATACCTAGGAACTCATAGAATTGCACGCTTCGCTTCGGATCCTTGATACGGATCCTACCCACAGTCAGCCACCAGCCAATGGTAACGCGACACTGCAGGCAGTGCTTATGGAGGTACTCACATCGAGTGGTTAAGCTTGTACTTGCTTGGATCGGTAGCCATAGTTGCTAGCGCTCGGTAGATGCTGATCAGACTACTGCTGTATTTTGGGGCTCTGTGAATAGGAAGTGAAGCTGCTTTTAGATTGGCAAATAATCTCGGTCGCAATGTGAACATGAGGTTGTTTGTGCAGGGAAAGCTGGGCAAGAGACCTCGGAGCTTCAAAAGTTGATGACGTGCGCGCACCGAATCTTTACCCCACCGCGGGCTTTACTCGGCAATAAGCGTCTCGTGGAGAAGTGACCGCATGGCGCATTAGCTTGAACATATGTTCCTGGTGATACAGCGTCTGGTAACGACTACATGCTCTGGTATAAGATGGTCAATGTTAACAGCTAAGGAAAGTTTATGGCTTGGTGAGTGCGGCCAGCCGTACACAGTCGGAATGCCTGCATGGTCCAGGATGAGCATTGAGCAATTGGTGCGCACTCGTCGCTTGCTAGTATACGTTAAGTAACGCTTTTAACGACGAAGTGCTGCTGTTCGTTCCTAATCTGGAGCTGATGCAAATGTTCAGCCTGTCTCTCGAGATGATCTCATTGGCGCACGCGGCATAATCCAAGGCCGATAAGCGTTGGCCATAGCGCGCTGGAGGCTTCAGGACTCGGCCGCGAACAACATCATGTGCTCAAGCCTAATAAGTCCTTCCATCATCCGCGCCCTATCACTCGCTTCTCAATCGAGCACTACCTATCATTGAGCCTGCCCCAATCCGTTGGAGGAAGCCGCAAGGTTAGCTTGGCTCTGAAAAGTGACATTCGCGTCTGCCAGGTACGTCACGCATGGCTCCTTTCATCATGCCGCAGGCTACCTAGAGATTCGTACCACGAAGTTGGTTGGCAACGCTTTTGCTTTCGCCATATCAACCGCGTGTCATTACTGTCATATACGTCCCAATCGCTACTTGTTCTGACCATGCAGGCGACGCGCGCCAGACCGATGATCAACATCGCGAAGGTGAGCGACTGGCTCACCCGCAACGCAAATGAACAGCTCTATCCGCGCCTCTTGTGAGCACTGCATCATCTCCCGTGCTTCAAAGCGCTAATGTCTTAGTCTGATGTCGCCTAATGGAACATTGCTCGCTTATTCAACACCAGTGGACATTAAAGAACTGCGCGATCAAGCAGCTCTGATCTCAATAGCATGGAAAGAGCACTGTCAAGGTCGCCAAAAGCCCCCCTCACCCAACCAACGCAAGGAATCTACTCGAAGCGAGAATTCCGTGGGATCCGCTTCAGCCCCGTCATTGCAGCCTGCATTAAGGACTCTGACCATTCAATCCCGGGACTGTAACATTCTGGTCCGCCTATTACAGCCAGAGTTGCTACTTGTCCTGGTCGGAAATATCCCCCCAAGAAAGAACCAATCCTTCAAAATCAACGCAGAAGGCTTCGGCGATCCGCGCTACCCTTCAATCGAAAGCACTCCATCCCGACCTGGTTCCAGCTCAAACTTCCTCCAAGGCGATGCCGCCATAGACTCCGGCAAAAGAAAAGCCCCCTCCATCATGAGCAACATGAGCCAGCGCGACCGGGACATCCGCCAAGGCGTCCTGCACGTGCAACGTAAGCGCCTCGACGCGCTCTCAGACTACGCGTTACGCGATTTCGAAAGCACAGGATTCATCATGCCAGCCGACTCTGATCTGCAATAGCACGTGGACCCGTCATCGCTGGCTAATGCGAATCAAATCGCGGCTTCTAGGTTTTATGAGCCGGGGCTTAAGACGCCCGGGTTGTCTGGGGAACATGCAGATGTTCTAAGGCATGTACGCGAGACCATGACCGAGACGAGGACTGCGAAGGGGAAAGAGCCTATGAGGGTAGCTGTGCCGAGGAAGCAGACAAGATCGGAGCCGCTGGGACCCGAATATGCGCCGGAGGCGTGAGAAAGACCACTGGACGGATTTCCACAGCGTCAACGAGCATGTTGGAAAGGGTTGTATTATGAGGATGCTCGTACTAGCGTCCACCGAACTGGGAGCGACTATATTGTACGGTGGGGAGCGCCTTACATATTGTTCAGGTGGTGTATTTCTCCTTGCACATTCACACTTAGATATACTCTACAGAATACCAAACATATCATGTCATACGAGGCTGACGGTCACACTTTTCCAACTCAGACACAAGTTTTATTCTTGCGCTGCATGCACTACTCAGCGCATGTGCATGCATCTCACACCTCCTTCACTCTCGTGCTTCTTGGAAATCTCGTGCTTCTTGGAAATCTTCCTCCCTCGCTTTTGAATCTGTAACTGCCATCTCATCCCACAACACCTCTATACACCCGTCCCACATCTCACTCTCACGTAGTTACAAATACGCGACATTTTAATCCTTGTTCTTACCGCCCTCTGCGTGTCCGTCAGCGAAGATGGCAGCCTGCACATTCCTGCATAGGTATCTCCAGGACGCATGTGTTGAGTTTCGATACACAGCCCTACGACTCAGCAGGCATGACGTCGCAGAAGAGAGACGATGAGTCTGTCGTGAAGTTATGGATAGGATACTTAGTTCAGGTGATGAAACACAGTGAACGTTGGCGTGGATCAAGGTTTCGTCGTGCATGTCGAACCACGTCAAAATCGTGCCACGCCCTAACGATTCGAGGGCACACAGACTAGAACACTCAGAGAATGTCATTACAAAGCAAAGTGTGCAGCACGACAGAGTGTTTGAGACCAGATGGAATTCTACATCAGCCCCGGGATATCTCTCACATTTTGCCTTCCTTCCATGAATCTTTTTAAATCGTAACGTCACATCTCCCCATCTAAGCACGGCTCATATTCGCACCCTCCTCGGCCTTCTGCAGCCCATACTTCTTGAGCCTAATGCTCTGGATCGCAATGAAGCCCGTGGTATCCATTGGGCTGAAGTTATCCAGCGTGTCCATACTCGCCTCCTCCTCCGAGTACAGCTTCTCCGTCTGACTCGAGCGGCCCAGCACATACGCATTGCCCTTGTACAGCTTCATGCGCACCTCGCCGTTGACGCGGCGCTGGCTGAACACCAGGCTGTTCTCGATGAACTCGCGCTCGGGGCTGAAGTACATGCCGTTGTACAGCTGGTAGCTCCAGTTATGCGAGACGAATTGGTCGCGCAGGTTGCGCACTTGGGCGTCCATGACGAGGCCCTCGAGGTCGAGATGTGCGAGGCGCAGGATGGTCATGGCGGGCGAGTCGTAGCAGCCGCGGGATTTGAGGCCGATGAAGCGGTTCTCGACAATGTCGATGCGCCCAATGCCGTGGGTGAAGCCGAGCTTGTTGAGCGCGACGAAGAGCTCGACTGAGTCGGTGTAGGTCTTCTCTGGGGTCACGACTTTGACGGGAATGCCCTTGTCGAAGTGTACGGTGATGTCGGTGGGCTCGTTGGGAGCGTTGAGGGGCGAGTCGGTCATGGTCCACATGTCGTCTGGAGGAGACACGTCGGGGTCCTCGAGGATGCCTGCGAGGGTTAGCTCAGCTCAATTAGAAGATATTGGACGTCGTACCAGCCTCATAACTGCAGTGAGCCAGGTTGGCGTCCATGGACCATGGCTTCGCCTTGGTGGATGTGACTGGGATGCCATGCTTCTCGGCATAGTCCAACAGATCCTGCCTGCCCTTGAAGCGGTCGCAGAACTCTGGCAGCCTCCATGGCGCAATGACCTTGATGGTAGGCTGAAGTGTGTAGAATGCAAGCTCGAAGCGAACCTGGTCGTTGCCCTTGCCGGTGCAGCCGTGGGAGACGAAGCCGCAGCCTTCTTGTTGGGCAACGCGGATCTGTGCGCGGGCGATGACTGGACGAGCCAAGCTGGTTCCGAGCAGGTATCTGCCCTCGTATGAGGCATTGCATTGTACAGCGCGGAAGCAGAGCTCCTCGACGAATTCCTTCTGCAGGTCGAGAATGACCATCTTCAGCGCACCAATCTTGAGCGCCTTCTTCTCGACCTCATCCCAAGGCTCTTCCTGGCCAACGTTGGCAAGGAAGCACACGACCTCATAACCTTCCTCTGTGGAAGTGTCAGCTGGTGGCCAGTAGCTGTATACTGGAAGCTATCTTACCGATGAGCCATTTCAGGATCGTGGAGGTATCAAGACCGCCTATGAGTCAGGTCAGTATATGTTGTTTGAGACGGTGCATTGTTGAGTTTGACAATGTGGAGGGCATTGATGGGTAAAGTCATACCAGAGTAGGCCAAACAGACGCGTCCCTTGCTCATGATTGTGATTGAGAATGCAGTGAAGGTATTGTGAGGAGTCAATGGTAAGAGTGAAAGCGGGCGCGGGGAATGTGCGGAGGGAGCGGTATGATAAGGTTACGATAAACAAATTTATGAGGGCCCAAGCTCTGCGGGCCGATCATCGGTAGCGTTCAGCCCTGCATTATGACGCGGAACGAAAATTTAGCTCGACAGCCGTCCAGGGGAAATTTCAGAGTCACCAGCTGGACGGAAAAGAGGAGTTGTTCTTGATTGACTATACACGCACGCTACCTCTCCAGAATACGCATACGCCGACTCATGCAATAGTCATAGCTTTCCACCAAACGCCATGCATGTACGCAGACCAAAGGATATGTGAGCCAAAATGTACAGTATGAATCATGTCTGAAGGCTATCATATCCAAATCGCAATGACTATGCGGCCACTGAAGTATAATGACATGTGGGTATACAAAGAAACAAGGACACTGATGTTGTCGAACTTTAGAAGGCTCCGCCTGCGACTCTTTCGCGCTCGTAGAAGACAATATAAGCCTTCTCGTTCTGCAACCTATGCTGAGAGGCGAGGTTCGCAGGCTCGAACTCCGTGATCTTATCATCGTTGAACGAGCGCCAAGTGCCCTTGGCTTTATCCTTGACGAATGCGATGTAGTGGCCGCTGCCGAGCGTTGCGCCAATGTGCCAGATGACGGCGTATGCGTTGTAGATGAAAGGCCCATTCATGTGTGGATCGGCCTTGATCCCAGCCAACTGTGAATGCCCATCACGAGCGTTGTTCGCGATGAACTCCTCCTCCTTTGGCGTCATGGGAGGCTCGATGAAGGGCCCCATGTCGAGAGATTGGAGGGGAAATTCGACGGGAGTCCTAATCTTCCGCGCGCTCTCGGTTCGCGATGCACTGAACCGCTTGAAATGGACGACAAGTGTGTCAGGAGCTCGCGTTAGTGTAATCTTCTTGACGGCTTCGCGATCTTTCTTGCACTGAGGGCAGCGCCAAAGTTCATCGCCAGCTAGGCGCTCCGCCGCGCAGTAAGACTGTAGGCAATCGCGCAAGCTGCAAGCTTCGACGTTCGGTATTTCCAAGCTCAAGCTCCAGAAAGCTTCATACGTGGTGCTTGTCACGCCACAAGTCTGACAAGTGAGCTGTGACGCGTGTTGCCCAGCAAACATGCCTCCAATGACCGACATGTCGCGGTGCTGGTAACGTCCCCATTCGATCTTGGCAGCGTACTGGCGCGGGAACTGTTCTCGTTGTATTTCCTGAGCATCTGTCAAGGGTCGGAGAGGCGCCTTGTTCCAGGTCACATTTAGGTCTTCGTGCATGTAGTCGAGGACAAATTCAAGAAACTCTTTGGCATCTTGTTGCTGGTCGATACCCCACTGGGAGTTGAAATGGCCACATATCCGCTGATGTCTGTTAGCTCAGAAAATATGGGCAAGATCGAAAGTGACTTACCCTGAAGGTGCTTGGTCGCACCGAGCTGACATCGCCCTTGAACAAGTTTGACACCAACGTTGCGTAAGCCTCAGGCAGGATACCCTTGGTTCCCTTCCAGTTGTCTCTTTGCAGTTCCCTCTGATAACGCCCACTCAGGAATAAATCCGAAAGCAACAAGTGGCCACTAAGACACTGTACCACCGAATTCATGTAGCAGGTCACTCCAAAGTTCAAAAGCCCAGTCTTGTGCATCCTAACGTTAGTGAAGCTAGGCTGCGAGAGATAGACAGGAGGCTGACTACCACGACCCTGTGGTGCCACTTGGCGCTCATGTACGCCACCATAGCTGACTCTAGGTACCGATGGGGCTGGCCGTGATGGCGCAACCGGTATGGCTGGTTGAACATAGTGATTCCCAGAAGGTGGCCTCGACAGCGGGTACATCATCGACTGTTCCACTTCAACATCGGGGTACCGACGCAAGAACTCCTCAGTGGTTCGGTAGAACGGAGCAGGCGGCTCTTCCTGCTCTTCTGGTGCTTCTGGCTGCTCAACGGCAGTTCTTCCCTTACGAGCTTCTTCTAGCCATTGTTGCTCCTCTTCTTCGTCCATTGGGACATATTGTCTTCTTGACCGCCGCTGATTGCCATTGACGACATAGCTTGCGGCCGGGGATCGTCCTATTGCTCTTGCTCTTGTCTTCCCGCTTGCAACTAGGGCCGAGGTGGTGGACATCTTCAAAGCTTGCGGCCCAACAATGTCTATCCAAGCATCCAGACCACCCTTGAGGAAGACCGGAGGCCTGCTCAGAGGTTTGTCTGCATTGAACTCATGTAGGGTGTCGTAGAGACACTTGAGGGCTCTTTCGGAAGCATTCCGCGCATGCCTGCCGAGGAAATCGGCGTTGCTGGTGTTGTCGTCGTAGTACACAATCACGTCGTATTCGTGCCGTCGGTCAAACATGGCGACTTCTTCATCTGGGGAGATGACCAAACGCTCTTGCAACTGGTCGGCGGAATTTCCTTCTTGCAAAGTTTCCGGCTCGATGCACATGATCTGGCTGGCGAAGATGTGTCCAGAGTCAAAGGCAGCCCGGTCGCGCACATCGATGAGAAGCATCTTGTACATGCGGATGTAGTCATACAGCTTTTCAGCATCGACTTCAAGCTCCACGGTTTTGCTGACAGATCCTTTCCTTCCCTGCTGTTCACGCGGGGCCTGCTGAGCTGGGAAGTACGAGCCAGAGACACCGTTCGCGTTGGGCGCGTGGTTCGAAATGCTCGATGCAGCAATCGAATTGCTCCGCCCTCCGGTGCCATTCATGCTCCTTGGCGTGCTTCGTGGCGGGTTTATGCTGGATGGATTCGATATGTTCCGGGCGGGGCTGTAAGTAGGGCTTGGCTCTTTTGGCAATGAGGCAGCGTACTGTGTGTTGAGTGTAGGCATGTTGAGCGGGGGTGGAGCCATATCGCGTGGCCCCATGGGGCGACTCGTTGAATGGAAATCTGCGGGAGATGGCATCTTCACAGACAGATCTTGGCTCGAGCGAGCAGATCCGGTGTCAACGCCCCGTAAGTTGGCGAAGCGCGCAGTGAGGTCGCTGAGGCCATTGATGGACGCAGAGCTCTGATGCACAGCTCGGCCGTGAAGATTCTGGGGTTTCGGCTGTATTGCAGGTTTCTGGCGAGGTGAGGCAGGTAGTCCAAAGCTTGGCAGAGCAGTGGGCACATCGGGAAGCATCAGCTCGTCGTCCCTTCTTGAGAAGCTGGAGCTACTCGGCGACTCGGACCGCGTCAGCGATGTCGTGGACGCTGACCTGCTGTGTAGGGCGCCATTCCGCAGGTTGTCGTTCTTGATGATCTCCTTGATACGCACGAAGCGCTCCTCATTGGACTTGATGTCCTTGACCAGATCCCGGAATTCGCGATGGGTCTGGCTGCGGCTGCTCTCGATCTGGTCGTAGTAGTCGCGATGTCGGGGGATCAGCTCGACGAGGATCTGGTATGCTACAAGGTATTCCCAGTATGCGCCCGCAATGGGACTCCGGCTACTCAGCAGTATCTTGGCCCCGTTGAAGTGTTTGCGTCCCTGTTCGAGCAGGTGCTTGATCTGCCGAATGTTAGTCACCGCTAGCTGCCGGTATCTCCATAGTCGACTGCACACACCGAATGATGCTTCAGCGCCTCCACCGTCTCGGATGCAGAGGCAACGATCTCAGCAATAGGCGGGTACGAGCCACTGGCGCCTCGCGGGCCTCCTGCCCCATCGCTGCCTCTGGAGCCATCTGCACCGTTGCTGTGGGCACCATTCGAGTAGCCGTTCATGGCGCGGGCGGGGGTGGATGGGTGAGTCCTGAGGGGGCGGCAAGAGAGCTGCTGCACTCGTTACCGCACTCTAAGCACAGAGCGGGTGGCGCATAGTCGTAGGAAAGGGTGGCAGTGCGGCGACGTCGGGTACTCGTGTGTGTTTCGTATGTCCTGTGGGGCCCGATATCACTGCGCGCATGAAGTGGGCGATGGTGTCGTGGGAGAAGGTGATTATGCGGTGGAGAGCACACTATGCGCGACCAAGGTTTCTCTCTCTGGGAATGCTCGCAGGTTGTCGAGGAGGGTGAGGGAAGCGGTTGGGTCGCAATTGGGACGGCTGTTGGCATCTCTACAGGGTTCACGCATCATGCCCACGAGCCGCCGCGGCGATGACGCCTCACGCACGGACTTCACCCGTCGTCGGCTCTGGAGTGGCTTGGTAGCTCACCATCACCTCGACAAGCACGCCGCCAGACAGACTGCAACAATCTCGACGCCACAGGAGAAGCTGCACAGACGCAATCTTCACATCAAGCACCCACTGGAACGGACACACCATCGACACTCATTCAGACAAACCCCAACGACACCATGGCGGGCTGGTTCGGGTCCTCCACCAACAGCGCCTTCGATGAGCAGATCGAGCGCGCTACGTCCTCGAGCTTGTATGTATTTCATGGCACATACTCCCAGCTGGGGCATAGAAAACTGACCACATGCAGAGAGGACATGCCCCTCAACCTCGAGATATCCGACGTTATTCGATCCAAGACGGTGCAGCCTAAAGATGCCATGAAATCGCTCAAGAAGAGGATAGGCCACAAAAACCCCAACGTCCAGCTAGCGACGCTGAATGTAGGAAAACTACACCTCTTGTCTTCATACACAGCTACTGACAAGCTTCGCAGCTCACAGACACGTGCGTGAAGAACGGCGGCGCACACTTCATCCAAGAGATAGCTTCGCGCGAGTTCATGGACAATCTGACGTCGTTACTAAAAGCGCCGTCGACAATCGCGCCGAACAACGATGTCAAGAACAAGATGCTGGAGCTGATACAATCATGGGCCACTGCTGCGGAGGGTCGGATGAACCTAGGCTACATCAACGAGGTGTACCGGAGTCTGCAGCGAGAGGGCTACCACTTCCCGCCAAAAGAGAACATTGCAAGCAGCATGCTGGACAGTAGTGCTGTGAGTCTCCGCTCCCCCTCACTCTACATTAAATGCTGACCGTGTAGCCTCCCGAATGGACCGACTCCGACGTCTGCATGCGCTGCCGGACCGCCTTCACCTTCACGAACCGCAAGCACCACTGCCGTAACTGCGGAAACGTCTTTTGCGGCGCCTGCTCGAGCAAGACCATACCGCTACCACACCTCGGTATCATGGAGCCTGTGCGCGTCGACGATGGTTGCCACGAGAAACTGACGATACGCTCACGAGGGGCCCCGGTCCCAAGGCCGTTCGATACACCAAAACCACACAAGACGCTATACCAAGGCGCCATGGAGCCCCGAAGTGCGCGCGTAGACGACAGCTTCGATGCGGACCTGAAGCGCGCCCTGGAAATGAGCTTGGAGGACGCAAAGGGAACTGGCTCATCGGGCTTCGTATCACAATCGCAATTGCAGTCGAAACCGAAGCCTAGCACCAACGGCTCATCGAGGAAGGAGCCCCAAGAAGAGGAGGATCCGGATCTTGCAGCTGCCATTGCGGCCTCACTTGCGGATATGGAAGAGCAAAAGAAGAAGTATACGACTACGTTCAAGCAGCAGACTGCTAGCTCGAGTGCAGCAGCGCCATTTGTAGCGCCCAAGAACGATTACGAGCTGACCCCAGTCGAAGCCGAGAATATCAACCTGTTTTCTACCCTCGTAGACCGCTTACAACACCAACCGCCAGGCACTATTCTGCGAGAACCACAGATACAGGAGCTGTATGAGAGCATTGGCAAGCTACGGCCGAAGCTTGCGCGAACTTATGGCGAGACAATGAGCAAGCATGGTCAGTTGTCTTTATATATCCACCCAAGAACATCCACTGACCTACATAGATACACTACTTGATCTCCATGCCAAGCTCTCTTCTGTCGTCCGATACTACGACCGCATGCTCGAGGAGCGTCTCTCGAGCACCTATAACCAAGCTGGTGCCATGTACGGTCTCCCTGCTCCTACGCAGCGCCCTGCGTCCAACCTATACCCCAGCATACAATCCGGCGCCCCTAGTGGTGCGGGCGAGAATTACTATACGGGTAATGCATCACAATCGGATCCATACGGTCGCCCGCAATCGCATTATGCAGGAGGTTACCAAAGCACATCACAGCAGCCCTATCGAACCCCTGGACAGTCCCAAGAGCAATATCCTCCGGCGCAACAACCGTCGCAACCGTACCCGAATCTATCCCAACAAGCACCACCCAGCAGCAACTACCAGCAATCATCACCGCAACTCCAGCGCCAAGAAGCCCCGAACCAACAATACCCTCCTCAGCAAGCCTACCCCTCGCAAGCACCGCCCTCTACGGTGTCAGACGCAGAGAGCGCAAACTACTACTACGGCGATAACACCCAAGGCCAACCCTCACAACCACCCATGCAGCGCTCGCAAAGCTTCGCTTCACAACCGGCGCAACAACAACCGCCTTCGCCGCAAATGTACAACCACGCACCGCCTCAGCAGACGCCTCTTTCCCCACCTGCATACCAGAACCCATCATATCCAAGTCAACAACAAACCGCGCCGCCCCCTCAGCAACAAGCACCGCCCCAGCAAGCTCCTCCTCCCCCGCAGCAGCAGCAATGGCAACAACCCGCACAGACTCAGACCCAGGCGTGGCAGCCTGCGCCGTACGCGGCGGGTGGCTACGGCCCCGAGAGTTTCCCGAGCGCGCCGCAGAATCAATTGCCGCCGCAGCAGCAGAAGGTGGTGGATGAGCCGCTGATTGATTTGTAGCATGAAATATGAAAGCGCAAATGGGGTGAGGGAGGACGAGGAGTGTGTGAAAGGCATGTAGGCATGATACGAAATAGAAAAGATGAAATGATACCTTATTCACTCCCGCTTCCGCCGCGATCACTTTGAATGAGTGTAGACTGATGATATGAATGTTCACTTTCTATTCACATATACACCTGTTCCCTATTCCTGTTCTTGTTTCATATAGACCGTGCATATCCATGTTTCTGTGCCTTTTTTTTTTCTCTTTCTCCCCCATCTTCATGTATGTGTGTATAAGCAAAAAGATAAGATAGGCATGTTTGAAAAAAAGATAGTGCCGCACAAGGGGCAAAGGGGGAATATAACAACAACACCGGGAAGCGAATGATGGGATGATGGAATGAATACGCCCCCCCCCCCGCAAATAAAACTCCGAGTACAGCTGAGGTACTATGCCGCATGATTTATAAATGTAATGGTGGAACGCCGGGAAAGCAAATGTGTGGGGGCGGGATGGCGGCGCCCTGGAGATGGTCATGTTTGCGTGTATCGAGAGGTCCGTGACTGCAACGGCATGTGTCCCGCCTGATGATATGTGGAGTTCCAGGCGCGAGGCAGATAGTCACGCCCCTGAATGTTGCACGGCCTTGCGGTGAGCTGGACCTGAGTTCACTCGGGTCCAGCATTCCTTGCGACACGGCAACCTTTTCAGCCACCGGAGTCTGTGCCGAGACAGCCGCAAAAGGGGGGGGGGACAGACGAAGCGAGCAGCTTGACGCCGCGCTCATACTAGTTCGGGCCAGTGGTTGTATGGCATCAAAGTAGGACCGTCCCACTTCTCGCCATACGGATTGGTGCGCTCGCCGGCGAAGAAGCCGTCTTGCGCGTGTTCGAGGACAGCAATCCACGATGAGGGTTCGGGATGCTTGAGCCACTGCGAGCGGTGTTAGCGTGATGCTCACGTTTTGGTTGGGAAGAAGTGGGGCAGGGCGGACGCCACATGCGCCGTTAAGGGCTAGCGCCGGTGGCTTTTGCGGGGTTGGAAAGCGTGGAAAAACATGTGATGGGCTGCGGGATTCTAAACTTACCTGGTTGTGAATGTGGTATGTCCAGGAGCCACGGAAGAAATTTGAGAGGGTACGGTTGTTGGGAGGGAATTTGTCTTCATCGAGGATGTAGTCGGAGATGACGCCTTCGTTGCGCAGCTGCGTCTCTTCGTCGAGCGAGGCCTGGAACGAGTCGTGAGGATTCTTGTCAGTGTGCTTAGCTGGCTCATCCTCATCGTGGGCTCGCGCCTTGAGTTCTTTTCGCTGAGGCTCCTTGAGATCGATGGTCTCGAGTTGGGGTCCGGAATAGCTCTCCCACTCGTCCTTGATGGCGCCAACTCTGCCCTTGAAGACGGCACCATAGTCGCGGAGACACGGCACGGTGCATCTGCCTTCACGGTCCCAGTTAAACTCAGTCCAGATAGGGTCGAATGCGGCAGTCTCGAACATCTTGAACTCTTGATCACGACCGTCTTTCCATGCCATGCGTCCCAGCACTCGCGGGTGGAAGTTGACACCCATGCGAATACCGCCAAACAGCAGGTACGAAGAGAGGGAGGAATTGGCGGAGAGCGACATGATAGCGGTGTTGTACTCGCCAGGGTGCGGGTGTGCACCCCATCGCTCGGCAAAGGCGTGGTCCTTGGGCAGGAGAAGGGGGCGCATGTCCCTGAGCATGAGTACGTCCATGTCGAAGTAGGCACCGCCGTAGATGTGCAGCACAATGAATCGTACAGCGTCCGAGACTGCAACGGGCAGGAAGGTCATCTGCTTGGGCGTGAGAACGAGACCACTGCTGGCCTTCCTTGTCCTCGATGATGTTATCGGCCACAGCCTTCTCTCCAAGTGCATTGGGGGCACCAGGCTTGCTCCAGTATCCAAAGCCAGTCTTCGCGTCCACGTCCTTGGGCATTGGGATGCGACTGGGGAACTTCCAAGGCATAACAACGATGTCACCGCGCTCGACCAAGTGCATGAAACGAGCGAATAGAGAGTCCTTGTTGAGCATGTTTTCAACAGCGTTGGGGTTGCGGTCGCTGTCAAGCCATAGCCAGAGGCGCGAGCAGGCCAGGTTTTGTGTGTACAGGTAGCTCTTGATGAAGACCTCGACTCGCCATGTCGCGGGACCGGTCCAGTATACGTGGTAAGGGATGATGGGACCAGGGCAGGTGCCAATTTCGTTGCCATGCGCTGCAACGGCGTCCTTGACTGGAACATAGCTTGTCGATGTCTTGTTCTTTTGGTCTGCATTTACAAAGTCGGCTTGGCGGGGATCCTGTCGGCTTGCTCGGTCGGCCTCCGCAGGCAGGTGGTAGTAGCGGCCCTCCTCCTCGGCGAAGAACTGCAGACAGTCGTACGGCTTCCTCATCTTCTCCAGGCCTTCATAAGTGCCCCTGCACTCCTCAATCAGCATCATCAGATCCGCCTCGGTGTCTACGTGTGGCCGCGGTCCTAGGTAGTCGTCCTTGATTTTGACGGCGGTGGTAGGCCGGTTGAAGACGTTGGCGTGGGGGTTGATGGTGACGGGGTTGGAGGTGCCTGCAAACTTGACCTGGATGCCTGACTTTGTGGTCTTGATCAGCTCAGTCGGGCCAGCTTTGTCCAGGAACGCGGGAATGCCAATTTTCCCTCTTGCAGCGACGCTTGGGTCGCTCACCAGGTTTATTATGCCAAAGATGGCGGCGTATAGGAGTGCGGCGAGGGTGAGGTTCTTCAGCAGCGTGAAGACTGCGCGGGCTCTTGATCCCTCGGCCATGTTGTTGGATTAGGGGCTGGACCCCGCCGTGTTATTGCGAATGTGCCAGGTTTGAGCGTTGTATAGTGGGAGTGAGAGGAGGGTGGGCGTTCGCAGAAATGTCGAGGGAAGTCGCTACTGGTGTAAAAGAGCGTGGACGCGGTTCGAGGGTCTCGTGGTAGGCGGTTGTGCAAATTAAGTGTCGCTCATGGGCTATGCGATGTTGCGCATGCACTGTGGGATCCTGGCACTGCGTTCGTCGTCGTGCGGGTTTGGTTGGGGTTGAGGCAGTGCTCGTTTGCAGTAGTGGGCGGCCTGAGTATCGCCGCAGCCAAGTGATCTGGGATGAAGGACCGAGGAGAGGAGCACCAAGGATTATTATCTATCTCCGTACTCGAGCAAGCGGTCCAGCAGCGAAAGGAAAGAAAACGACGAAGAAGCGAAGAACCAAAGAACCAGAAGCAGTGCAATGTCGAAGCGAGACGGAATCGGGATGCGCCTGGAGGAGCTACTTCTGGCCCAGAGCGTTAGTGTAGACTAATTTCCCTGACGCACGCCCCCAAAGGCCCCTGAACAAGTCCGACGCTCGAAAATCCAGAATGCCGTGTGGTAGCGCACCGTACTCCACACCAACACCCCAAATGCCGTCTTCTTTCGCACCCTGATGTGCCGTAACACGGTTGCACTATCCTGTGACGCTGCTGACGATTGCTCCCCCCAACGCCTTGGCGATCCAAACAACACGGCGCGCCATCAACACCATCGCAACCCTCACCAAGACCGACCGTCGCCATCGTCGCTAGTGGAGACGCTGTAAATGCCGCTACTTGTGCGTGCGAGGGCCGTCACTGCTCGTCCAATCCCGGCGCACTGTACTCCACGTTACTACGCACCCTGGAGACGTTTATTATCCGCTGTCACCAGCCCACCACGCGAGCAAGTCAGCGTTTCATGCAGATCGAGCGGGCACATCACCATCGAGTAAGTTTGCCCTTTCACAGCAACACAATGCATCGTTCTGCCCGACGCCTTGTACGTCTCATGTACGATGATCTCACAGCGCGGTGCCTTGCTCGCCATGTCCCCCACTTGACCCTGTTCGTCTCTCATCGCGTGCACCACGTGCATCACCACACAGCCCAACGATCTCGTCCAAGGTCTGCCCGCAATGGCAGGCCTAATTGACTGTGATGCATGCACATTCGTAGTCTCGTTGCGTCGGCTCGTCCTTGTACACCAGTAGTGCACTTCGTGCAATGAATCGAGATGCAACTTCCTGCATTACTCGACTGCCAACACCGCTGACAGACTTGGTACAGTATTTTCCGTGCCTCCTCTTCCTCATCGTCTGTCATTGTCTATCTTCCGCCTGGGCCTGTACTGCCTGGCTGTAACAATGAAGAAGAGCGGGTGATCTCAATGCTGAGCGAGACGGCATGCTGCTACTATCGCTCGCATCAACTACCGTGCATCATCCAGAGTTCCAATTCCCGACGCCATTCCATGATGTACTCTTTGGCTGGGATTGGATTCGAGAGAATCTACTTCTTGACAAGTTCGATCGACCATACTTGGCGCGGCTGGGTGTGTGTGGGGAGCTCATCGGTGGCTCCCTGGCGACGATGCTGGCCTTGACCGAGTGTCGTCTTGGAGAAACTCGAATTGCTGCTGCTGCTGTAAACAATCCCATCGCAGACTGGGTCTTCCCAGATGAGCTCCCAGCCGTTGATCCTTCTGAGCTTCCAGAACCCATGGCCCCTGATGAGACGTCATTCCAAGCCGACGGTGATATTATGGAGCTGTCTCCGGTTCTGGCAGAGAAGAAGCGTGGCCGCAAGCCTGGGAAGAAAACTGCAAAGACTTCTATCCTGACTGCGTGGGAGCGGTACGGTGACAACAAGGTGATACCCTCGTTGACGCTGTCCGCGGAACGCGACGTCCTTTTCCGCAGACCGCAGGACTATCTCGACCGCTTTGCCGCGCCAATACACTTCTTCCGGTCGCCACATGCGCAATTATTGATGCCTCAACAGGATGACATGTTTGCATCCCATCAGCCCGACGAAGATCTCGACTTCGAAGCTCAAATGACCATGGACCACTATAACTCCGTGAATCGCCAGACACCACCACCTCCAGAAGTTCCCATGTTGAGTAGATGTAGAGCCTACGCACGCAACTATCCTGCTGCTGGTTCAAACTTACGTCTCCCAGAATGGAACATCACTACCGGAACTGAAAGTCCGCTGCTCGATCAAGGGGCGGAGCTTGTGAAAGTGCTCAGGCGTAGCACGGCCCGGCACTTGTTGAAGTCTCACGCAGGCCGTACGCGCTGGCATGATGCCGATGAGAAGGCGATATACGAAGAGCATGCGCATGGGAAGGTACTGCACAACGAGCTACCGGGAGTTGGTCTTTGGACTGAGCAGACGAACGATGCCTGGACGAAGGACGTACAGAGTGTTGGCGCATGGATGAAGGAGCGCTTGGAATTGGGAAATGCTTGATCGAAGAGAGACTGATCAACGATACTGCTCGAGTACCGATGATGCGAAGGACTTCAACCCTTCGGTCGGCAGCCCACACTCCCTCATCTCTGCTAGGGCGGCCTCCCGACACATTCGCTCCGGCCATATCACCTCCAACCCAGCGTCTTGCGCCATTCCAAAGACGAAAGAATCCAGCTCGCAAGCTCCATAATGCATCGCCTCCACTCTCACAATCTTGGTACTCGACAGCTCCAACAACGGAATCGTGCCCGGGTCGTTATTGTGCACAAACACGCTCAAACTGTTCGCCCTCTCCCCATACCCCTTCTCCAACACCTCATCCTTCAAAAACGGCAACAGCGCCGGTACCGCACTCCTCGCACCCACCTGCATCGCAACCTCTTCCTTCGCCGGCCGATTATACCACGAATACCTTATCATCCCCGGATGCGGCGGCGCCTCCCTCATCGTCACCCCATACCTCTCATCCCTCCCCGCCTCCCCCTCCACCACCCTCGTCACCAAATCCGACACAAATCGCCCCCTCGCCTCATCCTCCTCCGCCCTCACCACCATAAACTCAAAACACGCCCTACGTCTCGCCTGCACATACATCGGCCACTGCACCCTCGGCCACCCCCTTTCCCACGTCACTTTCCACCCCTCATACCTCTCCGTGCGCATCCCCCCGTCATGTATACTCAGCGGAATCACCCCCATCGCCAACAATCGACCCAGATACGGCCGCTGCGCGTCGTGCCAGATCGCGTGTAGGCTGCGCGATAGCACCCATGCGTTGCGATCCTTCCCCCATTTATTGTCGTAGCTCAGGCGCAGGAGGCCGTATAGCGCGGCCCAGGAATCCGTGCGCCAGGGGAGCAGGTGTTGGGAGAGTGGGTGGGTTGGGGCGCGGGGGCGTAGGCGCGCGAGCAGGGCGAGGAGCGGGATGGAGAAGAGGATGAGGAGGTTTGTTAAGGGGTCGAGCGGGAGGGATAGGTAGGGGAGGGCGGTGGTGGTTGTGGTGGTGTGGATGGTTTTGTTGACGAGGGTGGGGATTGGGTGGGACATTGTTGCGAAGTTGAGGTACAAAGTTGAATGCGAAATCGAAAGAATTGTTATTGAAAATGGTATGTCATCGACTTGTTATTACTCGTGAGGCGGCTTTGTCGTGGTAGTTTGGGGCTTTGTGCAGCGCGCGCCCAATCCGGTGTATGATATGGGAGCGTGGCTCTTTGTTGGGCGTGAAGGGCGGTTGTGGGAGGTTTGTGCGATGCGCTGCGTGCGGGCGTGATTATTGGAGGTGTTATGCTTGTGATAGTCGTATGTTATGACCAAAGGGGTCATCCTCCACTACTGGGTAGAGTGAAGGTGATGGCAGTGAGGAGCGTATGTCACGTGACGCCGCTACGTATCGCCCGACAGTCAATCGCTACCCTCGTTCTTTGATCATCATTGCATAGAGAAGATGCCAAATTGCAAATGTGTTCAATCACTATACACTGTGCTTTCAACTACGCTCATGGCTTTGAAGCGTCAGCCAAGGCAGTGTTTAGGACTGCACTCATCTGATTCAGCTCATCTTTAGGAGCGCATGGAGTTGGTCAATGTTGTGTGCAGTTGAAATATTGAGCCATGCATTGGAGCACCTGAAGGAGACATCGAGGAGTGGCCACCAGAGGTAGTGTATCACCTCATGAGACTGGCCTTGGTGACCATCTACGAACATGAAGCTGTCCAACGCGACCTGATCTGAGAATACCGGCATAATCTAAGGTGGTTTCCGAAGAGCAGTTCGAACGTTATTGTGTGCGATATATCCACAGTGTACACAAGGTACTCCTGCAGGGGGACGGTTGTGGACAGGAGATTTGCTGGGTACTTGTATGGTGTGTATCAAGGGGGTTTGCAGTCCTCGACGTGATGGATGGTCACGCCAAAGATGCAGGAAAGAATGAAGATGAAACGGATCGATTCACTGAAGAAAATCGGAACAACCTGAGAAGCTCGCTAAAATGGTCGTAGAAGAGCAAGCTCGTCATAGAGCAGAGAAGAGATATGTTCACCCGCTGTCAAAACTCGGAGACCTGCATCATCCACTGCCCCTTAAATGACGAAGTATCTTGCTTCAGCGGATTTCTCGAATGAAGAATCTCTAGCACATTGGTCTTGCTATACCTGCAAATCAACCTTCTCGGCATTTCGCAACCGTGACAACACTGGCTGTTGTTGCATGTGACTTGGGAAGTGACTATTAACGAGCATGAAGCTATCCAAAGCACCTTAGCTCGAGAATGCTGACCTCGACTTTGGTAGTTTTTATCCACCTAAGTAAACCATCCGACGCCCACCGCTCCAGGAATCACAGTCCGCTCCACACCGGTTCCGTAATAGTCTTTACAAGCCGACCTTCCTGCAAACGTTTGTCGCAACAGAAAGCCGTCGAAGCTCACGGCTGCCGTTGTTGGTGTCGCAGCGAGGTCTGCTTTCTACACCAAGACCTCGCACGCAGCTATCCGCCTACATTGATCAGCGCCACCCCAGCACATCATGTCCTGTCCTTTCAGCATGACTGTCGGCTGCTAACTCCACTCCTAATGGAACTGCAGATACTTTGTTGCTGGCCCGTCCCGCTTCTGTTATTATTGTCGGAGTGTGGGACTACTTTCTACAGCGAGACCTCGCACGCAGCTATCCGCCTACATTGATCAGCGCCGCCCCTGCACACCATACTCCTGTCGTTTCAGCACGACTGTCAGGTGCTAACTCCACTCCTAATGATGCTGCAGATATTTAGTTGGCGGCCCGTCCCGCCTCTGTTATTAATGTCGGAGTGTGGGACTACTTCCTACACTAGAGGCATCGCGCGAAGTTTCCGCCTATATTGATCGGACCCGCTCTGGCAGATGATCTTCCGTCCTTCTGGTCCAGCTTTCAATTATCAATTCTGCTCCTGATGATGCCATGGAAGCATGGATGCCGGCCCATGTCGCTTCTCTTAATTGTATCGGAGTGTCAGGGCCGGTGCACATTACAGGGATTAACGTAGTGGTCCGCCCACATTGATCCGGACCATGCCAACATCTATCGATGTGTTTTCTTCAAGGAAGAGAATTGGCTGTTGATTCAAATACAGATAGCGACACGGCACACCGTTGCCGGGTGTCAGCGCTGTTATCATTATCTCCGGGTGGGGGGTGGTGTTAGTACGCACTAAGGAAACCACACGAAATCATCCGCACGCATTGATCAGGACAACCCTAACACCTATCATTATAGTTTTTCGATGAAAAGCATCAAATGTACACCTAAGTGACGATAGCGCCACAGATGCACCGTTTCCAGATAAATTCGCGCTCGTTATTGTCTCCGGATAGGGTTTGCCCAGGTGGTGTTAGTACGCACTAAGGAAACCACACGAAATCATCCGCACGCATTGATCAGGACAACCCTAACACCTATCATTGTAGTTTTTCGATGAAAAGCATCAACTATACACCTAAATGACGATAGCGCTATAGATGCACCGTTTCTAGATAAATTCGCGCTCATCATTGTCTCCGGATAGGGCCTGCCCAGGTGGTGTTAGTGCGTACTAAGGAAACTACTCCAAGTCATCCGCTCGCATTGATCAGGTCCATCCTAACGCCGACGAGTCTGACATCTAAACTGATGTCTTGAACGCTGATTCTGTTGATGATAGCGCTGCCATAGCCCAGTCGCTGGCCCACGAACCTGTGGTGCTTCTCTCCGGGTCGATGGGTTTGCGTCAGCACCTTGGGCATGCATACACCAAGACACCCGCCTGCATTGATTGGGTCCACCCTGTCGCCTGTTGGTCCGCGTATCGAGCGAATATCTCATTCAATCCTGCTGATTATAATTCCGCTTCAACATTTAGAAATTTCGCTGATCGCGCAGTTGTTATCGTCGTCGGAGTGACATCGGAGGTCTGCTCACATCGGGAGGTATCGATGCCACCTCACATCATCCGGATGAACAACCCGCTCGCAACATTGCATTATTTACGAATTTCTTGGGTTTATTACATAAACTTTACACGTACGTAGCCGAATTTCAGGGCGCAGCGATAATCACTTGTGATGCTGCGAGTCGGAATCAAATCGGATGGCACGCAGATGATACCTCACCCTGTTAGGCGATCTCGAAGTGCCCCGACACCAACATATTCCCTGTTCAGGTTTGCGAAGCGCCCCTTACGGGAGAAGGCCTTCTTGACCGTGTTGCGATCTGCGAAGCTAAGATGCATCTCGCTTTGCATCTGGTTTTTTACTATGTACCAGTTGAGCTCGAGGAAAATCTCCTTGTTCTGTGCCAGGTCGAACCAAGACGTCTCGCCATCAGCTGCGATGCAGTCCGGCTCAGTGATGATGCCGAGAGTTCGAGAGCCCTTCTGGTCCGCCTTCCTAGCCAAGTTGAGGACGAATTTATTCGCAAGAAGATGATGTATTGGAATTCGATTGCGCAACTTCTTACAGGTTTCTTATTTTGGGGCAATCAGTTGTCCTGCAGCTGCGGTTGCGGCTGCGGATCGGCGTCTGCCTGCTCCTGCTTCTGGTCCATCGAGATCTCCTCACCGCGAATGAGATAATCAATCCCACCATCTCTCGCGTCGGGTCGACGGTTGTGAGCATCTGCACGAAGATGCGAGGTGTTCAAAGCAGGACAATGCGGTCCAGCGCAGCCCAGTGCGCCACCAGGCCCCAGCAAAGTTCCTGTCCGTCTTCACCTAACGACAAGGCGAAGAGATAGCCTAGATATGTTCAAGACTTTATGCACGAGTAGTCAGGATCTCTTAGCGAATTAGATACATTCAGGCTTCTTTATAGATTTCTTAGGACGCCCCTAAAGACTATCGTATCGCTTCGCGCATGTGCGAGCGGACACGAATTATGCCACTGTCTAACGGCACCTCACTCATAGCTATCCATCCGATTTGTCTTGCCCTTCCAACGGCTCGTTGTTCTTACTCCTTTCCTCAGTCCGGATGGCCAGTATTCTGTAGTCAAATGCGTTCACCTGGGGATCCAACTTGACCGTCGTCTTCTGTTTCAATAATTGCAACCATTCCAGCGCCTCGTCGTTTGTTGCACCCAGCGGCACAGGGTATAGCTCAGCCAACGCGACATGACTGACGGCGTGAGACAGTGCGGTAAAACTGAGACCTCTAGCTTTCGATATTGAGTTGTCATCAAGGAATCATGGTTTTCCTCTTGAATATCCAAGCCAGTGACGTTCTGCAAGTGGTTGAGAATGGTATCATCGCCCATAGACGAGCTCCTGCCGTTTGACGACTTCTGAAATCTACCGCCTGGTAGTAGCGCCCACTCGAGGGTCCTGATGCTGCCTCACAAACTGTGAGCCTGATGCAGTAGCACGGTAATCTGCTCTGCCGGCGTTCACGAGTCCCGCCGGAGTGTGAACACCTGGCGACCCTGCGGTCTGGTATTGGTGACCTGATTGCGGATTTTGGATTGTCCATTGGTTCATTAAGATCAGAATTAACAGTTGAATATCGTGCTGAAAGGGTGGAATGTTAGGTGCTGGGGCGGATGCAATCAATGCAATCGGATGCGGTCTCACTCATTGTGCCTTCGTGTTGAAACGAGCTTAGCGCCAATGGCGGCAAGTGACAACATTGAATGTCCGCACGTGTACACCGAACCCCAACAAGCACTTTATAGTAGTAATGTGAGCCGAGTCTCTTGATAATCCTGCCACATGTGGTCTCCCGGCATTCTGGTCACAACAAGTTGGACTTTGCACCGGATGCATTCGCCCGAAGGATACGCCAACGCCCGCCATAGTTGTGTGCCCTCAGCTCGTCGACAAAAGCCATGATAGAGCCCGTGCAATCGAGATTCATATGCCGAACTCAAGAAAATCTCTCATATTGGTGATGCTTTTCACTGGGGGCATTTTATATAGGGTCGGACGGGGCTATGAGCACTGCGCGGACACTGGACCAACGCGACCTACCTAACGCAACTCCGGAAAGGTTTCGAGCATCAAAAATGTATTGCTATATGCAAAAGCCCTGGCGATTACGATTCCAACCTTGCGCGTCTGTCATATCTGATCGTTGGGTGGCTCCTCTATCAATGGGTAATGATATCAATAGAGTCGGAGCATCTGCTCACATTCGTACTCCATGCCCAAGATGCATGACAGGACAACGACAGGAACTTTAGAGTCTCTATTCCTGGCTTCAATGAAAAATTCAACTTATCCTAGGACTGAAAGCGCTCGAGCGAGGACGTGGTTTTACGGACAGGAATCTATTTTGTTTGTAGTGCACACGTCGTCACGTGCTGTCGCGTCGCGCTAATCTGTCGTGCCTTCCATGAGCAGTTGTCACGTCACGGAATTGCAAGTTTCCTTCACTCAACAACTCCAAGTGAGATGACCACGCCCATTTTCGTGCGAATGCTAACGAGTACAGCCATGTCGCACCATATACTGTCGGACGACATGCAACCCTCTCCTGGTCAACATGGCCACCAAACAGAATTCATTTCAGACACCACCAGAACATCTCATACAGTATCTCCACAGAGTATGTGTACTTTTGCCGTTCTTGACCAGAGACCGGGCGGCATGCTCCCTGTACCTATGCACAGGTTTTCTCGGCAGCTTGACGAAAACGAGTATCCTCGGAACAACGACAGGCCTCATCACCCCAACAGTTTCTACATGAGGAATGGCTTGCTGAATCTTGCCGCGGATGAACATCAGTACCCATGCTGGGGCGTCTACGCCCTCACCCCCGGAAATGTCAAGTACATGCGCTGCCCGCACATCCAGGACCCGTCCAAGTATCGCAACAACCACAACCTGCAACAGGCTGTCGTTGATTTCGTCGTTGGCAAACGCGGTGTTACGCACAGAGTCATTCGGAACTTGATGGCCAGTATTGAGCTCACAGGCGTCAACAACATACCTGAAATCCGCATGCCCAGCTTCCCTTCCAGCATTGGTCCCACTCCAGCACAATTGCGTGGAGCACAAGCTAGCCATCCGCCAGGGCCAACTCCACGCGAAGCTTCCAACATGCCTTTACCAGGACCTCCTCCAGTTACAGTTGCGCCTCTAGCTCAAGGCCCAGAATCCAACACCGCTGAAGCCTCTGCGGGCACCAAGACCTGGAAAAACTTCTGGGAAGTCATTGGCAATGACGACAAAGCAAAGTCCGACCATGCACAGAAGAATCCTCCGACAAGAACTCCTCACATGTCTGAGAAACGGAAGTACAACGGCATAACCACAGAGCAAGTCCACGAAAGTGTGCCTCTTCGCCATCAGCCTAGTGTCTACTCAGAAACATCCTCCGCGCCCCCGGCCGCCACAGCAGCACCGTCTGACAATGCTACCCAGCAATCCGGTGGTATCCCAGAAACGTCTTCTCCATCTCCGGCCGCCGCAGCACCCTCAGATGATGATACCCAGCAGTCTGGTGGCATCCCAGTACCAACCTCCGCACCCCCGGCCACAGTAGCACCATCCGAAGGTGTTATTGAGACCCCGGATGAGGCATTTTTTGCATAATTCGTCTTGCATTTAATCTTGTTCCTTTTTCGACGAACGGTCTCCTGCAACGTTCGGTAATGCTTCTTCATTCGATGTTCCTGTCGAGCGTCGCAAGGACGCTCGACTTTCTTACTTTTGACGAGCGGTCATCGGACGCTCGTCTTCGACATACGGTCTCTGAACGTATGGCATGCGCATGTGGTGGATTCTTCAATATAATTACGGAAACCCCTTCTGGGTATGCCGATCTAAATTTAAGAAACTGCCTCTAATCCTCTAATCTGTCTGTATGTGACCCTGCCACATTTCCACTAGTGCCGGCTGCTGCAGTGTGAGAACATTGGTGGCCCAGAATGACGGTCCTGATTGAAGACACTAACCATAGCTGTAGTTTTTCTGGTAAACATTTGGCTTGCACATCCACTATGAAATCACCACCCTCGTCTTCGTGCCGTGACCTGGGTTTGATCGACCACAAATCCATCAAGTTGACACATCCATCGGAACCGCTTCCAAGCATACCAGTGTGTCTTCATCCAGGTTTCGTAGATACGCGCTTAGTGCGTCGAAGCGAGTATGACCGGCCAATGGCGGTGACAATGTTGGTGAATCCTGACACAGAATTACACTGTTAACCAGCGGTCTATAAAGAGCTCTTCGGTCGTGAGAATATCTATCCCTGTATTCGGACTGTTCCTAGTAATGAGTAGCTGCGCTATGCTACATGAACAGACCGTCGATGCGTGCTTTCCATAGTATGTTCATAGCACCCATATCAGCTTTGATTGCTGTCGAATAGAGAATGGGATGGCTGTACTTGTCTAGGACGATGCAGGAAGCGCCTCGATGGATCAGGCGTTCAAGTGTGGGGTGATTGTTGAAGAATTGCATAGAATATCACATTCTCGCCAACAAGTTCAAACATATCTATACCTGCTTTATCGCTGAGTAGCATTTTACAGATATCAAGAAGGTCGCGTTTAGCTACGTACATGAACGCAATGTTTCCTGAGGTGCTTTAGGTCTCCCAGTCAAGACTCCGCCGTCGAGACAGCTGCATAGGGTCGCTCGATGTGATTGCAGCTAGACAACACGATATGAGAGCAGATGTCATATCAGAATGTATTCGAAGATCTGCGGCAGCGGAGAATATGGTCCCACAACACTATCCAGACGTTGTTCGACAACTCAGTGAAGCACAGATCGACCATGTTTGCTAGATATATTCATATCTGCTCTGGTGGCAAGAAGCGCAGTGATCCCACCTTCTTCGGAATAAGCAGCAGCCTAAGGCAGTGGAGTTGCACCCCAGCAAGCTCTACTCATACCGTACCTTGGATTGATTTCGGGCTGTCAAGCTAGATTGGAAGTGCTGTCACGAAGCATACCATCATGAATAGTAGTCATCTCAAGCCCATCGCGGGAAAGCGTGGCCACTAGAATACCGGCATGTGAAATGCTGCGATCAAAAATACCCTGCTATGGTCCCACTGGCACATCTGCATCAGCATCTTGTTAAAAGTGTTGCAACCAACATGGAAAATGTGGCCTAACAACCAAATCCTGTTGGAATGGTCGGGTCCGCACGTTCTTCGAGAAGCATGACATACAGCACGGTTAGCCTCTGCAATGACCATCTGAAGCTATCAGGCCTGATGGCGGAAAGAAGAGTGTAATGCCATATCTCAAGAACTCATCGACGGTAATCACTCCTGTGCCCAAGTGCGAAGTAGTCAAATACTTACACACCCAGCATTCCCGTTTTGGATCCTGTTTCAACAACAGCAGCGTTTTGTAGAGTCTCTCGCAGTCGACTTCATCGATGATCCCTGAGAATCCAAGAGCCTAACACACCATAAAGTGGACCCCATGAGGCTGTGGTCTTAATGCTGGTGAGTAATATCCAAGTGAAAAATAACTACCTAAATCGGACTGAGCATGATCAAAATCTATATTGCCGCATGCTTTGTTTCGCAGGGCCCATGATTCAACAACGGCGTACATGTGAAGTTGACAAAGGTAGCTCGGCATGGAATATCTGGAAAAGTGTTGATGGAACTTTGGCGATCATTCGGCGATACAGCGCGTTCAATGTCACACACGACATCTCAAGTAGCGGTCACAGAGCTTGTAGGTGATTGGACTTAGCCGTCGTGAGCTATGGATATCTGTTGTATAATCATAAGTAACTTTGGCATGATGCGACTTTTTTTTTTGAGACCAGCGGCGGCCAGAGGAAACTTTGAGATACCAACAGCTGTGCGGCATTCAATGCCAGCATCAGGAGCTGCTTGGAAGAGTGTAGCCCTTCTTGTACCGATCTTGTTCTGCTCGAATTTCGCACGTCGCTGCAGTTCCGGTCGATCAAGTCGTGGACTCCATGCTTATTCTGCAGCATCTTCTCTCTCATAGGAGAACAGAAATCGTGAATTTACTTCGTTCCTTGGTTGGTGAACTTCGCTGTTGCGGCGAGCACGTCACGGCTGAAACGATGAAGAGTGGATAGCCGCGAAGACCCACGAGCCTTGGAAGCAATGCATTCGCCAATGCTGCGGTGTTGATGAGAGTGATCACGGCCTTCATTTTTGAGCAATATGACAATTTGGTTGTAGGATGTATCGGATGTAGAGAACAAAAGGGACGGTTCACAGGTGCCTTGGACGAGTTGCCGTGACACAAGGCTGAGTTCAACGACAAGCTCAGTATCTTTGGCGCAGCTGTCATCCTGAAGCAGCCAATACCTGGACTCATACATGCTCTCCATCACCGAGATTGCTGCCCGGTCATGTTACACTGACTTAGGGTGATGCAGTTCTGTCATCGTCGTGAGCTGATTCGTGAAGCTCATAACACCGGTGCTAGGTGTCAATAGCGACTGCGCGCAGGATCTACGCTGCCCAGAAAACATTGTCATTATTTCTGTAGAGCTTCAGTTAGCACATCATGTGTAGCCGGAAGCATTAAAGTACATCTAACGCGTCTCCACATCCAGAAAGCGCAGTCGCATGTTTGACAACGGAAAGGCCATACGAAGATGACTACGGTATACATCAGAGCGTAGGTGGAACGGTGGCATGGTGGAACTCTTCCGGGCGGTGGCGAATGACTGCCCATGTGTCGACAACACGGGCAATTACGCAGTTAGCCGGGAGCATTAAACTAGACTTCATACCCATTTCCAGAACGCGTAAGTATGTGGTCCAAGACGATAGAATTCGATGAAGATGATTCTCCTATGTGGTAAAGCATGGGCGAAAAGGTGGTGTGTTATAACTCTTCCGGAGAGGTGGTTTGTGACTGCCCAGCTGTCGGCGACATGGGAACATAGGTAGATAGCCGGGAGCATTGAACTATACTTCATGCGCATCCCCCGAAAGCGCGACTGTATATTTCAAGACAAGTAGACTCTGCGAAGACAGTCATCTCGTGCAATAAAGTGTAAGTGAACCGGTGGCGTAGTGCCATTCTTCCGGAGTGGTGCCCAGGTGGCTTGTGACTGCCGAAGTGTCAAAAGGCTTGCGACGTTGGCCGGGAGCATTAAACTATATTTTGTGCCCATCCGTAAGAAGCGCAGCTGTGATTGGTAAGATAATCGAGCTCTACGAGTAAAAACATTGAATAGAATAGATTGTAGGTGAAATGGTGGGGCAGTGTAATTGTGGCGGATGTTCGCAGGCAGATGTTGCAGGCACCGTGTCCGTGCACATGGTGAGATGACACCTCCGACACAATTTTGCTCTCCCAACTGTGCAGAATGCATCAAAGCGATAGACGCAATATAGCAGTCATGCTCCGGCGACGTGTATGCAGCAGGAAGATCTGTGGAGTAGGGTATCTGACATGACAGAAACTCATCCGGTCCGGCTGCCGTGCGTGCGGACCTTGGTGGAGACCGCGGGATGTCCTGCGGCACTTCTCCGCCACAACTTTAACAGGCGCAGAGGTCTGTATTGTATTTGTGGTTACATTCCGTGTGTAGCTGAAGTGTCAAGCATTACTGCGATCGCGTTGGTGACAATCTGCATGTACATGAAGTTGACTTTTACTATTCCGGATGACAAGTGTCAGCCAACGCGCTCCACTGTGGAAGCGCACGCTCCGGAAGAAAATTGCTGCAAGCTAGAACTCACACGAGAAAATGTAGTTGCATAGACTTCAAGAGCGATCGCTTCTCGGTCCGACAAACCATCGGTGCGCCCCTTCAAGGCCGAGGTGGGCAAACGTATTCGTGTCGGACAGTGGGTGCGGACGTGTGAATGTCCGACAAAGGCTACCACGAGCACCACATCTACTCAGATAGTATATGTGGAGGTCAAAGGGCATTGCGTTACGAGGATTCACGACGCAAAGCTCGCGCAATGATAGTGGCATATGCAAGACTTGCTTGTGTACCAGGTAAGGTGTCGCGGCCATGGGAATGGGACAGATCTTTGACTCGTAAACATTATCTACTATACTCCAAACATGAAGAATTTGTCACGCATGATAAATGCAAACAATCTTGAAGAGTTGAACGGTTACCTGCCTGTGCTATCTGCTGACTTGTTTACTCGCTACTTCTTCAGACTCCTCAACCACTCACCAGCCTGCTTAGCTGAGTTGACTGCCTCCTTCTGAAAGCCCATCATATGCCCTACAGCCATGATATCATGTGGCGCATGCTTCTCAACCGCCCAAGTCACATCGTTTCCAGCTTTCTTCATGTTCTCCGCCCACTCCTTGTCATCGGCGAACAACATCTCCGCGCCACCAGCGTGAACCCACAATGGCACCTCAGTCTTGAACATCTTGAGCTTGTTGTTGACGTATGGTTGTGATAGCGTCTTGAGACCAGGCAGACCGGCGTATGCGTGCACTCCCCATAGGGTGAATGCAGATGAGAGGTAGTCGGTGGCGTAGTTTGCGTTGTCGTGTACGAAAGAGCAGCTATCGTCAGAAGGGTCGATCCATGGAGACCACAGGAGAGCGGCGGATGGACTGGGGATATCCAGATCAGGGCCGTGCTCGGTGATGTAGCGAACCAAGGCGATGGCGAGATTTCCTCCAGCTGAGTCACCGGAGATCACAATGTCCTTTGGCGAGATGTGGAGGTCGTTGATGAGGTAGAGGTAGGTTGTCAAGCTGTCCACGAGACCCGCCGGGAACGGGTTCGACGTCTTTGAAGCAGGAAGGGTCGAGAGACGGTACTGAGGACACAAGACGTGCGTAGCGCCAGCGTGTTTGAGCAGCTTCTGAGCAAAAGGACCACTGTCCTGTGATCGTCCATCGCCAATCACAAATGCGCCACCGTGAATGTGTAGGATAAGCTTGATGTTGCTCTTGTCGCTGGTAGCGGTGAGTGGCGCAGGGTACCAAGTAGCACCAATTTCTACTGGCTTGACATCAGGGTTGCTTCGCAGTGGTCCTTTGTATTTGTCGTCTTTTGCTGGCTTGATGGTGATCCAACGTTCGCTCTCTTTGCCGGCCGAGAGCGGAAGTGCAGTCTTTACATGTATGGTCGCGACGTGGCTGAGCGCGGAGAAGAAAACGCGGACCATGAGAGCTTGGCGGAATGTCCATTCTGGATGTTGGCGACCATAGCTGGTGAGGTATTTGACCAAGAAGATGGGAAGACGCGCGAGTTCATAACCAATGGCGAGCAAGGCGTAGATGCCCTTGAAAGGTTGCGAATTGACAATTGCCATTGCGTGGTATTGGTCACGGTCACCAGGTGTTAAATTGTGAGAAGTCTGATGTTATATCGTCTTGTGAAGCCCATCTGTGATTTCGCAGATGCCGAGGTTCCATGCCTAGCGCGACACGCTGATCTCATCTCCGCGGGGATACACGCGATCTGATTGGTATCATACATGGTGCAACACTACGCCGCTGCATTCGGTACTTGTCTTCGTGCTAACTGGTCGCAGATACGTCATTACAGTACAGTCAGACAGAACAGAGAAGATGGGAACTTTCGTGTGAGCAAATGGGGAGGTACAACCTCAAGGAAACGGCACCTGGGCAAGAAGGATTGCTGATGTGATCAGCTTGGCAGGTGGTATCGATAAAGTGTAGGAGCCTTATCAGTCAGTGTTCGTTGGGAGTCGCGATATATCGGGCATCTACAGATGCAGGCCCATATCCTGTACCAGCTCCGATTCCGGTGCACACGGAATGTTACCCACCTGGGCACCACTGTCGTCGTTACCTTAAACCCATCATGCGTTCTGCTCGTGACAGCGTCGCCAAATGCAGGGACACATTTTGTTATACCTAAGGAGGAAGGTGGGAAGTTGTTCTCGGTGGGCCGAGAGACTAGATCTGAGCCGAGACCCCAATGTTCCCCATACCCACATCACCCCAGCTTACCCCACTCTGTCAACATGGCTCTCCACAAAACCCTTAAGACCTTCTCGGCCAGACTTCAGTCCCTCATCATACCAAAAGCACACACGATGGATTCCCAACGGCCATTCCCCTTCCAAAAGCTCCCAATTGAAATTCGCCTCATGGTATATGAGTGTCTACCTGTTCAAATCAAACGACATGACTTCAATACCTCTACCAATACGCCTGCATCTTCGAAGGGCCGCTCCTTTACAACTGTTTCCAAATACCTCGATCTCTCCATACTCCTGACCTGTCGTCAAGTTCACGCTGAAGCCAGTGCCATCATTAGAAAGAAAGTGCTCGACATTCTGGAGACACCACCACGCTGGATCATCGACTTGTCGCAGGGTGTCAGCATACACAAAAGCGGTGGTCCCCTCTGGCACATATCACGTTACCTTGCGAGACGCGCGGTCAAAGCTCGCAAAGCCCTCGGCGGTGTGCCGTATCTTGGCACAGGCATGGGTGCCGGAGGTGCACGCTATAATCCCGAAAATGATCCCGATTACGCCAAGCTCGCTCGGATGACAGAGCTGTGGTTCCGAAGTCTTGATCACCAGCGCGCGACGACAGACTCGGTTCCCTCAATTGAGGTTGCGATCAGAGCTCCAAAAGAATGCATCCCAGGTGCCACAGTTGGAACACTTCGGCAGCTCGCTAAGGCCTTATTTGAAGAGCACGGCGGCTTCCGGTTTGTCTTGCGTAGAGTCGCAGAAGACTATCCAATTTGCCAGGAGAGTATAAGTGCACGGGAAACGAAGGCAATCGAGTTTGGACATAACCGCGGCGACGCTGTACGAGCTGTGTTTGGGCCGGGAATAGAGGATGCAGAATTTGAGGAGCAGTGGAGCAATGGCAGTTACTACTAATGCGCAACATGGAGGAATTTGTTGAATTACGTTTTCTGTAGCGATATTTATGACAGCAATAAATGAAGGCATGATCACTTGAGCGACACTACGCTCTGCTTAAACTTAATTCGTCCTTAGAGACTATCTGGCATACGATACACTAGCCTGCATCGCTTTAAAGTTTTGTCAGATCGTGATAAATCTCTAAATATGCCTTAAATACAGACAGCCTTAGCTATCACTGCAACATCCTGTTCACTGTAGTGCGTAAGAACAGGCACGAATTGTTGCGCTACGTGGTGGCTGTCAGGACACAGGTCTGCATCTACTGCGCCAGCATGCCAAAATGGTAACGATGATCGATGAACAATCGATCATGTGTGCAGATTGGTACAAGTCTGTCGCGTGGCCTTAGAACAACCTCGAGGTATTCGCAGCTTTTTCTCGTTGTCCTTCTATTCCATCTTAGGCTGTTGTCGCCGTCTAGCTGCATCAGCTACCTATGGAATCTCTCGTGGCTTCTGCAACTTGAGAGGGAACCTCGAGTTCTGTATCCCCGCACGAACGGTCCAGCACCCTGCAATCCGCACACATTAAGAACATGCAACAGAGGAGACTTACGGATGCCAATTAGCCAGAAAGGAACCGATGAACGGTGGCTATGCTTTGTACCTAAAACTATGATGGTGCACGCTCAGTTGAGGCTGCACTTTTCGTCCGGCCCGTGGCCTTGTGAGATGACACGCTGGTCGTGATCCAGGGACATGCGAACTACCCGGAAGCATTAAACCGTGTCCATCGCCTGTCGCGTGACGTTGAAATTGCATATCAGATGAAAACTAGGTTGCACAATGGTATCTGTCTAATGCAAAGTTGAATCCCTGTTCCTGGATTGTGGTTCAACTCCTGCGGATTACCTAGGCATGATCTTGGTACATGCGAACTACCCGGAAGCATTAACCTATATTCATCGCTCGTCGATTGCTATCAACAAAGCTGGTTCTAGCCGCCCGATTTCTGTTCTTTCCTTGTATCCTCCCCTGCTGTAGCTACTCCTTCACGGTATTTTACCCAGTCATGAATGCCCTGCAGCATCCGAATCCAGTTATATCCTATCACATCTCCAACCTCAAGTAGTTTCTCTACCTTCACATCGCCTCTATTCACTGGCTGCCTCCATTTGTTCAATCGCCACACCTCCTCCGCCCTCCATAATAATGGCTCTGAATCGCCAGCGGTTTTGAGATATTCTCTAGCTTCTGCAACCCTGTCTCGAGTTTGTGGTTCTAACGCTTCCGTCTTATCGTCTCCTGCGCTCTTGAACGGGCCATACAAAATCTCATAAAAATGTTCGTATAACCCGCGCTCGCGAAGCAGCACATCAAGCTGATCTTTAGTTCGACTGTATTCAGCATGCTCAACTGACCCAATAATCTCCCAGTAGTTAGGAACGAGCGGGAACGGCCACTCTTCCACCCATCCGGCTTTCTGCTGCTCAGTAAACCCTAAGTAGCGGTAGTTAGGAGCAAAAGGATCCCTCGAATAGGGCTGCTCTTCCTTGAGTAGATTTGCCGTCGTTGAAGCAGTATCGGTAGGTTGAACAGGCGATGTAGGGCGCGAGCCTTGTGATTCACGAGTTTGATGAGTAGATGACATCATTGTAGTTTTGAATAACTCTACAGTTTGATAGGGTTGTTTGGGAAGGGTCGTTGCAGTAGATGCCGATAGATTTATAGAAGCTGGGTAGGTAAGGAAGCAGAAATAATGAGGAAATAGACTAGCGTTACTACGCCGCAACTATGTTGCGCGTGATAAGCAGGTAATGGACTAGCGTCCAATTCTCGTTTTGGATGCGCCGCCACAAAGCAACCTATCTGCCTCAGACCTACCACTTCTGCATTGGTAACAGGCGGAGCGTAGCCTAGAAGTAGTCTCTAACGTTGCGCCGAGCTGGTAGTGTCCCGGCTTGCTAGGTATATCCTAATGCAGTGGTAGACGCGACAGATCCGCCGTAGTAAAGACAGTGTATTCAGAGGCATATTAGGTTTGCAGCGCAATGCGGGTGGCAGGCAAAGTACTGCTCGCCACAGTCGGAAAGGATGTTAGAATACAACGTTAGTGCAGTGCCGCAATCTTTGCCGCAGCCTTCGCCGCAATGTTTGCTACTATCCTCGCCGCCTCTGTGTTTATAATTATCCTAGGGGCCGGCAAGGCAGTATTGCAGGCACAGATGGACTGCAGTAGCATAGCTCGCTGTGCCTCTATAAAGCAGCCTGTGCCTCTCTCGAGGAGGCGGCGAGGAATTCTTCTCAACCGCAAGAAGCTGACAACTACCAGTTGCTTAAGGGGCGGAGCAGAGGACAACACAAACAACGCTATTGCGATGCTTCAATTCGTCCTAGTGCTGTACGAAGCAAGTCCTAGGCCTGTGGTATATAAGCAGCGTACGACCCCGAACGAGACGACCATCACTACCCCTTCTTCCTTACTAGTGATTTTGCTGATTCTATCCTATCAACTTGCTCCTCTCTTGAAATAGCTAGACACGTACTTGCAGCGGCTATGGTAGTCTTACTGCCATTCGCATCAGCAAAGTGCTATAAAATGGCCCCGCTACGTCGAGCTAGCAATTCGCCCTCGATAGCCTCTCTACTGTGGCAACTATGCTATTAGGTTCGCTTGTTAGCGGTCCAATCTGCGGTATATGTGCGACAGATAAAGCTAATAGTAACAATTGGTACTTTAGTGTTCGAAACACCGGCAAGAATACGGAGATCCTGAGCTCGGGAAGGATTAACGACCACATGATTACCGGCTTCTGCCATAGGTAGCTCTTGCGGATCACCTGCCCATGGTGGGCATGATCTGGGAGCGAATTAAGCGGAAGCATTAAACTATGCCCATGACCCATTGATCGACGATGCAATCGCGCATTCGATGATAACTAGGCTAAACAATAATATCTAACTCATTTGAACTCATGCCTCTGTTCCTTGGGATTAGTGTAACTCTTGCGGGCGCGATGTTGTGCTACTCCGCGCGACCGGTGCATACTACGTCGATAGCCGGAAGAGTAAAAGTACAACTACCACATATGCCGCGAGATTCCGACTGCATATTTGATGACACTTGGTCCTTTGAAGCATGTTGATAATACAGGATAGGATGTGTATGAGATGATGTGGTGGTGCAACTTTTGTGGACGCAATGTTGTGCTAATTCGCGACGGGTGCAGACTAAGACGGTAGCCGGAAGAGTAGAAGTACGACCACCGCCCATCCCCCAATCTTGTGACTGCATGTTTTACGACATACGGACCCCCGAAACACTTTACCACTGCAGAATAGAATCTGTCTGAGACGATGTGATGGCGTATCTCTTGCGGATGCGTGGTTCGCAATTGGCTAGCCTCGGTGATTCCCGAGGTCACTGTTCACTTACCATGGGCAGCCGGAAGCATAACAATATATGTACCGCCCATCTCTCGAGACCATAATCACGTATGTGGAAACAAAAATAGCTTATGAAGATGGCTATCGCACGCAATAGAGCATGGACAAAATGGTGGCATAGCATAACTCTTGCGGGTGCTGGCGATGGGAACCGGCTCAACGATTATCCGATCATAGCTTGGCCTGGAATCACGCAATTCACGCTAGCATCAATTTTTGGTTGCAACCACGCGACAAGCCGCATCTCAAAGCGTATCGCCCGACGGACAGTCCAGAACAGGCCAATCATGACGCCGACAAAGAATTGCGATCTATCACGCCTTCGCCTCGGCACGAGCTTTGCCGATGTCGGTAGATGTGTAGACTCTCACGTTGTGGCCAAACCAATTGTAGACCTTTCACCTCCTCCCTTCGTAAAATCCTGAGGAGACGCCCTGTAGAAGTGACCTCAAAGACCAGTAACTTTACAGGTAGGTCTTGATATCAAGATGCACTTTCAGGACACACAATCTGCCGGCCCGGGCGCCGAGCTGCAGCAAAACAAGAACTTCACCAAAAAGTCTTCGAGCCTACCCTTCGGACAAGATCTCGATCTTAGCTCTATCAGCGGGCCAACCTACCTTACCGCGCAGACACTCGTCCAGCAAGTCGCCTACACCCTTTCGGACAAGATCTTTGCATACTCGGCCGAGTCTTTCGACTTGGATGTCGCAGTGAAGTACTGGCAAGAGAAGGGCGAGAAGAATGCCTTTGGATATGAGACAGGTGTTTCTTCGCTAGAGACGCGCACCGGTGCTGGTGCTCTTGCGCTGGGCTACATTTTCTCCAAGGACTTTGATCTGAAGAAACGCCACATCCCTCAGTCGATTGTCGCGTCTTCTGCCACGCTTCACTACCTCCGCGCCTCGCTCGACCAGCTGTCGCTGCTCTACTCGGTCGCGAACCCGCTTACCGCACACATCGCCGCGGTCGACTACTCTGCGAACTCGAACGCCGGGTTGGTGACTGACTATGTCTCCTCCCTCACATTGGCTGAAGACCTCGGTCTGGGATTAGTCTGCAGTCCTTCAGTCTTTGAGGCTCAACATATGGCACTTTTTGCGACCCTGCTGTCCAGCGTCATCCCTACAATTCATACATACGATGGCATCAGCGTTGGAAGGGAAACCGCACGATTGGTGGATACTCTAGACCAGAGCAGGCTCCATAACAGCTACCAGGCTGTGTTGAAGGCTGTCTCGGAAGTGGACAAGAAGCACTCTGATCATGCCGGACGTACCGTCCGCCTGCTCGAAGCCTTCAACGACGAGTTTGGCGAAGACTACAAGCTCTTCGACTACTATGGCCACCAGGAGCCCGAGAGCGTTCTTGTCGTCTTTGGCACCGTCGAGGCGTCTCTGAGCGCTCAGGTCGCAAACGCCCTGTCCAAGGACGGCGACAAAGTTGGTGTCATCAACGTTCGTGTGTACCGACCCTTCGTGGAAGAGGCCTTCCTCGAGGCCCTCCCCAAGAGCACCAGTCGCATCTCTGTGCTCGGCCAAGTCAAAGACGAAGCTGCCGTATTCGACTCTGCCGAGTTCTCCAAGCTCTACTCTGACGTATTGGCCACAATTCAATTTGCTTTTGACCGAAACATTGAAGTCACTGACGTCAAGTACTCACGCGAGCAAGTCTGGACCCCAAGCAACATCTTGGACGTCTTCAGACAAATCCATGGCGAGAAGACTCAGAGCGAAGTCCGCTCCCACGTCGAGATCTTGAACACTGCGGACGTTAAGCAGTACACTTTCTGGAACCTGGACGAATCACCTGCGTCCACTGCGCCTACTGTGCTTGGAAAACTTTTGTCTTCCGACTCTTCCAAGAATGTCTTCGTGCGCAACGGTCACGACAATCTTGTCCAGGGTGGTGTCTCTCGCACTGACATTCGTAACGCCGACTACACTGTCGAGGCACCCTATGCTGTCGAGCAGGCCGACATAGCGTTTGTTGGTGACGTCAGCATTCTTTCGACCTTCGATGTTCTCAACGGCGTCAAGCCCGACAGCTCTATCATTGTCAAGCTTCCAGGCGTCAAGAATGATGACATTGAGAAGAAGCTCTCGGCAGCCTTCCGCAAGGCACTTGTTGACAAGGATGTCCAGCTATTCATTCTCGACCCTACGCTCTCGGAGGCCGTAGCTGAGGATGTCGCTCTCGAATCTTACTTGACCCAGCTAGCATTCCTCAAGGTCGCTCGCGAGGACCTTCTCTCCTCCGGTCTGTCAAAATTGGCTGCCATTAATGGTAGCTCAGAGATCTTTGAGAAGCTTGCTCAGCAGCTTGAGAGCGCTCTTCGAGAGGTTGAGGTTCCCGCTGCATGGGCAACCGTCGAGGAGGATGTTGAGCCACTTCGTCTTCCTTCTGACATCAACGTCAACAGCTTTGCTCCTTTCGATCGCAACGAGGTTGAGCCTCCCACATTCCTCAAGGACTGGAAGGTTGCCGCCAAGGGCCTTGCGTTCAAGGAGGCTTTCGGCACGGAGACCCTACTACGACCTGACTTGGGCATCAAGACCGCCGTTGTCACTGTCAAGGAACACCGAAGACTTACACCACCCACCTACGACCGTAACATCTTTCACATCGAGTTCGATCTTGGTAACTCAGGTGTCACCTATGCCATTGGCGAAGCCCTTGGCATCCACGCCGAGAACGACAAGGTGCAGGTCGAGGAGTTCATCAAATGGTATGGTCTCAACCCAGAAGAGGTTGTCGAGGTGCCTTCGCGCGACGATCCCAACGTCTTGGTCAACCGCACTGTGTACCAGTCCCTGATGCAGAATGTCGACATCTTCGGTCGCCCACCTAAGCGCTTCTACGAGGCCCTTGCCGAGTTCGCCGACGATGAGCGCGAGAAGCGAGAGCTCCTACAGTTACTCAGTGCCGAGGGCGCAGCGGAGTTCAAGCGCCGGGCCGAAGTCGACACCGTCACCTACGCCGACATTCTTCTCGATTTCCCATCTGCACACCCCTCTTTCCACGATATCGTGCGTATCGTCAGCCCCATGAAGCGTCGCGAGTACTCCATCGCTTCGTCCCAGCACGTGACACCCACCTCGGTTTCCCTGCTGATTGTTACTGTGAACTGGGTCGATCCTAAGGGCCGTGACCGCTTCGGTCAGGCTACACGCTACCTCAACAGCTTGACTGTTGGTACCCCCGTCACCGTCTCGGTCAAGCCGTCTGTCATGAAGTTGCCACCCAAGACCACTGCGCCCATCATCATGGCCGGTCTCGGAACCGGTCTCGCTCCCTTCCGCGCTTTTGTCCAAGAGCGCGCCTACCAAAAGCAACAAGGCCACGAAATTGGCGAAGTGCTTTTGTACATGGGATCGCGTCACCAGCGTGAGGAATATCTCTACGGTGAAGAGTGGGAAGCTTACCAGGACGCTGGCGTTATTACGCTCCTTGGTCGTGCCTTCTCGCGTGACCAGTCGCAGAAGATCTACATCCAGGACCGCATGAGGCAAACTCTTAGCGACATCCGCAGGAGCTATCTCGAGAACGAGGGAACGTTCTACCTGTGTGGACCCACGTGGCCGGTGCCGGATGTCACCAACGTTCTCGAGGAGGCAATCAGCGTGGAGCACAAGGCCAAGCAGCCGAGTGCGAAGAAGGTAGACAGCAGGAAGGAGATTGACAAGCTGAAGGATGAGGGCAGGTATGTGCTTGAGGTTTACTAGATAGCTAGCTAGGGGAGGGACAGGGAGAACGAGATAGACTGGGAAAATGCATGCAGAGATATGTTTCTATGGTACCTGTTACTTTTTTGCTTGTTGCTTGCATCTGATTAATCTATGATCGTAAAACCTTTTGGCGATGTGGCCGTCGTCAAAGGGCGAAGCTCCCTGACAGACGAGCTAACCGGCTTGGGACTGAAAGGGGTCAAAGCTTTAATGCTGCAAACCTCCGAAGTCTGAGACCTTGTCATCGCCAACACATCGACATCATTTAATTTTCCGTTCCCAGCCAGCTGTGTATCTCCATATTCGATGGAATGGTTGTGGTCTTCTAGAGCTCTGTGCGTCTACCTTCGCTTCGACGCGTTGTTGCGGCAGTCATCGCGTCGTCGCGTCGAACACATCCAATGTGCTATGGCAGCGCCGCATTTAGTCACGTAAATATGAGGGTCAAACACCGAATTCCACATCTGCCAGTCGGAAAGTAATTGAAGAGTCGTTAATCTAGCAAACGAGTTCACGCAAGTCTTGAACGGTTTCAGGTAAGACTCCTCATTGGAAGCAAGCATTGGACAAGATAATGCATTTCGGACGCCAAAGGCGTGCATATTGTCAACCAAGAGAAGCGAGTCATTAGAACATAATTTTTGGAATTTCAGCCAAGCTAAATGCGTCCGCATACGTTCAAATCATCCTATCACCGCTTTCCATACAATTTTCCTTGCAAGTCAAGATGTACTACTACGCTCTGTTCACTTCTTTTTGCGCTCTCTCAGACGTGCAGCCTTGAGCTTCGCCAGCTTCAGCTCCAATTCCATGGCCTCCACCTCAGCATCAGCAGCAGCCCTGCTGTCCTCTTGCTCGTCATCATCCTGTTCGCCTATGTCGTTCGAAGAGCCTTCGAAGTCATCAGGGGGAGACTCGCGCTTGATACGAACTTGGCCGCCTTGGTAGGGATTGCCATATGCACCAGGGTCTGAGCCTGGTATGCTCGGAGCCGGAGTCGTCACAAAGTTTGGGGGAGGGTATTGCGACATGTTTCGAGGGTTTGAAGGTGGTTGTGTGCCTTGCCGAGCGTCGTGACCAGGTGGAGGGCCATAGCCACCATAACCGCCATAGCCGCCGCCGCCATATCCTCCGTATCCGTTGTTGAACCCATCTGGACCACCGTAGCCTGGCATGGGACGACCCCAAGGGTCCATTGGCGGACCATAACCGGGCATCGGAGTGCCGTAGCCATACATGCCTGGTTGCGGGTAGGGCGGCTGTGACTGTTGATGCTTGCCTCGCTTAGAAGGAGTCTCGTCGTGCATCTTTGGCTTCTTCGGCTGGTGGCGAGGGTTCGCAGGAGAAGAATACTTGGGCGCCTTTGTGTAGCCGCTCGACTCCAGATACTTGGCAGAAACACCGCCACGACCCTGCATGCCCTCGTCTTCCTCATCCCCTGAGCCATTCTCAGATTGGTTGTCCGTACTGTCATCATCGTTGTCGCTAGCATCTTCGTCGTGGTCCGAGCCAGCCTGTAGGATGTTGTCAATGGTGACATCGTCCTCCTTCCTGATCCTTGCGGTTCACGAGCAGGTGCTTGTAGCGGATCTCAAAGGAGAAGGCGACCTTCCAATCTTTGACGAGCATATCTTCAATGACGTCAAAGTCAGTGGTGAACAAGCTGGGGCTTGCGGTTACCGGTGTGCTTGATGCGGTACCGGACGACGTCGTTCATCGCCTTCTTCAGCCACTTCTTGTCGTCAGTGAGCTTGGCGATCATGAGGATAGCCTTGAGGACCGAGGGTAGCCAGTTTCTAGGATCCGTCTCATGCTCACGATACGAGCGCTTGTTGCCGATGCCCCGCTTAACAAGGGGGCGGTGGCATTTGGGGATGTACGCCTTGATGAAGCCCTGGCCCCAGTAGCCTTGAATCTCCCGGATCACCTCCCTCTTGGCCTTCATGTCGTTCTTCATGATGGGCTTGGCAGCCCATGCACGAGGGCCTGGCTTCTTCTGCTTGCTCAAGCTTTTTGACGAGGACTCAACGGGTTGACGGAGAACGGGACGCTCATGGCTGTGGCTATCGGGGTCACGACGGCGACTAGGCTCAGGGCCTCGAAGGGAAGGGCGCTCACGCAGAACCATACCCTCCTCCCGCTCCTTGGCCCCCTCTCGGGTCTGGCGGCGGACCATAATGGGTTCGTCATCCTCGCTGGATTCGTGGCGGGCACGACCGTCGTTCTGCGGCTGCGCCAGCGAGTCGACGTCGTTGCCGTCATCTTTGGCGGTTAAGAACTCCTGCGAGGCGGAGGGCGGGTGGAAGTTCATGTTGGTCTAGATCCAGTCAGTAACCACGTCACGCATACCTTGCTGTGGGACGGGTAGTCGCCAGCACAGAGAGCGGAAACTGACTGCGAGGAGACCTTCCTGGCGTTTAGCCGGAGGTCGAAGGCCCGAGTTGTCGCTGCGCGCGCCTGGCTGCGCCTCACGTGCAGGTGAGGTGGACTCCAGCTTGATTTTCGGTCCCGGTGCGGGCGTGGGCGAGAGAGATTCAATGCGATAACTGTCGTCGTCCTTGATCGCGCCGAAATCCGGGCTCGAAAGACGTTCAAGGACCTCCGGAGAGTACCAGCGATCCAGATTGATGCTGCGGGCTTGTCAGAATCGGACTGGGAAGGTAAGTGGAAGTCCCAGACTTCGAAGGCCTTCGAACATGCGCGCTTTAATGCGGAGAGCTCAAGAGACGTACGAGCTTCGATGCTGCTTGGTAGCAGGTGTGGTCACAAGAGGAGAAACGATCGTCGGTAGTGGTGGAAAAGAGATAGAAGTGGAGGAGGCTGAGCAGGTGCTATTCATATACCACACTTCATGGACAGCGGACGCTAGCGGCTCCGCTACCGCCTACAACCCACAACTGGGTGCGCCAGAACCCGGAGGTGAGAGAGACGCGTCGGTAGCCTGTGCCTGCCAGGTCTCAAGCCTACTGTGGATTTACAGCTGTGCCCGAGATGCAATGGCCGCTGATACCAGCGCTTGCTGGTATCTGTGTACGGGCGACTGATATGAGTTCAACCTTGCAAGAGGCTAGACCTGTTGCTTCACAATTATAGAGATATGGAATGTTGATTCGATGACCATGAGCTAAGCAGTGGAGACTCTGTAACAGCTTGACTGACAACTACAACTACACACCGCGCTAGGTTCTGGCCTAAGTTGATACATTGGAAAGTCTCGATGACGGCGGTACTTCAGAAGGTAACATCATTCTAATCTCAGAGTGTGGTCTGCCTAGAACATACTGTTGTGATTGTATTAATGAGGTACTTCCGGCAGACGTAAGCACGGCTTATTTGGGAATTGAAGCGAAGTTCACTTATTGCGGCGAAGTCATCTCATTCATCCCATCATCCTTCTATCAACGGAAACTGCCATTCGTTACATCGCTCTGATATTGCTAAATTTTGATCTTATCTCTATACAGGACTGCTTATGACCTCTCCACGACCTAACGAGATTCTTGCAGCACACGCTCCCTGAATTAAAATCCTTCCACTTTTACACCAGGCATCTCTTCGCCCTTAGTGAGCACACTACTCGCTCCTTCTCTATCTAAGATTCCTTTCAATCCAGACGCGAACTTGCCGAGCAACGCCTGCATTCCCCCTTCCTCCTTGTGTACAGAATCTATAAAGCCAGCTACGTATTGCCATCCCGGGTGCTCCTCTACGGACTGTACGTTTCTACGTCCCACAGAGTCAAGCCAAATCTCAATTGCCATATCACCGACTTCATAACACGTAATCCAGAACTCGACATAGTCGAAGAAAAGATGGAACTCCTCATCAGCAAGTGCCTCATGAAATCGATCGAAGTTCCGTGTGAGGAACTCGTAGCTCGAATCACGCTTGGGCTTGCGAGATCTGAACTTCCGCTTGCTCTTTGATGATTTTTCCCTGTACATTGGCGATCGTGGGCTAAGCGGCGATGCAGGAGGAGTTGTGTCGGGAGGCGATCCTGGCGGGCTGCTCAGGGGCGAAAACTTTGGTTGTTCAGACTTCATTTCTGTGGTTCGTGGATCGATATCTAGATCGCTGATGAACAGCTTTCCTAAGTCATCGACACTGAACTCGAGAGAATTAGGCTCACTTCTCCGAGACTCGTCAGAAGGTGGCTTAAGATCCTCCAACAAGCGGTCTAGGGTATCCGAATGACCACTGCAGATGTTTTCCATGACCGCTTCGAGGAGTGGGCTGTCTTTTGGCACTGCAGCATCCTCGATGCTTTCTCCGCCGATCATGGGCAATGAGCCATATGCGTAGCCATGGGCGTTGCCGAGATTGTTTGCCTGCCCGAGAATCTGCTTGTTTCCGTTCCATTGCAAGACGTAATTAGCATAGTCTGTGATGATCATCGAGTACTCATCCCAAGGCCCAAGATGTGACTGCTATATGTACGCACAATGGATGCAGATGCTGAAAAACCGCAGCGCATCAACCGTCACAATTCAAGAAAATGTAAACTTCAAAGCTGTAAATTGAATCTTATAATGAGAGCTTCAGTACGCTGTAATTCTCATTCCTACTGAAACCTCTTCGTGTGACCCAACTTCCGCGTGAGCACGCTGATGTGCAGTGACCGAGATACCTGCATTGTCTGCTAGCAATCAAACGAAAATCTATAGCAAGCTTTACATGGTGTGCTTTTCAAATTTCCCATTTGTAAGTTGCAGCACTTCGTAGAAATTTCAAGACATGATGTAGCACATATTTGATCATTAGAGAAATGAAGTTCTCAGCCATCCGACGTGCCTGAATCTACACAGAGAAGACTGTGTTCGGCGTGTAGTTTGCTGTCTCACACGATGGACTTTGTTCATGGCCAAACACACCAAAACAAGTCTTTCACTAAAACATTGTGAAAGCCTTCTCCAGCACAAGGCCCAAGTTCCCAAGCCGACAGCTGCCTCTCTAATACCCCACAATTATGTCATAAGCTTCCTCTCCTGTACTATCACGCATTTCCCAAGTTGGCTAGACTGCAAGCCCGCACGACGCTCCACACAATAAAGTACCATCGCTCCAGCTCACTTGGTACCTTTTGCTCTCCACCAGCACCGATAGCCAACTCATCTTGTCTACCAGTCAACCAGCTCTCTTCTACCACCTTGCTATCATCAGTGTCATATACTGTGCGAACATTGTCAGGTATACTTCACGATCACCCACCTTGCAACCCTGAACAAGTTGCACTCCTCCCCCACCTGCTCGCACTCAACCACAGTTGCTGCTTGTCCCCTCTGCTCGCTCAAAACCGCCATATACACACAACACATCCAAGCTACCCCGTTAGCAACCATTTCTACTACAAACATCATGGCCCCAAACACCAAGATGTCCAAGCCCAAGGGTCTCAAGGACCACAAGAAGGCCGAGAAGGAGAAAGCCACCGCCAAGCGTGCCGCCGCCGCCGCTGAACAGGCGAAGTCCAAGAAGGGCTCCAAGGTCGAGAAGAAGGTCAAGACCGTGGTTGTCCAGGAGCCTGTCGCGGAGGGCATCGTGCAGCAGGCTGTCACCTCTCCGACCAAGGAGGTCGCTCAGGAGAAGAAGGTCGAGGTCGACGTGATCGCTGAGCCCATTGCCAAGGACACTGTCACCTTGCCAGTCGATGAGGTCTCTCAGGAGAGGCCGGTCATCGCCGTCGTCGTTGATGATCAGGACACCTGTGAGTACAAGTCCGCGATACTCTATTGCACGTCAGTTACTAACACCGCATCAGCTGTGGTCGCTGAGAACATCGACGAGTGCATCTCCGAGAAGATCACTATCCCGACCATCACCGTCGAGGCGCCCTCCGCTATCAACACCATCCCGCAAGTCATTGACGTTGCTGCACCCATCTCCACCGACGAGGATGCGCTCGTTGCCAAGATCACCGCCACCGTGGCTCATCGCAAGAAGCTCGAGGCCGACTTGTACGATGGCATGGAGACGGCTCAGGAGCGCTTCGCCCGTGTCCGTCGTGTCACCTCCGCCACTGTTGAGTACCACTACGACGTGGTGATCGCCGTTGACGATGACGCCGTCTCCGCATGCTCACTTGCAGATGCAGATGAGCTTGAGCGCGCAGTGGATGGCATCGGTATTGAATATGTTACAGTCCACGATGCTGCAGCGTACACCCCTGAGGATGCATCCGCAGATGTGGTCGTTGATGAAGTCACCGGTACCCACGCTGTTAAGTCTGAGCCCGCCAACAAATCCATCACCATGGAGCAGCTCTTTTGCAGTACCGCCACCACTGGCACTTCCACTGTCGGCGCCTCGCGTCCCAAGTCGCCATTGACTCTAGCAGAGGTCGAGGAGATGCAGGCTGAGGCCAAGGCTGCATCTAATTCCTCCAAGTCATCGTCTCTGGACATCAACCAGCTCTTCGCAGCCGACAATGCCGAGCGCGCTATCATCGTCCGCATGCCCAAGGCGGTTGCGGCATCGACCGTCCCTGAGATCACCCAGCTCTTCGCCGCTGAGGGCGCGCCCATCGTTCGTCTCCCCGCTGCAGCTGGAAATTCACCAGTCCGCGCTGCTCGTACATGGGCATTTGTCTTAGCCGGCATGACGTTTGGTTGCATGGACGAAATCGCGGATGATGCGAACCCTGTCGAGCCTGTCATTATAGGCGGTCGCTCGCGTACACCAGTTGACCACAAGTTGATCGAGGCAGTCGTCTTCGGTCGTCCAGACGAGTTTGAGGACGTCTCCTCCGAGGTACCCTTCCCAGCCGTACAGGGAAATGCAAATGACAAGCCTCTTCCGGCTGATCTGCAGCTGGGCTCTGAGAAGCTCATGTCGATGCTAGGTGTCGACGGTCGCGTTCCCACTCCAGCCCCCACCCAGCAGAATGGACAAGAGGGCGCCGACAAGATCATGGCACTCCTCGGCTTCCCTCGTTCGCGCACCGCGTCTGGCAGCTCAGTGCCCACCCCGCCACAGTCCTCTCCGGACATGAATGGCCGTCGGTCCACGCCTAACACCCAGGTGACCGTGACCCCGCCACCCCTCGACAACCACTTGGCCAATTCCGACAGCCACAACTTCTCCAAGAACGACTGCGGCGCTTGGAAGGTCCCTAATATGGGCCCTTCCTCCGGGCCATACAGCTATCAGCAGCCTGGTTTCGGTCCTCGGTACGCCGCCGCTCAGTACGTCGCGCAGCCCTGCTTCCCTGAATATCATCCACATGGACTTCCCGGTTTCAACACCCCTTTCTATGGTCAATGGCAGAACTCTCAGCGCTATGCTCCCTGGTAGGTGGTAAACTGAAGGCACGATGTGTAAGCATGAGCAAAAGCTTCGACATCCGCCATGGATCGTTTTCCTTTCTCTCGGCAGGCTTGGTAGCATCCAGCCTTTCAGTATCATTTTGAACCACTCTCTTGGCGCCATCGCGTAGGTATAGTCAGCTTAGCGAAGCGCTTCTCGGAGCCAGTGGAGCTGAAGACTTGGTCACGTCTGATGGAGTTTGACAAGGTCTATTTCCTGGCTCTTAAATGTTGCGACAACCGGGTCCTGCCATGTCCAGAGCAGGAACTCTGTCGGGTATGTACGGATCTCTATACACACAGAAAATCTTATCAAAACAAAAAAATACAAATATAATACCTTGAACCCACTGTACTACATGAACGACGTGAGGTATCATGCAATGTGACAATTCATCATATCCATCAGATCCTCACATCGCAGAGACGCGCCTGAGTATTGATTCGTACAATTGCAGGTCGCGGTATGGAAAGGCATGTCGCACGCATACAACTGGTGCGACCGCGAGGGACAAGGGTAACCACATGACACGGCCCGGAGGCTCGGAAAAGCCAGTCCTCTGCTTAGGAAGATAAGTGGAATCGCCGAGAGCGGCTTGAGTAACCGAAACAGAAGCACGGAGCGAAAAGACGCGCTGTTTGCGAAACAAAGCGGACGCAAAAGGAGTGTAGACGGCTCCGGGCAGTCGATCAGCATCAACGGGTCCCCACCGTGTCGGCCAATCACATCTCGTCTCACACTAGACGGACAATCTAGCCCCGCACTACTGCCCGTCCACCGCCACCCAAACAGTGAGAAGACGTCTTGATAAGCTTACAGGCGCCCTTTATTCTTCGAAAAACATTGATCAAAGACATAGTCGCACTTCTCACATCCAGCTCAATTGTTTCTTGCCACCAACATGCCTCGATTCCTCAAGCGCATCTTCACCGATAACATCAACCCATTCCGCAGAGAACAAAGCCCACCAGATGAAGTGCAGCGGACACGACGCGTTCTTGTAAGAAGCTCGACGGGCTCAACGCATCGATTGTCGTTCTTCGAGCCGACACTGCATATGCAGGGAAATGCAGCGCCGCGAGATGGCGCCAGCATAGCCGACAGCAGCGTCAACCGGCCAATGCTAGCACCCAGTCTGGCGGATCACGAGCAGTCGATACCAGCACAAAAACACACGCGTGCTCGGAGACGGTTGAGTAAAAGGCAGCGAGCGCCTGCTTGATTATGAGTTCGAGTATGTCGATGAAGTTGTGTGGTGGTTGTGTGGCTTGGCTGACATAAGTAGGAGAAGGTTCGGGTATTTCAATTTATACTACATGGAACGTAACATGTAGGAAATTTTCCAAATCATTGCTTTCCGAGATTATGGAATCTCAGGCGTTTGGTCGGTTTGGATGTTTGCAATCTTGGGGCTACCATACCCAGTCCATACAGGCAGTCACGTGTCATTTTCAATATCAAGTGTCCTACTGACCATCGTGTACCTGCATGCGGTGACGATAAAAGTACTCATATCAAGTATCACACTAATTCGCATGTTCCTTCCGTCGCGAAGTATTGCTGTTCATTTTGCTGCTTGTCGCATTGTTCGTCCGCCCCCGCCAGCACAGCGACAGAATGCATTCTGGGGCTCTATATCGTAGGAAGCAACTCAATGCTCAGCAGAGTGTCTTCCTTGTCCATGAGCAGCCTAATCCGTACCCCCTTTCACCATCAGGTGACCTCCAATCGTCGTCCAGCTTCAGCCTCTTGTCTACAGTAGCCAACACACTCCTCCCCGCCTTCGACGGCACCAAAGCACCCCAATACATCTCGACACACTTTAGATCGCACTTGGTCTCTTCCTTACTGTCGAGCATGAAGCTTGAGATCGCGCTCTTAACTTTCTGTATCTGGTACGTGGCGTACCATTCTGACACATTCGTGCCGTTTTCGAACGATATACGCGCGGTCTTGACGTACGTGGGGAGCGCGGACAACAAGCGGTAGGTGTGAGAATTGGAGGAACCCGGCCACTTCTCCCGGTACATGTCGTAATACTCGTTGGCGCCGAGGATAGAGATCGGGAGACTCAGGTACAGAGGTGAGTCGCATGTGTGCACTTGCCACTGAACGCGAAACGGTGCTGAAGCGACGGACTTGCTGAGACGGATCGTCATCTGCCTTGCGATCTCATTGTCAAATTCGACCTGGACTTGACGACAGACTCGGCGGAAGTATTTGCCTGCGCATGGACATCCTGTAGGCGGAATAAAGGAAGCGTAGATGGCTACGCGCAGCTCGGGAGGCAGGTCCAGAAAGTGCGGTGCGGTCGACGGTCTCGCTCTGCATTCGCTTTCTTGGACGGTAGGCGTGCCCAGAGAGTGCGATACGGTCGGTAGTCTGGTTTCGCACTCGCTTTTCTGGGTTTTGGATGTCACAAATCTTTTTGATATTGTCGCAATGGCTATCGCAGAACTGATAGCAAATGCTGCTGCTATCCTGAATACCAAGGCGACAATAGAGTTGTTGCGCTCTGTTTTCGAGGCATTCGAAGTCATAGCTGTGAAATATGTATGCTGCTGAAGTGTCGCAGGTAAGCGGGTGGTAGGTGGCTGTTGGCGTTGGGTAGGCGCGAGGTAAGTAGAAAATCCACTAACCAGATACAGACTCAAGCAAACGATTACCATCGGGTCTCCAACGAACTCTCGGTCGCGGGCAGAGTGTCAGAGACGACGGCCAACTGGCAGCTCATAAGAGCTTCGTGAAGGTACGTCATCGAGCATCGGCCGGATACCCTGTCTTTGTGTATCGCGCACTGCCATCCTCAGACGTCTGCTCTGGCGCAACTAGAGTGAAATGGCTCATGGCTATCAATGATGCTTTAGGTTACAGCTATCTTGTCGTGTTTAAAGTTCATGAGAAAGCACTGGTTTCTTTACTGCAGATTGTACACATCCCGCGGAAGGCGTCTTTTATTCATGGGTTTGATCTTCTAGCATCTTTCCGTCTTCACCAGCCCGCAAGCCTTCAGTGGAAAGCAAAAATTATGCCTCCCGTCTACTCCTTCTGATTCTCGAAGCAAAATTTGTGATCTCCTAGCCACGTACCATCTGCAGCCGTTGTTGGCCTCTTTCGTATCTCTTGCTCTACCCACAGCCCTGTTTTAAAAGTCTCAGTTTTAACGCAGACTTCACCTTGATAATCTGGTACCGAGGACCAAAGTCCTTCAATTCGGCCTCACCTTCGAATGTGGTGTGAGAAGCCCGCACATGTTCAGGTAGTTCACCGAGGATATTGTCAATCAGCGAGTCGGAAGGGTCAGAAAAAACTCTTCCACCACTTGCTGCAGTATGCGTACATGCAGCAGCGTTCCGCATACCCATAGTGAAGTTGAATTAACCTGTTGCAACATTCGCTCATGTCGGGAGTGCATTGCGGAACGCTCCATGTGGCAGGCGATCGACAGCTATTCACTTCTACGGCGACGTGGCAATGACAAAAACATAAAACAACCACGCATCCCGAAGCAAAAAGACGCCTGAAACCAGCACTCATTCTCCTGCAACTATTCAAACTAGCAAAAAGAACAGATCCACTAAATGCCGTTGTATTGATAGGATAAGTGCTGAAAACTTTCGTTTTATCACGGACTCGAACCCATGGGGGGATAGCGACACTGTGGGTTTGCAGGCGCCGGGCAAATTTCCGACCTGCCAGTATTCCAACTGACAGGATTTGACAAAGAGATCATGAATTGAGAGAGTAATATAGGGCATGTACAAGGTAATGCTAGAGGTGGAGGATAAGCGTGCTTGATTATTGAACCTTTCGAAGTGTTGGAGCACCGAACTACATGATCATAAGCAACTGCCAGCATCAGGTGCTGCGATACTTCGTGCGCGCTCTGTGTGGACTCCAGGCACTATTAGAGAGGAAATTTTACCTTTCACACGAACTTGAGAAGACTCGAGGCCGCACTAATCATCGACTTATCATTAAAATAACCTTAAGGCTAGACAGCCCGACTTCCTTCCACCTGTATAGAGATTGCATTGTTTATATAGTGCGCATGAATTTGCGGCACCTGGCGCCAGAAGGCTCGTTCTCGAACTGACTAATATGGCTGACCAGGAGTGCAGGTGAAATGAAGAAACAATCAAGAGCACAGGTGATATACATACACAATGTCGCCCATTAACTATCATTGCCCATAATCACCTCTGGCATAACTCCAGTCCCATTGTATATACACAATGCCCCTGCTGCCTCGACCTTGTCAATCACCAACATTGTTTATCCTCTCCCCATTGGTCATTCCCTCAAATATCTCTTCCTCTCTCCATTCTACCCCCATCAATTCTCCCGGATCACAACTCTTCCTCCATCACAGTTCTTCCCTTTGACAACTTTCTACTCAAAAAAAAATGTCTCTACTCCCTCAAACCACACAAGACGCTTCTGTCGACCAACTCACCGACCAACTCGCCATAACCTCCATCGCGCACGAAATCAACGGGCAATGGGTGTACTTCCCGCCCGGCACGTCTATCGAAGAGCAACTACTCATCCTCGCCGGCGTGCAAGACTACACACTCAACGGGTCTGCCGAGCAGATATTCTCTACTGCGGAGATGTCTCGCACCACCACCCACACTCCTTCTGATATGGAAGGTTTCGACGCGAAAGGAGCCATGTCCCAGCGTCTGGATATGTTAGAGGATACAGAATTAGCCAGTCTAATGCACACCAACCTCCGCCTCAATGCCCCCTCGCAACCCACTTCCACACCCAAACCCCCTCCCTTCGCCGGCTACCAGGGCTCGTATCCTCCCGGCTCACTCAACGATTGTGGAGAACATGTACACCCAGGCTTTGCGGCAGTGCAACACTCCAGACAATCTCGCCAACGCACCATTACCGATGTGCGATCAGGAGCTCTGGGAGTTGAGTAATTTCATGCAGCGCCAGATTTGGTGGATGATGGCGGATGGGGATTTGAGATGGATGGTCAAGGCGCCCAGAGCGCATCCTTTGTATCCTTATTGGGTGTTGCCGGGGACTGGGGAGCGGTATGCGGAAGCGATGGAGATGTAGGTGGGAAGTGGTGAGTTATACGACTAGTTAACAGATCTGATCGGTCACATGCTAGTAGGGGAAGTTACATTGGGACAACGACGTATATCGCTGGGTCTAACGGCTATGTGCAATTACATCTCGAACATGTAACTTGCCATTTGTAATAATTATCGCTTGTGGATATTCCGTCGTTGTCGGATATGGGTAGACATGAAATCTATCATAGTTCTCTCTCTTAAAGCCCCATTACCGCCCTTTGGTAGCAACGAGCACACAGTGTACACCGCAGACCTTTACTGCTAAGCCACTCGATCGTTGCTCTTGCAGAGTGCACTGGAAAATCTCATGTGCGATGTCCGTCCAATCAACAGCAGACGCGCAACTTCACTTCAACATCACATCCCTCCACACTCAATCCCCAACGCCATATTCAAACAAACGCAATTAAATATTCATATTCATTCTCAACCTAATCCTCCACAGGAAACCCACTTCCCCTTCCCATCTCTAATAATCACTATCATACTCCTCATCATCCTCCCCAAGTAGCGCCGGATACTGTCTACTCCTCAAATCCTGCTCGAGCCCGCCCTCGCTCTCCGGGTCCACATAGCCCTTCCCGCCCAATAAACTTAGCAATACAGGGAGTAAAATGAGCGCGTGCGTCGAGGCCCAGAGAACAAGCGCGACCCATACGCGGAAGTAGTAGATTTCAAAGATCTAGAAAAGGTAGCGGGTTAGTATGGGGGTTAATGGTGGAGGGATGGGGGAGGAGAGGAGGTAACTTACCTTACTACGCGTAAAGGCCAAAGTAGCTACACCAAGGACCTTCGTGATGGTGATGCCGCTGATAACGCTGCTCGCGACATTGACCATGGCGGTCCAGGCGCGCGCGTCCTTGCCGCGGAAGCGATGGCGGGGCGCGCGTTCCATGGTAGCGCGGCTGGGGAACGTGAAAGCGCGGGCGATATGCGCTGTGAACTCGACACTGATACCCACGCAGATGATCAAGTTGACGAGTGACACAGCATTCAACGACACGCCCATGACGGCCATGGAGCCGATGATGGCGGAGACGGTCATGCCGACGACGAGGGTGACGACCAGGGCAGTGGCGAGGCTGCCAAGGAGGATGAATGTGATGACAAGCACGGCCGCGAGCGCGGAGCCGAGTAGTGCGGCGGCAAGACGCACTATGGAGATGTATTGGTCGAAGAAGATGTAGAACTTTGAGTACGGGAAGACTTCGGCTTCGACGTCCTTGGAGATCTCGCGCGAGATGCGGCGTGCGGCAGTGTATGCTGCGATGAAGTCTTCCTGGGAGCGCAGAGGCGTGTGTGAGGTGCGGAAATGCGAGGCGGGAATGGTCAGGTGCTTCGAGTCGATGACCAGGGCATCGGAGTAAGCTGCTTTGCCGCCAATTGGGCACTCTTCGGTGGTAGGAGCATCGATCCATTTCTCGAGGTAGTGTATGAACTCCTCACCTTCCGGCATACCGTGGAGAGTCATGTTCCAGGGTGGCTGGCGATCTTGGAAACATGGCTTGCCCTTTGCGTCGACACAACACTTCTCATTCTGCGGGTTCAACCACAGGAAGAAGTCGTCGAGCCAGTTGGCAGCCGATGCGGAGAGGAACGAGACCTCTGGGCGCTTGCGTTCGGCCTCGATGATGTTCGCCAAACTGCCTTCGTTGCAGACTGCGAAGCGACCACACAGTTCCTTTTGCGGTGCCCTTTCGGTGACGTTGAGATCCTTTGTCACGAAGTAGACTGGTGGGCCAACATCCAGGTACTCGTAGAGATCGTTGAAGTAGGGGATGAGATACGAATCGCTTGGGATAGCAATGCGCTGATCAAGGCCGAGTTCGACTTGTGGGAAGAGTGCAACGCCTAGCGTGAAAATACCGAAGAAGACAGCGATAATGCCGACCTTGGCCTTCTTGCCTAGAATCGCAGGGGCATAGGTCTTCCTGATGAAGCGTTGCAGTGCTCCCTCCTCACCAGCACCGTGACCCATGCCGCCATTCAAATAGCCGGGGTCGGCCTTGGAGACACGAATGCATGGGAAGCAGTCTGCGCGGTTGTTTTCGACACGCTGCTGGTTGAGCGCAAGCACGGCGATGAACATGGTAACCTGCAGCAGTGCGTTAATCAAAACAGCTCCTGCAGCATACGCGGCGAAATTGCGAACAGCAGGCATGCCCACTGCGCAACCCAGAGCGAAGGCCGTGGTCTCAGTGAGGGCGGACAGCAAGATGGACGGACCCATTCGTCCAAGAGCTCGGGACACACGCTCTGGAATAGTGCCTTCAGGATGGCTGATGTTGACACGCTCGAACTCGTGCACAATCAGGAAGATGTTGTCGACACCAACAGCCAATACCAGGAATGGGATGACCTCGGCGATGATCAGGGTGACCTTGATACCGGCAGCAGAGAAGAGACCAACTGAGGCAGAGACTGACATGAGCACGATGATGATGCCAACTATGCCGAGCATGAACTTGGACTGGACTAGAGCGTTGGCGGGATTGCGCAGGATAGAGCGGACAGTGAGTGTCGTCGAGCCAAGAGCCATGGACGCGTACAAGAACATGATGATGTAGCTCACGACAACGATCTTTGCATCGGTATTGGTGCTCTTGTTCAACTCTTGCTCCAAGCTGACTTCGGTGTTGAAGCTCAGCCTCAGTCCTCTGCTCTTTGCGTCTTCGGCGACCAGCTTCAGGTAGTTCTTCATCTCGTTCTCGAATCGCATGGCACGCTCAACTTCGGGAGTACCCTCGGGGTGATTTTGGACGACCCATGTGACAACGAGAGCTTTCGCGTCGAGAACACTGTTGTTAACACCGCCGAACAATAGATGCGGGTCAAGTGGTTGTTGGAATGTCGGCAGGCATCCACTCGGGTTGTCGACACACTCCAGGAGATCGTCTTGCCAGCTGCTGGGCGAAACATTGGCGAAGTCGCCTTGGAAGTATCCAGTGACGGATTGCACGACGCAAGCATCTTCGATAGGCTTGAAGCAGACCTGGTCCAGAGTCACACCGCCATCATATGACTTGAGACGCTGGATCTGGCTTTCGACACCGAACCACCAATCGAGAGTTTCGTAACTCAATACCGGGCCAGAGCCCTCGGCTGTGTCGTTGACCAAAAATGCTTGCTCTGCACGGAAGAAGGGGCCAAACTTCTCATCGAAGAAGACCTTCTCCTGCGCGGCGGCCGAGTCTGGCGAGACCCATAGGCGGACTGGATCTGTCTCGATTTCAAAGCGCATCCAGCCCAAGCTCATTAGACCAACGACTAGAATGCTGGTAAAGATGGTGATGGCAGGGAATCGGGCACAAACGTATCCAAGACGGCTGAACATGCGATCGCACCATGTGTTGATGAAGTAATGCTTGGTAGGTCGGTCTAGCATGCCGACGTTGTGCACAATATCGCCCTCGTCCTCATCATCGCTTGGCTCCAGGTCCTGCAACAAGCGCATGCGCTCGTTCTTGTGTCTCGAGTGGTTCTGGTATGCGACGTGTCCAGCGACGGCGGTGCACAGCAGGCCGAGGAAGAAAGAGTAGACGATGATGACGGCGAACGAGAGGCATGGGAGCAGACCGACGTGGCATTGCTTCACCTCCTGGACCTCGGGCAGCTCGGTGCATGATCCGCCGCAGTCGAGGCAGGCACATCGGTAGAGCTCGTCGGTCGTGTTGCATGGGTAGGCGTGCTTGTTCATAGGGTCCATTTCAGGATAGTCCCCTTCGTCGGGCCTTGGGAAATTGATCTGGAAAGGCGAGCCCAAGAACTTCTTGTCGCCGAGGAACTTGAGGAACTTGGTGTAGTTGTCTGCACCACCGCCGATAAAGTCCATGGCCTTGCTGTTGGTCGCGCCAAACTTGACGTCCTTGCAGCTGTCGTAGAAGGTCGAGCCATAATCGTTCGAAATCAAGTTGTCCAGTTCCGTCACCAGGAACTTGTCTCCCTTCGGCTCTGTGCCTGTAATGTTGATGAATAGCGACTGGTCAGGCGAGCACGTGAAGGTGCAGAACAGGTTGTAGAAATTCTCTTTGCAGGCGGGACAGGAGTTGATGATGGGCGTGGCACGGTCGAGATTCGTCTTCAAGGCGTCGATTTGGTTTCCATCGCAGCACACGTCCAAGTCTTGCCACTGGGCACCGCAAATGTCGACCAGCTTCTTCCTCACGTCCGCGTCTGGTGTCTTCGCCGGGCCGTTATCGGGACATGGCAGCTCAGAGCCAAAGAAGCCCTGCTTGCCGCACTGTCCCCTCATGGCGCATCTGCCCTTCTCGTGTTTGCTTGTAAGGTCTGGTCCCGCCAGAGCCGAGCCCGCCAGGATGGAGAACAACCCCACTGAGATCGTCCTCCATCCTCTAGAGCATTGTTGGACCATGTCGAATATGCGCCGGAGCGCGATGGACTTCGAGTTCGATGCAGTCGGTGCGTGTGCGCGTAAGAAGTCGTCACAGGAGCTATGGCAAACGTCCGTGGTGGACCGAGGCAGCGCGCAAGAGAGCTCCGGAAGCTAACAAGAGGCAGTTTTCAACGGGTGGAAGCTCCGCTATGTGTACAGAACTACTCTTCGAATGTCTTCACGCACCAGGTCGATGTGGTCGATGTGGTCGTGAGAGAGATGTGAGGCGTGCCGCGTGTTAGACAGGCGCTGCACTGTACGTCACTAAAGCGCCCCAGCTTGGCGCGTCAACCCTCGCCGCGGGCCAGGAACAGGGACCGATTCGGTATGATCCTCATCACGCGCCTGCGCCACATCGCCATCGACATCGACTGTCGCATTAGAGCCGCCATCTAGCAATACTTGTTTCTGGTTCCAAGATGCACTCAGTATGCATCCAAATCAACATCACAAGCAAGCAGATATCATCTTCGTAACGAGTAGTCTATTCCGTTTTTCCTACTAATTTCCGTCATAAAGCCGTGGTATCAATATGCCCCAAGCCCTCCATGACCGTGTTTATTCATCATCTGTAGTGTCTTCCGACGGGTATCCTTCAATCCGAGTAAACCAAGAAATCCCCTACTTGCGTAGGTACTGAACAAGCTCAACGAGCTGCGATCGTGTCTCATCTTCGAGCTGCTCCTCTGGCTGGCCGAGCACCTTCTCGAACACGGGCATCAACTGAGGTGTCAGCTGCTGCACCGTGGGGTCGTTGTTCTGGTAGAGCTTGACGATCATGCCAAACACCGGCTTGTTCTCTTCGTAGTCCTCGCGGAGAGGGAGCAGCTGCACAAGACGTGGCAGGACCTCGGCGATGGGGAGCTTGTCCGAGTGCTTGGTGATGAACCTGCTCACACACCCTGCAGTGTTATCGAGCAAGCGCGCCTGGTCTTGCGCTTCAAGAAGAGGCTCAAGCTTGGAGAAGATGGTAGAGAGGTTCTTCAGGATCTCGGCATCGTTGGTTGTCATCTCGCAGAGAAGGCCCATTCCGTACACGGCGTTCGACTTGGACTCGGGGTCCTCATCGGAAAGGCGGTGCAAGAGGAGCTTGAGAAGGCCGGTAGTGTACGGTGTGCAGCCCGCACCCATGTTGCCGACGCACTCAGCAATAGTGCCAACAGCAGCACTACGCTCAGTCGACTCTTGGCTGCTGGCGTACTTCATGATGGGCTTCTCGAACATCTTCCAGAGCTCGGCAAACTGGCCACCAAGAACAACAGAAAGACATGTGACGACCTCCATTGCGGTCTCGATGACTAGCCAGTCGTACTCAGAAGACTCCTCGTCTAGGAGATCCTCATCGGCCTCATCACCAAGATCCTGCTGGCAAGGGTGACGCTTGGTGATCACTGCGAGCAGTTGTTGGCAGATGTCTGGGACCACTGTGCCGTTGTCGGTCATCAAGACAGCGGGCCCGCAGAGCTTCAATGTGGCGGCAATATCACGGTTGATGTCGGTGACGGTGCCCCTGCGGAACGTTAGTATACGGCCTTTGATGTATACAGTAACATTCAAAATGTATTGAGAAGCTCAGAAGTAGATTCGCTTTCACCTCAAGTGCACATTGGCATCGGAGTGAGCTGGGATTAACGACAGTTGTGTCATCTTTGCAAGGGGGTAAAAAGAAAGAGAGGTTCAAAACATACCGATCTTGCTCGTCTTGCCAGATGGACATGGTGGCAGTCATGACGAGGTTGCTGAGCTTCTTCAGATCCGCTGGTGGCTCTACAGCAAGCGGGAGTCCTGGTGTCCACTTTTGCATACCTCCTCCCTCGGCCATGCCGAAAAGGCAGGCGTATGTGCGCCAAAGCGTACCGAGAGCGGCCTTGCGGATACCTTCATACTCGTGCTCGACGAGCTCCAACAGCTTGGTGACCGTGTTCTCGAGGTAAGGCATGTACTCAGCGCGAGTGTGAGTGATAATGTCGCCATAGACCTCTGCGGCAATTTCCTTCTCCATGGCAACAGCTGTGACACCGCCGAGGTCGTCCCACTCGTCATCGTCGTCACCCTCCATAAGAGCCTCGTTGAGATCACTGTCGTCATCGTCGGTAGCAGCCGCAACCTTGATCTTACGACCTTCAATTGTGACCTCGGTGCCGATCAGGTCCTTTGCTTCTTCGCCGAGCTCAACATCAAGACCGGTCTCATCCTGCTCAAGGCAGTCTTGAAGACCCTTGACAGCGCCAGGAAGGTACTTGGCGAACTGCTCCTCGTAGACCTTTGCCATGGTACTCCAAAGAATGTAGCTGGTCTCGCGCAGGCGGGGGTGGTCGAGATGGAGGGCTTCCTCAGATGCTTCCATAAGAGGCAGGACGTAGGGCTCGAAGGGCTGAGCGCCAACGGCAGAAGCGATCTTACCCATGGAGTCGCAAGTGACACCACGAAGGTCAAGCTCGTCTTGGCTGTCCTTAATGCGGACATATGGGGAGAGTTCGGCCATAGTCTGCTCGAAGAAAGGAAGGAAAGCCTGCTCAGCAGCTGATGCGATGGAACCGACAGCTCCAATGGCAGCGCTCTTGACCTTCAGATCCTCGTGGTGGAATAGCTTGCTAAAGCGAGGGATGAGCTCCGGAACATAGCGTCCGGCATCCTCAGGCTCGAGACCCTCAATAAGGGAATCAATAGCGTGGCAGCTGCCACGAATGATCTGCATGTTGTGCTCGTCTTCGGCGTTCTGCACATTGCTGGCAGCAAGATCAAAGTTCTTGATCATAGCAGGGATAAGACGAGCGTGCTCCTTACCGACATCTTCTGCGAGGTCGTCGGCGAGACGGGCTACACCGTTGAGCGCAGCAGCGCGGACTTTGAGCTCGGGGTCCTCGAGGAGGTGGAGAACCATGGGAAGGATTTCGTGGAGCTGGGTCGCAATGAAGTCTGGCGCGCCCTCCACACACATGCCTAGAGCAAGAATACCAGCCTGGCGGTAGTCGGGGTTCTGTGACGAAAAATAGTTGCCAAGATTCTTGAGCAGAGGAATGACCACCTGCGAAGGAGGCAGACTTGAGGCCAGGATATCGAGCAGGCCGAGGGCTGAGCGGGCAGGCGTAACGTCCTCATCTTCGCTGGACATGTCGCCGAGCTCTGTAACGATGTGAAGAGCCTTGAGTGTGAGCTCCTCACCGATCCTCAGAGCCTGAACCTTGAGCTTCCTGTAGCGGACGCACTGCATGAGGAAGGCGAGCGCTTGCGAACGGTAATCCTCCTCAACGTTGGTGGAAGAGGCGAGCTCCAACATGAACTTGATGAGGTCGCCAAAGTGCTTGGCAAGTAGAGCAGATTCGCAGCCAAGGAGGGTCTGGAAAACTTCAAAGGCCTGCATCGCGCGGTCCTCGTCGCCCTCATCGACAGTAGCTTTGAGGACAGTGACCATACCAGGAATAGCTTCCTGGAAAAGAGCAAGGGCCTTGGGGTCCTCCTCAGGCTCCAAGAGCATGGCCAAGCGGCTCAAACCCAACAGGGTGTTGATGCGAACCTCGGCGCTCTCTGGGTCTTGAATGGTGGTCTGGAACAGCTTGTAGAGATCCGCAGACTTGCCGGGGAAGGCATCGCCAGTCGACTCAAGAGTCGTCCAGATGATGTATGTGCCAACCTCCCTGTGTCGCGCAGTTTGGCTGGTGGCAGCCTGGTGAAGGAAGCCAGGCAGGTCAGCCCACTCTCCATCCTCGAAGTCCTGGGAGGCGATTGCGGCAATGACGCGGGCAGCGGAGTGCCTGGTCAGGGTGTGGTCCTCATTTAATGTGAATTGGAATAGCTGGTTGCGGAGAGAGCTCTTCTGGTCCGCAGGCAGGTTGGCCCAATGCTTCGTTACCAGCTTCCTCGCCTCGACGGCAGCGAGCTGGCGCAGCTCTGGCTTCGGATGCTGGCAGAGGATCTGAAGGAGTGCATTGAGAGAGGCAGGCGAGCTGTAGTATTGCTTGTTGAGGGTAGCGGTAGCAGACTTGACACGGTCCGTGTCGGCTGTGTTTTGTTAGTACTGTGCGGCGGGGCGGCTTTGGTTGACTTACGCTGCAGCAGGCCCTCGAGCAGATTTACAAACTCTTGCTCGTCCATGACTTTGCTTTCACAGTGTTTGGAATGTAGAAGCAAGCCACAAACTGATCAGTCGCAGAACAGCGGAATGATCAGAGTTTTTGGCGGGCGAAGAAAGCGAGCTCGAAAAAAAAGTTGAAGTGGGGAAAAGGCTAGCGGAAGGGTCCAAAGGCTAACCGAAAACGGACGACTTGAGAAAAGCCAATCATGTCCATCAGCCGCCGCAAGACAGCATCAGCGGCAGCGCCGTGGTCTGTATAGCTTGCGGGTCGACAGAACCAATTTCTGTTCCACGCGCAGGGATGCGTAGATGCTTTCATCGGATTTGAGGGAACATGCATATCCTCGAGCCCAGAAGCAGCAAAGACGCGCTGTGTGCTGCTAGTTGCTCGTTGTGTCGAGTGACAGATTAGAGTAACAGTGCGTTTAGCCTTCTCAATGGACTGGTGCTGTACGCAGCAATGTAGGGCCAGGATATCTGCCGAGAGCGAGATGATGTAGTCTCCACGAAGTGTGAAGTGTGCAGTGAGATCTTCGAAAGTAGCGACGCGACAGCGTCTGAACTAGACCAACGCAGTCTTCTCGCCAATGACCTTAGACGAGATCGTTGCTACGATCTGATGCATGGTCTTGAAATGGAAGAGACATGATCTAGTGTGTCGGCGAAGAGACTGTTGTCGGAGAGTAGGTTGCTTCGTGGAGGTCGTGCGAGCACGCGTCGCGTTGTCGTATCAGCCATTGAAGAATGCCATTGTCTGAAGATGACAGTTGATGAGCTTCATAATAACCAGAAGCATTGTAGAGGTTAAAGGAGACACGGAGGACAGGTGATGGAAGAACAGATGAAGGGCGTAGAGGCGTGATCTAGCCAGTTATTCCAATAGGCCACTAGTAGCGCGATATGTGTCTGTGCTCATAGCTCAAAAACACAGGCAGGAGCGGCCAACAATCGACCAGCACAAACCTGCCATCGCCATCACAAACGAGGAGGCCCCATACACGCTCTAATTCTACCCGACTTTAGATACTCCCCCACAGTCCCTTTCGCCGATACACCGCGCCACTCGACGTGAATACCTGGCACTTTCTCTGACACATCCGGCCTCCCGACTCTATGGCTTCAGTACGTCCAGCAATTTCATTTGGCTCACATTTCGCCTCCATGTAGCTGTACACTGACAATTCCCAGCAAGCACCCAACCAGCCGCGCCCGTACCCAGGCAACTACCTCCCCAACGGCGGTGCGCCCGCTCCATCAGGTCCCGCGCCCGGAGCTGTCCCGCTCCTCCCCAACCAGGGCCGCGTGATTCAGCAAGGCAGCGTCAGGGTTCTGTGCATTGCTGATGTGCGAGGTGAGACGCGTCGAACGTATTATGATAGATACAATGGACTGATGGATAATAGGAAACCTGCAATCGCTGAACCAGCTCGCCGCAGACGCACGCGCAAACTACATCATCCACACCGGCGACTTTGGCTTCTACGATGACCGCTCGCTCGACCGCATTGCAGAGAAGTGAGTAGCCCCGCATACAAACACACAAGCACATTCACTAATAGGCGCAGGACCCTCAAGCACGTTGCGCAATATTCGCCCCTGCTGACCGACAGTGTCAAGCGTTCCATCGCCCAAGCCCCGCCGCAGCCGCCAATCAAGGAGCGCTTTGCGCGAGAGCACCTGCCGCTTTCAGAACTGCCGCTCTTCCTCAACAAGACATACACATTGAACGTGCCTGTATACACCGTATGGGGAGCATGTGAAGATGTCCAAGTGCTGGAGAAGCTGCGGTCCGGAGAGTACAAGGTCGACAACCTGCACATCATCGACGAGGCCCACTCGCGGCTGCTCGATGTAGGCGGTGTCAAGCTGCGTCTGCTTGGTCTCGGTGGCGCTGTTGTCATGCACAAGCTGTTCGACAATGGCGAGGGCAGGACGACGATTGCCGGCGGCCAGGGTACTATGTGGACAACACTGTTGCAGATGGGAGAGCTTGTGGACACGGCCAACCGCGTATACGACCCTACCGAGACCCGCATCTTTGTCACCCACGCATCGCCCGCCCGTGAAGGTCTGCTCAACCAGCTGTCCGTCACGCTAAAAGCCGACTTCTCCGTTTCCGCAGGTCTTCATTTCCGCTATGGCAGCTCCTACAACGAGTTCAGCGTCAACCCCACACTAGATCACTACCGTGGCAAGCTTGCAGCCTCCAAAGCTTCCTTCAATGACGTGTGGGAGACCGTCAAGACGGAAGTCGAGCCAGCAGTCTCCGACAGCGATTCGCAGCAGCGCCTCCTCGCCCTGGCACTCGACATCGTAAACAAAATGCCTACCGTTGCGAACGGCGGCAACCCCTTCGGTGGCCCAGCTCCTGGTCCCCAGAGCGGCATCATCGATGAGAGTGCTTTCAAGAACATGTGGAACTTCAACTTGGCAGACGCTGCTTACGGCTGGCTTGTCCTCGATATCGACAATGGCAGGATCGGTACCGAGATGAGGGCTCAGGGCTTCAACTTTGCCCACCGTGGTGGCAAGGCCATGCCAGGTCAGGGTAATCAGCCCGCTCAGGCGAACACCAACACTGTTCCCCCAGCGTCTGCTCCTAGCCCAGCTGGCCCATCTCCAGCACAGGGACGTCCCGGTGGGCCCCCTGGCAACGCGCAACAGCCGCGCCCAGCTGTTGCGACTCCTCCAGTACCTCAGCAGATCAAGGCCGCCCAACCTGCGCGGACTGGTCCGTCTCCTGCACCTGCTGTGCCCAAGGATACTTCCAAAGCTGCGACACCTCAGCCCAGCCATAATGCGCCTGCAAATGCCGCTGGCGAGAAGGCTATCCCGAGCGAAGTGAAGCCCAACGGCACTTCTGCGCCTGAGAAGGGCCCGGCTTCACCTGCACCGCGTGAGCATGTCGAGCGTAAGGACAGCAAGGGCCTGTTCATCTCTGGTGTCAAGGACGAGGAAGAGGCAAAGAACCTACTCGCTGAAGAAGACCGGTCGAAGATTGAGAAGATGGAGAAGATCAAGCACTTCTTCGTCGCTCATTTCGCCACCACCACCGATATGCAAGCTGCTCTCCGCCGTGTTGGAGACGAGGTTAGGAATGCCCGTGGTGGACCCGACAAGCCGAGTGTCAAGGTCTACAACGAGCGCGGCCCTGCCAACGGAGGCCAGAGGTACGGAGCTGGCAGCTGGCAGGCAAGCACCCGCGGCGGAGTCCAGAGCGGCGGCTATCGAAGCGGAGGCGCTTCAGACAGCGAAGGTGGACGCGGCGGTCGTGGAGGCCGTGGAGGCGCACCTCGCGGATCTCGGGGCGGCGAGCGTGGCGCACGTGGTACCGGCAGAGGCGGAAGGGGCTCATTCAGAGGCGGAGCGGAAGGTGCACCAGCTGCATCAACCGGGAGGCGAGTCATAGACACCATGATTTCCCTCACCACCCGCCATACCCACCCTCTGATACCCACTTCTTACGAGCTTGCTAATGCTCCGTCTCCATACAGGAGTATCCAGTGTTCCAGAGCTTTCCCAGGCTTGCGCCACTGGACCTGCGGACGACGCAGTAGCTTTCTTATACTTCGTCTTTGGTCATAGCGAGGCGCTCTTTTTCTCCTTTCGGTGACTGAGAGGAGTTTTTTTGATTGGTCAAAAGATGATGGGGGCGTTTTTCATGTCGAGCTGAGCTGAGCTGAGCTGAAGGGGGCTTCGCGGGTTCTGGATCGTAGGGTGATAACCATATGATAGTGGGGGGCTTTTCTCTGCTGGATAATTAGTGTATGTATGTATTAATCGAACAAAGCCATGAAGATTATTCTCGCTGTCACGTGGACTGTGCGTATGAGTATTGTATCATGTGTGGTTTGTAAAATAGAGAACTAACCCCCTTTTTCGTGTCTATCTAAAGTAAGCAACTCAGCTTTCTCATTGACGGCATTTATCCAACGAGTCCATCAGGAATGTAGTAATGTTCTTCATTTCTATGGTTGTCTAGCAGGTCAATAGCATTGACCTGTCATTTTCGTCCAGTCAAGAATCATTGTTCGTGAGTCTTATTTTGCTGTGACATTGGTTCTCACTCCCCACGGCATACAGCGTTGATATCCAAGGTGCATTATACCAGCAGCCCGATAGTCGTGCACGTCAGGTCATCTCCTCTATACATCATCAGCCCAGCGCTCTGCCCCTTCGCCATCGGCGACGGCAATCCAAACGAATCCTCCGTCTTGACCACCGGCCGCTCCTCCTTCGGCTCAGCTTCAGCAGCCTTTCCTTTGACTGGGAAATCGAGTGTCTTGGGGCCGTCCCCGTTCTTCTCGACACTGGCGGATGGCAGCTCGGGAAAGTCGGACGCAGACGGTGGATGTTGATCGCCGCGCTTCTTATGCTCGTTCGGTCTCGATCCATCATGGTCACCACGTCCACCTCTGCCTCCTCTCCCACCCCTTCCACGACCCCGTCCGCGTCCCCCATAATTCTGACTCCCCGCATCTTCCACCTGCTCCACCGACACCGGCGCCTCCGCGTGTCTCGACCCCGCAATCCCGCCATGTGCGCCCCTCGCCGCCCCCCTCCTCTTCTCCTCCCCCGTCCCACTGAACCCCTCCTCCTTCTCGAAATCCCACTCCCTGCCGCCCTGCGCATTTAATTTTCTCAGGCGATTCTTCTCGCGCTCGCCCATCATCTGCTGGCGGTTCTGGCGCTCGGCTTTCTGCTTCTCGGCGAGGACTTTCTTGCGCTCCACGTCTTTTTTCTTGAGGACTGCTTCGCGCGCTTCAAAGTTGGCGAGGTCGGCTTCGGCGCGCGCGTGGGCGGTTTGCAGGGCTTCGTTTTTGGAGCGCATCGAGGCGAGTTTGGCGCTTAGTTGGGCTTCGGTGAGGCGGGTGCGGGCGGGGCCACCCGTCAACGTCCTGTCGCCGCGGACGGAGTGGGTGGGCTTTTCCTTGGGCTCGGTGGGTGCGTCTGGTGTAGCAGAGGCATCGTTGTCTTCTGTGGTGGTGGCTGGTTCTGGCACAGTAGCTGGTGCAGGTGTCGACGCTGCTTCTGCTTCTTTAGCTGCCTTTTCCTGCTCCTTCTCCTTCTTCTCGATTTCTCGAATATCACCCACGTGTCCACCTCCCCCGCCACCGCCACCTCTGCCTCGTCTTGCGCCCCTTCCTCTTCCGCGTCCACGACCTCCTCTTTCAGGATTACGCGGACCTTGGGGTATATGTGGCGCCAAGTGTGCTTGAGGGGCTGTTGGTGGTGCTATGTCTTCTGGTAGGTACTCTGCGTCGATGACTTGCAATTCCAGAGGATTCTGTTCCACCACAGGTTCGGCAATTGGCGTTATGTCATCGTCGAAGAAGAGGTCGTCGGTGCTCGCAGTTTGCGCGAAAGGGTCTATGGACGGGTCATCGTAGGCTGGTTCGTAGGACATGCTGACAGTCTATGCGCGCATTAGTCATGGCCGCGCGAAAAGATATAGTTGATGCAATTCGAGGGAATGTAGAAGCAAGCCAATAACGTACTGGCGCAGTAGTGTATTGTACCGGCGCTGGCCCGGGCGGTGGTTGAGAAGTCGCATTCGCCGTTGTTTCTGGTGGAGTTGATTTTTCTGTGGTTGTTTGGGGCGCCTCTGCCTCTTCCGCCTTTGGAGCCCATCGTGACTTTTGCATGCTAGTAATTTGTAGTGTGTTACGGGATAGTGAACGGTATAGCAGGGATATGTGGTAGCGCGAATGTTGTGTGAAAGAGAGATGGTGTTCGTTAGAGCTATGTGACATGTACGCTATGCCATGTTCGGTTTGGTGTAATCGAGGGGTCGCTGCCCGCTTCAATGTCGAGCATACACAATGCTAGCATTTTGATCAGATAACCTTCACTGCGGACCTTAGAACACGCACAAAATCGTAGATCCAGCATCGACCATATGAGATGCATTCAATGCTATGAATACTGGCGAGGCTCTTTGCCACGCGTCATCGCCTTGAGGTACCTATGATACTTCTGCTCAGCAAAGTCAAATTAGTCCTGGAAAGGCTATACTCTGAAGCAATATCACTCATAAACAGTCATACGGGGAAGGCCCGCTTTGAGACTTGGCAGTAACAAAAGGGATGGTTTCCCCGCATAGTTGCGCGGAACAGCCGGATATCGAGTATTAAGTCCAAGCCTCACATACTTGCTTATAAAGAGCCAGATTCCCTCCATCTGCATTCTTTCTATAAAAACGATTTCGATTGCCTCGATATCGTGGTACATCTATTCTATAACTCCTCTCTGAAACTAGACACAGTCCGGCAGCCTCCCAATCATGAAAGCGGCACAATTCTTTGGTCGGGCCGACATTCGCGTCGTCGACGTGCCGAAGCCAGAAGCAAGAGAAAATGAAGCCGTAGTAGCAGTCGAGTGGTGTGGCATATGTGGTAGCGACCTTAGCGAGTATCAGAAAGGTAATCTGAGTATTTGGGAGGTGTTACATTGATGTAGGAACCCTGCTCATACTTCAGGTCCACTTGCTGTACCACCACCAGAGCGTCCTAATTCGGCAACTGGAGAAGTTCTACCGGTAACCATGGGCCACGAGTTCGCGGGCCGTATCGTGAGCGCGCCCGCGGGATCAGGGCTCGAGCCTGGTTAGCCGGTTATGGTTGACCCACGCATCTACTGTAGCAAGTGCTCGAGGTGCAAGATTGGCAATAATGGATGTTCGACTCTGGGCTTCAAAGGCTACTCTGGCACAGGTGGCGGCTTTTCCGAATTTGTCACTGTCGACGCGAAGCTCTGCTACCCGCTCCCACACGATGTTGACTTGAGTCTGGCAGCACTCATTGAGCCTCTGGCCGTAGCGTAGCATGCCATCTCGGCTTGCGACATCTCAGACTGGTCGAACAAAACTGGTTTGATCCTCGGTGGTGGTCCTATCGGTATCGCCTGCGCCGTAGTTCTACGAGCTCACGGATGCAAGCGAATCCTCGTGTCGGAGCCGAGTTCCGCGCGGGCGGTTCAGAACGATCAGATTGCTGATGCTGTCTTCAACCCCATCAAAGAAAATGTCGGGGAAAGGTGCTGTGAGTTGACAGGTGGTGAAGGTGCCGATGTTGCGTTCGACTGTGCGGGTGCACAGAAGGGCATGGATGCAGCCTTGGATGCTTTGAGGTATCGCGGGCTTTACATGAATGTCGCAGGGTGGTCTACAACAGTGAGTCAACTACCAAGATCCGTATCATGGCTACTAACAAGTCCTAGATGGTCGTCCCCTACATTCATTTCATGTTGAAGGAGATCACGATGAAGTGCGCCCTTGCATACACTGACAACGATTTCAAAGAAACCGTAGATGCCTTTGTTGCAGGTCAGTAGAACCGTACATGGGAAACCTGGCTAACAATGGTACAGGCAAATTCAAAGGCTTCGAGACAACGATTACCTCCCGAATCCACCTTGACGACATCGTACAGGCGGGTTTCGAAGAACTCATACAGCACAAAGATAACCATGTCAAGATTCTGGTAACTTCGGACCGATCGAAGGTGTGAGTCCAGACTCAGGAATCTGGAGTTCCGGGCACGTAATGCTCCATATCGAGATAAGATCTGTGCCTGGAGGCAAGTGCGTGAACGGGAAACGTGCTCAGACCACTAGTACCCTTGTACCGCACCCGCACCCTATCGTCGCCGGGACAAAACAGCCATTCCAGTAACGCGTTTCGGGATCCAGAGCCAACCATGAGCACATGGGAATAGTAGATTTAGACTTGCTGAAAGCAGGCATCAGGTAGTCGCAATATGAATCAAATCAGAAGTGTGGTCGCTGTGCTGCGGTATCTCGGTGCATAATTGAGCGTTCCACCGGAGATGCAGGTGGGAAAGTGCTGTAGTCACTAGTGTAGACTTCGCGCTCGGCCCTTTCCCCTCAGCCCCCTCTCAGGACGGCGACCAACATCATGCACTCTTCCCTTACACCAACCACTGTCCGACTGTCGATTTCAGTGTTGAACAAGATTCACGGGTCCCAACGTTGGCTATCCATCCCGTTATGTGCCAGCACATGGGCAATTCATGTACCATGCCAAGAATCAGGCAACCCGTCGCAATCTGATGATCCTTGCCGGTACAGCCCCGATTCTGATGGTCGCAAACACTGAACAAGAACGGGTGGAACCTTTTCACAGAATGAATCATGTTAGTCGCCGACTAAAGCTTGTCGTGCGGTTACTCCCATGCGACCTAAATTGTTGGTATTCGCAATCCCCTCCGCCGTTCATTGCACGCCTTGCACATCACCATCCTCTACTTTGTGACCCAAAATGACTTCCAGATGCTATGCTCTCGATGGACAACCGTATGCCAATTTCGATCGATATATCCCATGTAATGCGACAGCGGCAGCAAATGGAGAGAACACAGCATGCTGTGCGCCAGGCGATAACTGCCTCTCGAACGGAATGTGCCAAAGCCAACTGGACAACAAGCGCAAGGCGAATATTTTCTGGAGAAACGGATGTACAGACCCCACATGGAACGACCCGGCATGTCCGAAGCACTGTGAAGGACTAGGTAATACGAATCGCAACGACAACAACAGCGGACATTCAACTAACATAATTTAGACGGACCTTTAACACATGGCATATACTACTGTCTGTCAAAAGATTCGTACTGCTGCCCCACTGGGCCAATGAACACCAATACCATCATCAACACCACATGCTGTAACCAACCCGATCTTACTTTCAATGCACCGGATCCAGTCGTCTACACCATCGCGCAGATGAACATTGTTTCAACAGCAATGGTATCCGCACAAGGCATCGCAACAACGGCCTCGGGTTCAATCCCGACATCCGCTGTTCCTTCTTCCTCCAGCGCCCTCACCGCATTCGCCGACCCATCTTCATCTCCATCTTCATCAACAATCCCATTCGCACCATCCGCCTCGCCCGCATCATCATCCAGCAGCGACAATAACATTGGCGTCAAAGTCGGTGTACCACTCGGAATCGCGCTGGCTATCGCGCTAGCGGTCATTGCGTGGTTGGTATTAAAGTTGAGGAGAAAGAATGCGTCACACTATGCGTACAGAGGGCATGGTGGCTTGCCAGAGACAGGCATGGCAGCCAATGGACAATACCCCGCACAAGTGAAGGCGTATGAGGTAGAATCGCCGGCGGCAGAAGCGCCGAATGGGGATTATATGAGAGCGGAGTTGGGGACGGGGAAATGATGATGAAAAGATTATGTTCGAGTGAGCGTTTCTTTGATTCATAGTGTATGATGATAAGTCTTTTCAAAAGCAGAATCCAACTTGTAATCAATATGTTCGCATTGACTCGTTCTCATCTCATACTCCTAACCGCGAACGCATTCCCGTGGTGGTTTTCGCCATATATGCAACTTCCTCGAAGAGACAGGCCGTTGTTGGATGCAGTGAACGAGCTTGGGAACCACATGTTCGATGATGTCATACGCTGCGGGTATCAATCCTGCAGGATTACAACGGCTCGAGCCAGAGATGACATGTCTGACATTCCGATCCGCGGCAATCGATATCCCGTGGAGGAGCGCCACCAACAGACACGCTTGCAGGGGCTGCTCTTCTCTCATTGCGCGACCGTCAATGGGATGGTTGCGTGCTGAAACGCGAACATCCCACCAAGTACATACCCAGGCCTTCTTATAACACTCGGGATGTTGCGTGTGATTCTCGGTGTTCTAAGTGGACGTAGCGATGTAGCATACTTTGGATACGCCGTGATATCTTGCTGTCGACATGGCTAGCTGTCTGGACAGTCTCGGCTGACTTCTTGGTTATTAGGTGGTTCGTAGGATCCTTGTTCGTTGATTGACTGCTTCAATACTGTGAGATGGAATATATCATACCCTCTCAATCGCTTAACTGTGGAATCGGGTTCATGGGTAATCCAACCAAAGCTCCTTGACGCAGCTTGTGCAATATTGGAATTTACGTTGTCCATGACATAAAGACGTGAATGGCAGTCTGCTCTGGAAGCGGCCTCATGGTGGCAGGATTGTCGTTCTGTGTTGTTTATTTAGGGCGGTTTCTATGTCCCGACGGGCCACTCCACAGCCGGATAGTATTGAGCCTAAGCCTATGCTCTTGGGCGTTTAGCAATCGGTGTACTGTCAAACTCGGTAACATGTGGTTCTCGCTTCATTTTGGATAGAGATTAGCACAAGTCGGCTTGCAATGGAATGAGGGCGGTGAAGGTAGCTCCCATCCAGTGGTTGCTATTGACGCGTCCAGGATGCGCTAGAGGTTCACGGATTTGCTTGCAGGCTCCAGATGTCCTTCACGCCAACATCAACCTTCACGATGACTATCGAAGTTCGTGAAATAGCGCTGCACTTCTTTAATAAATCGAGAATGCTTCATTGTACAAGGATAGGGTCAGCAGGCCATAGCATGATGAAATTTGGGAGAAGTTATCTCCACATTTCCACTTTCTATCCGTCTTTACCCGCACATTGAGTGAAGCTATCGCAGCCACTCGCAAGTTCTTAAGCACAGTCAACACCCCAGGGTTCGCCACGTAACTCCCACTCCGCAGGTAGAGAGCCGAGGACAACCCCCTAAATCGACGATGCATCACTGCATAAGCTGTCCCGAATCATCTAGAGGGCATATCCGTGCTTCTCCGCAAGCTATTCGAACGTCAGCTACCATCCCTTTCATCATTAAATTTGCAACGTACCTTGATGCGCTCCGTGTGTGACGGGATCTCGAAGAGAAGCGCGCAGAAGCTGTACTCAAAGTCGGCCTCAGCCTGATTACCGTACTGCGCAAGTCTTGTTAGTGCTAGTCAGTCATCAAGCAGCATGTAAAACTTACAATGAGGTAGGCGAATTGCATGTTCTGAGTTCCCTGCACGGGCGCATTCATCCAGGTCACCTTCATCAGGGTGTTAGGATAAGCCTGATACACGTCCACGACGTCACCACCCTCGCCCCACTCGGTGTTGGTGTTGATGGGAGCAGAAAGTTCCTTGCCGATGTGGCTATGGGTGAAGAGTTCGGGCATGCCCATGTCGGCGATGTCCTCATGGTCCAGATGCTTGCTAATATGATCAACGACAGGACGCACCAAAACCTTCACGCCCAAAGAACGGAAGACCTCGTATGCAACCATGTCGGATCCCTTCAGGACGGACGGGAATACTGACTCAGCGTTCTTGATGGCATGGGCGTATGCGTGGCTGCAGTACTTGCCTAACATTCCTCCTATAAACAGTCAGTATGTAAAGCCCGGATAGGGAAAGGCACTCGTACCCTCGTTCATGAAGTCGGGGTTTGCTAGAGCATCCTTTATCTCCTTGTAAGCTGGCAGCTGCTGAGCATCTAGGGTCTGGCTTAAGCCCGCGATCTCCCCAAGGCCACGACGCATGTAGAGATTGTACGTCAGGGTGATGCGATAACCTGAAGTCACCTCAAGGACTTCGTGCTCACAATCGCTGTAAAATGCAGCCCACTTGATATCGTTACCGGGACCAGACCAGTCAAAGGTCGTAGCCTGGCCCTGATGGCGCACAACGAGCTGGCCGCCTTCATGATCACATGGGAGACAAACCACGAGCGATCCGAACTGAAGCTCTGAGCGCGGGGTGTCGACATGAGCCTTGAAGAACCCAGACGGAGCTTGATAGATCTGTGTTTGTTCAGTGGTGTACAGCCATCATTGGAGTATGGACCACGACTCACGTTGAGCTTATACAACTCGGCTCGAATGCCCTGAACTGAGCTGGGCAGCTTTGGCAGCAAGGTCTGTCCAACGACGTCGATGATACCGGTTGCATACGGGCAGAAGTTGGTGGAGAAAGCAGACGTGTCAAGCTTTGAAGCCTTGCGGTACGACTCATCAATGACATCCTTACCCTGGAGACCGAAGCTGGCTGGTTGAGTTCCTGCCACGAGTTTTGCGATCGGAGAAGGCTCCTTGGTCTTGCTGTCAAAGGCCAAAGGAAGGACGAGCTTCTCGATAGATGTAGTCGAGTCCCAGCGAATAGTGACGGACTCGATCAAGGCTTCCTCGGTGGTGTCTGGCTTGGGAGCGTCTTTGCCATCATGAGTGGTCTCTGTGGCCGACACACCCGGCGGGGAGGTCTTCACAGTACCACCGCAGGCGAAAGTCGAGTTGGAAAGATGCTGGAAGAGCTTTTCGGCAACGTCGGCGGACAACCTGCTCGCCAAGTTCCTGGCGTCCTCGGTGGAGTCGGTAGAGTTGGATGTGTCAGACATTACTGCTGGGGGTATCGGTATGTACCTAGGTATAGCGACAGATTTGACTTGAGAGGCTGGTCGAGGATTGAGAAAGCTTTTGAGAATGGGAATCGGCCTTGAAATAGTAGTGGCGGTATCGCCCATTGGTAGTGACGCTGTGTCACGTGAGGCGCGATTACTGGTTACGGCAGTGGGACAAGTTAAGGCAGCAACGCGCTTTGGTCGCACTAATACAGGCGCCACTAACGAATTAGTACTTTTGAATTCCAAAGCAAGCGATAATTTGACAACAGCAACGAGCTGAAACAAGCTCATGAGCCTACAAAGACTCGCCAGATCGGAGAACGAGTAGCAATCTACGACTGGCAAGACCACACGCGACTACACCGCACACCACAAATCAACAGCAGTCATGAGGTCATTCCTGGTCCCAAAAACACTCTTCATCTATTCAAGCTAATGCACAATATCCGTTACATGCACTCTTGGGACATCCTTGACGTGCCCAAGTAGCAGGAGATCTGGCCCCAGCTCATCGCCGATACCCAGCTCATTGTCGAAGACACCAAAGTCCTTCTATCCACGAACTATTACAACTTCAACCCGGTCAAGATTGATGGGCCACTCGTCGACATCAACCTCGGCATCAACATCAACGGCGATGGCGACGATAGCCATGAGACTTTCGTCCTCAAGCAGAAATGCACCGGCTGGATATGCAAGACAGCATTGAAGCCATATGATTAGGTTGTCACTGCGGTTCTGCTAAGGGCGTGGCACTTGGTGGGTCCTGCTGTCGAAGTCTTGTGAGTGTTAGACCACAATTATCGGGATGATCGGACAGCTGACTGTGTTATCTATAGCGCTTGGGTTGATTGGGAAAAGGGCTGCAAGGTGTTCAAGAAACTTTGGCCTGACGACGAACCGCCTGGCCCTCTTAAGCAGATCATGGCAAAAATATGATCGTCTAGTTGAGGGAATGGCGGCGCCATATATCGGACCTTCAGATTTGGGCGTGATGCGAACATCGATCAAGAAACGATGAATTATGGCAGCACACGGTGCTGGGACATAATGAGATTAGATACGTCGATTGATGTCGCTCGCATGGAAGTTCGACCTGAGAAGCCTGCAAGCCCGTCAAACCGCCCCATGCTAAGATCATAGACTACATCACGGTGCATGGAACTGTATATTTCAATCACTATTGCCTCATTGGCGTGATGTCCTTTTTATTATTCTGATTACTCCAACCAATCCAAGAACAGTCTCAAAGTAGCTTTTCAGGATGCGAATATTGATCCTTCTTCTCTACCTTGCAGCGCTCGCGCATCTTGCAGAACGAGCAGTCCCTACAATGAAGCTGAGCGAATCGCTGAGTTGAATTGATAGGCTCCCAATCTGTGAAGATGCTAGTACGAATCGGCATTGCTACCTTGGTCGCGTCCGGACGTGTCTTTGTCTTCTTCTTTTCCTCTACAACGCCTTTGGAGCTTGCGACCCCGACAAATTGAGTGCCCGGTGATTGTACTGGAACCGAGTCTATCGTCGTGACTTCCGAGGCAGCTTCGTCAGTCTTGTGGAGAGCGGCAATGTATGGGACGGCGACAGCAAAAGTCGGTGTAGACTTCGCGGTAGAGTTGACTGAGGTTGGGTGTCGTACACGGAACGCGGTGGCTGGAGGTGGTAGAGGCATCATACCATTCGTTGCGCGATCGTTTCCGGCGATCCGGGCCCATGTCTTCTGTACTCCTGCTGTCTCTTCCGTTGTAGGTCCAAATGGCAACACATACTCTGGCTCTGGCTCTTGGTCTTCTTCTTCCTCTTCCTCAAAGTCGTCGTATGTAGGGCCCAGTGGCTGACCTTTGGTGCGCACTTCCTGCAGGTAGCGTACCGATCGATGTTTGTTGTACTTCTCAACACGTAGAACGACGCTTTCGAGGCGCACTCCGTCCGTTTGTTGTTGTGCATAGACTGCCTCATCGTGCGTTCGAAAGCCGATCACGACGGTAGTGATGTCGCTGTGGGGGTAGACGTTCTTGAATCTCACTGGCTCGTACTGCTTGTACAAGTCTGGTATGGACCTATGCGCCATATATGCGGGGACATTCTTGACAAATATCAGATGCTCTTCCTTGCCCTTGAACTTGTGGGCTTCTGCACGTGCCATGATTAGAGGGCGTTGTTGTCGAGAGGTTCTGATCTGGTTGAGCGAAGGGTGTAGAGGTCCGAAACTGAGGTTGAGGATCCCAGATATTGGTTTTGGAGGAGTTGTTGGGCGAAAGGAATGCCTGCGTGAAAATTTGTCGGCCGCTCGAAGGTGAAGGTGCGCATTCACTCTTCTTTTTTTGAACCATCTGTGGCCGAGAAAAGTCCCAACGCTTCTCGAACCCGCAGTTCATAGCTTTAATATATAACTGTTAAACAGCACTGCGTATGGAAATGTTGTGGGCGCTATTTGCGTTGTAGTGTGTGTAATTACGGATAGTTCGCGGCTGCCTGCATTAGGGACGGGAACTGCCCAGGTCGTCTCGCTATGTTTCAGCGGCAGCTATTTCAACAGCGGGACACGGCAGGTGAGGTGACACAAAAGATACTAGAGCACTGACATTACACATTGAAAAGTGCGCATACTGAGCAGTGCGCGACGTCACTGGCCAGCCACGTGCGAAGGCGCTCCTGTGAATGCCCGTTTGCTGCATGCTGCTTCTGGCGTCATCGGCCGAATCATGTCATTGCGGTGGAAATGATTCAATTTCAGTGCTCTGAGACAAGCTTGTGCTGGATGTTGACGCTACGAATGAGTCGATTGCGTTTGTGGCTGTGGATGCGAACACCTTTCTATAGAGATTTTGTGGTATCTTGACAGCACCAAAAACAGCCACAGAAATAAAAGTAGATAAGAAATTGAACCTTACGGAGCCCGAAGAAGGTCACCGCTCATAAGTAAACAGCCTCCTCACACGGTAGGTTCTCTTGCTTCTTGGTCGATCACATAATGAATGTTATCAGCGAATGCAGCCAAAAGCCCCCAAAAAGCAATTAACTGCGTGTACAATGCGCATAGCAAGTCTACTGTGAACATTCTCCCGTTCATAAAAAGGCTACGCTTCTCTGCGTGCGTAAGCAAGTCGTCCGAGCTTAGAGCTGAAGTAGTGAGAACATCAGACGATGTGCGAAGCAGTCTAAGCTTGGAGGCGGGGAAGTGTTCTACCAAGCGGTGCACAGTTGGTCGTAGATCTTCGGTCGTGGATCGTATATCCGTCAAGGTCATGGCTGGTTCTGTGATTGGGACAAACCGAAGCGTAATCGTATCGCTGGCTCCTATCCTCAGTGTGAGAAGCTCACTTTCGAAAGTTCCAGGTCATCTCTTCTTCTGCTCAATATGATCTGACCGTCGCTGGATGTAGATGGCGTGTCCACTAAGTCGGGTGGTACCAGGGTGAACACAGCATTCTGGATGCAGCGATGCGGTGGGACGTGCGAGCTCCACTTATCTTCCCGAAACTAGGCAGCCGTCTTGCTGATGTCCGTTCCAAACTCGAACTTGCTTGTGAAATACCAGTGCTCTATCAACTCTTACGCGAGCACATCTCCAATCCACAATTCCGCCGTATCGATGGGAAAGCTGCCGGGAGTCTTACGCGCCCACCCGCGCAACATTGGCATACCCATAACACTGTGAGGGTCGGGCCAGTCGATATTGATATACAAGGCTCGGTAAACGTGGCCATATATCTGGTTTCGGAGTTCCCGTGGTAGCCCGACAACCTTTGCGCACACAGAATGATATGGCTGCAAGGTCAACTTCTTAATGTTCTCATCTATCTTAAGCGTGATGTCGGTTTCCAACTTGATCGCTTCTGCAAGCGGCGTGTTCCAGTCTTTGACACGTCGCATCTTCGTCTTGAGCTCATCTGCGTTGCGATTCGTCTGCTTCATGTACAGAGCGTATTCCTCGCGCGCAGCTTTGTGGGTCTTTTGCAATTCGCAAACTTTGGCGACAGCTGATTTGAGCTGTGATGTGAAACTTGGAGAGGCTCAGCAGTATTGTAGTATGCGTTCAAGAAGTTCAGCTCACTATGTTACTCCCCTTTTACATGTGATAGCGTCCGGCTCGGGAATGTCTCCAGCGATTGCAGCACTCTCAATCTCGGAATACATTTAGGAGATGCTTTTCAATGCGTCCTACATATGGTGCCATAAGCAGTGTTGTAGGTGCTGAAAATACTCGTATGTTGATATTCTCTGGGGTGCTCTCGAGCTGTGGAGTGTCGGAGAAGCCAACACCGCTAGACTATCACAAAGCTGATCAAAGGGAAACATGGATCGAGTAGCTGCATCAAAATATCTAGAGGTTGAAGGCTACGGCTCAGTTGGCGATGCCATGCAACACGAGAGGCGTAGTAGGCGTGGTTGAAGCACGCGCTGATTTGCCTGACCGTGATCTAACGCGGGACTAGCGTTTGCTCCGATTTAGAACTCCGCCCAGGCTTACTTGCATGTGGCACAGCTCTAGGTTACAACCAAAAGACACTTCTATCGAAATCATCACATCTCTTCATCCAAACACCTACTCAATTATTTTGTCAAAATGTCTTGGGAGATGTGCTTTACGATATGCTGTTCAACGTTTTTTCAACCGACAGGTCGCAGACGTGATAGAAGTCGTCTTTTACCAAGGAACCCTCCTAAACGTCAGCATCCGCCACGCCCGCCGATTTCCCAAGAGATGCGCAACGAACAGGCCGAATGTCCGCTTTTCAGCCCGAACTTTCCTGCAGAGCTACGGCTCAGTATATACGAGGCTGTTCTTGGGGACCAACACCGACTCATGCACGTCATCCCCTTCGACGATCAGTCAAATCGTGTAGGGCGTCGCCGATGCATAGATACAGCATTCGAAGGACCAACATGGCAGCACAAGTGTTTCGGCACCTGGCTGGAGAGGGAGACATCGTCTAGACGCCGAGATTACACCTTTTACTCGTGTGATCGATATCTAGCCTTGGTTTTGAGCTGTCATCGCATGTGGGTATGTCTGCCGATATCATCCCAACTCTGCTTACAATGACTGCAGCTACCTAGAGGCGATCAACGTTATGTATACAGCCAATAAATTCAGCGTCAAGGGAGCACGAGGGATAGAAGCCTTTCATTCTGTCACTCCCCAACCTCAGTGGCACCAGATTCGTCACCTCAACATCTCAACAATATTCCTAACACCACGGCAATATTATCCAGAGCATGAGTGGTTCCCTCCAGACAATTATGTCCAATGGCCCACGAGCTGCGCAATTGTTCAGAGCCTGCATGGGCTTCGTTCGTTGCAGGTCGAGCTCATCGTCCGAGATACGCATGACCGCAAAAATGAGACTCTTGTGGAAGAAGAAGCGCTCTTCTCTATTCTCAAGCCGCTCACTCTTGTTTCTGCACCTCTGTTTGAAGTCGAAATCAATATGGCTGTGCCTGAGACTGTACTTAAAAAGCTTGGAGAGTTGACGTTCACGCTGGTCGTCAAGTACAAGCCATACGAACACAGTCTATTTTCCGCATTATAGCAGTTACAGACTAGTTATGAATTATCAAGGTACCACGTCTTATCATTCTGGAACTTCATCGACACTCTTTGACCCTCTCCCTCAGAAATCGCAATGTACAGCAGCATGCCATGTAACGTATGCGCTACACTTCTCACTGCCCTTGCTTTTCGCGACCTCTTCTACACACTCGATTTCTCTGTCAGAACAATAGAGTCGTCCCGAATTTTGCCCATTGTTCTTGTAGTGGCATTCTTGGCCTGCAACCAGGAGCTTGAACTCGCCAGCAGGCCACGGCAGCTTTTCCGGGTCCATGTTGCCGGGCATTTTGGGGTCGCTCGGTCCTTCAGGCTTAATTTCATTTGGCACATCTGATCCTATCTGATCACATCCAACGCCGCGGCCGACATTGGCAGTGTAAAAGCGCCAGCTGTTGTCAACATCGGCACCACCGAAGTGAGGACTGACGACCGTTCTCAAACCTATCTGTAAAGACGCCTCCTCATTCGAGAGGCCAATGAGCTCTTCCAACCATTTGTACTGCTCATCCATATATCCCGAGATAACCTCGTTGTGGTCAGGGTAGTTTATGCGATCGCATTTGCAGCCTCTATGCTTTGTCTGCACACGACCATTAGCATATAAGCACAAACCATAACAGACAGCGAGCTCACCTTCTTGCAGAAAGCATTTCTCACAAATATTTCCTTATTATCCTCCTGAGCGCCACACTCTTCGTCGACACACAGGATGTCCTTTGGACAAGCAAACTCGTCTTCCTTGATATCGGTGCTGACGGCTGAATTAGGTATCCATATGTCGGCCACTAACTGACCAGCGCTCATGGCTGCAGATGCCAAGATGGCATATCCCAAGTTACTATGGAGGAAAGATCGCATGCTGAAGCCGGGAGCCTGTCCCCCTGGTCCCGCAGGGTTTCTGCCCCCGACGCGTACTCTGATGATCCGGTAAGAGATCGCTACAACATGCACGCCCTCAACCATGGCGTTTTGAACGGGAAACTGTATAGCTTGGCCCGCAGCTGGGGCCTGGGGGATGAACTGATCCGCCAGCTGGACAGCATCTTCGGGTATGGTTTCCATAAGATCAGGGATCATGTTCGCAACTTGCCGAAGGCAGTCCTCAACAGTGTCGGCACGGCGCACTCGGCTATTCCGGGGACGAAAAAGGTCATAGCCTTTACACGAGTCGACAACACTTTGCACTCCCAGCATACCGAGGAGATCCTGAACCCGACGGGCTGAGGCCTCGGGAATGTGGTATACAATATCGCCTTTCTTCCTGTCGCCCGAATCCGACGTCAAAGTTTCAATGGTGATCTTGTCCTTTCCAGTAGGCTTCGGGGCATCAGGCATAGATGGAGCACTTATCGTCGTTGGGTCGGCGGTAGGCCCTTTTTGGATGGCGAAGGTGTCTGAATTACCCATGTCATGGATCTGAGTCAAGTCTGAGTACTCGTACTTGACAGAAGGTATGTTTTGAGCTGCCTCCCATGCAATCCCAAGGGCAGCGGCTGTTATCAAGAGCTGGACTGTCACGTTGATGATGGCACCGACCAGGAAAGAAGTGACTAGTATGAACCGCTTGGAGTGTGTGCCAATGTCAGTGTTGTGAAATACTGGCGTCAGTCTTTTGCGGCAGTCTTCGGCTTTTTCCTTGCAATCATCGCCCATAGCATCCTTGATTCTCTTCTTGAGATCCGGCCCAAAAGCTATGGTAACACCAACCAGGGGAAAGTCGTCGTAGATGCCTCGAGGGAACATCTCAAGCTTGTCATTCTGAGGCTGTGGATTCGGGTCCTGAACATAAATTAGCTTTTCGCTGAAAGCGTATCAGAGAGTCTAGTGGACTGACGTCCTTGATGAAGTAGGATTCGATTGGATTGAAAGTGAATGTAGGAATGTTCCCATTGACCGTGGGATTTGCTCTTCTGTCCTTTTGCTCCAACGTCGGTGTTGGTGCTGATGTAAGAGTCTGTGACGACACAATTTGAACACAACTAAGAATCGCAATGGCAAAAACAGAGGAAACGAGAGGCATGATGCAATAGTGAGTGTTGAGACAATTTGAAAGGTTCCCGTTCTTGTTGTTCTCGACAATCGCGACCAGTGAGCCCTCTTATGCATCAATGGAAGGAAGAACCAAGAGCCTCTTTCCCTTGTTCCTATGTGTGGCATCAATTCGAGAGAGCCTGGCATAGCCCCAACCAATAGTTTGCGCGTCTTCTACGACGAATGAAAATATGCTTTCTATAATTGACGTTGCTTCATCTAAATTGTCTCCGTGCCACAGCATACCAACCCGAAGTCGAGTTTGCGATTGAGGGCTAGGTCTTCTCATTTGGTGGCGCGTTGCTGCGATGTAACTCATGGTTCTGTGCCTCATGACAACGTTTTGACCGCGAGGCTGCTTCGGGGACTATGTTCATGCCAGGTTTATCTCACTTTCGCTCCTGTTCCATGAAACGGCGCAAATGCTGCGCCTCGGGTGTAGCTGTGCCGTAAACCTGCGGCGATTGGCCCAATCACGGAACCCTCGTCCAGTGAATCATGTCAGACTCGCGACCTCGCCGCTCTGCAAGTTGTATGCTTCGAAACAATTAGGGCCGAACGAAGCGCTGTGTCTACGGGTCCAAACTTGAGGTATGCATGCAACACTGGGGCAGTGTCTTATGAGCTTGCGCCCCAGAACCATACCATGGGTAATATGCTAATGAAACAATCCCAGGAAATTCGTGCCACATTCACACATGTTCAATATCAGAGATTGAATAAATCAATGTCTAATCCCAGAGTATACGCTGTTGAGCATTATCGCGTTCTTCATTATGTTCTTTCACAACGCTTTCCTAGCATCGCTTCTCTTACTACCCGTTGTCGTTTTATCATTCCAGATAGATGCATCCTGTACCACTAAAGGGGTCGACAGACTTGTCCGCGATGCGATGACAAACGCCTTCAGCATGGCTGACTCGGCGGTGCGGCGCCTCAACCAGGACCCGTACGACGAACACACAGTAGATCTGATACGTCATCTATTTCTACCAAAGGATGGCCAAGATCCAAATGACAGGGGTAAGATGAGCAAAGTACTACGCATCTTCGATAACATCATTGAATATTACCGAACGGAGACTACTGGACCGCTTGACCAGCATGATATCGTACGTTCGGACACCTGCCGCTTCTGAGTATCAGACTGTACAATGCGATTGAAGTTCTTGTACTGATCGTGTTTCCTACAGATAATATATTGCGACGACTCTCGCTACGAGGACCGAGGCAGAAGGGACAGCCTCCGACGGAAACTCTACTACGACACGTGTAAGCCAGATGATGTGACCACTGGCCCTATTCCCAGCCTTCTAGTGCTAATCAACCTATCTCATATAGCGACAAACACACATGTGTTGTATAAGAAAAAGACTTGTCATGATGGACTCATGGAAACCGTCGCTCTTGCGGTGACTTACAACGCCCAATGGGAAAGTGAGGAGTGGGATGAGGAACAAAGAGAGGTCGTGTACAACTATGAAGACAGACCTACTCAGATACAAATCTGCCCTTGGTTCATCGATTGTAAGTTTGCTATGCAGAGCTTTGCAATGTTGTGTTCTGACGAGGACGATGATGTGTAGGGATCAAGAACAAGGAATACAAATTGAGCAACGATGTCAAGAGGTCCAACATTGGGAGGTACATTATCAAAAAAGTCGAGGGAAACCAGTGGTTCAGACAGATAGGTGAGTCCTCTAATGCAGCTTTCCGAACGTGTAATACTGTATGCAGTACGTAACCTGACTTTTCGACCTAGATGCTTTCTCGCTACTCGACAAGGTACTTCTACATGAGATGACGCATGGCAGGTCCGTATGGGAAGAACAAAAGTTTATCAATAACGAATGGGAAAATTTTGAAGGCACTCTCGATGTACGCTACCGCATACCATAAGCGATTACATGAACAGCGCTGACAGAGGTTCCTTGCAGGTCACTGTTCCTGGAACTACCCTCGTACCTTTCCTGCCATTTTTTTCTACACCGCGACCCGCATACGGATGGAAGTGGGCGGGAGATCTGGCTCGAAAGGGTCCTGATACTACAGGGTTGCATGGTTGGGACCCAAAGGCTCCAGATCACAATGCGGATTCAATCGCGTTGTTTGGCAGTGCTTGTAAGCTGTTAGACGATCCGGACAAACCACGGCGCGTGTTGGATGACGGAAGGATCGCAATCATTCCCAGGAGACAGTGATGCAAGTCATCAAGAATTGACAATTGGAGGATTGCTGCCTGCCGGTGGAGAGTTTCACAGCGTTGTATATTCCATCTCATCCAGTTTTCAGTGTTTAGTAGCCTTGATTCATTTTGATGACTTAGCGTTCTCTGCCTCGCCGAGTCACTTCGAATTTTGCTCCATTGAAGGGATGCGGAAGTGACAACATGATCCAGTCACGACGCTGTAGAACTTATCAATTGCACGAACTGTGTTTGCACAACCGTCCGTATCGTCATGGAGCGTGAAAATTGTGTTGATCCATAGTGGTGAGCAAATGGAAGGTCACGTGCACACGCGACACGTCAGACTGCTCCTTCCTCACTCGCTCACGCTCACCCCACACTATCCTCACTCTTACCGCTGACGTGACCCCAAGTTTAAGTCAGCCTCCAACCTCCCCCACCCATATCTGCCAACGGCCAATTCGCATACAGCACTTCACACCGCACATCTGTTGTTAATCAATTCACTGCAAGCACTGACAAACATGACTCACTCACAGCCTCCGTCGCTCAGGGCAGTTGCTCCTCTTGGGAGACGCTGGTTTTTGGAGACTCAAAAGTAAGTATTACCAGCCCCGTGCGTTATAATGAATCAGCAATACTGACTGCTGCATGATTAGAGCTCACAAGGAGGTTGAAACCCTCAAAAACAACTTCCGCAAAAAGGTTTACGTAATAGAGAAGGCGACGAAGGGTCAGACTGCTGCACAGAAGAAGACTCAAGGAAGCGACACGGCCATCGGCCACAAGCGTGCATTGCGCGAGACAGGCTCTCGGCTCAAATCCGCTGAGGAGAAGTTTGAGGAGCAAGTCACCGTCCAAGCCAAGCGCCAGTGTCTCTCCTTCTGCGAGAAGGTCATGGAGCTCCCCCGTGAGCTGCGAAACATGGTCTACAACGACCTCATCACGGAGAAAAACGCGACCTTCTTCCACGGTCCGGACAAGAAAGTCAAGCTCGTCAACGGCACCTCGCCTCACACGCACTGCTTCGACGCGGACTTCACCGGATCGATCATGCACGGCGATATTGTACAAGAGTTGAATAGTAGGGGTGTGCGCTTCGACTTCCGTCACCGCCATGGTCTGCTCGCCCAGGCGGTTGAGGAGTACGCATCGCTCCATGGCCTCGATCTCACGGCGACCATGAAAGGCGTTGGCGTCACGCTGAATCTTGGCGACGTCAAAGGCTGCGACCTCGCCATGAAGAGCCTGGGGTCACTACTCGAACTGCCCAAGAACACCGGCATCACTGTGTTCGTCGAAGCCAGTGGCAGGACGCAGCCCCAGATCGCGCGCTCGTTCCGACGCGTCGTCCGCAGCGTCGTCGCATCCCTCCATCGCCTCAAGATCGCCGGACACGAGGTTACCGTCATTTTGAATCCGAGCTACGCGCGTTCGGCGGCGAAGAACGGGGACGAGAGTCGCTTCTCGATCATCCATGCGCAGGACTTTCGATATGTGTTCCCCGTGGGCGAGAGCGAGACGAGTTCTAAGGAGATGGAGGACGAGCTGCAGAAGGTGCTAGTCACTGATGCTTGAGTAAGTGGCTGGTGCTGACGAGATTGTAGTACTTCGATAAGTATGGCGATACTTGGCAGTACCGGCTTGCACCTGAGACGGCGGAGCAGGACTGAGCTGGGAGGATTGATACAGTAGGACAGAGCCAGCAGTACTGAGCCCGCTGTCTGGTCATGAGGGGAGCTGTGAAGAATGGGCAGGGAGGAGGAATGCTCGACGCTGACCATGCAGCATGCATGAGCAATTGATATCGCAAAGTGGAAATCAGCATAGCCGCAACGTGGAATACATTCATCTCATCGCAACAAACACTCGGTGTTATCGCGGGTTAGTGGGAGTAGAGGCCTTACGCACATCTATACGCGCTGAAATCTTACACTCTCCAAAACTACCAAACTCTTGCGAGACACACATGCTGCTTTTGGTCAAATAGACTATTATTGCCTTTACGCATCGCCGCTCCTCACAAACTCCCCTCGGGCCTCACATACCGCGGCACCGCTGTCTCGGGATCATACTCACACTGCAACACCTTACTCCCCTGTGGAAACTTCAGCACCGTCCCATCCGGCATGGTCACGTCCACCGCCTCACTTCCAAAAGTCCAACTCACTTTCACGCCCGCATCTCTCGCCGCCTCGGGATTCAGACGATAGACGATATCCGGGCGCGGGCTGAATTTATCCAGGTCCGCGGGATCGGTGGAGGACTCCAGTTCGTCGGGCGTGGCCGTGACCCATGTGGGATTTATGTAGCGGTCAGCGATGTAATCGAAGCCCGTGGTGAAAGCCTCTGTCTGGTCGAAGTGCTCAGGAGTGGGAAGGGGGATATCGACTTCGTCCATGTCCTCGCGAATCGACGTGTTTGCAATAATGTAGTTTGTATACGATATCACAACATCTTCGAGATTCATGCGCAGCTTTTGTAGGGTGTTTGTGTTTTCGGCGTCCCCGTTGTCGACGTCTTCTTGCGTCGCCTGCGAGTCGATGTACCAGGCTGATCCGTCGGCGGCGGAGCGCGCGTCGATGACGATCAGGGCGGCGACGTCGGGCATGGCGCGGAACATGGCGAGATGGGAGTGGTTCGACCACGAGCGCTTGTCGTGGATGAAGAGTTGCTCGGATGCGTTGGGGTTGCACATGTTTGCGCCGATGCCGAATTTCTCCTGGATGGTGTCGAGTTGGAAGGGGGTGAGGTTGGCGATGAGGATGCCTGTGATGAGCTCTTTTGAGGCGGTTAGGTCGGGGTTGTAGACCATTTTGCAGGTGTTTTTTACGCCACTTTGATACTTATTGAAATGTTGCGGTCTTTGTATTGAAACATCGAATGTGATGTCATACGCTCTACGAGGAACTAGCCCCTGTGCAGCATTCGAGTAACTCTTAGCTCTTGTGCTGCCTAGTAGTAGCCTTGCACTACGATAGACTTTAAGATGATAAGTTTGCCAATTGAACCGGATAGGTCCACTGTACGCGTCTCGTACTGGGATCTTTACAATATTACCCGATTAGGAAATCTGTTGAAGCCATTGAAAGCTGCAACCATGTGGCAACACGTGGAGACGTACGCCTGACAGGCCGGACCGAGAGCTGCATGGCTGGATGGCGGTCCACTCGCCATGCCAAGCGGCGTACGCCAAAGGCATTGCGAAGGCTGCGACAGCTGCGGGGCCGTCTGGTATAGGTAGTGGTGTCTTATGGGTGGGTGAGTGGTGAGCCAGACGTCATGTAGGATTCGCAGGCAACGCGCGGGTCTGCAGTCGACGTGAAGCCATGTTTCTCGTAGAGCGACGCGTCTTAGACATGTTCGACGTGTAGCCCTGTCAATGGCTGAGTGGAGGGTGGGATGCAGCGGAGGTGTGCTGTCGTTTGCCGTCACGGGCGCGTCGTTGGACCCTTTCTGCGAGCTCCCCCACATCATCGCGCATGCATGAGACAGGTGCGACTGCAGCGCGAAGCTTGAAGTAAATATATGCCAGCAGCCAGCAAGGACAGCAGCAGCATCGATTCCATGTCCCCAACCATAATCTATTGCGTCTGCACAATACATCGCTACATACGGGCTGAACGGCACGAGCTAGCAGTTGGAAAAATTCTACGGAACCGCGAACAGCCTCAGAGCATCGCATGAAGTAACTGTCTGGTCTTGTTGCATTCCGCGTATACCGCCGTGTGCACCGAACTGCATGAGATAGACAGTAACCCCTGAAATGATCAGCCATGGCCGTCCCCACCCCCGCTAGCGACAGCGAAGCCAGGGCCAGCGCTGCTCCTCAGAGTCCGCTGCCAAAAAAGTTGCCCGCGCCCTCAACGCCTGCATCATCAGTCCGCCGCAAGATGGCTTCCAATGCTGGCGCCTCGGCCGGCAAAGACACGGTACCCCCTCGCCGCCCTACCACCACCACCGGCACCACGGCTGCGGTTGGTGCTCGTCGGCCGACTGTGTCGTCAACAACGAGCACCGCGCGAGCTTCCACAACCGCATCGAGACCCTCGACCACCTCAACGTCACGCGTCAGCGCCGTCGGATCGAGCCTGAACAAGCCGCCGACGCGTCCAGTGGCAGGTGCAGCAGTCAGACGAACAGGGATAAGCTCTCGGGCCACGGCCTCTGATGCTGAGCCCGAGCTGTCGTCTGTGACTTCAGGAGACGAGAACAGGAAGACGACAGCAGTGCGCAGGACTGCAGGAACAGCCACCGCCGCAACACGATCCTCGCCTGGAAAAGCCACATCGCGACAGTCCATTGCCCCATCCACCACGACTGCTGCAAAACGACCCCTGACTACACGGCCAGCTGCGGAAGCATCGACAACTCGCGCAACACCACGAGCGTCGCTTGCCTCTTCCACGAGGACGACAGGGACACGCCCATCGACAACCACTACAAGAGCCGCCATTGGAGCAGCAGCAAAAACACCAATTGGACACGCAAAGAAGGCGTCTGTCAGTGCAGCACCACCTCCAGCGCCGGCCTCGACAACCCAGGACACTGACACTGAGCTGTAAGCCAAACACGTGATCTCATACAAGAGAAATGCTAACACAACTACAGGTCCAGCCCCGTTCACGTCCCCTCCCGCAATGGCCCCCTCAAGGACAAGGCCGCGTCCGATGCCGAAGCCGAGAACAGACGAAGCGCCCTCGCACCCGCAAAAGCCGCCCTCGCAAAGCTGGGAGAGGAGATGCAGCGCCCGGACACGGCACCCAGCGGGCCCGCAGAGATGGATGTGGAGACGAAGCGACGGAGCGCACAGATCATGCAGGACTTCTTCAAGGAGACAAATCTCCGAGAGCAGCTGCAGGAGCAATGCGACGACCTCAGCCGCGAAGTCGACAACCTGCAAACCGAGAAGGCGAAGCTCAAGAAGCAGCTGGCAGATGCGCAGGCCTCCATAGCCGAAAAGGACAAGGCCATTGCGGGCGTCTCCGAGTCCGCGGGAGGCGACGCAGCACAGACCACGCTCGTCGATGAGATGAACACAAAGTTTGCGCGCGAAACGAAGCAGTTGGAAGAGCAGAGCCAGAAGCTGGAGGAGGAGAAGCAGGCCGAGGCGACCAAGGCTGCCGAACTCCAGCAGGTGCTGGATGATCTCAACGATGAGCTGGAACGCCAGGGCCAGCAGTGGGATGCCGAGAAGAAGAAGCTCGTCGAGCAGGCAGCCGAGATTGCAGCGCTCACCAAGGAGATGGCGTCCCTTAGAAAGGAGCGCGATACCCTTACTCAGGAGCTCGACACCGCTAGGAAATCTCTCGAGGATGTCCAAGCGAGGCTATCCGCCCTCGAAGAGACTTCGACGTCCGAGCTGAAGTCCCGCGACGACAAGATCGATGAGCTCACGACCACTCTGGAAGAGCTCCGGGGAGATCACAGCAAGGCTCTGCAAGATGCCGAGCAATCACTGGCGGCCAAATCATCCGAGTCGTCGGCGTTGGTCGAGGAGCTACAGTCTCGAGTCCTGTCAATACAGCAAGATCATACCGACGAGCTGAGGGCCAAGGACGAAATCATCGCCTCCCACCTTCAGGTCCGTGAACAACTTCAGGAGGATCTGTCTAATGTGCAGAAGCGCGCCGAAGAAGCAAGCGAGGAACTAGAAGCTGCGCGCCGTGCGCATGCGGAGGAGCTCGCAAAGAATGTGGAAGAGTTGCAAAAACGAGCAGAGGACGATTTGCGCGCCAAAGAGGAGGAAGTTTCGAGCCACGTCAAGTCGATCGACGGACTCCAAGAACAGATCATGAAGCTCCAGCAGGGCGAGACTGATGGTGCCAACCTCGCACAGGAGCTGCACAAGCAAATTGAGGAGCTGAAACAGGCACATGACGCTGCAATCAAGGTCAAGACGGACGAGAACGACGAACTTGCGCAGCAGCTGGATGCAATGAATGACCAGCTGAGCGCCGATGCGACTGAGCTCGAACAGCTGAGAGAGGAGGCCGAGGGCCTTCGCAAGACCATCACCACGCTCGAGCAGGTGTCTCAACAGGAGAGCTCGCAGCAGGCGTCTGAACTTGCAAAGCTCCGTGCAGAGCTCAACGAAGCGACTAAGCAGGCTGATTCGCACAAAGCCGATTTAGAAGCGGCACTTGAGAAGCAACAGCAGACTGTGCGTTCTCTAGGAGATGAACACGACGCCGAAGTCGAGGCGATCCGAGCCGAGTTGGAACGCGACGCAAACGACCGCCTGAGTAAGCTCCAAGCCGAGTACGACTCTTTGGTGGAAGAGAAGAACGCTGCCCTCGCACAGTATGAAAAATTCTCCGCGGAGCGCACCGAAGAGCTCCAGATACTGCAGAAGGAGCTGTCGGAATTGCAGGCAAACTCCGGCTCTGCTTCGCAAGACCTCGCCGATGCGCTGGCCAAGCACAAGCAGCTTGCAGAAGACAAGGCCGCCTTGGAAGAAGCGCACATGAAATCACTACAGGAAATGGCCGAGTTTCACGCCCAAATTGACGCTTTAACAAAGGATGCCGCTGCGGCGAAAGAGCTTCAGGCACAGCTAGACGCTCTAGCCGAGGATAAGATCACGGCTGAAGAAGCGCACGCCAAGTCACAGACTATCATCACAGACCTGCAAGCCCGTCACGACTCACTCCTCGAGGAGAAGACCTCCGCAGAAGACGCGCATGCCCGTGCGATCGACGCCCTCAAGCAAGAATCTGACAGCGCCTCAAAGAAGCTGTTAGCGGAGATACAAACCAAGTACGACACCCTCCTAGAAGAGAAGAATGCGGCGGACGAGGCACACGCCATGTCCAAATCCATCATTGCCGACCTTCAAGCTCGCCATGATGCTTTGTTGCAGGAAAAGACTAGCGCCGAAGACGCACACTCTCGTGCTATCGATGCGTTGAAGCAGGACAGCAGCAGTGAAGCCAAAAAGCTGCTGGGTGAGTTGCAGTCCAAACATGACGCCCTGCTCGACGAGAAGAACGCCTTGGAAGGCTCCCACAAGAACGAGTTGGACAATCTGCATGCCCAACGAGATGCTGTGTCACAGCAATTCTCTGAGCTTGAGAAAACGCACGCTACTGCGATAGCCGATCACTTGGCTGTGCAGGAAGCTCACAACAGGGCGCTTGAGGCTCAAAGAGCCGAAATCGAGCAAAAGTATGCATCTTTACTCGACGTCGTGCAAGCCGACACGGACAGGTTGGAGCAGGAGAAGGCGGCCGCGTTATCTGATAAGCAGTCAGCCCTCAGTGAGCTGGCAGCCCTTAAGAAGGAGTTGCACGCTGAGATCGATACCCTGCGAAGCGAGTTGGACACGAAGGAGGAGGCCGGCTCCACCACTCTTAGCGAGGTTACCAAGAAGTACGAGGCTCTTCTTGCCCAGAACGCCGCTGCCGAGGCCGAGCATGAAGCCGCCGTGGCGCTCTTGAAGCAAGATTTGAAGGAGCAACACGATCAAGCGGTGGCAGAACTACAGTCCAAGTACAATGAGTTGCAGCAAAAGTTCGCTCAGATCGATCAAGAGCATGGAGATGCTCTCCAACTGCTAAAGGAAGAATTCAAGGCCAGACACTCCAACGACGTGCAAGCATTGCAAGAACAACTTGAGACTCTTCAAAAGTCATACAAAGACTTGGCCGAGCAGAAAGCTCAGATGGAACAGGCTCACGAGGAGGCCATATCCGAGCTCATGCTTGGTATGGAAAGCAGCCAGTCTGATGCTGTTCAACAGCTGCAGAAGAAGTACGACGCTCTCGTCGCGAGGTTGGAGGCTGCACAAGCTAGCCATGTCGCTGAGGTTGAGTCCCTCAAGCAAGGCGATACGGAGCAACAGACCTTCTATCAGGACCTGCAGGCACGACACGACAAGGCCGTTGCCGAGGCAGATGCTCATGCCCAGGAGGTCAAGCGCTTGCAACAGGCAATCGAAGCTCTCCAGGACGAGTCCTCTCGAGCCGTGAAAGGAGTGGCAGAGTCTGAAGCGAACCAGCAAGAAGTCCAGACCCTTAAGCAGGAACTAGAGCGCATCGAGACCGAGCGCGACGAAGCCCTCGCCTCCGCTCAAGACGCCGAAGACCGCATCGAGACCATGAAAGGCGAGGTGGTTAGAAAGCACCTCGCCCGCGTGGAGCCCCTCGAAAAAGAAAACGCCGCACTCTTCGACAAAATTGACCGCCTGGAAGCCATCATCGCCGCTGGCGACCGCGTCGCGCGCGCCGCTGCCACGCTCGGCGAGAAGCGCGATATCAACACCCTCGCCGAAGAAGACGAGGAAGAGGACGAGCATGCTGAGTCTGGCGCCCAGGGCCCGAAGCCGAATGGCGTGCAGACGGATGTAGTCGCTACTGTGAGTGTGATGTTTTGATGAATGAGAATGAATGGAAGCTGATACAGTGTAGCAGTTGGCCGCCATGACGGAAACACTTAACCAGCTCAGCGAGCTTAATAACGATGCTATTGCCGAGAGCTCCAGGACGGCGCAGAGACTTACTGAGCAGGACTAGTGGGCGCTGCTGCAATGATGGATGAGGATGTGATGTAAGGGGGTGGATGGATCGGAGAAGTGCTTGTGCCGTTTGTTGTTCATTGTCGATATACCCACATACGATATCATATCATATTTATACCCCAGGAGGTGGGAGAGTTCTTGAAGAATATTTTTATTTTTGTGGGAGTGAAGGTGGCGCGTGGCGAGGGTGATGCTAATGCACGTCAAATTCGCTCCCTGCAGCGCTTACCACTCACTACCCTTTTGTTCCGCAACTCCGCTTGCTATACTTAAATCAACCTAGTGATGCAATCCCACACCTTCGCCTTCTAGTGTCTCATCTGTACGCACGCATGTACTGTTCGAATATCCTTTCCATACTCCCATGTAGTGTAGCGACCGGGAGTTTCCTTACGCGACCTCGAAGAGTGTTGGTGGAGTTGCGCCCGTGACGTGAGACGCGAGAGCACGACTGAACCGGAAAAGTATTGTTTCCGATGCTGCTTGCTGAGTGGAAGTACGATTAGAATCATGGAACCAAGCTTAGTTAGCAGCAGGGGAAGTGCAAGTTGAACAGGTGGGGTGGTTCGATTTTGTTTCGGAGGAGATTGGTGACGGAGGTGCTGAGCAATGTGAGACGGCGTGGCTTCGAGGGACGGTGGATGAGAGATGGTAATTGCGGCGGGTCTTTGGAATGGGTAAGGCTCGGGTGTAGAAATGGGTCAAGTAGAATAGGATAAAGAAGGCGTGAAAACGTCTGGTTTAGAGGACAGATGTACACTGGAAGGGGGTCTTGAAATGTGGTACTGCAACCATGTGAAAACTCAAAGTCCAACCCGTTACATTTCTTATTGACTATATTGGCGTTCGCGTGGCTTGTGGCATAGAAAGGTGTGCAGGACGTCGATATCTTCCATTCATTAACTGCCTGTTGTATCGCATCTATACTGCGGTGCCCTTTGCTCTTGTACCTTGTTCTCGTGATTGCCCTCGTGTCTTGTTCCCATGTCTGCTCTCTTGCTTGCTGTCTTGCCCTTTCTGCTGCTTGAATACTTCTTCAAGTAATTTAAACACCGTCATAGTGTTAACTTCGCTATACAGATGTAAAAGTATCATATAGGGGTCCTTTCACTCCAGTGTCCCTTCACTCCAGGGTCCCAGTATGGCGCGGCCGCACGTGATATCGCGTTTGCGCTATGCCGCGTTTTCTGTCACACAAACTGCCCGCACTGAAAATCGAAATCCACACTACCATACATATGGCGGGAACGCAACTCGATGCGACGTCCCTGAACGAGAGGAAGTTGCCCATCATGGAACTGGTCCAAAGCAGCTTCTCCTCCGAACCTGCGCCGACCAAAGGCTTCAATCGCGATTACTTTCAGAGGTATGGCTTCCACAGACTGCCTGCGTGGTATAACTCACAGTCAACCAGCACCATCCGCAAGATCGGATGTCTCAAGAACATCCTACGCCGACTAGCACACCAGTACATAGGGCATCCAGGCACCGTTTCAACGGCAGAACGTCAAAGGCTCCGAAGCGGACTTTCTCGCCTAGATACTGCAGTCAACGCCCACATCGTAACCCATGTTATTGCTCCTCGGTGTCTGACCGTCTGTCTCGCCATGCAACAATACCTGCCCCGCGAACTACGCGACATGATATATAAATTCGTGTTAGACGCATCGGAACCTAATGTCATCACTACGAAGTGCCACCGAGACCCAGACATGTCGTCCCAGATGACCACTGAGTTGATGCAACAAGCCTGTCTCAAGGAGTATGGCCATCTCTTCGACCCTGAATTTGCCGACTCCACTACCCGCAAGGAGATGGCTACATCGTGGTATCGGTGTACGACATTCCGTGTCAATGGCCTCGAGGGCATACGTGACTTGTTACAGACGAACTGCTGGGGCGTCGGTCGCGACCGCAATACGAAGTCTCCGGTCAACCATATCGTAGTAGGACTAAGAATCTTCCGCAGCAACATCTTTTTCTGGGACGACGACAGAAAAGCGCTCAAAGCTGCACTGGAAATGGCGCCGTCATTCCGCTTGCGGAACGGTACGCACATCAAAGTCGTGATGAAGACTGACATCGAACTGCTATACCAGACCCACTACCCTGATTATAATCTTGGGGCTGTCATGAAGCGTGCTAGTCTCGTCTTTCCGATGTTGGATGCTCTGCTTAAAGATGGACATCACGTCACGGTCGCTTTTTCCGCTCTGCTTGAGGGACATGAGGTTGAGATGGAGACTTTCAGTGTGGAAGCTTGGAAGGAAATGGCGAGGGCGGAGATGAAGGTAAGCAACTCGTGGTTGCGATGTGAAATAGCATTTGCTAATCGACACAGCTTTGAATTTAGTGACCAGTGGATGCTTGTAGGCTTTCCTGTGTATGTTCAAGCATCGAGGCGGGTGCGGTGTCCATAATTGGGCATGATGGTGACAACAGAAGACACAGAGGGAAGGCTCCATGGCTGTTTCCACGAAACTGGGCCATCCTGCACCAAGGAGCGCAAAGTGCGGGCCTAACATATATCCTCGAAACAGTAAAACTCCTGATATGCACATGCTTTTGCGTGCCTGCCCGTGAAGCAGTAACGTCATGTAATGACGCGTGGTAGGTTGACTGCTAGCGCGTCGCGCTGTGTACCGCGCGAACAAAGCCGTGGAGTTGGAAACGGCCTCTTGCGAACACCGTCAAGAACGAGTTCACCGCGTTTGAAAAAGCTCAGATATCGGGAGAAGGGTTGATGCTCAAACTGATAGACGACGTGGACGACTACATTACTGCCTACGCGGCTCCCCTGTGCCTTGAGATCTGTCAAAAGATGCAGGCAAAGCTTCCCCCGAAGTTAAGAGATCTGGTATACAGCATGCTCTTTGGGCCCAAGAAAGAACTGGTAGTTGATAGTAGGGACATTGCCTTGGTCAGCAAGATCGGACAACCGCAGCGAGAGAGTCCATTCTATTGGACCCTAGCTCGGTCTATCAACTCTGCATGTCAAGTTGACGAACACTGCATCAACACTTCACCAACGACTACGAAACTACGAATTTTATGAATCACATGATAATAAGCACTGCATACATTCATAGGGCACTGTTTGGTGCGAAGTTTCGTGCACACCAGGTGACGTAAGAATTCGTGCGCGCTCGGTCCGAAAGCTCTCAATCTCTTATAAGGAAAATTTCAACCTGGTTTACTTCACCTTCTTATCTAGAAATGTAGTACGTGCAAATGACCTACTGAGTCTATTTAGACTTATATACTGAATAAAATAATAGCCGCTCTCTAATAGCAGGTTGAACTTGAACAGAGCGCGCACGACTTCTTGCGGCACCTGGTGTACAGATAGTCTCTGATGACTCACCTCCGCCAACAGAGAAGGGGCTGAAGGGCTCCAGAAGGATGCCTAAAATATCAAAGGTTGTCGGGAAACGATATCAACCGTCCAACAACGGATCCCAAATATGAAGAAGCTCAATGCATGGAGTTGATTGACCAGCGCAGAATGCTTGAGAAGAGCCTGGAGGCCTATCTGCATCCGATTTTATCATCACAGTGCATGTCGCTCTGCCAAAGGATGCAACGAGCATTTCCTCAAGAGTTAAGGGATATGTTGTATACGCACATCATCAAAGAAGGCATCTACAAGGTCGAAGGGGTCGCAAAGTATGGCAAAGCTACACCAGAGCAGTCGAAGCGCCGTTCCGCAACGCCTGCACACTCCCAGGATGTTCAATATGTCGGCAAACCAACTCTCTTTGAGCTTGGACTGTTCTGCTACCAGGTGACCACTTTCAAGATTGGCGGAAACGTACTCGAGCAGCGTCGCCATCTCGGGCAAGCTCTGCTCCAGATACCAGACCCTTGGTAAAGTGGCCACAGGCTACTCAGCCTTGTTCGCAAGATCAAACTGTCTCTCAAAGAAGACAAATTGAAGTCCTACACCAAAGAATTTTCGGCCCTCCTGACGTTGATGGTCGGCGTGCAATACAAGGTCGCTGTTCGCATCAACATCACACTTGACAACGATCATGCCGACGCCCTGGATCGCGTCATAAGATTTGGCGATGCAATGAACAAGATGCACCCCAATTTTGAACAGCTCAAGTAGAAAAGCCATGTTGTCTCCTTCAAAATGTCCTGGATGGATCCACACGAAAATGCAATCAACAGGTATCGAAACCACTTTCGGTGTAATAAGACGCATGGGGTGATCCTGGACAATATCTACATGTCTCGCGATACCTTGGAAGGGCTCATGAGAGATGATGAGGAGTGGTAAGTCACTAGTAAAACTTAATCTCTCTGTACTGATACTTTTTGCGAGCGTCGTTGAGCACGTGAATAGCGGCCAGTCCGATTTCAGGGACTCGCAGGACCTAGCTTCATTGGCGGCCATACGCCAGAAATATGGTCGGGGGAAGAAATGATCACATGTCTTGTATATGCTATAGGAACTAGGCATTGGCCGATTTTTGCCTTTGTCTATAGCCAACTTACCACAGCAAGATCGGTTTGACAGTAGCACCGCTGTGCATGTCGCTCAACGCCTTCTCAAAATCATCGGACTGCAAGAAGTTAGTCCATATAAGCATAATCAAGAGGTTTACCACTTACAGCATATGTCTTTATTAGTTTGTCGATTGGGCTGTGGTCTTATTAATTATTGCATTTTTCGCATCGTGTAGTTTTGCTTACAATTTCCCTTGACGGTACCACTCAATCATTTGTGGTACAAACTGCGAAGAATTCTATCAGTATTTCCTACAACCCCGTGGGCTATTGAATGACTCTACCTTGGATGGCAATGCGTTGCCCTCGACACATCCGCGAATTGCGATCCCGTTCTAACAGAGGTTAGTATCGACGCATTATCGCAATGAGAGACCTACCGCAAGCATCGCACCCATGTCCACACTCATCTTACCATCAACGATACCAATGAGTACCATCTCGCCTTTCGGGCGCAGCGACTGTAGGCCAGCATCAATAATCGGGATCACACCTGTCATGTCGAAGCTCGCATTCGTGCCTTGCGGCGCAATGTCCCTAATTGCCTTGGCCAAATCGACAGTCAAAGATGGAAAGTTCGATGTGTCAATTACATGCGTCGCTCCCAGCTCCTTTGCAAGTTGCAACCGCGACTCAACCCTATCAACAGCAATGATGGTTTTCGCGCCTCGGATCTTCGCCGCCTGGAGTTGGAAATTAGCTGAGTATGCGGGGCAGAGACATCAGGCTCACCATGACTGCAGCTAAGCCAACGCCACCCATTCCGAAAATCTGTGATCGATGATCAGCAAATGCAACTACAACGGTTCGCTGTAAATGCATACGGCAACCTCGTCACGCTCGCCAATATCTGCCAGCTCAGTGATAGCGCCTGCACCCGTCTGAAATCCGCAGCCCATGGGACTAAACAGCTGAAGTTCCTTCTCGTCCTTCACCAGTCCAGTCACGTTCAGTGTCGACGTTCCCTTGACAAGCGCCAGATGCGAGAAACTCGACTGGCCAAAGAATAGTCCGCCTCCAGATGTCTTCCCCTCTCCGACCTGATAAATCTCAGGAACATTGAGCAGATTCTTGGGGGCGAATTGGCCGCAATACCCAGGTGTCTCGTCTCGACAGCCGCGGCAACCATTGTCGCCGCAGAAGTCGAAGCTCAGAAGCACCTTGTCCCCAGCCTTGACATGAGTAATACCGCTGCCAGTTCTTTCTACAATGCCCGCGCCTTCATGTCCCATGACTTTTGGGTAAGGCGCGAAGCCTGGCGTTTCTGCTGGCACCATGGACATGGCAACATCAGTGTGACATATCCCAGACGCGACAATCCGGACGAGGACTTCATCCTCGAGTGGCTCCCTGATCTGAACCTTCTCTTTGCGCCATTGAACGTGACCATCCTTCGGGGCATCGCTCACAATTGCTGTAGTCGAGATGGGATATGCTGCCATGGTGGAATAGGGACTGGATTCACACAAACAAGCTTGAGAGATAATAACAAAGTTCTTAGTGGTCATATAAAAACTAAATAGAAGGACTGTTCTGCCGAACACCTTGCCGCGTCGAGGGGGAGATAGCCTACTCTTAGGTGGGGTGGATCTTGGCTCCCGAGGTCATGATTGGCTAGCGCCGTCTTATGTTCGTGGGGCATTCTTGCGAGGCTGGATACTTAAGATCTCGGTCATGTTCTCCAGGCTGCATGTCATGTGTAGTATGGTACATCATCCACAAAATGCGTGTTCTAAGTCAGTCTTGTCAAAATATTACGGAGGTGCTGATTCGTTGAGCATGGCCTCCACGCTGTGCCTTCTGCGGGCCGATTAGATTTCTTGTCCACTGTAAGTGACCAATTTTTATGTTGCTTGGACTCCTCTGGGGTTGGTATGTTGTTAACGACCAAAAGAAGATACCCACGCCCGCGCGGCTCGTGGGGCAGGTAACGTACAGCAACGGCTCGCATATCTAAAGGTCCGTAAACTCTGGAGTAATTGCAGAAAAAGGCTAGTCTCGTGAACGTGAAGGACCGGGCTCGCGGATCACTCCTTGGCACTGTTCCCACATGTACCGGCATTTTCTCCCGCAGGATCTTCAATTTTGACGACCGCGGACATTCAGCTTGATGCAGTGTCTATGCATAAGTCGCGAGGCGTCTCCGCTGACTTGGTTACCTACTCAGCTCTCGGAGATACCTCCGCAAGTCCAACGGCGGACCTCACAGATTTTGTGTCGTGGCAAGCGACTCCGCCGCAATATAGGAGATGCGCTGTCTTCAGCAGCTTGGTCGCAATGCGTATCCATGCATTCCGCTCCTGCAGCTTTCAAGCGATCTTCGACGTACGCTCTCCTGCCTTACAGCCTTGGGCGATCCTTTTCTCATCATCGACACTCTCGATCAGTACTGCTCCGTTGGCTACAATTGAAATCAAAGATATGGTAGTATTAATTGCTGGAAAAATTGGGCTGTAAGCATTTGCGAACATCGGGGTCTCCGGTCTTGTCGTCTGAAGCGTCGAGCATGCGGAACAATGATTCCTAGGTCGAAACTTGAAGGACGCCGCATAGGACCGGAAGGCGGTGAGATCCCCATGTTCATCGGGGTGCTGAGGAAATGCGCTCGTGACTGCTTCGTGCTACCTACATCTCGGGATAGTATCGGTTAGTTATGGCCATAAGATTTCCTATTTTATACTGGCTCTTACTTTGCGCCCCACACAACTAACTCTTACAAAATCTAAATTCTCCGCGACACAAAAGTCAAAAAGCGCGCTCTCGATGGGTCGTAATACTATGCTGGGGAACTATGGAATGACCAATGCTATTGGAAATGACCATGTAATGCAGATACAACCGTTTGGACTTGGTTATATTGGGAATACCTCCGCCCGCTCGGAGCCGAACTTGCAAGAGCGTTGTAGGGGTTGGGGATCGGCGGGTAGACATTTCTACTCACGGCGTTACTCGTATGGATCCTTCTCAAAGCAAAAGGACCGGCTCGTGGATGTTCCTTGATGGCAATTGAGCCTTTGGACGAACACGCCTGGGCTATTTATTTGCGATCCCCAATCGGTTGCTGGCCTGCATGTTCCTCGTCTCGAACCATGTTTGGCGAACTCTGTCTTCGTATCTTCTATCCATAAATCCGAACGCTGGGCAGTTTTCTTCAAATCCGATCCTCGCTGTTAACCTGCTCCCAAATTTTGCCGGGCAATCATGTCGATGATTGCCTGCTCAATCGTTGACTTGGACGACAACCCCGATGCCTCCAAATGGTACCTGGAGACACACGTTCCTAGGGTAGTTGCGAAACTTGGCGGTACTGCGTACAGTGCGTCAAAAATGGAGGAAAACGTGTTCCCAGATATGGCAAGCATTGAAGGGCAATACATAACACGATACGAACTACCAGAAGGCACAGACGCAAAAGCAGCCGAATCACACATATCTACAACGAGCGAAAAGCTTCCCCTGAGCGCAAAGATCGAAACACGGATGTACGAGCGTCAAGAGACGTGGTATGGTGAAGGTTGGCGTGGTCGTAAGTTAATGCTCTCAGGCCTATTCTACCCATGTACTGACATGGCCAGACATTCGAGATATCCAATTCTTCCAAATGGCCTTTTGGCAGACATCTGAGGCGGTCCGCGATGACTTTGTTGGGTGGCTCCGAGACGATTTTTTTCCCAACATGGCAGACAGCCCAGAGCTTATTCGCATGAGCATCTTCAAATTGAAGCACGCGTCCATCTCTCAAAACGGAAACACAGAACAAAAGAACCCTGAGAATATGTATCAGTACATGGGCGTGTGGGAGGTGAGTAGTACCTACAAATAATACTTTTACTACCAGTTTGCTAACTTCTATACAGTAAGTTGATTTTCCTCCCCAACGAAGGAAGGTCACCGACCCTACTTTTCCGACGCCATTTCTTTTTGGATGAGACACCTGCTAACTTTACATTCTTTCTTGCCAGACTCGATAATGATGAAGTCCCTTGGGATGCCTTGGTATATCTTGGAACCAGTGAAAAGTGGAGAATGTATTGGGAAGCCGGACAGGTGCAATGGCAGGCTAGGGCGTACCATGTCAACCGATTTCACCCTGAAGAAAAGAGAAACGACTCGCCTACGACACGTTGATCTTAGCGTAGAGGTCTTGATCTACCGTTGAACCGCACCTAGGATCGAAGCAAGGCAACCGTTGGGGCATGGAATAGAATGGATAGAAACGAATGACGCATTTAGTGACGAGACTCTTACCACCCCATTGATAGGAATAATTGTAATGCATCAAACTATGCATACTCTTAGGACTGTTGCTCCATCGTTACAAATTTCTGCAAAGCCTTGTCAATACACACGGTTATTCTTCCCCGCCTCGGTCTATCAGGCCCTGACAGTAATTACACTGCCTCCAATCCATCGAGGATATCCGAACGGCTTGTAGTGATATATTCTGCGCCAGATACCAAATGCTTCGACTGCGGTATACCCATCTGCGGCTGCCGGAACGGACTGGTCCACGTCTCTTGTGCACATTCACCATGAGAGGCTTCGCGTCGCTCAACGCATTTTTCCGCATGTTTCGTGTTAGTCGTTTTGATGGTGCACTGCGGGAGTGTATCGCCTAGTAAGGGTGACTGTGGTGACATAGGGTCGCTATCGACAAAGGATGCATTGCCATTTGCTAGTTCCGACGCGGCTTATCGTAGTGAGTCTTGGTTTAGGTCGTCTTTTCTAGCTTTGGAAGTCCGACGATGGTGTGGACTAGTGCTATGTGTAGATCTTTCAACTGTGCGACTTGTAGGTTCTAGATGACGCCACAAAGACTCCACGCGAGCCGTCAGAGCGGATCGGTCTTCATCAACAGTGGTGGGCGCGACACTGTCCACTCTACAATGTCGTCTAGTCTCCGTTCTTGTGGAGGTCGTGACGGTACGATCATTCGAAACAGCTTTAGTCGACTCTCTGCGTTGCTTGATCTGCCCCTTGGTTTCCTTGACGGCCTGTTCGATCATTGCCCCCTCCTCGTCCATGTCGTAGTTTTGCTTGCGATGCTTTCGCTGAGTCACCGCAATGTGCTCCTTCAGCTCCTCGTCCCCTTGGTCAAGAGCAGTATTGTGCATCCTCTTGTACAACTCGAGCTTCCGCCCATGATGATCTTCGGCTCTTTCGACGAGTTGATATACCGCTTCTGGGGCCGCACTGTGCTTACGCACTCGTATGTACTGAGCCTTCGACTTCGATGGACGTGCAACAATCGTGGATTTGCAAGAGTAGAGAGGGCCAAGGGCGACACAGAAAGCATGGTTGAAGATGGTGCTGAGGTGAGCCATGGAAGCGAGAGCAAGCAGTAGTAATGTAGTAACGTGAAAGACAAACCCTAAATTGTTGGTGATGCGTCACTTAGTGCGCTCTGCAATGGCATTGCGCATGCCTGCTCCATAAAATTGGAGGGCATTTGACATGGAAAGCTTGAAGGAAAGCGACTGCAGTCGCGTTGTGCAGGTGAGAACATGCCAAAGAAAGCGCAATCGCCCCGTTCTCACTCGTCGATCTACTACAGGGAGAATAGGCAACTTATCCTCAATTACCTTCCGTCTGCTGGGATTAGATGTCCTGTTTGCTGATGTTCAGTCAATGCATCTGTCACGCCATGCTATGCCGTCATTAGCATTAAGCGTATTGTATGGTTCTCGTTACTTTATAAGTTCAGCATGAGAGATGACGTTGGTGTCTCCGCATCGATGTGCCTGAAATCATGGACTGCAGGGCTGAGAAGACTTTGTGTCGTGCTTGCGACAGAAAAGTTCAGTCAGGTGCCGACCACAGCAAGTCTGCTCGTGTTGTATAAGACGTACTCACCCCTTAAGCAGCCCGGGTGCGCCTCTGGTAACATAAAGAAAGCACAACGAAAGGCGTTTGTGGGAACGCACGAATTCTTAGACCTTCGTGCGACAATCGGCCGCCGCCCAGTCCCGCCGGTAACGACCGAGACCAATTCACGTTAGCCGCGCACTGGTGCAGATTCGTCTCATGGTCACGAATGCTGCCCATCAGATCGCTACTCCATTACAGAATTGCGTTTCTCCTCAAGATCATTTCGAGATGAATCGTTCCGGGCCGCTGCCGAGGATCGCATGAGACAAATTACGGGGAAGGACATGTAGAGGTGCGGAGAGCGCAAACACAGGCAATGCCCCAACACGAGCCACGACGATCGCATGTGTTGCGTTTCCTGGGCTTCGCCCAATCATCGCCATTTTGAACCTTCCCTTTTGATGCCATCGTCGACGGCATTGACCGCTCCAATTCCACTTGTGCGGAGGCGAGTTCGAGACCCGACATTTCCATCAGATACGAGGCCAAATTGTCCGTGTTTGAAGTCGGAGCGACGGCTGAGGCGCTGAAAACGGGAAGCCAGACCCGGTGAATCAGGGATGTGGTTATTGCATCTAAATTTACCCCGGTCGATGCTCCATGACTCGGTAGATATCAATTAATTCCCTAGCGAATTGCCTGTTATGGCAGCTGTGTTTATGGGGTCCATGCCTAAGGAGGCAGAAGTTAAGAAACGACAAGAGATGCGTGAAGACGTGATTTCTTTACACAATGCGACGCGTGAGCGCGACTGGCATAAGTAAAGTAGACGGCCTAGCACTCTGTCTGTAGGCAAATCGACTTCGATTTCCGCACGACATTCGTTTTTCGTCACGATGCAGTTCTTTACCCGCATTGCCGCTTTGGCTGTCGCCGCTGCGCCATTCCTCAATGCTGCCCCTGTTGAATCTCACCCCCCCCAAGGAGGTCATTCCTGGAAAATACATAATACAGTTGAAGCCCGACACTGACGTTGCATCCATCGCCGCGCACCACAACAAGGTTCGCAGCATATACGCGCGCAACCTTGCTCGACGAGGTGAAGATGGAACAAGTGGTTCTCCTGTCGAACGCGAGTTCGGCTTCGGCGATTTCAAGGCCTATGCCGGATCCTTCGACGAAGCGACCATCGAGGAGCTGAAGGCGATGCCAGAAGTAAGCTCATCTGTACCATGACCATCGCGAGGGTGCAACGTTAACAACCTCAAGGTACTTGACGTTGAGCAAGATTTCATCATGAGGACCCACGCAATCGTGACTCAAGAAAACGCACCGTGGGGTCTTGGTAGCATCTCTTCCCGGACACCAGGAGCTTCTTCTTATGTCTACGATGACAGTGCGGGCGATGGCACGTTCACCTACATAATGGGTAAGTTTGAGATATTTCACGTTCGGGAATGTCCACTAACTATTTGCAAGACTCTGGTGTTCGCGTCAGCCACGCTGACTTTGAAGGACGAGCAACTTGGGGGATCAACACCTCGTCAGGCAGCCAGGCCGCCGATGATGATGGACATGGAACGTAAGTGCAGCTCTCTGGTCATATCCATACATGCCTTCTTACACACTTTAGTCATGTCGCTGGTTCCGCTGGTGGAAAGACCTATGGCGTCGCTAAGAAGACGAATATCATCGCTGTCAAGGTGATTCAGGGTTCCACAGGTTCGGCATCGGCCGTGTTCGCTGGTTTCGACTGGACTGTGAACGACATTGTCTCCAAGGGTCGCCAGAACACTGCCGTCATCAACATGTCCCTCGGCTCCACAGCTTCGACGACATGGGATGCAGCTATCACCGCGGCATGGAATAAAGGCGTCCTTGCCGTCACGTCTTCCGGTAACGCAGAGTCGCCTGCAGCCGAATATTCGCCTTGTCGTTCACCAGAGATAATTTGCGTCGGAAATATCGAGATAACCAACAAGCGACACGGCGGTCCCGGAGGTTCGAACTACGGCCCTGAGGTTGACATCTTCGCTGCTGGTACGAATGTCACCTCCGCATCTTACCTAAGTGACACTGGCTCGGCACGGCAGACTGGTACATCGATGGCTTCTCCTCATGTAGCAGGTCTGATCTCATACATTCGTGCGCTCGAAGGCCCAATGAGTGCTGCGGCGGTTAAGGCAAGGTTGTTTGAATTGGCTACTCTGGATGTTGTCACCGATCCTAAGGGTTCCGTTAACCGACTCGCATACAACGGCAACAACCGCCGATGATCTGCTGATGGTCTGGTAGATAGCTCAGTGGAGTACGAGGAGCTTAGAAATTGTGAAAAAGTAATTTATACGAGTTCTACCTAGTGCAGGGGTTCTATCTAATAGAGGTCCCAAAAATCGACATCTAAGCAAGAATTATCCAAACAATTTCGTAGAACACTTAGCGTAGACCCAGACCATGAACCTGTCCGTTCGGCCTGTCGGATGGCTTTACGCCGGCTAGTACCACTGGCTTTGGCCGTCTGACGTCTCCTGCAGCACCATCTTTCTCTATCTTCTTCGTCCCATCCACAAACAAAGGCATTGGCGCATTCAACAACTGACTCGGTGTCCCAGTAAACACCCTTTGCGATCGCGCGTCCGGCCAGCCATCGAAATTTCCAGACATCATCGCCGAGGCGTACTTCGTATGCCGCGAATATACGCTCGGACTCACAGGCGAATTGTACGTGTGGATCAACTTGTTCTTACCTAGTGATCCCCACGACGACACTGAGCTACCACTAATCTCCTCTTGTTTCAATTTCCAGCTTCGCGAGCGGGCGATCTTAGCGTTGTAGTGTACTCCGTATGGCTTGGAAGGTTTGATGTGAGGTGTGGTGATCTCTATGATCTCGCGTGCTTTTCTGCGGTGGCGTAGGAACAGGAGAAGGCCGATGATGAGGGCGACGAAAACTGCAGAACCCACTGTGATGCCAGCGATGCTAGCTCGAGATGAGAGCGGAGGGGGTTTGGTCCCGTGAAGTTGGAGCCAGGGGCTTGAGCCAGACGGGGAAGGCGTTGGCGATGATGTTGGCGAGGGATTGTAAGGCGTTTGTTGTGCGATCGACGTAGCATGTTGCGACGAGATTGAGATTGTGCTTCCCACTGCAGAAATTGCGGTAGTTGCACTCGTCCATACAGCGGAAAGGTTCGATATCCTGGGCATGGCTACCGTCGATGTCACGCTTGGCAAGGGTTGAGAATGGATAGTCGGGAAGGATGTAGGCTTGCTCCCGGTATTTCCGAATTGGTCGGGTATTGCTTGACGCTTGCTCAGGTCTTCTGACTTCTCATGCTGCAATGGGAAGGCAGCTGATGATGATATGAGAAGAAACAGAGCGGCCGTGAGATACCTGGTCATGGTTGCGAGTGTGGGTAAGGTCTTCAATGTGTTCTTTCTGTGTCGTGTTGATGTTAAATTGGGCAAAGATCTGGCAAAAGTATGGCAATTGATCTGAAGCGTAATGGCCATGTTAAAGATCAAGAATTGGATGCGACAAGCAACGACTGCATATTCCATGCGTCTCATTGCCGTCAGCTCACATGCACAATGTTCAGCCGCGAACACCTTCTGAATCCCCGACTTGGTGTCTAGTGCCACTAGTGCATCATGTTTTCATATGAGTCCCTACATACCAGCATTTCGGTCGAACCTCCATGTGCCTGCGCACACACCTACGCCCAATGGTGGCGTCCTTCAATATTCTGGCAAATTAATTCATCATGTTGCATTGAATGCATTGATGACGAGAATCCGGGGAAATCGATCGCATGGACCACAGCTGAAAGTATTGTTCCATCGCTTGTAGCGCGTGAGATATTACCCGCATTGACGTGCCAGGGTAGTACATGCAGTGCCGACGTGGGACACATTGCAAAACGATGTGGACTCGCCTTTTCATGGACCAAAGAAGGCTCTTCATACGAGAGACCAGTACTGTCGAGATAAAAATCCATCAGTAAGCCATGGGAGATGACCAGAGTTGGTTCTCGCGCCGAGTGCAGTGGCGGATAAAAGCACACCAAACAGCCGAGCGACGATGAGGACAACCACAGCGAGGCACGACCTGGCCCTTGATAATGTCAAACATTGATGCTACCAACTTGCGTGGAAAAGGAAAAATGTATCAAAGAGCAAAAGTACTTGGGAATCCAGATCTAAACGTTTATTAATTTCGATAGCACGTGACTGCAACACGACTACTGGTGCTGCTATCTACTCGACCGGGTCACGGCCTTCACGCTTCTTCATCTCCTCAAGGTACTCCTCTTCTGTCTCAAGATCAAACGGCGCCGGCCTAGTCAGAGGCAGAAAGTCGGTTCCATGGTCTTCGTACATCTTGAGGCGTTTAGCCGTCTGAGGCTTGCTTCGGTTCACACTGTAGCTATTCGGGTGTTAGCACACTTGCAACTCCAATCTCTCTCGGGAAGTGCATACATTTTGATTCGACTAGATAAAGACATTAGCTGAGGTATATAGCAGGCGAGATGCGGAATCACTTACTGGCATGAGGAAGTTACGTGGAGATCCCAGTTCCTGTTTCAGTGTTAGCGCGAATGGCTTAGAACCAGAGAGGTGATGCGCACCATGCAGATCGAACATATGTCGGTTGCGTCTGTCGGTATAGTTAGCGGGATATTTCTTCCAGAAGCCTCCTGCGTTCTGAGCAGACTGAGGTACGTTTATGCGGGTGGCGCAGTGCTCACGCAGAGGTTGTGCTCCTGCATGTTCGGGATCCATGCGAAACACCCTCGAAGTTGGCTAAAGAACACTTACATTCAGAGCATTGTCCCAGCATCGCACGCAAAATTCGCTGCACACTCGTCAGAACTCCTGTCTCGCAACGTGGCGGATTTTAAGACTTACAGCCATCCTTCCGCATCCACCGGAATGTCGATTTCCCAGGTGCGCCAAGCATGGAAGTACTTCTTGCTGAGTTGATCGTATGGCACCTCATACCAGACACCTCCGCCATCGTTGCTGACTTCGACTCGCTCAGGCCACCCGCTACCACTATACGCCCACCCGGTCATTTTGATCTTTCCATCGTGTATTATCACGTCCTTATCGACTGGTGTCATGATGGCGCTTGCGACGGGCATCGTTTGGATACTGAATCCATTGCTGTATGTGGCGTTGTGCTTGCCGATCTGAGGTGTGTAGTAGATGTATTCTTTCATCTGGACAGGAGCCATGGATGGGTCGCGAATAACGTTGATCCGCGTGAGCCACTTGCAACTCCGAGCACCAATATAGCCCATGACTACGACGCGAAGGGGTGCTCCGTGAATCGCTGGAAGCGGCTCGCCATTCATTTCCCATGCAAGCATTACCTCGTTTACTTTCATCTTGTGCGTCGGTACACTGACTGCATAGTTATAGATTTGCCCCTTCTTGAAGTACGAGTCAGCACCAAAGAACTCAATGTTCTTGCCCTCTTCTTTCAGGCCGCCACAGTACTTGATGACCTTCTTCAAGCTCACACCGACGTAGCGAGCGGTTCCGATCGCGCCTTCTCCCCAGGGCGCGTTGATCAGCTCGTCTCCGTCACCAGGATAGTCATGAATCTGCTCAATACGGCGTGTGCCACTGCACTGGAGTGTGACTGCGGTCGACATTCGGGGGAATCTACTCTCATCTTGAAGGTCTTTGAGTGTGAGTTTCATTGGCTTGTTCACGAGACCTTCGACTTCGAAGAAGTACTCTTCAGGGTCGATCTCTGGAATCCCGCCGTGATTTCGGACGAAGTGATCCTTGTTTGGTGTAATTTCAGTCTGTTGTCGTCAGTAGAAGTAGAGTGAAGTTAAGATGGGCACATGCCTCGACTAGTCGTTTCTGGAAACTAATTAGCAGCTGGTTGAGTATTGTACAGATGCGTACTCACCCTTTGCGGTTCGCCATTGTACGGGAACTGCAGAACATGGATCATATCCTCGCTCTTCTCCTTGAGCACATACTTCCAGGAGATATCCGGCATGTTGCTGAGGGTCGGACCCATGGCGTAATGGTAGTATCTTTATAGGATCAGTAAAGGGCATTATAACACATGAGGCAATGCGCGTACTTCCATCGTACTCCCTCCAGGATTGGATTAGTGTCAGGTAATGGTGTCAATTGAAACTCAGGCGGCTGTTTCTCGAGAGTCAGAGATGCATGTAGTGTTTTATCGCAGTGTTTTTACTGACGACAGGAAAATCGTATCTCGCCAAAACTTCAGCGGCCTGCTTTTTCTTCTCGGGATATCTCTCCCACTCCACGTAACCTTTCCATCCTTTACGTTCTTCCGCAAATACGGGAAGCTCGCCTTGCACCTCAAATGGTTTTGCGTTGGGCTCAGCGGGCGCCATGATGAAGGATGTGTGATGCTTCAAGACAAGTCTGTTTAAGACCAGCGAACAATGGCATAGATTCGCAGGATCTATAAGGATTCTGTACCAACGCGCGCACCAATACACATTAAGTACGTCATGATATCAATGTGACAGACGGCTTATTCATGGGTGCCACTGCTGCAAACGAGAGGCTGCAGATGACCCATGCGCACCGTCGTGGATAGCCAACTATTCAGTGCAGCCGTGGATCACCACCACTGCGGTTTCAGCAATCGCGACGAAGTGGGACCCATTGCCGGTAGACAGGTGCGTCATGATGATTGAAGACAACCGTCGAACAGGGATTGCGTCCAATGAAGAATACGTCCGAGTCCAAATCAAGCGCTAAGCCCGGCGAAAAACCTACCTCAGCACTGCGACAAATGGCTTTGTCTAGATTGTTGCATGCGAGATACGCGCAAGCGCAAGTACAAGTTGGTGACCTCAGGAGTCTTGGCCTGGCCGCCTTGTGGTTCGTGTAGTTGCTTACATGCAGGATGCAAAAGAACACGAGTCTGAGCGAGCATCTGTCAGCACAAAACACGAGAGGATCGTGCAGGGAGCGAATTGAACATGGCCAAAGACGTTGTTTGAAAGATTTGCGCTGTGGAGAGAGTGGAGTGGAGACTTGGGACGACGCGTTGCGCCGTTTCTGGCCACGCACGTGGGGCTTGGAGCTAAATTGGTTTAAGCTTATCGAGGTCCCCATCTGAGCTTGGCCAACCCACAACGTTCTTCATCTCAAACATTAAATCGTTAAGATGTTTGAATCGACCATGCAGTTCTACTCGCAGTTTTCCGGGTGCCTTGCAAACACTTTGATTGTGCTTGTAACAAGAATGATGCACAAGCGGGGTACAAGAAGCATGTTGGGCCTGTGCTAAAGGGAAAATCACTGGTATCCCAACTATTGATAAAACTTCCAACTAACCTCCTTACACTCCCACCCAGCGATAACTTCCCCCAACCTCTCAATCATCCACCCACTCGTCCAGCCCTCATCTTTCTTCACCCTCCTCCCCAGCTTCAACACCTTGCCAAGATGACACTCGCCATCGCCCAGCGCTTTGTACCGCCACTGTAGACAATCCTCCACGCGCTCGCACGTCTTCTGGCATTTCTTGGGACTGTCAGCTGCGTCTTTGATCGCGTCGGCGATTGCAGCCGCGTCCTTGTCGTCGCGAGGGTTGTGCGGCGGGTCAGCGAAAGGGCTCTCTTCAGGCGGGCCATCTTTGTCTTTCGCATGTTGTTTTCTGCGCTCGTCTTCCTCCTCGAGCTTCTTGCGCCTGCCCTGCTCGCCCACGATCTTCGTGTCGCCGCTGAAGTTATCCCACTCCCCCTTGCTCTTCTGCACATGCGGCATCACGAGGTCTGCAAACGCGTCGCGGAAGAGGTACGGCACGTCCCAACCCTTTTCGTGCGTCCAGTTCTGGTGGCTTGCCCAGATGTCGTTCAAGACTGTGGCGTCGGTGTGGTGCCATGATACTGCGGGGGCGCACCACTGCTTGCGGGTGAAGTCCAGGGTGCTAGGCTGCTCGCCTTGCATCAGCGGCCAGGAGGCGTAGAACTCGACGTGTGCATCGCTCATGGCTTGGGCGAGCGCGAAATCACCGCAGCACCCTTTGCCCAGCTCCGGCTCCCATTTGCTGGCGTATAGCTCTGAGTAGGACTTTGCGTAGCGCCGCAGCGCGCCCTGGGACAGCAGGATACCCGGGCCTCGCTGGGCGATTTGAACGTTGTTTATGAAGGTGGGAGCGCCGCTGTAGTAGGGGATGCGGTAGTCGAGGCGGTCGAGCCATTGGAGGAGATTGGTCCAGCTGAGGCTTGTGTCGGCTTCGATGAAGACATAGAAGCGGGCGTCGGGCTTGAGGTGGAAGGCTTTGTTCACCATGGGCAAGAACTTCCACTTGTCGAGGTCCTTGGTCTTGGCGACGTCGGGCTTGTGCTCGGCGTCTGCATGCATGAGCTGGTATTCGCGGAACTCGTCGTGGGTGCGCTTTGTTTCGCTGCCGATGCTATCGAGGGCGTTGTGCACTTTTATGCCGTCGATGGAGCCGTCGTGGTCGCTGAAGATGGCGAAGTTGGGCACGCAGGCCAACAGGCTTTTGATGTGCGCGGGGAGCTTCTCTTGCACCTCTGCTTTGGAGGTGCGGAAGACGACCATGACGTTTGGAGCGCCTGCGACATCTTTGCAGAACTTTGGTTTGGCGGGTGTCGTCGCATTTGTCGCATTCGCTGTCGGGGCCGGGATCGCGTGCGTGGCGAGTGTCGTGGGTGGTCGTGTCTGTCGTGTCTCCCCTGACGTCTCCGCCGCCTTCAGCTTGTCCTTGTCTTCCCACCTCCCGCCATCCTTCTCGTACTCTGCAATGCCTGTCTCAGTCGCTTGCCCCGCCGCTGGCCCAGCATCATTCCACCTCTGGTCATCCTCGGCAGCGGGCCCATCCCCATGCGTAATCTGTGGCGCAATTGCTGCATCAGTGGGCGTCGCCATCACCGGCGCAGGCACAATTGGCTCGGTATGCACATTCTTATGTTCGTAGTGGTCTATAATCGGCTGCGCGGGCCGCACAAGCTGCGTCGGGAAGCCCAGCGTGTAGAGCAAGCTGATGAGGGTCAAAGCCACCACGACAATGGCGATGCGCGAGGGGGAGAGGGTGAGCATGGCCATGTTTCGGCGGTCAAGTCGCGAGCACAGTGTGGAAGATGCGACATCAAGGGACAAGGTGTCTTTCCATGGCGAGGCAGCTCAGAAAATAACGAGTCGCGCGGATCAGCCCGCCTGAACGCCAGAATGAAGAATGGCGGCGGAATGTGTGATGCGTGCGGTGAGGCGCAGGTGCCCGTGTCCCGCTCCCATCCCTGCGGCCATGTTCTGGAAGCGAGGGCGTGGTTCCGAGGGCTTGGGGCGGAATAGACCTCATCGCAAACAACGTCTTCGCATTGGCTGCATGGAATTACTTTCAACGGTATTGTGACAACCATTCACGTATCATTCCTTCTCATGGCCATACCGGCAGACATCAACTTTTACTGAGCCAGCCTATCACAGAATGCTCCTGCGCCTTCCCTCTTCCTCCCGCAATCTACAGGAGCCCCACGGTCCTTTGTTTCATCGTCCTGACATCCACATTCTGCCACAGCGCCACGCTCGTCCACGTGATTATATACACACATGTCGCCGCAATGAGCATGTACCTCTGCGTCTCCCCGTAGCTCGCGTTGATCGCGTCTCTCGCGGGACTACCCACGGGGTAACTCTGCTGGACCTTGATGTCGCCATAAATATCCGCCATCTTGTCGACAACATCAGCTGGCAGATTCGCCAGCAGACGTGCAGGGAAGATACCAGTCCAGATGGCACTCGCGATGGTTGACCCAATCGCTGACCCGATGGCGATGACCATGCTTTCGACAGCCAGCAGCGCGGGGAAATCTTGCTGCTTGGACACAGCCATGAGCGTAGTCTGCTCGGAGATGACCAAGACTCCGCCACCAAACGCGATAAAGATCATGCACATGACAATGTACCCAATGTTCTCATCCGGCTGGCGGAACTGGATCATCAGCCCAACGCCCAGGATCGTAAGCGGCACGCCCCAGAATAAGCTGTACATCTTCAGCTTGCCGTAATACCGCAGACACACACCGTAGACAAGAGAAATGAAGCACGAGCCCATGGTGTAGATGTTGGCGATGTAGGTCGCGTGCGGCGTCGACTGGTTGAACATGACCACCAGCAGGGAGTAGAAGTACGAGTCCCAGATGTACCAACCGACGTAGAGCGATGCGGCCATGGTGTATGTGAAGATGACAGTGCGATTCTTGAGCAGCGCCCAGGGGATGAAAGTCACGGGTGCGCCCCATTTCTCCCACAGACCGAAAGCGACAATCAGCAAGGCGCCGAAGACCAGGAAGCAGATGATCAGCGGCGATTTCCACTGGTCTTTTTGCAGCGAATAGAGGTTGAAGGAGAGCAAGAACAGCGCGAGACCGGTGGCGAGGATAAGAAGGCCCACGACGTCAAATTCTCGCAGGTAGTACATGACCTTTTGCGCCAGGGGACCGCGGTCGGTACGCGGCTGGATCAGACCTTCACGGCGGGCCTTGGCTTCGTTGCGCCAGAACATAATGATGAGCGGGGCGCATACAAAGGGCGCGATGATGGCGAAGATGCCAAAGCACCAGCGCCAGCCAATCCCGTCATGCGCAATGACATCGTTGACCGCAAAGCCGTAGATCCAAGTAGTGATCAGCCACGGCGAGGCAGCGTACGCAACGAAGAAGCCTCTGTTCTTGAGCTTGGAGGTATCGGCGATGAAGACGGTCATGGAGAAATCGATACTATTGTAGCCAGTGTAAAAGAACGTGTTAGCGGCGCAGTACGCTTTCACATTGTTACAGCATGCCATCAGGATCAGCCCCACGACGTAGCATCCGACGCCGAAGCAGAGAGCGGTGGGTCGGCCCCAGATGTTCATGATCTTGGCGTAGGGGAGCTTCCAGATACCAGCGACGATGGACGAAATGACCGATGTCAACGCAGTGAGCGAGTGCTGCTGGAAGGAGCTGGTGACGTAAGGAGCCAAAGTACCGTTACAGCTCGATGTGAAGGACACGAAGAACTGGATGAGCCACATGCTGTGCCTTGTTAGAAAACAGCAGGGAACGACAAGGTATCGAGACTTACAAGATGTAGGCAAGGATCAAATCCCTCTTGGTCCAGACATGGGTGGCTGCCTGAACAGCCTGAACACCGCTCTCAGCAGTCGTATCAATCTTGTTCAGCTCCTCATCGTCACTGCCAGACAAACTGCTGGCCCTAGGCGTACCCAACTTCTCATCAGGGCGCGACACGTCCATGCTCGTATGGCCGTGAACGGCAGCAGGAACATCAGCGACATCCTTGTGATCCTGCTCAGCGGCAAGAGGCGTCGAAACCAACGCATTGGACGTCAATCCCCTGAAAGAGAAGCCCATATTTGCTTGCTGGGAACAGTCGACACTGCGGTGTGGAGAAATACAGAAGGCAGATGGGAAAGATTGATAAGATTGCGGGTGAGCGCGCGCAAATATACGTGCTCGGAAACACACGATCCACACGGTCCCTGTACCACCAGCAACTCTAACTCACTTCCTGAGCTGACCCGGTCCTCGGCTCACATGGACAAAAGTTGCTCACGCCGCTATGTTCTGGAATTTGAGGCAGTTCCATTCAAGGACCCCACCGCGAGCACTCCACGAGTAAGACACCCCTACAAGCGTCCTGTCCGCTTCCTCTTCTTCACTGCTCACGGTACTCAAGCCGGCATCAAGCTCACTGAAGCTCCGCCTAGACGGGGTCAAGAATCTTATCTTGATGATCGCGCCGACCCAACGACCAATAGGAGGCGCCTCCGCGTTATCAGATGAAAACTCTGATCTTATCTGATTGAATCCTTCACAAGCACAAACTGTCGCCTTAGTCGGATCCAGCATCTCAAAACTCGTCGTCCTTTGCGGCGTCTCCGATGCTGTCAGTGGAGCATTCGGAAAATTCTTGAACATGGTCGACCCATCACTTCTGGTACGACAACATTCGCCCAATCATCGCCGCCATCGTTGCAGCGGCTCGGGAGAAGAATCAGGCGACCCCGAGGGCCTGGGTGCGCAAACTCGCATCCGCAGAAGTGGGGTTGAGGCTCGAATCGATATTTTCCACAGGGCGTACCGAGTAGAGTTTGTGACTATACCATTCCAGGTACCAGTGCATCGGGTGGAATCGTAAAGATCTCATCCCGGGGCTGCTGCTTGGGTCCTTGCACGAAGAAGTGTGTGGGTGCCATGTCCTGGATGTGTTGAGCCTTTCCAGGTACATGGCTCCTATGCAGCTTCGACTGGGGGCTCCGCGAACGAGCGGCGATGCTTGCTGATTGTGGAGTGGGGCTACAGGCCGATCGAGTGCAGTATCCGAAGTACCTCCATGAGTGGCGATGATCTCGATAGCATATTAGGTTTGTTGTTGCTGTTTGGCACTCATGGACATATTGTTGTCGATGCCGGCGCGCTGATGATTGCAGACGAGAGTGGAAGCAAGCTCATGTAACATCTAGACGCGGTTGGTAACAGATGCAACAGCCTATCGAATGAGTCTTGTTGATATAGCATTGTAGTGGTATGTGAAGGTGAGGATGTCGGAACAAGCAACGCTGATGTAGGTAGTCACTTTTAGCTTACGCCAGCCGTTATTACATTGCGCCACGATCTTATCCGATCGACGAATACGAATAAGCCAAAAGCATGTACAAGCGAGCACTGGATACATGAGCATACAGCCTACGATATTACCCCGACTGGTAATTGATTGTATACATTATGTACTTGGAGTCTGCCCAAACAAGCTTTGAAGTACAGCTTCGATGCATACTTTCCGAAAGCCTTCCAATGTCAGACTCTCATTTAGATTATCGTATGCGTCCCAAACGCCCAAGCTAAAATGTCAAATACGCATCGAATCCTCGACACGACTAAGCCGTGAACAGCAGAGCAGCTACCGCGAGAGCCACAATCGGCGCGTAAGCAACACTCAAACCGCCTGCCGCACCCGTCGCCGCCGTCTCGCCCGTCTGCGCCGAAACAGGAGCCTCAGAAGAGTCAGTCGCCGCAAGAGTATTCGAAGCGATAATAGAAGGGGTAGGCGTAGGTACAGCCGCGGATTTCGCAATGGCCATGCTAGTGCTGAAACTTACCTTTGGCGAACTTGCCTTGGCCTTCTCAGTGACCCATTTGACCACTTCTTCGTTGTGAAGGATGAAGTAGTCGAGATGTTGGGCTACGTCCACGGGTTCGCTGCCCACGGCGCAGATGGGGTCGCCGTGGTGGCAGTAGTCGCTTAGGCGGTCGGAGTACTTGCTCAGTGCTGAAAGCTGTTCCGTGGTACGGGCTCGGGTGCCATCAAAGGATTTGCCGTCACCAATGGTGTAATTTTGGTCGCGCGATCGAGCTACAGCGCCGAATGTCACTGCTGCAATGACTATTGGGCAATTAGCATGTCGATTGTTTGGCGGCTCTGATTGGCACATACACTTGTCACCGATCGAAGATTCCAGGGCTGGGTTGGTGTCTTGATCACATTCAAAGACGTGGCCTCCGCCTCCACCAAGAATGTCTTGCGCAACCGATGCGCCTTGCGAGAAACCGAATAAGATGAGTTTCGATTTGGGACACTTTTCGCTGTAGGCTTTGACCTGCGCTTGTCCACCAGACGCTCCTTTGCTTGCGGATTTGCACCACTCTTCCTTTCCCCACGCAGTGCTCTTTGCTGGGTACTCAATGTTCTCGAAGCCGCATTGGTCCTTTCCTAATGATGCGCATACTTGAGACGAGACGTTGCCCTGACGGCCGGGGTAGGGCTCATCGGATCCTCGGACGATGAAGACATGGAACGGTTTGCAGTCGGATGTTTGGAAGGAGACGATCTCAGTTGTATTGCAGTAAGTTTCGGGGTATTCTGCGTCGCAACGTTGCTGAGCGACAGCCACAGTGGCGATAAGGGCGAGAGTTGAAAGCACGGCCTTCATGGTGGCTTGTTGTGTGTATTATGAGTAACGAACGTGGTGTGGTCGGGGAACGAGAGAAAAAATATCTAAACAAAAATTAAACAAGACCTCCAATCACCAGGCCTAAAAGAACGTAGCGAGAGACGATAAGGGCGGTGACGACCAACCTTTTTCTCCATGATCGCAGCACAGGACCTTGATTTATCGCGATCTCCCCGACCTGGTATGGCGGTGCAGCCTAACGCAATTTGTAAGACAGAACGGTGCCTTCACGGATATCGGCAACCGCCAAGCTGTGGCGGGTCCTCCCTTCCGACTTTGCGAGCCACAGGAAAGGCTGAAATGCATTGAAGCCTCATCAAACGCAGGAACATTGTCTTGGGTGATGGATTAGGTGACGCGGCACATCTATCAATAGGGGCGAGACCACTGCGCGTGCTGGAGCTGATGGTGTGAAGCGGTCTGGACACTGCAATGTGGACACAGGACGCCGGCTCGCCCGCACAACCTGGGGTTGTGCTTGCCCAGATGACATTGTTTCGCAAAGTCAACTGCATCTCAATCTGATTTCGACATCGAGTACATGTGAGCGACAACTCACAATAGCCCGGCTGGTTCTACGACGAAGCGGCACATTGCAGCAGACAGGGCGGTAGCTATCCTCTGGACTCGGCAAATTCAACCGACAAGCTGATGTGCGACACGCTTGATCTCCACTTGTGTACTCTGTGTCTCTGCTCTTTTCTGGTCTCGGTGGCCAAAGGATGAATCCCGATCTATCGTACCTAAACGCGTCGCAAAGCTTTGGGTAGCATCGCAGCCGATGAGGACCACATCGCAGCGTCTCTTCCCACCCAGGCTATCTCTTTCTCTTCGCGCCAAGCCGAGTGTTCTGTTTATATGTCATGTGGACTGTCCTCTCAAGGCAATACGGTTCTCTTTTGGCATTCCAGTATCCGGTCAGATTCTGAGGACTCAACGCCATTGTCAGGGGTGTGCAGATTGCGGCATGCGTGTGCTCGCGAGAGCCAGTCAGGGCGGGTGCATTGCGCGCAAACTTCATCGGATCCGCGGTCGCTTGCGGATACTACTGATGGTACCTGGAAAGAAAGCGAAGAAGTCAGGAGTTGGAGCAGACTTCGAAGCTTCCTCACAGCGCCGTTCCCACGTGTTCCAACCAGCCAATAGCGTGAATCGCGCCGCGATTTGACCGCTTTCCTTCCTTTGATATGCAACGCTCTTGACTTCACAAAATTAATGACATCCATACGAAGACGCAATACTTGATAGAAGTAAGAGCTGATAACAGTTACGAAAATATGCATTGGGTATCAAAGCGCTACAAGTCTACCACTCCAACCGATCGTCGCACGTCAGCCGTACATCCCACCTGTCCTCGCCCTTCCAGACCTCTCCACCCTTGTTCGATGCAGCAACGATGCTCCTCAAGTCACTAATCATCTCGCCCGGCCCGGACGCAAACACATCGGTCCTGCCTCGTACAGTCGTGTTAATGAACTCGGGCACCAATGTAGCGAGACTTGGTCGCGCGTCGTAGTGGTTCAGACCCAACTCAGCCTTCGAAACACCGTGGACCGAGAGTGCTGAAGAGAGGGATGCGGATGATGATTCAGAGTTGGAGGAGGCTGGTTCGATTTCCTTGGAACAGTCATTCACGGTTGCTTTCTCAGATACAGCAGGAGCGGATGGGTCGACGTCTTCGACAGCACGGGTGACATAGATGTGGATTCCGGTGCGCAGGTTGGGGCACTTGCGCTTCAAGACGGCGAGTTCGGGTGCGACCCAGTCAATATCGCGACGGTGACGAACGACCCAGATCAGGGACATGCGGCGGTCCAGGGATTGTGGGCGGCTGGCAAGGTCAAGAAGGACGGGGAGAACGTAAGTGATACCTGTGCCACCGGCAATGCAGAGAATGTTCGAGTCGACGGGGAGATCGCGCATTGTGCGTTCGCCGTAGGGGCCAGTGAGCACAACGGAGAGTCTGGCGTCGGCCATCAAGCCCTCGTGCGATTCCTCGTGGTCGTTGGAGCGCGCGGCACGCTTAGCGGACAGCGCAGCAATCTTCTTCGTCTCGCCCTTCTTGGCGCGGAAGATGTACGAGTGCCGTTGAGTATCTTGGCCATACACGGGCTGGCTGAGTGGTGTGAAGGGGTGCGATTGCCAGATGCTGCTCTCGGGGAACATGAGGTAGAAGTGCTGACCGACGTCCCAAGCATCGTGCGGGTGGTCAAAGTCCAGTCGCACAACATCGCCATTGATTGAATCCTTGAAAAAGGTGATGTTGGCTGGAGCGGCACGGAAGCCCATGTGTCCTGAAGGCAGGAAGTTGTAATGCAACAATGCGGTCCTGACGAGCCGGATGCCACGGTCGATGAACCAAACAAGGTATGTCTCGGGGAGGAGGAACACCTGCAATTGATGCCAGTGGCCCCAGCAAGCGCCAATGTAAAGCATGGCCAGGACGTAGTGTGCTTTACGGAAGAATTCATAGCCGGTCAGTCGGATGCCCCATGGTGTGGATAGGGCAACAAGCAGAACGAGGAGGATAATCGCAACGCAACCCCAGACCATATACTTTTGGACGATCCATTCCACCGCGACCTTTGGCTGAGGCTGGTAGAGCCATGTCTCAACAAGGATCCATCCCAGCGTGTGGAAGAAAGACTGTGCGAAAATGATGTATCCGAGCCATCGGTGCAGGAAGTTAAAGCTCTGGTATGGCAATCCGGTGACTAGTGACAAGATCGACTCGCGGCTCGACAACATGATCGAGAGGGGCGTAAGCGCATAAGCTAGGACGCCGATCCGGTCAGACCAGGGACCAAGGGTCGTTCGCGTGTTGTAGACACCGGGCATCTTTTTGACTGGTGTGACCCATTTTCCGTATACCATGCCCACGAAAGAGAAGATTGTCAAATATCCGGTCAAAACGAGGAGTGTCAGAACCTGCGTCCTGGTGACTCTTCCGAAGATGAATCTGGAGGCATCCGGCAAGAGGTACTGTCTCGCGTACGAGGGGATCGCCTTCTGCAACCGCTCCCACGAGCTGCCTTTTTCCTTCACCTCTTCTCCAGCCTCAAGCGGGATCTGCACGCCCGATGGCTGCGAGCGGGAAAAGTGACGTCCAACAGCCCAGAAGAGCAAGATGCCGCCGATGGTCGCCCAGATGATTCCGGTGTAGTACATTCCCAAATCGTGAGCGGCATACACAACATCGAGATACGTGCAGGATCCCGGATCGTTGGTACACGGCATGACACGATCGGCATACCCCCAGTGGGGAATGCTATTCGAGGCATTCGCATGGTCCTGGATGTGTCGCGCCGTGAGGCCAAAAGTGTGACCTGCCATGATAGACGACTAATGGGCGAGCAAAGATTGGATGATGGGCTGGCTGCATCTTCAAAGCACCGGTTGGCATGTCTGTCATATATGTTCCCGACCCAGCGAAACATGCGCACCTTAGCTCGAGACGCACCTTCCGGCAAGCGATCATCATGGTGCCGCCCGCCAAGCTTCTAGACGGACGGCGCGATCCTGGACGCCACCGAAACAAGCAAAGCGCGAGTGCGTTTGAGCACATAACCCCACAACTTCGGATCAATGTCGGTTAAGGGTCTGGACAATGGTGGGACGCAGGGTAGTGAGCGAGTTTATTATCTTGGGCCTGGCTCTTGGATTCATTAGTTGATTCCTTGGTTGGCGGATTCGATATATACTCAGCTTCGGTTCGACGGGCGTCAAATACAGCTGCTTAGAACGACATCTCAAAGTGCACCAGACACCCAACTACAACCTCCAGCGTACCGAGATATACCGCCCGGCGCATCTTTCATCATGAATCACGCAGGAATGGACATGGGCGGCGGTGCAAAGAACTGCAAGATGGAGGTATGTGATGCCGATTTCTCCAATGCTATCGCAAAGTCTCTAACTTTTCATAGATGTTGTGGAACTGGAACGTCGTCGACTCCTGCTTCCTTGCCTCCTCATGGCACATCACCAACAATGCCATGTTCGCTGCATCCTGCGTCGCCGCTGCTCTGCTCGTCGTATGCCTCGAATTTCTCCGTCGCGTTGGGCATGAATACGACGCCTATCTCCTTCGCCAATTTCAGCGCCAACTGCGCCATCAACAACTCGCGCTTGCGGCAGCCACACCTGCGAACTGCTGCGACGGTCCAGCCGCAACTTTGGGCACGCAGTATGCGACTTTCAGAGCGAGCGGATTACAGCAACTGATCAGGGCAATTATTCACGGTGTTACGCTTGCATTGGCGTACATTATCATGTTGTTGATCATGTACTACAACGGATACATTTTCATCAGCATCATCCTCGGCGCGATATTGGGCAAGTTCTTGTGCGATTGGATGGTTGTCAGGTTGCCGTACGGGAACGAGGGCGAGAAGGACGTTCGCAGTGGATCTGTTGGCGCAGCTGGACCTACCGGATGCTGCGCGTAGATCAAGGAGAGACATTTTGATATCCTGTGATGAAACGATAGCGAGCATTCAATTCGAAATTTACATGTTACATATCACTTTTGGCATGTCCTGGGCCTGTGAATCTAACTGTGCTATTGCAAAATCCTACGAACACGATGAATTCACCCAGTCCTCCAGAATTCCCATCCACTCTTCCAACACACTTCACTACACTTCACCACACCAGCCATCTCATCAAAAAGCAAAACCCCCTCCCTCAACATTTGCCTCAAACTCGGCATCTCCGACAACTCCAACTCGGCCCCTCCCACCCTCCACCTAATACCGCCGAGCCCGCCGAAGCCACCAGTGGGGGTAAAACATGCTCTCCAATATATTGCCGCGAGATGTGAGGGGCGTGAGCAAGTTCCACTTCATAGTCTAGTTGAGGTAGTTGTGGCAAAGCCTCAAAACCCCAGAGGTGAAGTTTCTCCGGTGAAAGCTGCGAATCAAGGACGTCACATATGTAAGTGCCGAGTTCTAGAAGACGATGCACGGTCCGGGGACCGTGTCTTGGGGTCCTGCGGGCGGCTGTTGGGACGCATGTGCTCCGGGTTGTCGGGCAGGATGGAACTGGGCGTTTCTGCGCGGCGCTGATCACCTGGCTGCAGTGGAGTCTAGATACCTATTGGTTTGTTCACATGGATGCTTCACACTGGCATGTGGCACAGGTTTGTTTTGTTGGGATCAAGGCATCGTTGTTCTAGATTTCATGTGAACAATGCTAGCGGTGACAAAAAGGAAACCATGAAAGCAAGGCGCAAAGGCCGGCAGAAACAAAGGCGCGGAGGGGTATCGTAAAGAAAAACACATTGTGACGCCAGTTTCGGGAGAATGAGTGTCCTCGTGAAGTTACCCGCATCGACTTAAGCTGTGTGTAGATGCATTTCAACGCCGATGCGTTGTGTCGAGATTCCATGGTCATGATGTAGCCGCCCGTGGGTGTAGAGTACATAGGGCGGCCATTCCCAAGGTCGCGTCGAAAGCAAAGGTAAGAGAAACATGTTCCCTGTCTTCACCTCATAGCTCAACAGTCCCGCGCGTCAAATCAAGCCCAAATTTTCAAAATCTTCTTCGCGAGCCCACGAATGTCCTTGTTCAACCGCTTCTCCTTCTCCTTTGGATTCTTTAGCGCATCCAGCTTGACAATCATGCGCATAATCTCCGTCTTCATGACACCGTTATCTTTCTGACCAAGTATGCCCGTCTCGTCCTGGACATAATCCTCCATCCACTTCAAGATGGCTTGGTTCTCTTGGCACTTTGTCACGTTGACCCGGCCCTCCTTGAGGAAATCGTCAACGTTGACCTGGAATTGGAGCACGTTGTTGTCGATGTATACCATCAGGGTGCCCTTGTCGGGTCGAAGGAAGCTTGCAACTGGGGCTGTGGGTTGGGCAGCAGCTGGATTGATGGAGAAGATGAAAGGGGCTTGAGCCTCTTTGTTGGCCTTTGAAGCTTTGAGGAGATCAGAAAAACTGTCAAAGTTCTTGCCAGTATCGGCAGCCTGCTCTGGAGCCTGGATCTGCTGGACCTGAGGCTGGACCTGCTGAACCTGCTGAACTTGAGGCTGCTGATAGCTCCGGACCGGCTGGTAGTTGTAGGCTTGCTGAAGAACTTGAGGCTGCTGATGATAGCTGTGAGCATGCTGGAGAGATTGACGTCGTCTGCTGAGCTAAGAGTGCAAAGTCTTGAGGTTGTTGTGGCGGCGGTGGCGCGCCCACGCTCGCTGCAAATTGTTCAAAGCTGATCGGAATAGGCGCAGCCACAAAGGGAAGATTGCTGGAGGCCTGCTGCATAAGAGGGTCGATCCACTCCCGCGCAGTTACGATAGGCTTGCAGATGAACTGGATACAGCGTATCATGTAGCCCAAGCCGTTTTGTTCGTTCTCGGGGAATTGTGCCGCAGCCTGCTCGTCGAAGACTGTGAAAATTCTATCGATAGCCTCCAAGGGCCATGCGTTCTTGAGTTCGTTGGCACCGAACAATTCCAGCATGGTTTCTCCCTGCATCTCTTCGAAGATCTTACAGGCTGGCTCCAAGACGTTGCTGATGATTTCACTGAGAGCCCATTGCAACTCATGGAAGTTGCCTTGCTCATAGGCCTGCAGAATCCCCATCGCCTGCGTGTGAAATTCCGGGCTCAGAGCTAATAGCTGTTCGATACGCCGTTTGTACATGAAGCGGTACGCATCGAGCTCTGTCTGCTTGCTCTGCTGCGCGGCAGCTTCCTCGGCCTCCCTGTGCTGTTGCTGCTCACACTGTTGACGTAGCATGGCCTGGTACTGTTCGTAGACGTCCTTGGTATCTTGAATGCGCTTGTCGGTGTTGTGCTTGGCCAAGACAGGATCGTTATCGATCCCTGAATGACCAGAGGGTAGCCCAACACCGAGTCCCATGCGCTCAGGGCCAAGTATAGAAGCGAGACCTGCTTGGATGCGATTGCTGCGCTCCATATGGTTTTCACTAGCGGGATAGGCAGATCGCATTTCTTCCATGTAATCCGTCTTAAATCGATGGTCCTGGTATGTCGAAGGCGTATTCATCATGGCTTTGGACTTGCGCAGCTCGGCGGTGCGGACTGCTTCAGCACGAGCAGCTTCCGCGCGGGCAGCTTTAGCACGCTGAGCAGCTCGAGCCGGCGCAGCCTGTTGCCAAGCGATATCCTTTTGTTCAGATTCGTGCCACAAACGCTTGCGCTCGACTTCTTCATCGCTGATCCTGGTGGTCGGCACTCTCAGTTGGAGCACTATGGCTTTGCCGACGCGGCCCCGAGTGGTACCACGCGCGATCGACTGCTGGATACTGTTAGTATAGTGCTGAGAAATCATTGAAGCTATACAAACCTTCGATCGTCGGAAGTAGTTGAGTTCTTTCGCGAAGATATTATGGAAGCTGGGAGAGATTTGACCGGCACCAGCATAGATTTTGTGAGGTGCGCTATCATGTATGAACTCCTGCATTGTGTATTAGCAACTTGATGCCATGTACTTTGAGTTAGAGAGAGACATACCTTAGCCAGTCTCATGAAAGTCTGTCCCTTCAAGGTGGCCTCGTCGTACTCATGACAGATGCGAGCGCCGACATAGTTGGTGAGCTTCTTAGCCTGGCGCTTGATGATCTTAGGGACAAGAGCAGGCGCCATGTGTGGAAGGTGTGTTAAGGTTAAGCACTTGTGTGGCTGTGGAGAGCTTCAGTTAGTAGAAGACTGGTCGACTATTGGTGAATATGGCCGTTGGCTTGGGTGGATGGTTGAGTCAACGTTGGCAGTCGAAGTGGGTGTGTAAGTTCTTGTAGGGATGAAGAGAGCTTTTAGGCAGAGATGGGTCGCGCGTGCCAAGAAAGCCCTAGGGCGCTGGCGTGCCGAGAGGCTGGGGATGTTGTGGTGACAGTGAATGTGAAAAGGCATAAGTTGGAAAAAAATGACGCACAATTGTTTGGGAAATGACCATACACCCGGCCTAAGTCATGCGCAACTAATTGCAAAAGGTCGATTGAACTTCCGAACAGTCGTACGGGGTGCAGGTGGCGTTCGAGTGAATGATGGTTTCCTGAGTGTCGCTGCGCAACAATGATTTCCTTCCTCCGGATATGCTTTGTTATCTGTCACAATTTCATTGTCTACTTCCGTCCTTTCTTACAGCAGTTTTTCGATTGTTTCCATTCAACAGTGTATCGTACGTATGTACATGACGATGCTCATCGCGTCCCAAGTTAGTGAATTGGGTGTAGTGAGGAAGTCCATGAACACTGCTGCATTAACGAGCGAGAAGTCTTCGGGGGTCTTGCAAACATCTGAATCGCACAAACACGTTTGGTACCTCGTCCTAACTGTTCAAGTGACGAATGCAGTTCCAGTGACCCTCATGATTTTGATCGCTGATGCTGGACACAGCGGACAGTGCTCCATACGCGGACTGCGATCGAGCGTGCCGAGCTGCTATTTCGAGCACTTGAATCGTAAAAACATTCTATGGAAGTATTATAATGTGTTGCAGTGTGTCACGAAGCGAAAGAGAACATTGCAAATAGCTCAGTATGAAAGATAGCTCTGCCAACCTGATCCTGATGATGTATCTGTCGTGAAAGTACAACCAGTATTTTCGTTACATATTGCTCGATGCACGTAGCTGAACTTAGAAGAAATACAAAGGAGTGTAATTAGAGAAGGTATAGCAATAGACAGGCGTGCCTGACTGTAATACGCGTCCGCCATTACGTTCCTCGGGATTGAGGCCGGGTGCCACGAGTTGCCCCTTCGAATATCACAGGAGGCGGGTGCATTGTTGGCGTTTTCCTGGTACACGACGGCTGACGAGATATGCAGCGCTTAAAGAAAAAAGACATCTGATCTGTAAAATTACGAGCTGTCTTGAGATGCACCTTGCGCTGGAAGCAGATATCAGCTCATGTAGAGAAGAGGCACTACTTATGTAAGCAACCAATGACGACTAGTTGAGTCGGCTATATGACATTTCCGGGAATATGCTCCGACTCCGAACCGCTTCTCAGAAGTACAGCAGACACCAGCCGCAGTCATGTCATGTACCGTTGCGTTCAGACTGCAGCGATCAAGCAGATACTCTGGATCGAATCTATGCCTCGCTCGCTGGACTCAAAGATGTTCGTTCTCAACATCGCGACATTTGCGGATCATGGAGACCACCGGCTTTACCGAGGAGCAACTGACTGTTCGAGAAGCCGTGGGCGCCGTGTGTTCCAAGTTTCCCAACACATATTGGCAGGAGCGCGACCAGACGGGGACTGATCCCAAGGACTTTCATGCTGCACTCGCGAAAGATGGGTGGCTGGGCATTGCTCTTCCGGAAGCTTTTGGTGGTTCTGGCCTCGGTATTTCCGAGGCGACCATGATGATGCAAACCATTGCCGAATCTGGCGCAGGTATGGCTGGTGCACAAGCAATCCACGCGAATGTGTATGCGACGCAACCACTCGCGAAGTATGGGACGAAGGAGCAGTTGCAAAATACCATTCCAAAGATCATCAGTGGCGAGTTCCGGACTTGTTTTGGTGTCACAGAACCCAATTCAGGACTCGACACTTTGAGATTGAGCACGACAGCAAGAAAGCAAGATGATGGAACTTACAGTATCACCGGACAAAAGATTTGGATAACATGCGCTCAAGTTGCGGACCGCATGATACTGTTGGCACGGACTAAGGCTCGTGAAGAAGCCGAAAAACCGTCCAAAGCGTTGAGCATGTTTTGTATACCCATCGACAAATCGGCACCAGGTTTGGACATGCGCATGATCAAGAAGATGGGTGGGCGTGGCGTGGATGCTAATGAGGTGTTCTTTGACAATTACAAAATCTCTGCCGACTGTCTGATTGGTAAAGAAGGCGACGGTTTCAAGATCATTCTGCACGGCATGAATGCAGAGCGATGTCTGCTTGCGGGAGAAGCTCTAGGCTTGGGGTATGCAGCATTGGCCAAAGCGAGCGCCTATGCGAGAGATCGCAAAGTCTTTGAGCGACCGATCGGCATGAACCAAGGCATCGCGCATCCTCTGGCAGATGCATACATGCGCCTCGAAGCTGCTAAATTGGCGACCTATCACGCAGCAAAGTTATACGACTCGAGCAAAACCGACCAAACGATTCGGCAAGATGCAATAGGCGTAGCAGCAAACAGCGCGAAGTATCTTGCAGCAGAAGCAGCATTCACGGCATGCGAGCGAGCAGTCCTTGCACATGGTGGCATGGGATACGCTCAGGAATACGACGTGGAGAGATGGTTCAGGGAATGTCTGGTACCAAGGATTGCGCCAGTAAGTAGAGAAATGATTTTGAACTACATAGGTGAAAAGGTGCTTGAGCTTCCCAGAAGCTATTAAGCATCGACAAGAAATTAAATATTTGCATCGAGTTTCTCTCGCCTATTGCGAAAGCCCCGCGATGAGTCTAGATCAACACCGCCATACCCTGCGCAGTATTCGCAGCAATTCCGTCCAGCTGGAAATGCTGAACCATCTTCATCGACCCTTGACCACCCGAAACATCCAAAACTGTGATGGCGGCAGGTGTGGTACCGTTGCCGGGCGAAAGCGCGTACACAAAGTTGCCAGCGCTCTTCAAGTCGACCAGACCCGGGTCTCCGTTAGCAGACAGATCTAGCTCGTGTATGATGCTCGCATCCTTCAAGCTCATTTCCACCACACGGTTGGTACCGACATCGGTCACGTACGCCGACTTAGTTGCATCGGAAACGGTAGCCCAGCATGTCGCCTTTTGGCCGTTGATGGCTTGCATACCAGCGACCGTCGCTTTTGCGTCTTTATCCAGGGACAGTACCGCTCCCCCGAATGAAGCATCTGTAACGAACAGATCGTTGCTACCGGGGATTGTGGATGATCCAAACAGAACTGCTGTGCCGGCAGGTGAGCTGCGGGTCTCCTCCGTCGATAGTTGCCCACTCTTTTTCTCATTTGCCATGATGTTGAAGACAGACAAGAAACCAGTGTTGTTCACTGCTGGATCACCCTTAACCGTTGTGAACAGCATTGACTCGTCGTTCGAGAAGAAGGTCTGGGAAACGGTATTCGTAGGTCCAATGGGAGGCGTGGACTGTCCGATGTCGAAATTTCGGAGCGCATCCATCTTGCCTAGGCCTTGATTTTTCGAGAACGAAGCACAGGAGATTCCTGCCTGAGCTCCCGTGGTACCAGCGCACACAAGGTTGTTTTTCGCAGACGCGGAGACCGTATTAGGGAACTCGCCTGGGATGGCAGCAGGCTGGCCAACCATTTCAAGGCATGTCGGGTCTGCTGAATTGATGGAAAGCATCGACAAGGTGTTCGAGCCGGCATTCACGGCGAAAACATTCTGCGAGATATCAGAAACTACACATCCGAAAGTGTTTGAAGAATAGGGTTACTCACATTTCCCACTACTGTCAAGGAAGACTGTCCGATCAAGGCATCGGTCAATGCCGGTTGCATGGTCGCTCCGTCGATGGAGACCGATCCTGCACCACCCGTCTTCGTCACCATGCCCTTGGAGAGCGTACCATCTTTTCCAATCGCAAGCGCTACGATAGCGTTCTCAGCGTCATTCGTCATGAAATACACTGCCTTCCCTACTGTCACTTGCTTCGTTTGTTGCTGCTGTTGACACGCATGGGGCGCTGCTGTCGCAAGGTATGACAGAGCGGCAAGCGAGAGGATCGACCTGCTGAAGAACGAAGAGCTCATGTTGAGAAGTGGGAGAGGTAAGCTGATTAGGAAATATGGGCAAGGTTCACAGAACACTTGTAGTTGAAAGTTATTTACTTGGCTGGATATCGGTTGGAAGTGACAGAGCAGTGGTCTTAAGTACACAAAGAAATGTTTGTCCCTACATTCTGCTCAACACTATTACACGATCACGACTTCCACATTCGGCTTAAGCGATACTACAGTCTGGTCTCTGCGACAAATGGTGCGTCTGAGACGTGCGCTTGCTCCGTAACACGATGTGCTGACATTGACGCGAGGAGCTAGCACCAAAAAGGCAAATCGGATTACAGAATCACAATTTCCAAAGGAAGACACAGTCGAAGCCATGACCAGCGACTACAGCGAATCAGAGGCAGCCATGTGGACCGTGACACGTTTCAGCCTGAGAGCCTGAGACGTGCCTGGATAAAATTGTTCGCATCTGCCGATCTCATCTTGTTTCGGCCTCATGATGATTTCAGACAAACTAATTCCAGCCTGGTCTCGTTGAAGTGCGATCTCACTGCACATGCACATTCTGTGCTCTTAGAATTCCACAAACTCGCCATGAAGTTCAAGTTCAAATCATTCAAGGGCGAGAAGGACTCGGAAGGTACGTCTATACCCTTGCTGTCAAGACACCGAGCAGCGGGCGCTTTGCGCATCGTAGGCTGGGCCGCGTCTCACATGCAATGGATCGCTAAATCCGACCAGGGGAATCTTCGCAAAACCCCCAAGCAAAGCGTAAAGATCAGATCCGGCGAGCGCAAAAGTGAATATAATCTACCTTTCTCGTCATCGCTAATTGACATTTTTGTTCGCTAGAACTCATCGAGAGCGCAAGGAAGCATACACAAAATCGCTAGAACAAGAAGTGATCCAGCTGCGCGCCAACGAAGCCAAGATCATACAGGAAACCCGGAGACTATACGCGGAACTAACTGCACTCAAGAACTACATGGCTAGTAATGGTATTCAAGTCCCGCCTTCGCTTACACAAGATGTTGTATCAACGTCAGCGTCGCCGAGTGATGATGTTTTCGACCTGAGCATTCGCACCACCAATACAAAGCAGAAGAGACGGCAAATACAAATTTACAAGCATAATGACCACCAACATGATCATCAGTGTGAACTCTCGTCTGCTGGACATAAGGCCTCCCAAGTCTCAACGTCTCCCGGATGTAAGTCATGTGTCAGTATAGTAATTCGCTAAGCTTACAGCATGCGTAGCCTTCCTTTCGCCGACTACCTCAGACGATTTAGCATTGCGCAACGATCCCAATACGCGCATTAGTGATCTTGATCTGACCTCCGTTGGCATGGACTTCGTGTTAACGTAAGCCACTAATCAAACTTTAGTTTATTCCGCATTTCACTAATGCTTCACAGTCTCGAAAGTCCATGTCTTCAACATATCACCGACGCGCCATCCGATGAATCAACAGGACATGCGCTCATGGCTAGCGCAACACTACTCCATCATCACCCAGCTTCGCACCAGCAAGTTCCTAGCCAAAATTCCCGATGGTCGGTGCCTCAAACAGGTATAGAGAAATTGCTGGAGCTCTCGACTAATGTACCCTTGAATGACGGCGAAATCACTCCAGTGCAAGCTTGGGATGCTTTGAAGAAGCACCCGCAGTTTGGAGGGATGGAGATGGAAAGATTGAGAGCGTTGCTGGAGACACTGGTGAAGGGAGTGAAGTGCTATGGGTAGGTTTTCCAATTTATGTTGAGTCGTATGCTAACATATGACCAGGTTTGGTGGTGTTATCGAGCAAGGAGCTTTCGACAATGCGCTGTTCGAGACCTTTGTCATAGGTCGCGTGTTTTGATCGAAGCTTTTTGATAGCTGCGATGTGCATTTCCTCAGGCTATATTGTCACCACGACAAATGTCAGTCCCTCCTTGGCGTGGCTCAGCCCAGAAAGGAACAATGTATTCAACACGACTTTCCTCCAAGGTCCAGCGCTGCGGGCTTACGTTCGGGGTCTTAAGCAGGGTCAGTAATCTCTGTAAACGCTCCAGGGCCATCTTCACCGAAAGTGTGCCGATTATGAGATACCCCTACGCCTGGTGTTGGTTCACGATTGACACTGTAGGAAGAGTGAGGATGATGGTGAATTCGCGAAAGCGTTCCAACCTGCACGAATTCACCAAACGTGTTCAGTGCACGCTTGCTTCATGAGCACTTGCATTATAAAAACCAAGTCCTCCTTCTGATACCTCTTCTCGAAACACCAAGCGTCAACTCGAGTGGTATGGATCACAACCTGAGCTTTCTGAGCCACGATTTCCACTAATGCATGTCAGACGATCTGAATACCGAACACCGTAGTTCAACGTTTGCAATAAATAACAAGGCAACCTTAGCGACCCTAGGTAAGCTTACAACCCCGCAGCAGATCGCAGTCCACTGACAAATTAGAATCCTTCGAGATGAAACTCGCGACTACCACCGTCACCACCGCTGCCACTGCGGCTCTTCTTGTCTCCATGGTCTCCGCTGGTCCAATCGGCTACGGTATCTGCCAGGCTGGATGCTCTGCTGTCGTCATGGCATGTTACTCCGCCGCCGGCTTCACTTGGGGCGCTGTGCTCGGTGCAACTGCTCCCGCTACTATCGTTGTTTGCAACACCGCATCCGGCACGTGCCAGGCTGCCTGTGCGGCTGTCTTGCTTGGACCGACGCCCTAGGTGCATGATGTCATGCGGGTAGCTGTTTCGTCAATGCAAGAATACGAGTGAACAACAGCTCAGAGCAAGTTTCATGAACATGAGGAGGAGTGTACAGCCTCTGCTAGTATGCTGAATATGAGCACGCGAGTCTATCGCGAGATGCTAGAAAGAAATCAAATGCTTACCAGGAGATCAGCACACATACGTACATGAGTGGTCACGGTGTTGGTGTTCTCGATTAATGCTAAACACTGGTACCGCAGATCGTCATACGGCCATCCTTCCACCCCACGTTCTAATCGCTCCACGAGTCATTCATCCTTCCCCAGCCCCACTTACATCGACATGCTAAAAAAAGACAACGTCGAAAGCATACGACAACAGTAGTTCGTTAATGGTCACCCAGGTAATACTACTCAACCAGTACCTTGCCCAAATACGCGGAGCGAACAGGAAGCTCTGTTTTGAACACCCTGATGGCCGTGTGTGACGTGCAAACATAATGTGCGGCAACGGGTACCTGAGTCCACCTAGGTTGGAAACTGTAACGATTCCGAGATCCCAGGATCCAGGTTAGCTCAGGGTAAGCACAATGGCGTCAGCATCGAGCCTCGACCTCACGTGGTTACGGTACAACACCTACACCTACACCTGCGCCAGCGCCAGCGCCAGCGCCAAGTGTCAGCCCACCGCCAGGCCACACCTAGCATTACACCCAAGCACTCATATAGTCCTAACGCCACGCCTTGTATCTCGCAGTACTTTCCTGCCAAGGGGGCAAGAATAGGTGTGCCATGTTTCATCTTGATTTGCAGTTGCATGTTATGCCTACACAGCCGGGACCCGAGCTAGCGTACCTGTCACGGCGTTATGCGACGTTGACTGACACTCATGCGCGTCATGGTATGAGGCTCCCGTTCGGAGGCTTTCTTTCGGGCCGTTGGGGTTTGCATGGGTGGGCGGTGTTTCAGGCCGATAGAGCTCGGCCTTGGGTTGGTCTTGAACTCTCTGAACATCAAAATGGTATAAGGTGGGGTATGATGGGCAAAGATTGTATAAAGGATTGAGGGGTGCCTGAATGGAAAGGGCACGCTCGCATTCAAGCTTCAATCGAGTTGGCTACATTCGCTTTACGCCAAAAACATTCATTCTTTGTCAATCACTTCGAACTTCGCTCGCTCATCATGCGTGTTCAGAACCTCATTCTTCTCGGCTTCCAGGGGCTGGCTTTGGGTAACCCTTTGCCTCAAGGCACTGGCAACGGTGCGGACTCTTGCCCTTCAGATCCCTTGAACAAGGCTACTTGGACCAAAGCCGGAGTCGACGCATTCCTTGTCGAAGCGGCCAAGAACTACACAAAAACAGATGTAAACAATATTCAATCACTCACAGACTCGTGGGGCGCGCCAAACTTCTTTTGTGGCATTGACAAGTTCTGCAATGCTGGCAACCCGTGCTTGCCCATTACCTTGCCGGCCTGGTAAGCCATCCTTCCAGCAGCGTTTTTCTCTGCCTAGCTTTGTGGGAGTTGTTATAATTGACAGTATGACAGGTACGCGGCCCTTGCAATTCAAAACTGGAACAACTACATGAACAACCTCAACACTGCCGTTTCGTTCGCTTCGTCCATCATATCCCTTAAGCTCGGCGAGATCGTCGCAGACCTCATGCCCGCCCCCGTCGACGACGCGACGCCCCAGAGAACCATTTTTCAAATCATGACCGCGATTATCGGCGTCGTTCCCTTCGCCGGACCACTGGGCACTCTTCAAGGCACCGCCACCAACGGACTCGGTTTCCTCGTTGGACGTTCTATTCCGCCAGTCGCAGGTGACAAGTTCCTCGCCTGGTCCAACGCTGCCAGCTCCATGGCTGAAGTCGCCCGCGCCTTCCAGTCAGCCATCAACACAGCCACGGAAAAAATCATCAACACGCCCGTCGATGACCCCAACGACGGAATCCTGAGCGTGATCAAGGACGGCGCCTTCATTGGCGTTGCGCAGAACTTCACCCAGGCTCAAATGCAGGACCTTGTCATCGAAAGCCTTACGCAAACTGCTATTGGCAAGGCGCTGCAGGCGCAGAAATACTTCATCTTGCGCACAAGTAACATCGACGACGGAAAGTGCAAGACCAACGATCGGAAAAATCAGATGTGCACCCAGAACACCAACGATAAGAAATGGGTCTCCCGAACGCTGCTCAGGCGCGAGGGCGATCGCACCACGGATGGAGAGACGGCTGCCGGCGTGCTCATGGACAAATACAAGATGAGCCAGGAGTATTTCCTCAAGGGCCCGACCGACTGCTTCGACGGAAACAACAAGAAGCAGCTGCAGGACCCGATTGAGCTCGTTGGAGCGCTGCCATCCAACCCCACGGCTCCATGTGTCTTCAACCTGATCGTGTGCGATGTCGATGCCTGGGCGGACCCATTCGGCCAGACGAGCATCGCCGAGGCTTGCAAGAGCGTTATCTCATAAATCCGACGCCAGAGACTCTGATTTATGAGATAACAGGAACACTGGAGTGCCCATTTGAGCACTGTTCAATGGTCCAGCCAAATGCGCAAACACCCTGTGCAGGCGCAATTACGAGGCATTACGCCTGTTTGCTAGCTTTGGGGTTTTCTCCTCTGAGCGTCGATTTTGTTGTTTTCGATTTCTGTATATAGCTTGTTGTGTTTTATAGACTTTCCGTATGTTTCCTTTAGCGCGAAAAGCTACCTCGGTGTGCTTCGTAGCCTAGACTTAGAATTATGAACTGTTTTTGCGCAAACCTTTTCCACATGACACAGGCTCCCTCAGAATTATGCTGCTGCGATGATAACAACAAGCGCGAATCATGTTGGTGCGATGGCGAAAAAATCGTTGATATTGTTAGTCATCGGGTATCTTAATCGAACACAACCTTCTTGCCCAACCCCTGCGGCTTCCCAAGGTCAATCTTGATCATCTTCTTCTCCTTGGCCATCTTCGCTGCCTCCCAACTAGGATGCAACGTGCCCTTGTCGTCTCGCTTCTTCTCTTCCTTCTTCTTGCCCAGCGGTATAGCATTCTCTCCACTTTGCGTTGGACCATAACCTCTCTTGGCACTAACAGCTCCACGTTTGGCGTCCCACTGCGCTTGATTTTGCTTCTCGACATGTTTAGCCTTGGCGCCAAACTTTGCTTCTGCGATTTTTTGACGTGCACGCTGGCCGCGGCGATTTTTGCGGGGCGCAAAGTCGGCAGAGAGATCCGAGGCTTCCGAGTCGGAGCCTGCGATGTATGTAGCGTGGCTCATGGAGGGGATGAAGGCGGATGACGTCGGTGCTTTGGGGACTATCGCTTTAAGGCTCTTGATAGTTTTTCCAGCTTGTTCAGATGCATCCGAGTCTGACATATCTGACGGCGGTGCCAATCGGCGTTCAATAGCAACGTCTTCGTCGTCACTTGCCCCGCTAAAGCCTTTGAACGCATCTCCGTCTTCACTCTCGCTCTCCGCATCTAGATCGTCTTCTGCATCGTGTTCTCTTTCGCTGTCTCCGATGCTTGGCGGCCGTTCACCGTCCGATACGGAGCCTTCGCTGCCCTCTTCACCAGACGACGGTGCTGCTATCCGCGCGTTGAACGCATTGAATGGGTCGCCTTCTTCGTGACTCACGTCCAGCATTTCTACATCTTCTGCCACTGGCTTCTTTTGCTTCTTCGATTCTTTCTTGTCTGCATTCGGTGTCGCTGCATCCACCAGCGCAAATACGCCCTTCAGCTGCTCAATTGCATCGTCCACCACCTTCTTCACCGCCGCGACCTTGTACAACCTCGCCAACACGTTCAGTGTTGCAGAATCAGTGTTGCTTTTCTCCACGCCTGCTACATACGTCTTCAGCGCTTCTTGATCCTTCAGACTCTTCACCCTTCCCACCGTCTTCCGCAGTTGCTGGTCCGCAATCTTCTCCAGCTCCAGGCTCTTCAACACCACATACTCGGCATCCAGCCGCTCCAAGCCCTTTGTATCATTTTTGGCCTGCGCCGTCTTCTTCCTGCGACTGTGTTTCTGGCGCTCAAAGCCTGCGCCGAGGCGAAGCGCTGTGATTAGCGACTTTTTCGCATCGAGCAGGCAGCGGTTGCACACGCGCTTTTGGTTTTTCAGCGTGCGGTCGGCGGTTTCGGAGCCGGCGAGAAGATCTGGAGTGGGAGAGTGGGAGCCGCGCTTTCGTTTTGCCATGGTGAGGTTTGGTTTCGAGGCAAGTGTGTTGGTGTCGCTGGAAATTTTGGGAGTTGATGAGCTTATCGATAAGGATCGCGTAAACTTGCCGGTTCAGTAGGCGCGCTAGTACCCTGAATGGCTCTTTGGGAAGGAACGAATTGATCAGGAACGACACGACATCAAGCTTGGTGGCTTTTCTGTGTAGAAGCGTTCCAGTGTAGCGGAGTGGGAATAGTTAACTAACATTAGCATACTGCATGGGAAACCTCCATTTCCATCACAACCACAACTTGCTGCTTGCATCCATCTTCAAGTGTATAAAATCACATTACTACCTATAAACCTACTGATCTTCCTCATCTAACTCATCATTCCTCTTCCCCCCCAGTTTCGTCCTCGCCCCATTCACCCTCACTGTCTCTGGCACATACGGAATCTCCCCCGTCCTAAAACTCTCCAGCCCTCTCTCCGGACTCCACCTCATACTCGGAATCCTCTCGCCCGTTCTAAAACTCTCCTGACCACTGCCAGGTCTCCGTCTCATGCTCGGCTGCCCATGAGTCTCCGTACGCTCACTCGAATTCGCAGGTTCATTGCCTTCTTCAGCGTCCAGGGGCGGCGAATTCGTGAAGCGCGAACTTCCAGCTAGAGCAACGTGATGGGCGGGAGAGCGATGCGGACTACCTAACGGGCTGTTAAATTCAGGGAAGTGTGCTGCGCCAGCCTCATGATGATGGGGAGAGGGGAGCAAACTACCTAAGGGGTTGTTAAACTCAGATCTTTGATATTCGGGGACGTCATGGGGTGCGTACTGTTGATGTGGCGGTGGATAATCATCAGGGGGAGGTTGGTGCTGGTATTGATGGCGTGGAACAGCTGGGGGAGGAGCATTTTCTGTTTTTATTTCAGCCTCGATTTCAACACATGCACAAAGATCAGTATTGCGCACGTCCTGCGAACTGTTCCTGCGGGTTGAATTGGACTGAACCTTGTTGTGCTACGCGCGACGAGATATCAGTGTCACTGCCCTTGTCTTTCTTTTTGTTCTTGCCGAACCAGACAGACCAGTAACTTGGCTGGTGTTTACGCAGCCAGGCTTTTTGTGAGCGGGTCATTTTGACCGTTAATATATAGGGGCAGAAAGAGAAGGATGGGAATATGGCGAAGATATAGTGGCATATTGGTGAAGGTGTGGTTATGTGAGTGATTCGGCTGTAATCGTGTGGTACGTCCTGCTGGCAACTACATATGTACGGAAGGTACTGGGGGCATCAAGGATGAAGTTGTTATGTTGTGAAGCGGTGGTATATGGCTTCGCGCATCAATAGTAACGTCGATTTTTAAAAAAAGTATCAGTGATGAACCTGGGTAGAGAAGACCAGAAGGATTCACATTATAGGGCCACAGCATATATGAGACTTCGGGACGCAAATATGTGAACGTAAAGTCTTTGATATTTAATTAGCCATGAAAAACCGCGCAGCGATCTATACCAGCTGTAATATATACAGATTGCAACTCTAAAGTATAAACACCTGTTCTGGAGAAACAATCTATCTCCACAGGCCCAAACCCTCCTTCCTCCTGACAGCAACGTGCATGAACAGGTAGATGAAGATACCGAAGCCCAACATGCCCGAAATAACACCAAAGCCCATGAGATACTTTGGCTTGTCGTCTGAAGGGAAGAGGTATGCGCCGTAGATTTGCGCCAGGTTGCCCATAGCATTGACGAGCGCCAAAGCAATCGCCCTGACCTCGGGCTCCATGCTTCCAAATGTTGCACTTGCGAACGAGAGTGCGACAGCGTTTGATGCCCACAGACCGGCGGCCATGAGCACGAGTAGAGCGTAGCGGGCCTTGAACTCGTAAATGACGCAGACGAGGATCGAGGTTACGAGGGAGAAGGTGAGCCAGCCGGAAATGACGATGCCACGGTGCTTGGAGATGGAGTCGGCGAAGTAGGTGGTGATAGCGGTGCAGACAAAGGCGACGGCGTAGATAGGAACGGTCATGTATTGCGCTTGCACGGTGGAGGTGTAGCCGAGACCGTTGACGAGGGTGGGGTAGAAGTAGGACAGGGTGGAGGAGCCGACGATGACCTAGTCGTTGTTAGCATGATAATGTGAGCAATTGTGAGACATCTGGCCATACCATGTATCCAAGGATGAAGCCGATGGTCCTCCAGTCCATGATGGCGAGCTTAAAGGATTGAAGTTTGCCCATGCGCTCATCGCCAGCTGTGTGTGTCTGTACACCACCACCTTGAAGACGTGCAATGGCAATGGAGCGCTCGCGCTCAGTCAGACGGACGCTGTTGGCCGGGAAGTCGAGGAGAATGAAGTGAGCGCAGATAGCCCAGACGATGGTTGCGACCCCCTCAATAATGAATAGCCATCTCCATCTATTTCCGAAAATGTTAGTTTGTTGTTGAAGGACCAAGCGGAGTATATTTCACTCACCCACGCAGTCCACCAGATCCCTCCATTCCACCGGTAATGGCACCAGCAAGAAGGCCACCGAAAGCTCCCGAGAGAATAGCGGCGGACATGTAGACACCGAAACGCTTCGACTGTTCCTCCTTCTTGTACCATGAACTAATAATCAAGAGAATACCAGGCGCGAAACCAGCTTCGAAAACACCGACAAGAACGCGAAGCGCAACGAGGTGCTTGAAATCCTGAATGACAGCCATGACGCAGGTAAGTGCTCCCCAAATGGTCATGATGGCTGGCAGATAGATGGAAGGCTTGAAGCGGACGAGAAGCATGTTCGACGGAGGCTCGAACACAACGTATGTGACGAAGAACACCACGAGTGCGATCGAGTATTGGTTTGATGTGAGCTTCAGGTCATCGGCCATACCCGCAATCTTTGCATTGCCAATGCTGGATTCATGTTAGTATGGCGATTGTTGAGTTGTTGAAAAACCTACTTTGTGCGGTCCATGTACGACAGCAGGTACATGAGCCATATCGTCGGCAGCAGGAAAAGATCAATCTTCTTCACGAGCTTGGCCTCTTCCTCGGGTGTCCACGAGAGGTCCCCAGAGACCTCGATTTGCTTCGTAGCGTCCATCTCCTTCAAGTCTGCGGCCTCAAGCGATTGTGGCGTCGAAGACATCTTCAGTAAGCAAGGGGCGAAGGAACGACCTCGTGGCAATTTGTGTATCGACTGCGTGCACGAAGTGTTGCGCAGCTGAAAAAGGAAGTTCAGGGGTGCTGCACCAGGATGACCTTTCCAGTAACGACGTGATACCCCAGATCTTTATAGATGGAGAATCGTGTCGCAAACATGTTTCCTCTGACATATTCGAATTCAGCAGGGGCCGCCCCAGATTCTTCGGTCCTTCTTCTCGACCCCAGATCCGCTGTGTCATCCGACGTTTTGCCGCATTTGGTAGGCTTGTGCGGGTGCGTTTGGAGTTCTGATTGGCTTCAAGCGAGCGGAGCCTCGTCTAGCATCCGAGCGGAGAACGCTGTTGCAGGTCTCCCGATCGAAGCGGCTCGATGCGAGCGGGCGTCACTAAACGAACCTGTCCGGCGAGAACATGGGCTTTTGGTGCTGACTGATGTGAGGTTCTCGTGTGCCTCGTCTCGGTGTGCAGCCACCGTAACGAGGCACTCATGGTTCATTCAGCAAGACCCCACAAGTTGTGTTGCTCTCCGCAGAGATGGTACAGTATTCGGCAAAGGCCGAAAAGCTCATGTCGCCACAAAGTCTCGCGGGGTAGCAGGTGCTGTGTGTACTTAAGTACAGTTCGGTCCGGGCGTGCAGGTCTGCTCGTCAATTTGTTGCTGCCCATCTGTTTCGCCAGACCTTCTGCCTTCAGCCTTCCACGCCGCACACGCGCATCATGTCTCCCTCCGCGATTGTTCCCGACCCGTCACAGACCGCCCCTCCTGCGGGCTGGAACCCAGATGCCGCCCAAGTCGAGCAGTCGGTGCCAAACCCCGTATACCTCTCGACTGAGCCCAAGGAGGACTTTGACTGGAAAGTCAGCCTGAAGGGCAAGGTTATTGCCATCACTGGCGCAAACCGTGGAATTGGTCTCGGGCTTGCGACCGTGTGTCTAGCGAACGACGCCAAAGAGATTTACTCTCTCGATCTGTTCGAGCCTGGCGAGGACTTCCAGGCTCTGGCGGCCGCGCATCCCAAGCGCGTCAAGTACCTTCATTGCGATGTTACATCGGAAGAGAGCGTCATAAAGGCCGTCGACGAGATTGTCGCCCAGTCGGGCCGTATTGATGGCATGATTGCCAATGCTGGCATGACCAAGCACCAGCCAGCGCTGAACTTTGACCGTCCTCAGCTCGAGCAGCTGTTCAACCTCAACGTGTTTGGCGCATATTTCTGCGCTAAGGCGGCTGCGAACAAGTTCATCGAGCTGGGCATCAAGGGCTCCATCGTCTTCACCGCGTCCATGACGTCGTACCGCCCAAATCGCGCCGCACCTTCAGCGCCTTACGGAGGCACCAAAGCCGCAGTCCGCAACATGGCACATACACTCGCTATGGAGTGGGCTTCCAAGGGGGTTCGAGTCAACAGCATATCGCCTGGTTTTGTCCGCACACAGATGACCTACTACGTGGAGAAGGCCCCTGACTGGAACTTGAAGATGCAGTACTATGGCGGCATGCCCAGGCTGGCAGATCCGCGGGAGTTGGGCGGCGCATATGTCTACCTGTTGTCAGACAGTGCGAGCTATACGACAGGCATTGACATTCCAATTGCTGGCATTGTTGGCGCATGGTAGTGAAACGAATTGTCGATGAATACCATCTGCATTGGGAGGAGTTTTGGGATACCCCGGCCATGGCTCCGGCATATATAATGACATGACGCTTGAATAGACATGGGAGACTTGAATTCTGCGTATTTTTGTGTCGTTGTGCAAGGAGCTCCTGCCAAAGTGTCCATCGCAACTGACTAATAAGCGACCTCCGGTTTTCTCCCTCTCGGAACATGCTGCCGACAAGTGCAACCCGTGGACATCTCTCGCCCGGGAGCCTGAAGTATAATGTGACCATGACCCCTGGCGTCTTCGTGTTTTCGACTTTTCTCGCTTTGTTTCCCGACGACCAAACGACGCACAAGGCGCAAGCTGTGCTGCACAAATTCGCCACAGAGGCGTGCGACCAATGCGCGCGCTGTGAGGCTGGAACCGACGACAATAAACTTTGAGCCATAAACTTTGCGCCATTGCAGAAACGAACATCCAGCGCTTCGCAATCACGTGTTTGCTGAGTCCCAGTGCGAAGCCGCTGACAGCCGCACTGAACAGCCGCACCCCACAAGCAAGACCATCAACCCCCGACGCGAAGACGCGTCCCCGTAGCGAAGCGAACCCACCGCAGCATGCGAAGTGCTCTCGGTGATGCCCGTCTCAGCAACAGGTGTTCACAAGCCCCGGAAACCGCGTCCTTCACGTGCGAGAGGCCTACGCACTACAACTGGCTGGTAAGTACCCCTCCACGTTCTTCTCCACAGTGCGGAGCGGCAGGCACTGCTTGCGTTAGCCTGTGACCCCAACCAAATTTCCATACATTTTGTCCAAAACTGACCATGGCAGTCTGACATGTCGCAAAAGGCGCGTGAAATGTGACGAGCTTCGTCCGCGCTGTGTGACTTGCACAAAGTCGGACAGAGAATGTGTATACGCCCCACCCGGCGAGCCAACTTCACCCTTGGCCAACAATGTATCGGAACCAGCGACCCAGTCGACACCGTCGGTCACAGCAGAGAGCCCGGCGCTGGCTGCAGTGTCCCCAGCCACCACCAAAAGGTCCTTTGCAACGAGCTCTCATGCGGGAGACCTCGACCCTCAGCTGTTCACCAACTCTCCCGAGTTGATGTTTGACTCGCCGTTGACGACCATTCAAGGTATGCCGTCACCAAACTCGGCGCCGTTGGAATGGTACGATCTGCTGGCAGAAGATGCCATCAACAACATTGACAAGTACAATCTCAATTTGGAACTTGATAGAGCTGTGCTGTCCAGGCGGCAAAGTCCCGTGCCAGAAGCAGAGATCCTCGGTCTTAGTCTTCAGTCGCCTGGGCCGAGTCGGGAAGCCGTGCCAGCATTACACGAGCAATGGAATTCACCTGATATTATTCCACTGGCAGATGGCGAACTCCATCTCTTCCATCATTTTGTCAGTGTGATAGGCCCCATACTAGACCTATGTGACCCGACCAAACAGTTTTCGACCACTGTGCCTCGACTGGCGGTCCACAACGCGGGTGTCCTAAAGGCACTCCTCGCAGTGGCAGCTCGGCACCAAGCGCTTCTTGTAGTGCCTCAACAACACCAACCCAACATGTTTGCTCAACCACCAGGACCAGATGCCACGGCACTAAACACTCACCCGAATCCACACCTACAAGTCGCCACGCAATACTACTACGAATGTCTACACTATCTCTCACAGAACCTCTTATACCCATCTTACTCCAAGTCTAGGGAAATCATAGCGACTGCATTGCTCATCAGTACTTATGAAATGTTTGATGCCGAAGGAGAGTACAACTCTGGCGCTTGGGAACGACACCTGAGGGGTATCTTCTGGATTCAGAGAGCCCAGAACAACAATGGGGAGACACCTGACGGGCTTCGACGAGCCGCTTGGTGGCAGTGGATACGTCAGGATATATGGGTTGCATTCCGCGAAGGGCGACGTGTGTTGACAATATGGCGCCCCACTCGGCGCTTGATGGATCTAAGTCCTGATGAGCTTTGCTTGCGGGTTGTGTACATTTGTGGCAGATGTGTCGACTTTGCTGCAAATGAGAAGAAATACGACATGAACACTCGTATTGACCAGGGTGTGAAGCTCCTACAGGCGCTGGAAGATTGGCAGCGTACTTTGCCATCATCCTTCCAGCCCATATACAAAGTCCCACTTCCAGAATCAGGTGGATTATTCGCACCGATTTGGATTCATCCTCCGTCATATGCTGCGGCAATTCAGACTTTCCACTTCGCAAGGATCATAGTGTTGATCAACCAGCCGTCTATGGGAGGCATGGATGATTTCCGCGTTAGGCAGCGCTTCCTGGACGAAAGTGTGGAGACGATATGCGGTATCGCGATGATGCACCAAGGCAAAGACTTGCCCAGTGCGTTTGTCAACTTCCAGGCCCTCTATGCAGGTAAGATATGCTCTCATGATACCAATGAAAGTCACTAACCATACCGTAGCTGGCCTTTGTGTACAAAACCCTGTAAAGCAGTCCGCCATTTACCAATTGCTCGAGAGCACTCTCGATGTTACAAAGTTTCCACCAAAGACATTACTAAATGATCTTGCCAAATACTGGCGAGCAGAGTCATGAATGAAAGCCCTTTGTCACCGCCAATTTATGCACTCATTGACCTTCGTCTCGTTGCCATGCTCCGTCTACACCCGATCTCTGCCATGGGACTCCCCATATTCCTCTACTAGCCATATTTGTTCCCGAACCCGCCTCTAGTGCATCCCCAGAAGCTTCAACGTCCACCCGAGAGCCCGGATCGAGCGGCTCTGTGGAAGCGATGCCCACGTTGCGAGCCAGCACTATGGCACGCCCGACGCACGAATCGTGAATACAATTACCGAAGTCGATAATTGTCGATAGCGAGTCAAACCGAGAAATACCGGCTGCGGGCTCTCCCCATCTGGGGACGAAGCGGGGTACGTTCCGGTGGAGGCATGACGTGCAGTTGCTGATCCCCCGTTTCGCTTGCTGGCACATGCCTCGTTACGGGGCACTTTACCATACCACCTCGAGACCATGCTGCAGCGGGAGCGGGAGAACACCAGGCAATCGAGGAAATGACCTTGTCGGTGGATGTCTGCTGGCTCGATACGATGCCCAATCGCTGTTCGTTGAGGCCGCAGCATTTCCGCTCGCAGCGAGCGTGCTTCAGTTCCGAGCTGGTTCCGAGAGGTTGCTTTGCAAGCTGTTTCTACCCTTTTGATTCTTGTGAGATCCCAACTCAGCGTTGTAGACCTGTAACCCTTCCTACTCGAATCCGTACTCCAAAACATGGCGTCCCTTCAGAACAATCGCACGGTGAAGATCCTCAATGCCGCCGCAGCTGGCAACTACGGCGTCATGGCTGCCATCGCGTACGGGCAAAATCCCCCCAAACTTAACCCTGACACCCAAATGTCTAACATTTACACAGCTACAATGTCGAACAGCTCACCGCCCTCGTTGCCGCCGCAGAGTCTCGCCGGTCACCGCTGATAATCCAACTCTTCCCCTCCACCCTCAAACAAGTCCCCCTCCTCGCCCACGCCGCCGCACACGCCGTCAAAACCTCGTCCGCTCCGCTATCATTACACATCGACCACGCGCAGAATGTAGAGCACATTCGCGAAATCATAGCCACGCTGCCGGTCGACAGCGTCATGGTGGACATGTCGCACTACTCTGAAGCCGAGAACCTCGAGAAAACCAAGACCTTGACCCAAGAATGCCATGCGCGGGGTATTGCTGTAGAAGCTGAGAGCGGGCGTATCGAGGGTGGGGAAGACGGAATAGCAGATACAGAAGGCTTAGAAGCATTATTCACCAGCCCTGAAGACGTGGACAATTTTCTCGCTGCTGGCGTCGACATCCTCGCGCCGAGTATCGGTAACGTCCATGGCGATTACGGCCCCGCGGGACCCAAGGAGGGACAAATCCACTTCGACCGCCTGGACGCGATTAACACCCAGATCAACAAACGCGTGCACGTTGCGCTGCACGGCACGAATGACTTCCCGCCAGAGGTCATGCGCAAATGTATAGAAGCCGGCGCGGTGAAGTTGAATGTGAACAAGCTGTTATTAGAAGTGGGCAATCAGGTGTTGAGGGAAAACGCGGCGAGTTGGGGCGTGCCGAAACTTATCGACGAACAGATGAAGGTTATTCAGAAGGAGACGGAGCGGTGGATGGATATTTGTGGAAGTAGTGGGAAGGCGTAGAAGAATGAATATGAGGAAATGAATATGTACATCACCTTCACACACGTCGTGCGAAATATCCGTTGTACCTCTACGCCGTCCTTCCTTGTCTCGCGGCGTCAAAATAACAATTTACACTAGCTTCCTTCGTTCTCTACATATGTCATACACTGGCAGCCAAAAAGGAACGATTCCCTCCACGCAGAAGCAGAGAGCGACCCATCGCTTGTGCGAAGAACGCAAAAGCCAAAAAACAAGGTCTTGCCCGGAATCGAACCGGGGTTGCCGGAAGACACTGACGTAGATCAGAATCCGGAGTGATAACCGCTACCTATAAGGTGATTAGCGGGGGCAAGCTGGAGTAGTGTGGAGAGATTCTTACACTACAAAACCGAGTTGTTGAGGGTTCGCGAAAAATTATGCAATATAATGACAGCCTTAATTTGTGACGATGGAAACCGTGGTTCAGATATGCTTGACTAGGGGAGATCTGACACAGAAGATAGGGTGGAGGCGGGGTCGTGAAAGAAAAGTTTTAGGGTGCGGGGCTAGAGGGGTTTGAGGACCGGTACCGAGAGATATCCGAGATACTAGAATCACCTATACTGTTGTTCATCCTACTACGTGCACTTCAAATGGTTGAAGTTGTCACCAATGATAGAAACAGCAGCTTCTCTTACAAACTTTCCGAATACTATGGATAGCTTCCGGCTACGAATCGCGCCTCCAAATCCAGCCACTTTCTATTATAGTTGATAACCCTTTCTATCTATTACTTCTCTTTTCACCAGATATCATACCTGTCACCTCTTTACATGAGCCGTGAAAACGTACAGTCGATTTTGCAAGTTCTCCAGCTGTGACGTAATGGTTTGGAATGAGGAAGGAGCGCTTAGCTGCACCGTGATTTCCGCGAAGAATGAGCACACGGGCCTTACTGTAAGAACTTCATTCTAGCATGCTATGAGATACCGCATGTGTACTCTTACAACCATCGCCGAGCACTTCGCTCCTGTGACGTGTCTGTTGAACCATTACGCTCATAGGCGCTTGCACGCCTCTATCGACGACCAGCGCTTGGCCGTCCAAAAATCCCGCTTCAATCGAAAATCGCTCATAGTTCACTCCTCTGCAAGTCGCACTCTTGTGAACGCACATCATCACTGCCACTGTCATCGTCATAACCCTGGAGGTGTAGCCAATCCGTCCGACTCGACTCCAGAGTCTGTCGTGGCTTCAATCTTCCTCGCCTTCGCTCCGATTGCACCACCTGGATGATTCCGCCGGAAGACGTCTTTCATGCCTTCAGCCTCATTCTCATATAGAGCTTCCGCTACGGTGAGCGCAAGCATGTCACCAACGGCGATAGTAACGGTTGTCGAAGTTGTAGGCGCGCACACTCCAAAGCTCACCTCCTCGAGCTCGTGGATTGGCGCAGGCAACAGAACAGTGTTAGGATGTGCCTGAAGGAGGGGGCAGTCCTCTGCGCGCTTGTGCGAAGTTATGGCCACTATCGGCGTGCGCGTGGGAATGTGAGGGAGAAGAGCGAGGAGTTCGGCCGTCTTGCCGGAATACGAGATGAAGAGAATCACGTCGTTCTGGTGTTTGTCAGCGACCACCTCGAGCACAGCCAGACCGCCAGAGAAAACGATGCACGAACCTTGCGGATATCGCCCAAATCGCCGTGCAGTGCCTCAGCAGCATGCATGAAGCTACACGCGATCCCCAGGCTCTTCATTGTCGCTACCATCTTCCGCCCCACCAGGCCGCTTTTGCCCACACCGCATATTAGGAGCTTTCCTCCAGCCTCGACTGCGCCTGTAACGGTCGCTACGCTTCGTAGCAATCCATCCTGTGCTACGGAATCGGATTCGTAGAGGAGCGTGACTTGCGACAGCGCGGCTGCGGCTGTAGAGAGGACATTGACCCCGCGCGACACAAGACGCGTTCCTTCGGGATCGGATGCTGTAAGGGGCGGAGTAGGCGGTTGTGCGTCGAACTCAGCGCGTTTGCGCTTCTGGCAAGTCGAGCTCGATGGGGTAGCCAATTTGGAGGTTTGCAATGTGGCGGCCATGTTGTCAATAACGAACAGGGTCCTACAAGAATAAATTCGAGGACTGAACCGGACGGGATATACAAGAAGCACGCAATCTATGACAGCGACTCTACACTTCCTGGCGCCTAGCACTTGTCGGAATAGATCGGAGGCAGGATTCCAATTCGAGGGCGCAAGACTTGGATATCGACGACGCGGTCTGCCAACTAAAACGCCAAAGCGAGTGACGAGAGACGAATGACAACTGAAAGACCCCGTAGAACAATGCCCCTTTGAACAAGGCGTCCCCGAATCCCATTAATGCTTTCATGACCCGACCGCAGAGTGCCGAGTCTGAGCGCAATCTAGGCCGGCACCGTACCATCTCTCTGGCGGTTGTTGCAGACCCTTGCACTTGTTGGTTGATAAAGAATGGTCTCATCGCCGCTAGCTCCTGCAAGACACCCGACCAAGACAAACAGGCCCACCGCTAAGCCCTGTTCAGCGAACAAAGTCCATCATCATCGCGCCCAACCATCAAACCACGTTGCCGTGCACCAAACCGTCAGATCTCGACACAGAGTCCACCAGCATTCCCCGTCTCACCCGCAGGCACTATGATTGCATAGTGCTCGGTTCGTCAGTGGTCCGCTGCGAGGCAGCCGCCGCCTCGGCGAGGTTTTTAGTCCGCGCGCGCATGCACGTCAGTGAAGACTCGGGCCCGCTGCTCACTACTTCCATGCCAAGCTGGTCGCTGTAGAATTTCAGCAGACTCTTCTCGCCCGTGAACAATACCATGAAGCGCAGGTTCTTCATCTCCAGCACCACCTCTCGACAGCAGTGGATCATCCATTTGCCCAGTCCGAAGCCTCGATAGGTGTCCGCGATGTAGACATCGGTCAGAAATGCGATCGTCGTGTAATCAGTAATCATTCTTGCCATGCCAATAGGCTCTCTCTGGCCAGAGTCCGAGAGTTTGTAGACTCCAAGCGTTAGGGAGTTGTCGAGCATTGCGCGTGTAGTTTCGTCGGAGAACGGATCCGTCCAGAACATGGCCTTGGTTCCAAAGGCTTCCTGAACAAACGAAGGCGGCATCAGCTCTCGCGCATTAGAGACGAGGAACCTTTGCGAGTCCACGGTGCGCTCCCATTCCCATGTCTGCTGGTTCATCTTGGAGGTTCGTTCGCCGTGCTGGACTTGCGACAGGCAGTTCTCTCCGAGGGATTTGTAGGCGAAGCAGCCTTTGAGTCATCTGTGAGCGGCTTCTGACTCCTTCGCTTCAAACTCCCCAGACAAGAAATGCCATGCGATGCTTGAAAACCTATCTCTAACAACTGACATCATCTTTTGGCCGAAAGACGCTGCACACGCCGGCGCTGGAGACGACTGCGAACGGTGCACGGGCCGCCGCTAGCTGAGGTACCGCTCGCAGATCTCCCACCCACCAACCACCTCATCTTCGCTGCATCGTCTCTTCGCATACAAGACGAACTCGAAAACAAGACATCACGACAACGTGCTTAGTCTACGACTTGTGCATGAAGCAGTGCTTGTGAGCGATGGAGTTGGCAACACATCATTCGGAAGCTCGAGCCCTGACGACACGCCAACTTGCGCTTACCTTTGTGCCCCATTCCAATGGGCAGATGCGATCGAGCAGAACATCGCCTCGCTCGGAAAGGGCTATGTGGACACCAAATTTGTAGCTGCGGAATATCGCTGCATTGAGCGGAATGCTGCTCGATATTCTCCAGCCTCCAGTTCGACATGGCCGCAAGTAAGCGGAGGCATCTACTTCGCTTCAAATGTCGAAACCGCACAGGCTGCCTACCTTGAGCCTCCGATGAAATGACCTGTATAATACTGCATGCACGAGCAATATCGCCCCTTGGGATCGGAAATCCCCTTTCAAAACGTGGAAAGCGTGAGCTACTCGACCACGGCTACGAGGGCTTACTGGATAGTGTAGCAAGTTCAGCATGCTGCCTCAGCGATATGATACCAGCTACAATGGTTCTCTTTTGTCTTTTGATTCCTAATATATCGTTCGCTGTCAACATTTGATGGACAATCGTATGTTCACTTCCCAATTGTTCATCAGGCTGTTCGGTAAGACGCTTGGCGAAACCTCAGCTCATGCAGCCACAATCAACACCACTGGTTCCACTCTCCGTATAGCAGCCACCACTGAATTGATTTGGCCTTCACAGAACTCCCTTAATCCAATTGTAGTGTTGCTGCTGGGGCTGGTATGCACTTCTGGAGCGGGTCGACCAAAGCCACCGAGGGCATCAACCTCGCTAAGATGGGCATAAAGCGGTTCATTTCCCATCGCTTGCCGTATCTAGCAGCAATTGAATTTCTACTTCTCTGGCCGTGTCATATGTTACTACTCCCTGCCTTCCAGCCTTGCATCGCTAAGCACAGTCTGGAGGAGACCAAATCAATCGATCGCGGCAACGTTGGGAGACACATGTAGTGAGCACTGATGTTCTTCGCAATCATTTGCTGTCTAACTTCCAGAGATATCTTTTATCATGGCCTATAGTACTTCATTTTTGTTCGTCGCAGGCATTATTGTCGTGCTGGCCTCGAACATCAGCCTTACATCTGCTGAACCCTCCAAAACGCTTTCCGACATTCTGCTACCGACACCGAACATCACCAGTGGCGCAGTTGGCGAGATCACTTGCTATGCGCTCCCCTATGGGGCAGTCGGAATCATTTCACATCTTTTGACATATTGGACAATCGCTTGGATGGCTGTGGGACAAATTCCGCTGTGGCCATGGCACCGGATGACTACATGGAGGTTCGACATGTTCTTAGCAGCTTTAGCATTGTGCACATGCGTGCCCATCGCCTCGATCACCATGCACAGATGCCGCCTGAGTTGGCACTTCTTGCTGATCTGTATATGGAAGCTTGTCACGTCGGTGTCGCTTGCTTGCATGACGCTGCACCGGTGCCTCATTGTGCGTGAAGAGCAGCGGCGAAAAGGCTCCAAAGACATTGAATTCTCTACTCGTCACCAGTACCATCCAGCAATGAACCACGAGCCGTACGACAACGGAATACACGCGCAACTGAAGAGTCGATCGGGCTTCTTCTCACAACACAGCGGCCCTAGCAAGGGAGCCAAAAACATCCCAGCACCACTCTGGTGGCTGGTGCTCTACCTTTCTGGCACCATAGTCGGTATGGTCGGACTCTGCTCCCTACTCTACACCACATTTCGCACAGACCTGACCATCCGCCATCTCACATATGGCTTTGGCGCCGCGATGGGCCTTATCCCCTTGCTCGTCGCAATATACTGGTACATGCACCACCTGGACCTCCCTCAAGGAGGATCGAAGGTGTATTGGTCAGCAGTTCGGTACACGTTCTTCGGCAGTATACTTGCATTCACGGCGGTGTTTGGATTCTTTTCTTCACTTTATAGCGATTTGGTACTTGGGAGGATTGCGGACAATTTGTTTGGGCTGCCGTCGCAGGATTTTGCGCCACTTTATTGGGCGTGGTTTGTGGCGAAGAGGTTGCCAATGTTGTCTTTCTAAGAGCATCCATATCTCTTTTCTGGTCTTCTATCATGGGGTTATATGCGTTCTTGTCATCTTCACTGCCGCTCTCGGTCTCTCGTGTCATTGTAATTCACACTCAAACTACACAAATCTTCTTGTACTTCTGGTCTATCTGGATACATTGGCGGTTCGTGACCGGCGCTGCTCGAGTACCGTAACGTCTCATCTTCCTCACGTGAAGATTCTCAGTCGGCTAGCCCCGGAGGAAGGTAAGCTGGTATTTTGGGTGTGCGGAGCTGTGAGGGTGATATCTTCGACTAACGTACTGAGGACAATGCTAAATCCTGATCATCTTCAATCCGCTAGTATTAGGGCTCTCTTCCAGTAGAATTGTCGGACTTAAGACTCTCACGGCTAAGTAACGCCCTACATTTAGGTGGAAATGCTATGTAGTCCACCTAGCACGTAGGCGCATATCGTTGCCAAGACACCTGTTTGCTTTCTCAATTACTCTCACTCATTCCGGATGGCGAAGCGCATCAGTGCGGAGATCGATGAGCACATCCATCACAACGTGCTAAAGCCTCAGTGCCTCGCGCTTTGTAAAAAGATGTAAATGAGACTGCCAAGAGAACTGCGGGATAAGATATACGGGATCTTACTTCATGATTCGACGACCTCCATCTATGGGCTCGATCTCCCAAACAGCTAAAAGACCAAGGTCTGCAAGCCTACCGATGAGCTGGCTCAACCATATACATCATTAGAGAAATATGGCCACGTCGCTTCTACCGCCGCTAGAATTGAACGCACGCGGTCTGGATTTGCTATTGCATGGTTCCGCTATACGACTTTCCAATTCTACGACAACAACACTTTGCGATTTTTCAGCGGCGTTGATTGGAGGGTATCTAGTCACGATGTTCGCCAGCTTGCCAAGGTCTACGAAGTCAGTTTGTATCTGTCAATCTCCGATACACCTGAGCGCGGAAAAGCCAATGGCACGGATATTGGATCGGAGTAGGACATCGGGAGCAGGATGCCTTGAAGAGAAAGAGGGGAGACATACCAGTGGCGATTTGGCAGCGAATATGGTGATATGAGGAGAATACAAGGGAAAGCCCAACGATCTGCCGTCTAATGATAGCGCCTTCACCTCTCTCTCTCTCTCTGTCACAGTACCTAAGTGACGCTATGGCGACTACTAGTGATGTAGACCGCGGTTGCGTCTTTAAGTAACATCACCCTCACCTTAACTCGAAGATTGACTGACACGCTAAAGGAAACGCAAATTGCTGTACTATCACTCTAATCATGCTGTAGGGCTCAAGCACCAGCTCGATGAGTACGCCAAAGAGTGTGCAATGTCTAGCTGCAGCAAGCTCTGCAACGATGTGCAGTCAAAGCTACCTCGAGAACCACGAGATTTTGGTATACGGCTACTCACTGGATGGTGGGGCATCATCATTGATGATCGGAGATTCGAACCAACCCGGGCTTGAGAACAGGGACAAATTGGAAATCTTCCGCCATTTGTCACACATATACAACCGATTTGGTCTCTCCACTGTCAGCTGCCAACACAACTAGCTATTATGCGGGACGACCCAGCACAAATGGAAAAAGAGCGCTAGAATTCCTATGATACCGATCGTGCTGAATATGTCTTCTGTCCCATACATCAGTTAACTTCACAAACACATGGCCACAGTTTAGTTACTTTTCCCACAAGCTCTCGCTGCTTCTATGTTCTCATCACTGCCCTCCTTTAATTGTGCTGCATAACTTGACTGCTCGCTATCCATGTAGGCTTGAATTTCATGTGTTATGTTCCATTCAGTCGGAAATTGCGGTGGCACCCATCGATGGATTGCACAGCCACAGCAGCCAAGGCACTACTTTTAAGGCATCCCGATCGCCACGCATACTTCTTCCCAGAATCACCAACTTGTTTGTTTTAACTAAACACGGCGAACACACTCAGATCCCTAGAAGGAACGATGGCATTTCATTTTTTTCTAAAAGGCGACACCTCGTGGATATCATCCCGGAAGCAGATTGCGACTACATTTACCAGCAAGGGACTGAGTGGTGTAAACCCTATACAGGACATATGTTAATGCCAGCTAGACATCTAAGAAAATTCAGGCTCATGGATATTGTCATATATCATGTCTCGAATGACATTCGGAAAGTGCAACGGCAACACATGCGCACGTCACAAGAAGAACCTCCTAAGAACATCGTTCATGCTCGCCTAATCTCGCTTCAAAAGCTCCGAACCAATATTGCCTGTAGTCAAGGGCGCATATCAATTGCCATTGATGAACGCATTGGCATGACCATTTCACCATCGTGCCTTGTTCTATGTACAAACATCCAACAATATCCCCCAAAAACGCTCCGGGACATGGTTTACCAGTATCTCCTTCCATCCGAGGATGTCTTGATTGGAGTTGTTTTCGATGCCTACGGGGCCTCGGGCAGTTGATTAAGGTTTGAGAATCTACAAAAGACCTCGGAAGACAGAGTGGGTAGAGCTGCGGCAAGATTGATTGATTGAATTGGTTTAACGTCCCTGTGAAGAGAGAGCTGTGGCAAGAGACACTTGGAAAGGCGGGCATATCGCTCACGCACTAATAGTCATGTCTTTCACTACCGCGTGGTAGCAGAGAGGAACGGTGAGTTCGAGGTACTTTATTTTGCTACCTTCGTCACCAGGTGCCACAGTGATTCGTGCGCGCGCGTTCTGTTTGGGCTCAATACACTTTTGGAGAGTAGATGTCATCTTATATATAAGCATGCAAAAACTCGATAGTTTATTAGTCTGTTTCGCTTACACAGCTCAAACTAAATTGCGCTTAGGCGGTGCTCAGGATCGTGAGGCAAAGCGCGCACGAGTTGTTGCAGCACCTGGTGTCGTCGAATGTCACGAAAGCATTCTGGAATCTGACGTCCCACATTCTACACGTCACTTTGTCAGCAGTAGACACTGCTTGGCTGGTGATCCTCGCAAATGCCTAATAGAAATGAACTTGTCAAAGTGCCCCTGCCTGAGTCATCGTCCGTATGGCCCTGCCATCGCAGCATCATGTTTCACTGAGCAAACATCCGCCTTGCGCTATCAAAGACAACTTATGCCAGGTTTGCGCACTCTGCCGCTTCCCTTATGCACACAGAAAACACAGGGTTTGCAACCCAGACAACGGTGTCAGCTTGCTGTCCGCATCAGTCATAAGCTCCTACACTTGGCATTGAATACGAATTCATCTTGCTCCGTCGGCGCGAAAGGAGGTGGGAAGAAGAAGCAAGTTAGTACCCAGGACGACCCAGAGGCTCAAGAACCGCAAGATCGAGATGTCGACGATGCCGGAGTAAGAGTTGGAGAAGATCGAGACAGCACTGTGCGGGATGCTGACCGAAGCCCACGATCACCGCGATCGCAAGCCGGGGCCACCCGTCGATCTCCATCTCAAACTAGAGCTTAAATGAACGCCGAGAGAGAGCGTGATCTGGCAGTGAACGCGCGCGAGAATGCTGACTTGGCTCTGGCAGTGGCAAGGGGCGAACTCAGCCTCTTGTACTACGACCGAAACGCGCCGGGGCAGGACTTGCACTTGGCAGAGGAACAGGTCCACACTGCAATGGAAGTAGTGGCACAGAGTATAAAAGCCATGATTGATAAGGTGAATATTTTGAGGACGATAGATCGTGATGCAGACGATGGATAGGAAGGTGAGAAATGAGGAGTGAGAGACCCTACCATGCAACTGAGGCCTCAAGGGATGAAGTAGGAAAATTGATAGGTATTGAAAATTGGACATATCTTTTGCTTAGATGTTGGTTGGATGTTCGTGATCATAGGCTCGAGTGACGTAGTGCTTTGCCTGTTGTTGAACGGCGGAGCCGTCTCACGATTCCCTCCTCACATACTACCTTAGAGTCAAGTGTACAAGTTTCTTGAGCGAAAGACAAAGATCAACATCTCCGTGTCATCGGATCGTGATTGTAGTCGAATGCTTGCAACAATCCAACGAGATGCAGAGCCGCACCAACGACTGCACAAACATGGAAAATTTGATGGGAACAGCCCCATATATCGAAAAGTCCAGGGCGCATCCTCTCCGGAATTCTTAACTTATTGACATGTCAGCACACGATGAGCAACAACCTTCACCTTCTTTAAGTACTCACAGCATAGATGATCGCGCCACTAATATACGACAAACCTTCCCAGATGAAGTACCACCAGCCCATCTGTCTGTGCGCCTGTTCAACACCAAACGCCTGCGCCGCATGCGTCATCGGAAACGCGCCAGACCACCCAATTGCACAGAACAGCGCCGCTCTCGCCCAACGCCACTTAGGCGTGCGAAAGTGCGGTAAAGAGCACAAGGTTGCCGCAGACGTTACTATTATCGTGATCTTCAGAACGCAGAAAGTCAGCAAACAAAATCCTACATACCAGAAACGGTGATCTTACCCCAACCGAATACATGATCCAATACTCCTGCTCGCAGTAAAACCCATAGTATGTCCCCGAATATACTGTACCCGCGATGAGCACGAAGATGCCGTATAGATCCAACATGAGCCATGTATGATAGACTTTACTGGAATGGTTGCCGAAAATGTGAAATGTCGCGCTGATACCGAAGCATATAATTGCGCTGCTGATAAAGACACCAAAAGCCAGGAGGTCGAAGACATCTGCTGTGGAGTACCTAGTAGTGATCTTGTCGTATACGTTCGTCGAGTAAGCGAGGAATAATACCGCACCTACGAGGTGCGAATAAATGTTTCCGGTTTGGTTGTGGAGATATAACATGCTCTTTAGGGACGCACGGTACGAATTGGACTTAGTGCGATAGTTGCCGCAGAGGTACTCGTTATCACGCTGCCATGCTTCGACTTCATCGAAAGTAAACAGCAAGCGTTTTGTCGATTGAATGACCTCTGAGATCTTCTGGGTAGTCGATTTCCGTCTGGCTTTGGGCCGGTGGAGTTGGGCCATGATAAATTCGGATACCTAGTAAATGTGGTTGGATAGGAGTTTGACGTAGACATGGAGCGAGTAGGAAAAGGCAAACCTGCTTCATTACATATGTATGCGCAACCCTTGCCAGCCCGCTAGCAACTCCCTGTGCCATAGCCCCCTAAAGCCAAGGCACTTGTCTATTTCCGGAACATGTTTTAGCTTGACCATCGGGCCAAGCTCCGCTATCAGTATGATTTGTTTTGACGAGTGCCGCGAGCCGACAAAACTATGTTTGGTCAATGTAGTGTGCGTAGGCGTGACTGCGCAAACGGGCGATACTATCATTTAATGCAAAGCGGGGCAGAGTGAAGCACTGTATCATCCAACGTTGAATATTTATAGGCTAGCATAAGCGATCTCATCACGTCAGCTCCTTAGACCATGAAGGCATTCCTGGCAACGTTTCGGTTTCGCTGTTAGTACAATACCTGATAGCTGACTACCTCTGGTCTTAGCCTGAAACACCTCAACGTCAGATCCGGAGCCGATGGCGAGCTAAAATCTGACATCAGCCAGGTGGTTAGTGTCAAGAGAAGCGAGAGAAAGTCGTGGACATGTCGAGATTTTGAGGAATTAGTTGCATTTATCAACTTTCAATATGAAGCCTTGTGAGAAACTAATTGCATGCGCTGCTTTCGTGTAACTCACTCTAGGCTCAATTCATCGTATTCAAGCGCTTGTGGTGCGTACTTCCTGAAAGCCAACACGCGTGGTGTGCTTTCTAACAACCGAGGGCGCAAATGAACGGATCTAGCAAGGCTAATTCCGTCATCAATCTCTTCCAAGTTGTGCGTGCCAAGTACATGGCGAATGCGAAAGCGTTCGTGTCCTAGTCAGTACGAAAATGCTCGGCGTGACCGCGCATGGCCATGACTTGCTGCTCTACATCTCATCCATCTCCTCAGAAAGAGGGGTAGTGGAAAGAGGAGTAGATATGCCGAAGGAGCTGTTGCTGCCCTCGTGCATAGTGTTGCCTGAAGCCTGTGAGGAGGGATCGCCGTACTTGTCCTTCAGGTCTTGAAGAATTTGTTGGCCTTGACTGAGGGCGTTGAGTTTTGCGAGAAGCTCCTGGCGTAAGGCCTCGCGCTCAGGATCTTCGGTGAGGAGGCGAATTGCATTGCGGTTGCCTGAGAAGGGTTAGTACGTATTGACAGTGGAAGTAATCAGTCATTCTTACCATTATCTTCGTCGTAGATACCTAGACCATTCTCCAGCTCGTCGCGCAGTTGTGTCTGAAGTTGCTTGAAGAATTTGCTCTCAATGCGCATGCAGACAGAGTCGTGGAAGCGACGGGCAGCCGTCATGAAGTAGGTGGTGATAGTGGCTGCAACACCTAGCTCAACGCTGTACGGCTCCTCGTTTAGCAGCTCTATGAGCTTTGCATTCTTAAGAATTTTGGCGTCTTCCGCAGGCGTGATGTCCTTGCCGGTGCGGTGTTGGCGCTCATGCCTGTATCGTGCTAAACGCGCCTTGAAGCGAGCCTGGCGATAGAGTTCTAACTGGGCAACCTTTTCTGTAGCAAAGATCCCTTTCTGGAAGACATACACACTGTTCGTCTCGTCTTCTAGACTCTCAGTGGCCATTGTCGTACGCTGTTGTTGGAGGTTCAGGTCCAACATTTGAACAACTATTTTCCAGGCCGCCTCGTACAAGGCTACACTCTCCCACGTGCGGAAGGACTCGTGGAACAGTGCCCGGATGCGCGACTTCAGATCCTTCTCTAGGGAGTTGAAGAATTCAGTCAAAGGCAGTGACCAGTGCTCTAAAGTTTCCATACTCATCGCATCGGTGATCTTGTGGTCGTAATGACCTGGTATGCTCGCGTTTGAAGTCTCCTCCAGATGTTGCGAGATCCCATCGAGCTGGAACTTGGTTCTCTTCTTGGTAAAATCCGGGAATGGGACAACTGCAGCCACTGAAGTGGATTTGGCAGGGATCGAGTTTTTGAGAGGGGAGGGACCAGGAGTAGAGTCCAGCTTGCGTTTTTTTGTAGGAGTCTCTGGCGTACCAGACATCCGTATGTCTCCGGTTCCGCTGCCTTCATCATCACTCTCATCATCAGACTCCAGGACAATAGAGTCGTTGGCCGATGCCCCACCACTAAGTGAACTGCGGTAGATTCCCTTATCGCGAGTTCCGCCAGTCGCCAATGTAGGCTTAAGGCTCAAGATCGAGCTGAACAGGGACCTCTGAAGTGCTTTCCAGTTGTTGCGCCACACCCGATGCTTGAAGTCGCCTTCTAATTCGAGGCGCACGCTCTGCGCAAACTCTGTAAGTATGTCGAAGATGACTCTGGGCGCATTCTGAGTAACCGGTGCGGGATACTGCTTCAGCTCTTCCTCAACTTCGTGTCGACGAGTGTGGATCTCCTCCTCAATGATAGGTAGTTTCTTCGTGATCTGCTCAGCTAGCTTGTCGGACAGGAAGCTCTGAAGATTCCATGTACCAAAGCGAGAGTCATGTTGCCGAAACGCTGCGAAGGGCTTCGCAGTGTCGAAGAACTGCTTCTCCTGAGCTCGCGCAGCTTCATGGGTCAGGTGCCTGTCAAGCTGCTCTTGTCCAAGGTTTCGAACGACGAAGTATCCATGACCCAGTGGCAGGTGCTTCTTCTCATAGACATTGTGGAGAATTTCGTGACAGGCGGTCTCCAGGAGACGGTCGGGCTTTGTGAGCACACCTAGGCTAGTGTTAGTCATGGTCGATGTAGAATAGAATGAGATACATACCAACGCATCGATCGGTAGCCTTCAGAGCTCTTGCAATGCCACCCGCTGTGGAATTCGCGATGTCATTTTCCATAGAGCAGGTAACGAGGATGAGAGCTTCCGGATCCTTAACGTATTCGCTGACGAGATTCTTGACAAAAGTAACATCATCAGGCATCTCAGACTGGCCGATAACACCTGGAAGATCGTAGAAACTTAGGGCTGGCAGACCGGGGTGACTAATAGAGATACACACGACGTTCGGCGAAAACCCACAGGAAAATGCCCCATTAAGATGCTCGATATTAGCTTTAGTGAAATCCTCGTAGTCGTGAAGACTCGTAACAGCACGCTGAGCTCGGGCAATTATACGTTCGAGTTCATCTGGGCTGTTGCATGTCATGAACTCTACAATGGTAGGTTCTTGAAGCTGAATCCAGCCAGGAAAGCGTCGATCTCGGCCCCTCTTCCCATCGTAGATGAAGGTACGGCGGAGCGTGACACTTGCGTTCCACGTCGCAGCTGGATCGGCCGGTGACTCAAGCTTGATGAACAATGGACATCGCGTGCAGGTACCAGTCGATCGCGGCGTCTTAATCTCAGAGATAGCCTCAATGACTGAGGACTTGCCAGTCGACTGTTCCCCAAGGACGATGATCTTCGGCAGCGGTATCTTCAGGCGCTGTAGGCCGAGGCCCTCAAGCCTGTTAATAGTCGTGATGATATCTTTGACGTGAGCACCCAAGGCGTCAAGCTCACGGGCTGGTGATTGGTGGGGGCGATACGCTATACCGCTGTTTAGCGGCTGGCTTGCCTACAGTGATTTTTACTTACGGATCTGCTCGTCGATGTGCATAGGCTCGAGGCCCTCACTCAGACGTGAGACGTCATCCCGCTCACGTTGAGAGCTATCGCGGTTGCGACCGCCATTGCTGGTGCCAGGGCCAGGGCCAGGGCCAGGGCCAGGGCCAGCACTCAGAGTGCGATTGCGTGTGCCACCGACCATACTAACTGCTCGGGCTATCTTGGTTGAGAGGCGAGGTAAGTGGCGAGGAGATGGAGGTGAGAGGCAGTTGGGGTGTTAAAAGGCAGCACGGCAGCGCCAAGACCATGCCAAGCCAAGCATCGCGACGACGACAGACACAAGTGCGGGCGGAGTACAACTCGCAGTCAAAGGTGATTGAGGGAGTGGGGTATTTTACGTCGCCTCGGCGTGCTGTTTTATGGAATGGGCGTATCCAGCAAGGGTCCATATACTTAGGTATGGCGCCGACTGTGATTGAGTACATGAGGTTTGAAGAAATAGACCGCGCCATGAATCAAGAGTTGAGGCTCAAGAGATGTTTGATCAAGAGATACAGTCACAACGACACTGGGAAGGCAGGCCTGCTGTGCAGTTGTTCAGGCCCAGTCGCGATAGATTTACCGTAGACGCCTTGACAGGAAACGGGACCGGAAATTGGAATAACAAATATCCATGGTGTGAATTGGGTAACAGACAGCTAGGAAGAATAGCAGTGAGAAAAGGAACAGACTTGTGGGGTATGAAATCGATTATGCCGTGAGCTGAGGACGGAAGATGCCACCTACCGCAATCATCACGGCGAACGGTATGTGTTTGTGCGTTGGGTTCTGAATCGTGATCTACCATCAATCTCATGTATCACGCCATCCTCGATGGCATTTTGTTCGCAAACGATGACATTGGTGAAGAACTTCAGACTCAAGAGAGTGGTGGCGGAAGAGACGATGCTGCCCGGCCCGAAGTTTTGCCGACGCAGCGATGTCCCGCGAAAAAGTTGAACCGGCATCATCATCGTCATTCTCATCTGAACCCACAATCTCTGGCAACTCCAGTCGCGCCTCCCAACCAGGACCCTCCCGCTCAACCCGAAGCACACGCAGACAGGATGGATCATTCTCGCGACCCCTGCCCATGGGTGATCCTCAATGACTTTGGTGGCGCCTTCGCCATGGGTGTATGTGCTAGCACGAACTTGGGCTCGCTACATGATACTGACGAGAACGCAGGCTGTTGGCGGTGCTGTATGGCACGGCGTAAAAGGTGTATGTGCCACTGACCCGCCACTGACCCGCCTCTGCTCTGCTCCGCTACTAATAAGGCGCACAGTTCCGCAACTCCCCGTACGGCGAGCGACGCATCGGCGCCATCACCGCGATAAAAGCCCGCGCGCCAGTACTCGGCGGCAACTTTGGCGTGTGGGGAGGACTCTTCAACACATACGACTGCGCAGTCAAGGGCATACGGAAGAAGGAAGACCCGTGGAACGCCATCATCGCAGGATTCTTCACCGGCGGCTCGCTTGCGGTACGCGGTGGCTACAAATCCATGCGCAACGGCGCCATATCGTGCGCAATTCTCCTCGCAGTCATTGAGGGCGTCTCGATCGGATTCAACCGCATGATGGCCGACAACACCAGGCTCGATGCCCCTCCGCCACCGCCCACCGATGCCGGAGGCCTGTCGTCAAGCGGCGGCGGCGGCATGGCAGTTGCCGCGTAATTTCGATTCCTCCCATACATGTCTTGTTTTAGCGCGCAGTTTTAATGTTCGAGATGAACAAAACGGTCAACATGTCGGGTGTTCGGATGGTTGGCTTGCATATACCGCTGGCCTGATTTTGGCAGCGATGGCGTTGGCACTCTCCTCAACTCATATGCGATATATCTGTTATATCCACGGCACGATCTGTACAACAACCGCTCACCTCGGAAGGAGGTCCAAAAATGATGAAAGACTATACTGCAATTTTCTGGCATTGGCTTCTCCTGCTCCTTGTTGCCAACGGCGGTATTGACTTTGCGTGATTCAAATTTAAGCTTACGCATTACAGACTGCCTCACGAACCGATCGATTGACTTCGAAGCGCATACTCGGAATTTCAGTCGTGCAAAAAACGGTTGATGATCTGGTCGACCATTTCATAGAGGTCGACATCGACGCCAGCACGCAGAATTCCGCCCAGACTGGAAACCTCGTAGCAAGCGAGAACATCGAAAAGTACAAGGAATGGTCATCAGCCCAAGACTGCGACCCCTTTGACCATCTGCTCCCACTCGCCGCTATAGAGGAGCTCAACAAGTTCATGTGCGATGAAATTGTCCGCATTTCCAAAATCCCTGTAGCCGACAAAAAGAAGCCGTGGGTGCCGCCTCTTTCGCCTCTACACCATCAGTGTTTTCCTCTCTGGGCCAAAGAGCATCCCGCCAACGATGTCATTCGCAAACACCTCTCTTCAGTGCACATACGTGAGGCGAACATCGAAAGCGGGACGCTGCCACGTGAGGCGAGGGACTACCACTTGTACCACACACACCGATGCAGAGGTAGTCAGCTGGAACAGACAGCGTGCGGGCCTTCGCCCTGATACGGTAGCCAGAGAGACAACGGAATATGATGCGGACTATGAGCACCATGGCTCTCGGCGCAAGAAACAGAATCGGTATCGCAATGGGTCGCTTCGTGAGCAGCGGCGAAAGTGGAACGCTATTTCTGACGACAGCTGGACGGCTAAGGCTACAATTTTCCCGTGAGATACAAAAATGGGCAGTCATCTATCTCCCATGACTATTGCTCCATAGCCACATTTCAAGGACAGTGGTGGTCTGCATGTTCCTCGTAGCCACCTGTCGAGGCCAAATGTGGGTGATTCGCGCGCAATTCCTTTACGAACGGACTTCCTGAGGCGTGAGCAGTACGGTGGAGATACAGATCAAAAAAAGCAAGGAACAAAATTTGAGAAGAGCGAATTTTCCATGCGCGAAGCGTGATAGCACGAAGATTGTTAGCGCGTCCTGAACGTAGCCATACACGCCAAGCAGACGTAACAAATCTTGGTGTCGCAACATCAATTCCTATTTATGTCATGGACTTTCTTTGTACCTAGCGACATTTGAAGTGCAGTTTGTCTCTTACCCATAATCATCCTCCCGTACAGACTTCGGTGGTGTATTTCACATCGCTTCCCTCTCACTTATACTCTTACCTGACAAGCCCCTGGAGGTAGCAACACTACTGCAGCAGCTCATTTTGTACGTGGCTTCTCTTCTTGATTACTCGTGCCTTAGGAAAGAGTTTCACGCAATAAGGCACTGTAATCGCGTTTCTGCCCGCAACGTCGCCTTCACACAGTCGTTGGATCATGCCTCGCCAATTCGGTCAACAGCGACCAGAGCCTCGCGACTTTATCGACCTTACAGGCGAGACACCGCAGTACCGATCTTCACATGGTGTGCCTGTCACTTCTCAACAGCCAGCTTACATGGCGCATCCTGGATATCCTTCAAATAACATAGTTATGCATTATCAGCCAGACATCATGGTCCCTGGACATATGCACGGTATGCAATCAGCTCAACGAATGGCCATGTATCATCAACCAGTCATGATGTATCATGAATCTTCCCACGGCATGCAGCCGACCAACATCGTAGATATACAACACGACTATAGTCGGCTATATCCAGACCTGATGCACTCCACCCAACTACAGTTCCACTCGCATTCCCAACAGCAGCAGACATCCATGCCCGATCCTGGAAACCCTGAGGGCCCTCAGCACTCTTTCCATGCCATGACACCGATACCACATTATCCTCAGACTTTCTTGCCACAACAACAGATTCGCCATCAGAACGGCTATCTATGTGACCCCGACGGTCGCGTGGAATGCATAGTAGCGCGCGAGACTAATTTACCTGGCAGTAAGATTCTACCTGCTATGACAGGGACTAGAGGTGTTCGCGCACCTCCAGGCAACAAGAAGAAGCGGGAACATCGCGATGTCTCCTCTCCAAATTCCGCAGATAGTCATATGGTACATGGACATAATAATGTAACGAGAAGTATGCGATCACATCCGACACCAGAGTCGGAGAGTACTCACGCATCTCGAACTACAAGTAACAAACAGCGACGCATGGCTGACCTTCCTGCGCCTTCGAACGAGGGCCTTCTCAAACCTGACCAAACGGGCTCTCAAACGAGCGAAGCACCCCGAAGCGCCGAGCCGACCTTTCGAGGAGGTGCAGGCACTTACGACACTGAGATACGTATTCCTAGAGAGCGCAAGACGATGGCGACAAAAGGTCCACGAGAGCCATCATGGTCATCGAAGCTACAGAAGAGTAATTTGGTCCCTCCTGTCGAGGATCATGAACACTCTCAGCAACTCTCGTGGATCGAAACCGGTGAATCAGCGACACGACAGCTTGAAGTTGATTATCCCGCCGAAGCATTATACGCGATGGATCAGGGACACCCAGCACCGACCCCTACCAAAGCGCAATCCGAGACACCGCAACTCGCCAATTCCCTGAGTACTTTTTTACGGCTCGCAAACTCAGACGCAAACTCAGACGCAATCTCGACATTCGCGAAGGCCATTATAGAAGAAAACATAGAAAAGAATCTCGCCAACGACCGATCCATACATATTTACCTGCCCTCACAGCAGGACTCATCCCTCTCACAAACACTACTCGAGAAGGCAGAGATCGAGCCAGAATTCCTCGTCACCTATTACCGCACTCGTTGCGCATTCGACCCGCTGCATCCCGATCACATCTTGAACATGGACAATGTTGTGTTTGGCAACGACTTCTTGGATTATGGGCCGGAGGCGAAACAGCAGGCGGCGAATTTCTTTGAGGAGACGTTGGGGAGTGGAGGGGATCTGGGGGAATTGGGTGTGTTAAGCCGGTCGTAGTAGGAAGGGCTACATATGTACGGTGGCTGAGGGAGTGTCGAGGGGTTGGTATGTGCGATGTAAGGAGCCGTCCCACGTCTCATTCGCAGGATTGGTTTTGATTAATGGCGATTTTAGGAGGCGCACACGCCTCATTATTCAGCGTAATACAAGATGTACAACCAATACATGCTAGCCTGCATGTCGTGAAGTAAACGTTAGTTCGTGCGCATACACACCCACCACACCTCACTGTGCCGTACCGAGTCAATGACGCCACTCCAATACACCAAACCTGCATCCTTCCAAATATAGCCGCTTTCCTTGTCTCACTCCCTTATGTCCTCAGTGTTATATCGGGGCTTATGGGGTGCCGCATTAGTGCGTCGGGGACTATTGGCCAATCACGCGATGCTTTCGAAGTCCGACGCACGCGATGGCTATACACTTCTCACATTTGCTCCAATGACTGCGGCCTGATATTCGAGCTCAGTTCCGCCCCACAAGGCTTGTCGTAGCTGATAATGGGTGGTGGGTAGTTGCCTTTAAGACGTCGCTTCCCTAAGGATGAGGTGAGACTTGGGGCCAAGACTCGGCTTCTCGAACTGTTATTGTTGGCCAAGTGGTCGGTCGCAGACCTCAAATGGTGGAAGCATTCCTCGCAACTTGATCTTTTCGCACTTTCTTGTTCTTGGATATGGGTGCCACGGTGGATCGCGCGGTGCTCAGGCGGACGACGATTTCCATGGGAAGCCGCGGCAATGTCATCAATATCGTTTCGTGGATGCTGCTGGCGGTGGTTGTGTGTACTCTGGTTGCGAGATTTGCGATGAAGGTTTCGATGAAGACGAAGCGGAGGAGATTTGGGCTCGATGACTTGTTCATCGCACTGGCCGCCGTAAGTCGAGAGGCTCAAGGAAAAGAAGTCACGCTGATGAGAGCAGCTTTTCAGCTTTGGGCAAACAGTCGTTGTATCGATTGAGTCTATGAGAGCTCTGGGTCAGCATGTGCATGACCTGTCTGCTGAGCAGATAGTAATCTACCAGAAGGTTAGTCTCGAATCGCAATATTGTGGAACACCTGGCTGATCTCTACAGGCCGAGTATGTTGCATACATACTATACATTGCAAACATGGGATGTGCTCGCATTTCTATCTGCCTTGTCATCCGCAAAGTCCTTCCTGGCACTGTACCGAAGTACACCGCACTTGGTTTCGCTGGCTTCACGGCACTCTGGACTCTATCGGGTGTTATCGCGACTGCTTTCGCATGTGCCTTGCCGCATCCCTGGATTTTCGTCAGAAATACACAGTGCTACGATGTGACGGCATTCGTAAACTACATCGGCATTACCAACATCATAGTAGAGATCCTACTCGTACTCATACCGCTCGTGGTTTGGAATGTGAGAATATCGGCGACGAGGAGGATTTCTGTGTCCCTGGTATTTCTAGCACGTTTACTGTGGGTGGCCACCATGACTCCAGTATCTAAATATACTAACATCTTCCAGTGTCGTCGCGGTCATGGGTGTACAGCTCTATTTCTTCAACAATACCGACCTTACGGACCAGACTTACGCCCGATGGCCGACAGTACTCAGCGAGCAAATCGCACAGAACCTGGCCATCATCACTGCTTGCTTACCGGTCCTCAATCCCTTCATTATCAAGATAATAGCCGGCAAGATTGAGCCCGAGGAGATATCATACACCAACAGCGCCCCGCTCTTCATCAAACGCTACTTCGAGCACAAGCCGCAGGCACCCATCTTCGACTACACCACTTCACACAGTTCACATGCTTCCATAACACCATTGACTGAAAAGACCGCAGAACCATACTGCCGCCCTCTCGCCACATACGGTCTCGACTTATCCTCAAATCACCGCCTTACGCACTCATCATCCCACTTCGCCCTTAATATCGCCAAACCAATCTTCACTCCTTCACCCCCGGAGAACGTTTTCAACCGGCACATCAACGTCCCCGTATCTCGGCCCGCAACATCAACATCAGCGAAAGATCCCTTGGCTGCACCAACCCAGCTGGATGATGTTGGCGTTCTTCCGACCTTGGAATGGGAGACTGAGAGCAATAGTTCTGGTAGTAGGCGAAGTAGTCCGGCGAGACATCCGACAGCAGAGTGGGTGGGTATTAGACAAAAGGTTATTAGTGTGCCGGAGGAGGAACATTTGTATGATGATGAGAGCAAGAGGTTCTGTCCGCCGTTGCCGAGCCCGAGGTGTCCCAAGAAGCCCCCGAGAGCGTTTTGATACCCATAGATTGAAGGCATGTTTCCACTTTACGATAGTGCTCGTGTATTCCTCACTTTGTGCGGCCTCTTTTGATTTGTTAATCGTACGACGACCGACTGTACACCGATATCTTGCCCGCTTGATGGAGTGCGGTAGTATCTCATGTCTTGAGACCTGGCTGGGTACCCACCACAAACTTTTGCGAGCCCTAGGGAGTTATTTTAAAACTGTGAATATACATGGCTGCGTCGACATGCATCACTTCACTTCTGTTTGAAGATATATGATATGTTTAGCATTGTGTAATCTCGGCATTATAATGGTGGAATTGATGTGCGGGTTGATTGCTGTCACTACGGACATTTTGATACGATTCAGGCAATATAATATATTATGGAACAGTCTCAAATGCAGATATTGTTTAGCGTTCCAGCATGTTTAAGCTATTAGGTTCGTTGACTAAGTTATACAAGAACGATTCGTAGATTTTAGGACGTTCAAACACAACGAGCGCAAGCTAACTTTGATTTCAACGCCTCACGCAACACAGGTTGTTTTTTCATGCCTTGTTCCAAGTGCGACTATACTTTGAGCTGAGTATGTGTACAAGTTACGTTAAGGTTCTTTCAATTCAATTGCCACATCCTCCGTGGCGCAATAGGCAGCGCGTCTGACTGTTATCACGATAGCACATCAGGAGGTTGGAAGTTCGAACCTTCCCGGGGGAGCAATTATTTTGCCTCTCTACACAACCTTTTTGCTACCTGCCAGACATTTATATACTTTTTTTCCACAACAACGTTACTTTAACAGACGGGACGCGGTCGCTTCTGTCCTACATTGTGAAACTGCTGCCATCATTGTATAAGCATAGTTACTACGCTGTCAAGAAACAATGCATGAGCCTACATTGACACAAAAGTCTGTTTTTAAATGCTCCTATCTACTTTCTATCTGATCAGACATCACACGGAAGCCTACACTTCTACATACATCTTCACTTTGCATACAAACGCATACAAAATTTTACAGACAACGCACCCAGACATCACTTTCACCGAGATGCCTTCATCCTACCCCTACTCATCCGGTGGCAAGTACGGCATTAGATCTAAGTATGGCACTAGTTCAATCTCGCACTCTTGTGACTATGACGACCTAGACTCAGCCTATGGATCATCCAGCAAGACTTCCAGCTTGTATGGCGGTTCGAGTTTTAAGTATGCAGGCTCTGAGTTTGACACGGATTACGATTACAAGAGTAGTGGGTACAAGTCTAGGTATGGTGCGATGCCATACGACGACGAGACCACAAGTCGTTCGTCTAAGTCCTCGTATGGTCGTACTGACTCACGTCCTGACTATGAGCGTACCGCAGACTATGATCCTGTCGAGGTCACCGAGTACGACGATTCTCGCATCGGAGGCTACTCAACAAACTCCAATGCGACTCTTCGTCGCCCCGCCACAGCTCGCGGCATCTCACCTCCTTGCAGCGATGCTGAGCGCCCCCGTCGCCAGCACTCATACTCTGATCACCGCAGCGTCAGTCCCTTGGGATCGTCCCGATTCGAGAACCGCTCGGACTATTCTAGCCGGCCTCTTGGTCGCTCGTCCACTGTTCGTGAGACCCCGAGCTACGGTGATGATGGTTACTATGGTAAGTCTGACACCACCTCGGGCTACAAGGGTGCTGGACTGTCGCGTAGCAATGCCGTCCGTGGTCGCGGTCTCAGCGCTACGAACGCTCGTGGCTTTGGTAGTAGCACTGGATACTCGTCGTCTTCTAGGTCTGGCTCTTCTGCCAAGAAGTATGGAACAGATTACGATCTGTACTGAGATCTTCGGGTGCTCGCGCGGTTTTTACTAGCATCCCTTCTATGGCCAATATACAGACAGCTTTTAGCATATAATCAAATGAGTATTCATGAAACGTGATTCGCTCTTGGTGCCAGGAACTTCCTAGATACCTCAAAGTTTACATCCCCAGTTAGAACTCGCATAATTTTGAGCTCACCTGTGGCAATACGACATAGGTATCTTGTCCGTTGGGAGGAGTCTATTCATCAAGACATGTAATGAGACCTCGTATTGCTTTTTCTTGCGCACGCTGACTGTTCGAGAGACCTTACCCCTCTCGTGTCCCGTCTCTCTTGCCATGCTCTCTAGGGGAGCTCTAAGCTTCGGTGTTTAAATTAAGAGGGCAGCTCTTCCCCGATAATTCTTATTTTCATTCAGTCTTGCGCCGCCCTTCTACATTCCATCATCCTTAACTCTCCCTATTTCGCCAGATTCTCTTTCTCGTTTATCGCGATGAAGGTATCTACTATCCTAGGCGCGCTTGTCGCTCTTAGAGGCATCAATATGAGATACTCCGCTGCCATTGAGGCTGTTGACGCCGTTGCCGTTGGGGCTCGACAGTCCAATGACAAGCACAAATTCCCAGCGAGTGTTGTATGTTGCAAGAGATCGGCTACCACAGCCTTCCAGACCTACCGCTGAGAAAATGAAAGCCTATTGTGACCTCGTTGCGTCAAAGGGTCTCACTGCCAAAGGCCATGACCAACGCGTCGACACAGTACGCAAAGAGGAAAAATCGTGTGTGGTCCTATCGCAATCGCCTGATTGAGTGACTAGGTTGTTATGTTTGTGGGTCTGCTGGTGATGGGTCAGCGCATTGCTCCTGGAGTCACGTATATAAGTAACGACAAGATTCACAACGTTTCGATCTGTGAATTTTCTCAATTTGAATCATGTATCGAAATTTATCATGACGCGACCGCATACCCCTATCTTCACATCTGCCTCCACCTATCCCTACCCAGGTGACTATGCGCCTATACAAACATAACCAACATAACCAACACACCCACCGCAACGCCCACCATACCAACCAAAGCAGCAGCACAAGCCACGTGCATGAATTGCTTTGGCTGAACCTTCTTCGCGGTAGCCTTCTGCACCTTCTTGCCGCCCTTCTTACCGCGCTTTCGCGACTTCCTCGGGGTGGAGTCGTTGGCTAGGTCCACGGCCAAGTCAATGGCTGCTTCGATGGTCTCGAGCTTGATAAAATTGTCTTCTTCCACGCTGAGGACGTCGAACTGGTTGGGGGAAGCGGGGACGGCCCGAGCCTTCGTGATTTGGCGGAACTTCACTTCGTGCGATGAAGAAGCCTGGATATCTTCAACAGACTTATCATCAACCTCATTCGTCTTCTCAAGTTCAGGTGACTGCTCCTCGGCTACGGTGGGTGCAGTGGAGGATAGCTCAACCGCGGACTCAGCATCATCGCCACTATGATCGGCGGCAATATCTTGAGTCGCCTCAGACTCTACTAAATCCGAGTCAGTCTCGTTGTGGACTGCTTCATTATCCTCGAAGACAGTGAGTGCGGCGGAGGAAGCCTCCTCGACGACGGTCGAAGCAGTAGAGGGGGCCTTGCTAACAGTTCCAGCATCGTCAACTTCATGAACAGCTTCAAAATCCATTGAGTCCTCCTTGATCTCCTTGCTAGCTGCATCTTTATACTCAGTGGCCTTGTTCTTGTTGACCTTTTTGCCGCCCTTCCTGCCGCGACGACGCTTCTTCTTGGACACCTCACCCACAGGAATATCGACCTCAGATTGGAAAACGTTGTCAGTCGGGACGTCATGGATAGCTTCAGTGACCTTTGCATCGACAGCCATCGGCTCTTCAGTGGTTGAGGCGTCCTGTAGGTCTTCAGTGACCTCTATGTCAACGACTTCGGTGACTGGCACCGCCTCATCCTTGCGTCCAACAACGACGGGTTCGATCTCGATCTCTTCCATGTGCTCGGCATTTGAGGTATCCTGGATGCCCTCGACATTCTTTGGGACGCGGATCTCTGGCTTTGCGGCCGCACGCTTCAACGTCTTCTTACCGACGACCTCCCAGGCCTCATAGTCGTCGGCGCCATTGGTGGCCTCAGCAGCCTCCACGTCACTATTCCAGGTCTTATCGTTCGGCTCGGCGGCCTCATCCTCAGTGACGCCAGCTGCGCTGATCTCGATGTCCTGGGCGACTAGAAGCTGAACCAGCGTATCTTTGTCGCCGTCGGGTGACAGGCCGCGGAGTTCCGCCATGACTTTGAGCGGCGCCTCGCTGAGATTCGCGTAGCGGCTATTAGATGCCATTATCTTGATTCGTGTAGGCCGTAAATTGTAGACGTGTTGGTAGGTGTTGGATATCTTCAAGTAACGCGTGGGTGATATTCCGAGTCTGTTGATACGTGCTGGATGCCTTCGCGTATAGTTGAGGTGATTCGTAAAGGTTGTTGTCAGGGGACTTTTTGCGGCGAGAGTGTAGCGAGAGCGAAGGTTGCTCTTGCGTGGGGGGTTCTTTATTCGGAGGCGATGTGTATTTGCTATTTCACCTATTCGGCACCTTGGTAGGTGATTTTTCGTCCCTTGGTAAGTGATATTCGTAGTTCCCACCCTAATCTTCAACATTGTCAGCTTACAAAGCGCTCCCGTGGTACACTAGAACGACGTCCAGCACGCTAAGGATTGTGAGTGAATGCGCAGAGCCAATTACTTTTGACTCAAGGGTGATTAAGGTAAGGTGAAGATTTCGCACTACCATTGTATGGTCGACCACATGGCCCGAGATCAAGCGCGCGGACTTTTAGAAGATTGCGAAGGAAATGTGTTCTTGTCATTTTCAGAGCACGATGGAAGGCGAGACAGTGTCTCTCAAACTCGATATACGATATAAAACATGAACATTGCGTAGTGGGTATATGTTTCAAAGAGCAAAAGGAACATGTAGCAGAAAGCACAAGACTTAGGGCAGGACGGGTATCTGCCTGACCCATTCAGGCATGTCCCAGTCATTCTCCTGATACGCTGCTGGCAAGGTTGAGCGGAACTCGGCAGCTTTGGTCACGATATCCAAGACCCTGAAGTCGCGTAGCACGCCGCCTGTGCGGGGACGGCAGTAAGCTTCGAATATTTTGTAGAAGACATCGCGACCTGCGTAGCGCGTTAGTGTGTTGGGTAGAAAGCGTAGCGAAACCTGACATACCTGCAAATCTCTGTAGCCCATCAAGCAGAGCCTGTTCCTGCTCGGGCGACCACGACTTCAATCTATTGGCGCGCGAAGGGTGGCGTCGTGGCGGAGTTTCGCGATCTTTGAACACTGGCAATCGTTGGAATTTAATACCATTTGCATCTGTATCTTCAAGGTCTTCGAGATTGATGATTTTCAGATTTGGAAGTCGTTTCCTCGGATCCGGCTCGCAACGCATGCGTGCGATGTGCAACTGTTGCCAGCGGGCCCATCTGTCGCGTTGGGCTGCAGCCGTGCTCTTCAGCCTCTCCATCTCTTCGTTTTCCTCTCCGATTTGGCGTTCGATGTTTGCAAGGTCTCGAGCGGCACACTGCCGGCCCTCAAGCTGTCGCAGTCTTTTACTCAAGACGTCATGAGCCTTTCGCAACGGCGCGATCAGATGCGAGTTCACATCTCCAACCATCCTATCACCATCGTACCGTTGCGGTACTGTGACCTTCCAGCTTGCCATCATGTCCTTCATGACGAGGATGTGGTGCACGAGGGGCACTAAGATGCGCATGACCTCCAGTGTGTCGGCCCCGGCATCCCAAGACCCATATAGAGACTTGGCCAGCTTGGTCAGAGACCGGAATACGTGGCCATACATGTCCGCCTTGATTGCAAGACGGTCATCACTATCGACATTACGCAACTCGTTTAGCGCAGCCTGGACTTTTCCGCCGATTGCTGCCATCTGTTCGATCTCAAGATCGTGGCCCCGGAGACGCCCTCTCGCTTCGTCGCAAACCCTCTTAATGGTCAAGCAGACATCAGTCTGACAGCGACCAGGTCGCTTCTCGTCTTTCCAGATATTTGAAAACGCGCCGGAGAGCTTGGGAGGTTTCCGAGGGCTCGCCAGCCTCCTCTTCGTCATCAGATGCCGCCTCTTCTGAACTTGCAGGCTCTTTCTGTATCTCTGCATCCGATTCTGGGTTGTCATCTGATGGTTGATCATCCTTAGCTTGTGTCGTTCTCGTTGCTTTGGTGACTTTTGGGGCATTCTTGGACTTCTTAGAGCCGGCTGCCGATATAGTCTCTTTGAGAGGATGGGCCTTTGATCTCGTACGCCGATGTCCCTTCGAAGTCGGCGACGCTGTGGGCTCAATCGACTCGGCAACTTCATCCTCTTCGCCACTTCCTTCACTTCTTATGGTGGATGCAGGTCTTCCCCTCTTTTTCGTACGGGAGGGTAACTGTACTTCTGGATCTGATAGTGGCTGCGACTCAACCACAACCGCCTCTTCAGCTTCTTTCTGAGCCCGCCGCCCAGCTGTGGCTTGCGGCTGCACTTTTGCAGACTTGGATGGTTTGGCAGGCACGTCGTCATTATCGCTCGACTTCCGTTTGTGGACAGGGCCCAAACCACATGCAGCCTCTTGTCCTGCATGTTTACTGCATCGTGCCGTTCCTTTAACACCAGCGGTACGACACTGGACAGGATTTCCATTGTGCACCAGCATAAAGCCGCAGCGCACGGAGCCAGGATTGCTCAAGTGGCGAGTGCACCGGGGTCCAGCATTAGTCTCGTGAGAGCCTGGCTTGTGGCATTGCTCGTATCGTGGGCCCACTGGTTTCCCTGACCGGTACGACGTGACGGCACATCGTACTGCGCCGTTGCGAAGACGTGTCTCGATCTGTACTCCATTCTCGACGGCGTGACTGGGGTTTGGAGCGAGCCTTGGTGGTGATGAGGGCAGAGGCGCCTCGTTTGTGAAGCCAGAGCCTTCGGAAGCGTCCTCCTCAGCTAGTGCTTGAACAGATTCAGATGAGAACGGAACGTCCTCTTGGGGCGCCTTTTTCTTCTTCAGAATCTTTAATGGCGCTCGGTTCACCCTCTCATGCAGCTTGTACGGGCGCCTCTCGGGACTCTCATCTGGGAACTCGTACACATCGCGCGGTCTCGGTCGTGCCAGATTGAACCGCCGTGGTTCTGTGAATAGACCCGAGCTGCGCAGTTTGCCGTTGCTCGACTTGCTCGACTTGGGCGCCATGCGTATAGGACTGCTATGGCGGTATTCTACGCGTGCCGCATTCAGGAGGTTTGCGCCGAGAACAGCGGAAGACTGGGGCGGTGGTGGTTGCGCTGACTGAGGCGGATGCGGGGATTTCGGTGAGGTCGCCGAGTGTTGTGGGTGTTGTGGGTGTTGTGGGTGCGAAGCAGACTTGGAGGCCGAGGCGGCGACTTCGTCGAGCAGCTGCTGCGTGGCGGCTTCGGTGTCGTTGGATGCATCAGACAGGATCGTTGGTGGAGGCGTGGTTTCCTGAGTGACTGGCACTGTCAGCCGAGCGAGCGTCTTCAGACAGCACCTTCACCTACGGGTGCCCCGCCTCTGTGGCGGTGCTTGGAGGCGCGCCATAGCGTTCGCGACGTCACCGAGCAAACGCACGATATCAATGCGCCGGTGGGGAGTGAAAGAACGTGTGGGGGCAAACTACCGGTGCCGTGCCTGCGCCAAAAGACGGGAGGTTGGGCAGTCGCGTCCCGCACAACGCGACATCACATGCTCAAGGACCTGCACTAGCCACTTCCATCGACCACACCACTGCAGCGAGACTCTCAACACCATGGCCGCCGAGACCCAAACAACGCCTGCACTGCCGAGACTGGACGCGAACCAAGGCTGCAGTTTCGCCGTCCCCGCGAAACGCATCAATGATGGCGAAGACGTCACTTTCTTCCTCGCCAGCAGGGCCTATGCCGACTTGATGACTTTCATATTCCAGCTCAACACGGCCATGGTACCAAGACGCCAGCCCGACTCTTCTCCCGCAAAAGAATGGACCTTGAATGATACCGACGTCACTTTCCCTCCCATTGTGCAAAACCTCGCCAAGCTCATATCAACTCTAGCCTGCATCATCGACGAAGCGCCTCCAGACCCCGGTCCACGCAGATTCGGAAACGTAAGCTTTCGGAAATGGTACGACATGGTTCGGGAGCGCGTGCCGCAGTTACTGGAAGATTGCCTACCAAAGGACGTACTCGACTTCAAGAGCACATCCGAAACCCGTGCAAGCGAAGAGCTAGAAGCGTATCTCAACGGCAGTTTCGGCAGTTCTCAGCGCCTCGACTACGGTACTGGCCATGAACTCAGCTTCCTCGCTTTCCTCGGCAGCCTGTGGAAACTCGGTGCATTCCCAGCTTCCAAAGATGGAGATATTGAGCGCGCCATAGTCCTAGGTGTTGTCGAACCATATCTAGTCTTAATCCGACGCCTGATTCTCACCTACACTCTGGAGCCCGCGGGATCGCACGGAGTATGGGGGCTCGACGACCACGCATTTCTGCCTTACATACTCGGAAGTGCGCAGTTTTCGCCCGCCATCACCACCCCTGCGGATGTTGTTACAGAAGGCTCGTTGCCCAGCGCCCCGGATCCCGCAGACGTTGCCAAAACACCCGCCGTTGAAAGAGAGAGGACCCGAAACATGTATTTCAGTGCCATTGGCTTCATCTACGACGTGAAAAAGGGTCCGTTCTGGGAGCACAGTCCAATCCTCTACGACATCTCCGGCGTCAAGGCGGGATGGGCCAAGATCAACAAAGTCACTACTCCTTCCCCTTGATATGCTAGATTCAATGACTGACGGATGCATAGGGCATGATTAAAATGTACAACGCAGAAGTCCTCTCTAAATTCCCCGTCGTCCAACACTTCCCCTTCGGCGCGCTCTTCGCCTGGGAAAAAGACCCAAATGCCAAACTTATCCAAACTAGCGTGCACACATCTAGTCAACCAAGATCTAACAGCTCGACTGTGCCGAGCTCAACTTCGTCAACGAGTGCTTACTCGAGCCCGAGACCGCAACCAGCTCCACTCAGGGATCCCATGGCCGATATAGGTTCTGCTGTGACGGCGGCCCCGTGGGCGAAACCTGCTGGGCCGAATGTCCCGAGTGGTCCAAATCAACCTACGAGAGCGCCATGGGCGGGTCGTACGCCTGCGCCTCCGCCTCCGCCGCCTGGAGGAGGAACGGCGGCCCCGTGGGCAACAGGTGCACCACCTGGCGGTGATGCGGTGACACGAGCACCATGGGCGAAGAAGTAGACGATTGTTCATGAAGGAAGGTCAAGAGAAAGATATCGCAAGATGCAGAGACTAGTTGCAGATACACCAACGCTACACCAAGACAAATAATTTAGACTTGTTGATTTTTAGATGTCGTGATTTCACCGTCTACTAGATGCGCACGTATTCTATCTACGCAACATTCTCCATGAGTCCTGCACCAATCGTCCTGCCCCTCTCCCTCACCACAACCCTCATCCCCTCTTCAATCGGCAGTTCTCTCTCCAACACGACCACCACTCGCGCCACCTCACCCGGCTTCACGATGCGCGGTCGCTTCTTGACGATCTCGCCAGTGAACTTGTTCAGCTTAGCGCTCAACGTACGAATGCCACCAGGGCTGTTCAGCGTCGATCGGAACACCTCAACTGGACAGGGAAGAACATGCTCAAAAGCGAGAAGCTTGGAAGAAAACGCTTTTACAAGCTTGACTGGTGCGTTGGGCGGACACACGATGTCGCCTTTTCGAATGTGCACCGGATCGATGTTCGCGAGATGGAGCGTGGGGATTTGACCTGCGACGGCCCAGTCAACGGGCTGGTCTTGGACTTCGATTGCCTTGACGGTTGCAGTCTCGTTGGCGGGTAGCGTCAAGATAATGTCGCCGACTTGCAGTGTGCCCGAATCGATACGACCAGATATGCTGAGTGGGGAGCGCATGTCGCCACGGAAGACGTCCGAGACAGAAAAGCGCAGGGCTTTTTGCATATTTCGTTCGGGCAGCTCTATGCGTTCAAGGGCTTCGAGGAGGGTTTCGCCCGTGTACCAGTCTGCGGCGGGGTTGGCAACTCTCTTGACCACGTTCTCGCCTGTCAGACCTGCAAGGGGAATGAAAGTGATACGCTTCTCTGGAAAACTTGCTTCGGTCAAAAACACTTTCATGCGTTTTGAGATGTCGTCGAAGCGTGGTTTCGACCAGGACACTGTGTCCATCTTGTTGACTGCGACGATGATGTGTTGCATACCCATGCTTCGTGCAATGAGAATGTGCTCCTTTGTTTGACCTTTGAGACCTGCTTCGAAGCTATTTGTGCTCGCATCGATGACGAGGACGGGAAAGTCGGCTTGTGAAGATCCTGATATCATGTTCGGTATGAAGTCTTTGTGTCCGGGTGCATCGAGGATCGTGAATCGCGTCTTCTCCGTCTCAAAGTAGTTTGTGGCGATATCAACAGTCACGCCGCGACTTCTCTCCTCACTCGTCTCGTCCATGATCCACGCGAGAGCAAAGGAAGACTTTCCGATCGTCTCGGCTTCTTTCCGGAGCTTATCGAGAGAGCGTTGGTCTACTACTTTCAGATCGTATAGAAGACGACCCATAAGTGTACTCTTGCCATGATCGACGTGGCCTATCATCGATTAGCACAGCAGCACGAAGAGAGTGGTTGGAATTATAGCAATACACATCGAAGGGGTACAGGCCCAACTTACCAACGACAACAAAGTTAGCTATCCGCTTCGGACTGCTCTTTTCGAACTCGTCAACCACATTCAGGTTCTTGCTCTTGATACGAGACTCTTCAATGACAAGACTCCCAAATGAATCGGCCAGCTTATCGCCATTCGATGTTCCTTTCTTCTTTTTGGGTGTAGTTCCTGTATGCCTTAGAAATGTACGCTAAAAGTTTGCAATGTCGATTCAACGCCGGCCACCTCCCGCTCCCTTGGCCTGGGCTGCGCGAACGACGTCATCTGGACTGGGCGTGTCGAATGCATTCGCGGTAGAATATCCTTTAAGATTCGTGTACGGTATTGGAAACGCTTCCATGACAGACTGAGCAGCGTTGGAAGAGCCACACAGTGTGGAAGCAAAGGTAGAGGCGACTGCTCGTTCAGCTGGACGCTCCACTACGACTGCTGGTTTTGGTGCTTCAGGCTCCTCAGGTGTCTCATTCTGTGGCGTCTCGGCCTTTGGAGAAGGAGAGCGTCGTCGGGCTGGGTATCTGGGCTTTGGCACATGGCCGCCGCGAAGGCTAGGAGCTGTATCGCCCGTGACAGAGAGCTTGTCAAGCATAGCAATGGCGGCATCTGTGCCCACGCCTGATGTTGATGATGCAGCTTGCGCCTCCTCGCGTTCCTTCCGGCGTTTGGCTGCGAGGGCTGCGAGCTTGGATGATCCCCCCAAAAGGCCAATTCTCGCACGAGGAGGGTGGACGGTGATGTTCCCCACACGATGCGCCGGCACATTGCCCCACGGCACATCCCAGAAGAAGTCATCTGCATCGTAGGTTGGCATCGTGTTCGGCGGCGGGCTCAGGGAAACGGGGCAGGCAGGCTCTTGGACGTTGCTGTTATGTGCATAAGTGTACTTACCTGCGGCTATGGGTGCTTTCTCCACTGCTGCGCTCGCAGCTTGGTCGAACTTGGACACGACCTTCTCCTTCTTGGGCGTCTCCTTGGGCGTGTGCGCACCACCCAGCTTGTTTTTCAGGTACGTCACCGTCTTCCCGACGTCGTAGTAGTAGTGCCAAAGCGACTCTTGTATTTGTGCGTCGCTTACGCCTGCCTCGAATTCACCCAGCGCCTCTCGCACGCTGATGGTGCCTATGCGCATCTGCTCTTTGTCGTCCTCGGTCATGCCGTCGCCTGCCGCTGCTTCTTCCTCAGAGTAGTAGTCGTCATCATCATACACGTCGTCGTCGTCATCATAGGCGACATCGCGGGTGCGCAACATGTTGTTGTGTGCGCGGTGATGACGTCGTTATCGCGGTTGTGTTAGTCCTCCTGGACGTTGAGGATGATGAGGATGATGAGGATGTTTGGGGTGGTGGTGGAGGGGATTGGCAGCACTGGCGCTTTCGACCTCGCGACCTGAGGACAGAATGGTTGGGGAAGGGAAATTTGTGTTGTAGAAGCGTGGAAATGTACAAGCTGTATACCACAGTTCCATCTGTTTAGTGGGGCAATCACTGATCACTGACGCATGCCCCGCGACTAGCCTGAGCTGTCATGTCGCGTCGCGCCTTCAGCATTAATCATCACCAACAAAGACTGGATCATGCCGTTAACGAACTTTATAGATTGCTAGAGACGCCGAGCCTGCACCACTTTCCACCATCTCACCATCTCACCATCTCATCATCCCACCGCTCCACACCTCGACGCTCGCCTTACTCAAACAGCAATGGGGTATATTATTAGTGCAATACAAGGCACGAATGCAGCAAAACAACGCAAAGCTGGCTTCCAACCGGAAATGACACAATCATGTGCAGCACATCATCGACTGTCCTGTTGTAGCTGAAGTCTACCGCATTACTTCTCCGCAGGGGTGGCCTCGGGGACTGCGGCGGGAGCAGCAGGGGTGGGCGCAGGAGCTACAGGCTTCTCCTCCTTGGCCTCGGGGCTGAAGGGGTCGTCATTCAACGGTCCGCTGGTCGCACTCATGCCAGCGGCTGGCTGAGACGCGGGAATCGCAGGCATGTCTAGCGCAGCGGGCTCGGAAGGCTCGGGGGCTTCTGCAGTCGTCGTCGTAGGGGCCTCAACGGGCTTTGTCGCGGCTTCGGCAGGTGCCTCGGTCGAAGTCGTGGGGGCTGAAGCAGCGGTCGGTGGAGCGGGCGCAACAGCACCTGCGGGTTCGGGAGCTGGAAGAAAGAATCGTTAGTCTATGGGTATAATCGTGGAACATGGGAAAGTCGTGGAACGTCGTGGAACATCGTAAGAAAGGAACAGAAGCGTGTCGGACGTCTTGCTCAGAGAATGAGCTCAGCGGCGTCAGATGGTGCCATTCCAGTCGCTGCTGGTTGCGGCCTTGTGTCTCCATCGCGATCCGCCCGAGTCATCGTTTCTGTGCAGTTGGGGGGCTGACGGGGAGTGGGAAGGCAACCTACTCTGCGTGGCTTTCTTGACCTCGGCAAGCGCAGCAACCTCGTCCTTGTTGGCCTCGCCCTGTGCAGGAGCTGGCGCTGGCGCTGGAACAGGCTCGGCAGGCGCGGGCGCAGGCGCACTGCTGCTCTCCGCTGGGGTGGCCTCAGTCTTCGCAGGAGCTGGCGCAGGCGCGGTAGCTGGGGCGGGCGCGGGGGCCGTCTCAGTCTTCGCGGGCTCTGCGGCGGGTGTTGCCTGCGATGGCGTCTCCGTGGTCGCAGTCGGCTTTGGCTCCTCCTTCTTGGACTTCTTCTTGAAGAGACCCTTGAAGGCCTTCTTCATCTGCTCCATCGCGTCCGGCGCTACAGACAACGCATTAGCGGGGTCGTGTCAAGATGGCTGCTGTGGGAGGCGAAGCAGCGCAACACAGATTGGTGCGACGTATACGCCCACGTGACTGCTAGCAAGCAGATGCGCTGCGTGCTTATCAAGCGTCGTAGGTGGAGGTGAAGGATGACTTACGAACTCCAGGCATGATGATCGGTCGAGTGTCGGGTAGAGATGCAAAGTAGAACTTGCTAAAGCTCGCAGGTACAGCGTCGTCAGAAGCGAAGCAATGATCAGCAAGGGAAGTGAAGCAACGTGGTGGTGAGGACGAGGTGCTTCGACGGCACGCACGCAGGGTCCGGTCTAGATTCTGTGGGGTTTAGTGGCGCGGCAATCAACGTGCAACTTGACCCAAGTGTTCGCTTGTGTGTGCTGACATGAACTGACACCAACACCATCACTTTAGTGTATCACATTTGCCCGCGCATTATCTAGCGATCTCCACGATCACTACTTATCACGTCGCACAGCAGACTAGATACTCCCCGTTGTTATTGTACTTATCGCAAAGCGATCAGGGCGCCTAGTGCGCGATTAATACAGGGCGTAACGTACGGGCGTTGTCATATCATCTGGACAGAGCTAGTCGGCGGCCTAATCTTCGTGGAAATGCTCAAGAACACGCGGCCCCTGAGATGGAGTGCTTCGTCCCTCAATCGGTCCTTTTCTCAAGCATGTCAATGGCAACGGCACAATTCGGAGTGACGATGAGCAGATGAGCAGATGAGCAGATGCACATACTGACTGCATGAATTGAAGAGCAATGTGTACATACGATGCGGCATTACTATACTGTGTTTGCTGTGCTGTTTCGCATCGCGCATATGTTAGTCGCATTAGTACAAGCAGGTGAAGCACTCTAAAATAGGCAATCAAACAAACGTACGAGTTCATCCTGGATCCCGTTCATACGCCATGCATTCCCCGTTGCATCGGATTCCAAGACATTCGTGACTACTATAAGAACGATGATGGACCCTGTTGGGAAGACCAGAGCGAGGATACAGAGAAGAATGCTGGCGTGAGGAAATGGGAATGACAAATGCACTGGAATGCACGCATAGATATATGAAATAGTGTCTCTCAGGGACTCAATATTGAAATCTACTTTCCAAGAATCCATTAATAATCGAACCCCTCGAAAACGACTTTCTTTCCCTCTAACCAGCCAAGCACATCTCCTCTCAGACCTGGCCCAGCACACAAATACCACGTCTCCGCATCGACGCCAGCCAGATCCTCCTTCCTCAGACGTCTCATGTAAACATGCGCGCCCTGCTGGATCATCAGCTCCTCATAGTTCCTCTCAATGATCTCATTACCCGCGCCAGTGAAGAATAACTTCGTCGCCCTTCCCAGCTGCGGAAACTGCATGAGTATATCCATAGCAAGTTGTATATCATGATAACTCAGCGTCCAGAAGAGTGTGAACCTCTCTGGCGAAACATCGAGACTGTGCAAATGTCCCAAAAGTGGTGTTATACCAACACCACCAGCCACGAACGGTGTAACTCCATCTCCGTTCGCGATGGTGAAATCGCCACCAACACCTAGAACAGGAACTTCAAACCCCGCACGGTCATTCTGCTGGAACAGAAATTCGGTCACGGGTCCGACTTTCCTGATCGTAATTTCGAACTCTGTTTGTTTCTCCCTAGTATTTGGTGCTGAAGATATGGTGAACGTGCGCACAAAATCGTCGTTGAGACTCGTCGGATCGTCGTCGCGCATGTGTTCGTATCCGATACCCAATTCTTCTTTGAAGTCAAGCGCAATCCATTGCCCAGACGTGTAAGTGATGGCGGGCGAGACGGAGAAAGCGAAGCGGCCTGTTGAAGGCGTTATTAGGGTTTTTTTGGTGAGTGTGGCGATGCTGAGAGTACTGAGGTTAGACCTGATGTTTCCTTCGCTGGCGAGAGGACGGACGCGCGGGTTGTATGGACTTGGGTCATGCGGTGTACCGCGGAATGGTATCCCGTTTTGGACATGGCGTGTTGATATCAGGTCGATTTTAACAGCGAGATTGCTTCCTGGTAAGAGTTTTGCTGCTTCGGTGCCGACAAGAATCGAGGCCGTGCCTGTTGTGTAGAGCACGTCACCAGTCTGGTAGTTTGGGAAGGATATGCCAATTTTGGGATTTAGTTGGAGGTTGCCGAGAGACTGGTACAGGCGGTTGCCAGAGTACTCGGGATAGACTATCTCTGTGGGAGATAGGATGCGTACGAAGCCTGGAGAGCCTCCGCGATGATTGACATCCATGTCTTGCTCGGTACTCGTCGTCAGGAAGAACATGTCCGCCTGAGATATCAGTGCTTTTGCCTCAGCGGTTAAGGAAGGGCCCTCTGAGAGCTTCTTCGCCTCCACTATGGTGGGCTGGAGTTGGTACTGGTTGAGATGTTTGGGACAGTTGCCCAGACTCTGCTCAATCCTTGTGACGAGCTGGATCTGCTTCTGTTTCGCTGGTGCTCGGGAATCATTTCTACCATTGTCTGGTTCAACATCGACCTCTTGAACAGTCCCGGCAACCATCTTCCCAGCAAGCTTCACTCTCTTCCTAGTCATCAGATCGATCGCTAGTGCCGCGAGCATCTTGCCGCCGTCTTTCGGCTGCAGCATTTCTCCATCAACAGCATCTCCAACCAGTGCCTGCACCACTGGATCCCATTCCCCATCAACAAGCGTGCGTGTGCCAACGAGGCCACCACCAAGCGGTTCAGAAAATCCAGGAGAGCCGCCCCAAAGCGTGGTCCAAGGACGAAATTCTGCATCCAGGGTGCCGAGAGCAAGCATCGATCCTTTCTGCAGCATGAATGACGCTTGGGGCGACAGCATGGACACAGTAGGATTGTCGAGATGAGGAATGCGGAGTAATTTGTGCATCTTTTCTTCACCCTCGTTCCAAGGCACTGCCATTGCGAAAGCCATCTTTATTCTGTGTCGTTGTCCTTGTTCTTCTCATGTGGATAGATGTATATGTAGATTTAGCACTTGGCGATACCCACCACCAGATGTATTCTTTGGCAATCCTAGATATTGATGACTTTACACATCATACCTAAGGTAGGTCGGCACCAAGTCGGTGAGGCATTTCGCTATGCCGTCGGCATCTCTTGTAGCTTCAGCATCGCTCACGGCCGCGCAGCAACGGACATCAGGCCGGCCTAGAGGACAACCTTATTGGTAGTTCCAGTTGTTCCCTTTGCGCTATAGTTAGATCGAAGGGAGTGGTCAGAAATGCTTAATAATCCGGATGTCGTGATAAGCTGACGAATCGGCGGCCGCCCGAGATGCGGAGGTGCCGGGCAAGGTCATGGCCTGGAGAAAATGTGCATGCAGTGGAGATGGGGAGTTTTGACATTAGCAATTCGACATGTCGACCTTTGACCTGTTGCTTGAACTGATGTTGCGCATTGTCGAGTTGCTGCTCATGTTGTGAAACAGCGATGCCTAGCCGAGGGCTGAGGCTCGGCCGGGGCGAACCATGTCCGATGTTTTCGAATGCGACCACCAACATGCTTCACGACGTCAACTGTCCTAGCCCAACGTTGAAGATAATATCTTTCCCTTTCATTCTGACTTCATTCTGGACTGCGCACATGAACTTTTCCAGAATGTTTACCCACCACACCCGCCAGAAGCCCAGCGCCTACCCTCGCCTTCCCTTCCACGCCATCCGGGCCTTCCAACTTATTTCCTCCGTCATAGTGTCTAGCATACTATTCTACTTCACATCATCGCTGTCCACCTCACACCACAGTCTACCGTGGACATTTATCCTCGTACCTTCCCCACCGCACCCTTTCCCTCGGTGTACTAATACACGCCAGCTTCTCTCGACCGCCCTCCTCACCATCCTCACCCTCGCCTGTACATTCGCCCTGCACCAATTTCACGGCCTTAATCCTATCCTCGCGTTGTCTATCAACGCTGTCCTCGGGATACTATGGGCTGTGTCGTTTGCGCTGCTGAGCTGGTGGTCTTCGGGCACGCTCGCACATGTGTGCACAGAGGACAATTGGGAGAACGAGACGGGCATCGCCGTGTGTAGAATGTACAAGGTGCTGTTTAGTTTCAGCCTGCTCGGGCTGGTCGCCGCGCTTGTGGCGCTGGGTTTAGATGTGCATGTTAAGAAGCAAGCGGGAGCGAGGGGGCAGTTTCAAACTATCGGAATGGGTGCGGGAAGTGATGGGAAGGGGCGCGCGGAAGATAGGGCAGGTGGAGCTGGAGCTGGAAGAGAGGGTTATGCACTGCCTGAAGAGCAGTTTGCGTACGCTGATGATACGGGATATCATGGTGCTGCGGGTCAGGTTGGGCGAAGAAGTGCTGAACAACGATTATAATTTCAATGACTCCCTCGAACGCCGTCTAATGGCTAATGGCCTTGAAGTGCCGGGTATCATATGACTAAAACACGTCGTCCATATTTACATCCTTCGCTGCTGCTACCGCGCGCTCGGTCGCAATATTAGCATTGCCTGAAGGAACTCCTCGCACGTTCATTTCCTCCTCGATGAAGACGCCGAATCCACCAAACGCATCTCGCAATGATCGATTGAAAAAGTCTTGCATGTCGTATCCTCCCACCGTATGAGCCATGTCGTTCTTTTGCTTAGTAAGCCAGTCGACATCGTAGTTGTCTTGCAGACTGTAGTATTGCGGCACTATGCTCCAGCCGCCGAAAGGATCGAAAGGCGCCTCGGGTGGCGGCGCAACGCGCTTCTTGAGGCCATGGAAGTGAAATCCCGTGTCTTCCGAAAGGTCTTCTCCAACCGTTCGTAATGTGTTCGTCGACGAGGCCGTCTTGCGCTGCGTCCCACCCTTCTTCAGCACGACGTGGTCGGTCGGGACCGTGTCGTAGTCGCGCCGTATGGCATTCGGGTTGAGCTCGGCCTTCTGGTGTTCTTCCCATCGTCGCAAGCGGCTCTCGGTGGCATCAACGTCGACTTTCAGGATCAAGTTCCACGTGATGGTCTCAACTTCTTCGAGGTAGTCGTTGTAGTCTTTGAGCGTCTCAAAGTCGTCCTCTTTTTTGTTCATGCTATAGTCAGGTCAAAACATGCGCCACGAAGGAATGGGAATCTTGCTCACGCGCTCGCGACTCTTCTCCGTATGTCGACTTCACGCTCCACCTTCAAGTCCTCAAAGGTCTGCGTCCGAAACTTGGCCTTCCTCAGCGTCCTGGCGCATCCAGCAATTGGGCATGGCGCGGGTCCGTGGCTGAATATACGATCTACACACGACTCGCACATCTTGTGGTAACACTCGGGATTGACCTTGAACTTCATGTTAGGGTTGAGGTAGCGTGACGATTTGCAGACGGGGCAAATGTCTGAGGAAGAGTCAGTGACGCCATTGGAACCAGACGAGTGCTGCAGTGACAAGCCATAGAGAGACTTGGAGAGAGGAGACGCACCGCCATCTTCGGCGAGACGCTTCGTGGAAGCGCCGTTCGCGCGGCCGGCTTGCTTCGACATGGCGGCGGTGATGCGGAGTGAGTGGCAGGCACGACACGTAAAGTACGTCGGAGAGTCGCGATTGTTGATGACTACACCCTGGGAATCGAAAGCCACGACGATTCAACCGTTGACTGTCAACCTGACTATGGTGACTGGTGAGTGAATGGACGCAGAGACATGTCGAAGGAAGCGAGTGCCTCTCTCAAGTGTCCTCGGTGAGCTCATGCTTTGGAACATTCCGCGGCCTGGCATGGGTCCCTTGTCTCACTAGCGCGCCAAGTTTTCGCGTTTCTCGCAAATCCATCGCCCGCTTCTCCCCTCTGTCTCTCTTTCACTCCACTTGTCGTCCACATCATGGCTGTCTCAACGCAAAGCACACTGGAGAATATCGAGCGCCGCCGTGCGCAGCTCCAAGAGAGCGTCGAGAAGCTCCAGAAAGCCCTCGCGCACTGGACCACGTGGGAGGCCGAGTATCAGATGCTCTCCGAAGAGATTGAGCGTGTCGACGATGCTTCCCCTGATCAGATCCGCGAGATTGCAAAGGATCTAGCCAGCACGCTACTGGATGCAAAGGAAGTGGAGGAGCTGCTCGGCAAAGACGCAAACAAGAAACGCACTGCTAACCAGGTCGTTGACATGATCTCCAGACGCATTGACTATGTCCAGCAGAACAGTGCCACGATCGAGAAGCAGCTCGATGCTGCCGAGAAGCGACTTGCCGGCGTCGATGTCCTATTGGATCCTGGTGTGGAGAACGAAGAGGGACTGCCGATGATGGACATTGAGGAAGAGCTGGACGAGGAGGGAAACGAAGTCGGCAGCTCAGTCAATCAGACCGGCAAGGGTGCAGCCAAGATCGTCGAGGCACTCCGGAACGCCAGCCTCCAAAAGGCCGAAATGGACAAGCAAAGGGCTGCAGGTCCAGCGCAAGAGAAGACAGAGGCTGGTGCCAGTTCCTCAAAACCCCCGTCCACTGTTACTTCAAAAGTTACGGAACCCACCTCCAAACCACAGCCCGAACTGCAGACACCTTCAGTCGTACCCAATAATAGCAAACCTCTAAGAAAGTCTGTCTCCTTTGCCGACGACACAAAGCCTGAAATAGGCCCAAGTCGGGCGACTCTGGCAACAGATGGCTACAATGATGCACTTGCAGACATGAACTTTACACACGGCACCAAGGTCATCGAGCTTGACGAAGACGACAACGAACTCGCTTCTTACCCCGTTATACCTCAGGGCGAGTCGCCGGAAGACGCAGAACTCCGGCGGCAAATGCTACAGTACGGTCTTTCCGAGGTCGGGCAGATTGTAGCGGAACTCAACCTCGATACTCCCAGAGTCGAATATGCAGACAACGATGATGACGAGGACTGGGGCGAGGAAACAGAGGATGAAGAAGATGAAGACGAATGGGGCCGTACTACCAGACCTGTAGTCAATGACGTTTACCGGAAACAAATGCTCGAGCTAGAGAAAAAACTTAACGCTCGCATGATGGAGAATGTCGGCCCGGACGGCAGCAATGACTCGTTGGAGGAGCACGTCAACGATGTTCGGACGTTGAAGATCCGACCAGATGAGCAATTTGACGAGTCTCTGGGAGCAGCGGGGGTTGAGTCCATCGAGTCAGGGACGAAGAAGAAGGGGGTTCGCTTTGCTAATACTCTTGACGTCTCCGAGGCTCCGCAACCTGTGCGCAACCCCGCAGCTCATACCCCATCCGCAACCAAGTCTGCATCTACAATGTCCGACACCATCATCGAGCGCCCTGCGGTCATACCTGATGTCATTCAGCCACCTACACAGCCTGCAAAGGTGTCAAGATTCAAAAGCGCCAGGGCGGAAGCCAGTCAACCTCGACAAATGCCGCCTACGCCATCTGTACCCGAACCACCCGCTGTGCCTACGGGTCCGGCCGGACGCACCCTGGCCAACAAGATTCTCGAGCACGACGCGTCGACTACTAAGCCAAATGCACCAGATGAATTTGACCCTGCCATGATCAATCGCGAGATTCAAGCCGAATACAACAAGGCGCGGAACCGGTTCATCCAACAACAAGGTGGGTTTACGCCTACTGAGGAGGACAAAGAGAACCCGATGGTGGAAGAAAAGGATGGGAAAGCGAAGAAAGTAAGTCGATTCATGGCCGCTCGGCTAAAGGGCAACGGTATGTAAACGGTGCTATGGCACACATTGGTCGTTGTTTTCTCTTCTTGTTTGGTGCTTGAGCGTGATGTCACAGTGTGTGGAACAATGCCCGCGAACGATTCATCATCATGTGTCGATTTGCATTATATTGGTTCCCAAAGCAAATTCTAGTAGAGCTACTCTGACGGGGATGGCCTTGCTCTATGCCTACCTCGATTGTAAACGCTCCGCACATACATGGTCAGTGAAGCATGGAGTTGTGGAAAGCGGCGCGATTGCCACATGGCCACATGTCAAGACTAGAATAGAATAGAATACAATGCGACATGCTTAGTTTGAGTTGATGGGCCAAGTTCCAATTCATCGATATGTGAAGGCGGCAGGGGTGCGGGGGAGAGAAAGGTGTGATTGGGTGGGGGCCATGGGTAGCGGTGGTGGCGGGGTTGCTAAGTGATGTCAAAGTCCAAAAAAGTGAACTTGGGCAGCCATGTCCACGATATCTGAGTCGACGCGCCCAGGTACGGACACGACGTTGGCGAAGCACGACCTGCCGTTCGCAAGCGTCGCCATCGCGCAGTACCACAAGATCCAGGAGAAGCTGGCCTCGAACAACATCTTCTGCATCCTGCGCTCGCCCGCCCCGATCCGCGTGTGGGTGTACCGCTCGCTGCTGGCGGAGAATCGGCTGTGGAATGAATGCGACCGCCCCGCCGTGAGCGCAACCATGGACAAGGACAAGGACAAGGAGTCACGGGACGACGGCAGCATCGACGACACGGAGAGTCTGCGAGACTCGGAGGCGGACAGCGTGAATGGCGCACGCGCGAGACCCCATCTCACGCGCCTGAGACTTGCGCTGGCGCCGTACTGCGTGCACTTCAACAACCCGGGGTACATCCGCGATGATACGCTGCGCATGCTGGAGCGGGACGTGGTCAAGAAGACGCTGGAGGAGACGAGGAAGAGCCTCGAGATGCGCGAGGAGCTGGGCCTGTCCTGGGAATTCTGGGACTCGCTGGCCGAGGTGCTCAAGGTCGCCATCCCCTCGCTGGAGCGCCGCTGTTTTGCTGCCCCGGACCCCGCCGCGCCTGAGTACGAGGGCTTGTCGGGGCCGCTGATTGCCAGCTATTCGCCGAGTTTGCTGCGAGATCTCGAGCGGCTGAACCAGCTCGTGTGCATTGCGCGCAACGTACAGGTCCATGGCGAAAAGGTGCAGAATCTCAGCGCCGAGAGGCTGTTCGACAAGGACATCTTCGCCCTCATCAATGTCTGCGTCAGAGTCACAGCAAGGGGCTACGACGGCGAAGCCGGCACCCAGGACGAAGACAAGTGGCAGGGCGTCATCAACGCGTACAAGAAGCTGCTCATCACCTGTCTGCAGTTCCTCAACAACCTCATCGCCCGCAACGAGCAACGGAAGCTGATGTTGTGGATCGAGCTCTTCGACAGCCATCTCGACAACGAGCTGCCCAACTTTGCCGACATGAAGTACAAGCTGGACGAGTTCAATCAGCAGGAACCAACCTGGCAGCCAGACACTCCAGATCCCATGGCCCGGCCGTCGCGAAGTCTGGAAACGTTCAAGATCCCCCAGCAGCCTGCGTCGTCGCCGTTTCTGCTCTACATTGGTGAGACTGGCAACGATGTCAAGAAGGCGCTGCAACAGCACGGCGTCAAGGCTGGGGCCAACGAGATTGCTGCCGAGTGTAGGCGGCGGTGGCAGACGATGAGCGAGGAAGAGAAGAACGTACGTGTCAAAGCCCCAAGCCCCAAGCCCCAAGCCCATGTCAACATCACTGACTTGCGCAGAAATGGAACATGCTCTATGCCGACGTCGTGGCCAGATATCGCGATCAAATTACACAGTCGAGCACATACAAGAAGGTGGTCGACCAGCACGCCAAGAACGAAGAGAGCGTGCAGGCGCTTGCAAAGAGCATCAACCAGTTGCAGGTCGAGGTCGATCGGATGCGCTCATCCATCAGCACTTCTCCCGAAAGCACATCGCACGAACAGGCTTCACCCGCCGCAGAAGCCAAACAGCCCGCAAGACCAGCGCCAGATGACTCGTTGCTCGACCCCAGCATCAAGCCGTCTTCCCCGGCAGGTGAGATCGATTTCCGTGTCACCTACCCGCCATCCTTTGGAGCAGAAATCCTGCAGAATGGCAAGGAAGATCTCTTGAAGCGTCTGGAGCCAGACCCAGACCGTCCATCAGGGCTAATCAGTCATGTAGCCTCTCCAACCTCTCCTCTGCCAGAGGATGACGACGACAATGATGACGACTATGACGACATCCCTGGCGATGAGGGACGGGGCTTGCTCACTGATGTGCCGCTGATTCTTGGACCGACAGAGATTGAGGTCTTGCCTATGATCATCATGGCAGGTATCGTGGAGCCGCAGGAAGGCCAGCCAGGCTATCACTCCGACCCAACCGTGTTTAGCAGTGTGCGAAGCATGCATGGCGTTCGATGTCATTTGTTGCTTGCACAGGACAATGGACGGAATCTGTTGCGTGAGCTGTTGATCTTTGTTGCCGCATGGGACTTGAGGGAAGAAGAACTCTACTTCAAGTTCATGGTCAAGATCATGGAAGCCATACTGGCGAATCAGCTGCTGCCCTTCGCCTACCATGCTTTCCGCGAGTCCGAGTAGGTATCCTTTGTCTCTCTCGTTACTACAGCTAATGACATTCATTTCAGGTCGAAAGATATCATCTCGCCGGCCCAAGCGGTTATCATGAAGCTACTCACAAACATCTTCCGCGCGAGGCAGGCACGCGCACAACCTACGAAAGGCCTAATCAGACCCAACCCCCCACAAGTCGACCAAGGCGACGTTCACATGGTTAATTTCCTACTCACCGAATTCAGGAGACATATTATACCACAAACTTGCGCACTAATATTCCTGCAAGGTCAGATCCGCGCTGGTCATGCGCACGCCGAGGACTTCCCCCTGAACCTCTGGGATATGGAACGGATGTACGAGGGTGTCTATCAATACCTTGAGTTCTTCGCCATTCTTACAGAGCATGAAACATGGAAGAGGATGTTGAGCAACTGGGAGATTGCCAACGAGCTGGTAACACTATTGAAGGAGCTAGATGCAGCGATACCGAAAGGCAATTTGTCCGTGCCGCCACTCAAGAACACTAACCAACCTGCTCCGCCACCACCGCAGCAACAACAAGAAGAAGAACCTCAATTCGAACAAGGCAACGCTTCTGTACAGCACCCGCAGCCCCAAACACCACAGCCCGTCGCAGTCGAGCGTCCTTACGATACGACAGCCGCAGCCGCCGAGCCCTACATCCCTCCTCCCACCTCACCATCACCGCGCCCATACATGGACGAAGCTGCTGACGAGCCCTCGGACTTTGAATGGCGAAATTTGAAGAAGCTCGCTGTGCTTGTTCTCAGCTCTCTAGTTTGGAAAAATAAGCACGTACAAGACCAAATCCGGCCCCTCGGTGGCATCGAAGCTGTTCTGAATTGTTGTTCCTATGATGAGCACAATCCGTACATTCGGGAACACGCCATCATGTGTCTGCGCTTCCTCATGGAAGGAAACAAAGAGAACCAAGACCGCATACGCGCGCTCGAAAAACACACACAGGAGAAGTCGTCCCAGTCTCAATCCAAAGCCTCGTCGTCGGAATCCGTGCGACCCGTCAACGTCCGCGTCCCCGACGAAGTCCTCGACCAACAAGGGTACGAAACATACATGGACAACAAGGGTCAGGTCATGCTGAGAAAAAGGCAACCACCACAGACCCAAACGCCAGTACAAAAAGGGAAAGCAAAGGCTAATTTTGACCCAGCGATGAGGGATCCGAAGGCGTTGGAAGACCTGGTTCAGCAAGTTATGCGAGATTTACCCAGGGTGCAAGGGCTAGGTGGTGAGAGGGCGAGTGAGGCAGAGGAGGCGTTGAAGAAGCTTGATAGGGGATTTGATGGGGGTGGGAAAGGGTGATGACAGGTATGGGAGGGGCATCCTGGCAGCGCTACTGTAGTGTTGATTTTCGGCGTGTCGTTCGGGACGACTAATGCCCGTGAGAATGCAGACGAACCCAGTGATACGGGCAACGGGCTTTAAAGCGATCACTTGTGGCCACTATCATCAAAAAGGTCTGGCTGGGCTACTGGAATGCGCGCAGTTCAGAATCGAGGACCGAAAGGGTACTGCATTAATACGCAGGTTGGCGAGGTACATTCGATAACAGAAGGCTATCAATTAGTACGCCGGCTTCCAAAGCTCAGATCACTACACATTGTCCAACCAAACATTCGCATCCTCTCTTGCACCGGACAGGTTGAAGGATGTTCAGCAACAAGAATGCGTGTTGATTCAAGATTTCTTACTCCATTAAGCCTACCAACGAATAGCTCTAACGCATGGTTCTCCGCCTTCCATATTGACCAGGCTGGCAAATAGGTAACGTACCTCACGGGTTAGCCGAACACTTTTGCTAAGCCCCTACTAAAACTACCCTATTCTAGCACAAAATAACTTACTTTAGCTCTAACGTGGTTCACAAGCGAGCGGCGCACCTAACTAAGTAGCGTAGTCTCTCTACTAAAATCACTGCGCAGCAACGTAGCATAATACTATATCGTGTTTCACAACTAAGCCAACTACCTAACTAAGCAGACTAAAAAACCTTACTAAAACGCCTGCGCAGCAATAACGCATAATATCTTAATAACGTAATATATAAAAATCTTATACTAAAGAAGATTTATTTCTTACTATATCTAATCTTAATTCTAATTAATTATAAACTAAAAGATACGCTATAGCAGTATATAATATACTAAAATTAATAATATATTACTAATATATTAGCTAATACTCTTAATATAACTATAACGTAGTTTATAAGTAAGCGAGTACTCTAAGTAAGCGAGTACCTTCTTACTAGCGCGTTAACGTTAACACGTTATTATAGTCTTTTATTATAACGTATTTAATTACTAAGACAGCTATGTTACTAAAGCAGCTACTTTTTCTTAGTATCGCGAATACTACGTACGAAATATAAAATTACTCTATACTCTCTATAGATTCTTTATATAACGTAGCTATATTAGCTTTAGAATCTTCTTCTATATCTTTCTAATATATATAAGTATTATATTTAGTCTCTCTATAGTTACTATAGCATTATTAAGCTAGCTAGAGCTTTTCTTAACTACCTCTACTACTACTCTTCTTAGATATTATATAAGTAGTAGAAGCACTTTTAGCTATCTATAATATACTTATACTAAACTCTATTATACTACTTATCTAAATTTACTTTCCTTTTATATCTTTTATACTTTATTAACTTTACTACTTACTCTTTAAGCTCTTATATATAAGCTTTAATTAAGATATTTTTATATAGTATCTTCTTAGCTTCTTTAATAAGCTTTAAAAAGCTTTCTTAAGCGCTTATTAGTAATTATATAAGAGATTCTCTTATAAGCTTTAATTATAATCTAAATTTATATAGATTACTTAGTATTTTAGACTACTAGAGCATTTCTAGTAGAGCTACTAGTAGTAGCGTATAAAGATAGATCTTAAGATAATTAAGAACTCTCTACGCATTAATAAGAACTAGTTCTGCTGCTTTAAAGGCCTTTTTATAGTTCTTATATATAAATATATTAAAAAATATGTTCTTAAAGATAGAGAAGAAGCTTTCTTTATTAATATAGTAGATATATTAGCATACTAAGTTTTATATATATTAGAAGTACTTCTATTTTAATAGCAAAAAGCATATTATATTAAGTAGCTAAAGTATATATAATAAATAAGCAGGTATATAGAGAGTTAGAATCTTTTATATAAGATAGTAGTTCTTAAAATCTTAGTTAAGATAGCTCTTATAGCTATCTAAGATAAGTAGTCTATATAACTCTATCTAATATATCTTTATATACTTATTAAAGTACTTTAACTACTCTAGACCTAGTATATTATTTATCTAGCTATTCTTAGATACTAAGAGCTTCTAGTTATATAGTATTAAAGCCTTCTTATACTATACTAAGATATAGATGCGTCTCTTATAAATAATAAAGAGTAGAGTTATATATCTAGCAGCATAGATACTCTAGATAACTATAACTTACTTATAATTACTTAGCTAGATTATATTTAGTCTTATATAATGCTCTAAGCTAGTAACTACTTTTATTAAGCTAATAATATTTATTTAGAAGCTTATTTTATTAAAGTTATAGATATTATTATCTAGAATCTTATACTTAGCTTTTATCTCTTATATAAGCTTAAACTAGGCGCTAATAATCTCTAAGTTTTTCTAGAGTATTCTCTAGCAATTCTTTGCTTAGTTAAAGGCTATCTTAAGCTTCTCTATATAAGAAATAAAGCGTAAAGGCTATTGCTAGCCTACTAATATTCTACTATATATAGCTAATAGCTTATTAGCTATAGTTACTACCTTATAAAGCTAAGAAGTAAATTCTTATATATCTAAGTTAAGAATATATTATATAATAGTTTGCTCTTCTGCAGAAGAGAGTTTTTAATAGTTTAGTAGTACTTAAGCTTAAAGTTTAATTTTATAAAGCTAAGTAAAAAGCTGCTAATATTATACGCTAAAGGTCAGTAGTAGCGCATTATAGGCTCTTAAATTAGCCTAAGTTATATATCTAAAGAGTAAGATTAATTCTGCCTTCTTTATATAATAAGTTAGAGTTATTTTAAGATAGCATTATAGTTTATATATAGTATTTGCAATGCTAAGAAAAAGTAGCTACTTTAGTAATATAGCTGTCTTAGTAATTAAATATATTACTCTAGACTAAGCATATTATTTATTTAGCTATTCTTAGATACTAAGAGCTTCTAGTTATATAGTATTAAAGCCTCTTAATACTATACTAAGATATAAATATATTCTTTATAGATAATATAGAGTAAAGTTATATACTTAGCAGCGCAGATACTTTAAATAACTATAATCTACTTATAATTATCTAGCTAGATTATATTTAGCTTTATATAATGCTCTAAGCTAGTAACTACTTTTATTAAGCTAATAATACTTATTTAGAAGCTTATCTTATTAAAGTTATAGATATTATTATCTAGAATACTATACTTAGCTTTTATCTCTTATATAAGCTTAAACTAAGCGCTAATAATCTTAGAATCTTCTTAGAGTATTCTCTAATAATACTTTGCTTAGTTAAATACTATCTTAAGCTTCTCTATATAAGAAATAAAGCATCTAGCCTATATCTTACTAATAGGTATTCTACTATATATAGCTAATAGCTTATTAGCTATATCTACTATCTTATAAAGCTATAGAGTAAATTCTTATATATCTAGATAAAGAATATATTATATAATAGTTTGCTCTTCTATAGAAGAGAGTTTCTAATAGTTTAGTAGTGCTTAAGCTTAAGGCTTAATTTTATTAAGCTAATTAGAGAGCTACTAATATTATATGCTAAAAGCTATAGCAGCGCGTTATAGGCTCTTAAATTAGCCTAAGTTATAAGCTTAAAGAATAAGATTAATTCTGCTTTCTTTATATAATAAGCTAGAGTTATTTTAAGATAGCATTATAGTTTATACGTAGTATTTGCAGTGCTAAGAAAAAGTAGCTAACTTAATAATATAGCTAGCTTAATAATATAGCTAGCTTAATAACAGAATACGTTATTATCTATATTAATAAGAAAGTATTTCTAGATATCTTTAATTAGATATTTAATAAAGCATTTTTAAAGAATAATATTCTATTAAGCTTCTAGGTAATAGGCCTACTTTAAGATAATCTAGAGATAGTACTATTAAAGCTTAAAGTAAAGCCTTATATACTATTACTATCTCTACTAAAGCTTACCTTCTAGTAGCTTAAAATACTAAGTAATACTACTAAAATTTAAGCTTAATTAATAATAATCTTAAAGAGAATAAGAGACTATAGGAGTTTATTAGCTAAATCTATTTTTAGAATAGTATAGTAGTTCTAAAAAAGAGCTAAGATAATAGTTTATTTCTAAGTACTTATAGCAGCTTAGATAGCTAAGCTTTAGATAGTAAATAAAGCTACTTTTAAGTATAAGGCATATAAAAGAAAGCAGACTTAGTATAAAAAGACTCTTTTATAGTAAGAAGTAGAGAAAATAATTAAGCATAGAGATGCTAAGGCGCTAGTTAAGGCAGAGAGATATAAGAAAAGAGTATAAGTAAGTAGTAGTAGTAAGAGTATTTATTATAATAGGCTGCGCTCTATTTAGAACCTTAGGCTTAGAAGCTTAGGCCTTTAGAACTTTACTTATTCTATAAGCGCTAGAATATTATATCTTTTAAAGTAAAGTATAAAAGATAGCTAGCAGAACTTCTAGAGTTCTATATCTAATTTATAACTTTATTTCTTAGCTACTACTCTTAGAGTCTTACTTCTTATATTTAAATTAGATCTCTTTAGCTACTAAGTTATAGAACTTATATAGCTACTTATATAGTAGAAGATAATAGACTTAAGAAGTATTACTATTAAGCTATTAAAGAAGATAGCTATTAGTCTAGCTTAAGCTAGAAGCTTATAGTAGAAAATATATAAGTACTTAATATAGTTTATAAGTAAGTAGCGTACCTAACTAAGCAGCGTAGTCTCTCTACTAAAATAACTATATAGTAATATAGCATAATACTATTATAGTAGAGTATGCTTAATGCTAAAAAGTAGTTAATTTCCTAAACTGCCTTCTTCTACCTTTATACTTTGCTTAATATTCTATTAAGCTTAGGCTCTGCGCTAACGCACATTACTCTACTATATATCTCTTCTATCTAGAAGAGCTTAGCTTTATTAAGCTTACTTCTATAGTCTCTTCTTTATCTCTGCATTCTTATAAGCTTAATGCTAGTATAGAACTAGACCTAATAAACTCTAATCTATTAAACCTAATATAATAGATTACTATCTCTAAGTTTAA